AATGGAACTTTTGTCGATACTGGGCCTTATGCAAAATAACATTTTCCATTTTTTATTACCCCTTTCGAATTCAATTTGCTAAATGGAGTCTAAAAAAGAAATATGCTTTACAATCTTTCCAAAGTGAAATTCGATATATTGAATTCGTGACATCCTCTAAAACTATTTTGTACAGTAAAATTGAACCTGTCCACAAAAGATAATAAATGAATACACTGAGGCCTAAAGAAATTTTCTTCAAAACAAAAAGGAAAATTAAAACATTCAGAAGTGATTCAATTAAAAAAAAATTCAATTCAATTTAATTAAAAATCAAACATAATAAGAATCAGTCTTAATAAAAAATAATAAGAAATAATTTTTTATAGAGAAAATTTTTCACTAAAAAAACGAAAGAAAATTTTAATTTTCCCCCTTTTTTATGTAAACAAAAGGAAAATTCTATAATTGTGATTTAATTATCTTCGGTAGTTAGAAATTTCACGCACTGAAAATAGTGAAAAGAAATATGAAAAGCAAAAAAAGAGATGAAAATCATTTAATAAAATTGACAAAAGGTGTTAAACAATTTTCACGTTCACCGAAAAAAAAATAATTTACTCTTTGATATCCTTCGATGTTTGTGGATAATACCCTTTTCCGTTCCTTTTATATTCTGCTTCCAATTATTTTCCTACACTCATGGAAAATCAATCACTTCATTGTTTCACTGACAAACTGATAATAAATGTGCTCGAAAAATTATGCAGAAGCAGATAAATTTATTTCCCAATTATTAATTTCTTTTTTTTTCATATAATTATTGGATTTTTATTATTTGTGTTCCATGTTTTATGGAAAAAAAATTTGTAATTATTGGAACTAGAGTATACGCGACGAGAAAAATAAATTCTCTGATTTCTTTAAATGGACTCAGAAGGGAATTATTTTCCTTTTGAACTTTGATTATTGGGAAATAAATATTTACTTGATAAAAATAAATTTCTTTTTAACAATTAATATTTATTAGATGGAATAAATATTTATTCGAAGCAATATTTGTTTGATGCAATGCAATTTTATTGAAAATATTCTAAGTAAATAAATATTTTGGCGGAAATATTTATGTTAATAAATATTTTGAGGCAAATTAATATTTGATGTAAATAAATATTTTGACAAAAATATTTGATGTAAATAAATATTTGAGACAAGTAAATATTTCATGTAAATAATTATTTTCAAAATAAAAATGTTGGAAAAAATATTTTCTCTAAATAAATTTTTGAGACAAAGAAATATGTAAACAAAAAATTATTTGATCCAAACAAATTATTTATTTGAATTAAATATTTATAATATAAAACAAATAAATATTTGCTGCAAGTAATTATATTTTGATAACAAATAAATAATTATTCATTTAACAATAATCAAAGCAAGTTCATTTAAATTGAAGCAAAAAATTTTTTTTCTTCACTGAAAGAAGAGATTAATCGAATTGATTATATTAATACAGAAATAATTCTATATTACATGAATTATAAAGTACCGTATATATAATTATTTACAACAATGCGAATACTTATAGATCATATTTGTTGTCACACTACTCGATGAGCAAACATTAATGAAGCCTTTCAAAAACATTTCCTACTACGTTAATGGAACCGTCATATTTGTCATTAGCCCTTCTCTCCTATTTGGACAGTTCTGGAATGTCTTTGTCATTTTGAAGAATGACTACGTCTACGGATAACAAAATCAATCCCTCGGAATCATATACAAAACAAAAACTCAAAAAAAAAACACAAAAAAAAACAAACGTTTTTCAATCTGTTTTGGTGTATTGAAAATAAATGTATTACAAAATTAATATTTTTTATAATCGCAGTTACAAACTCTTTTAATCAATTTTTCACACAACTCTCAAATATTAAATGCAAATAAATATTTCACATAAATATTTGATAAAAATAAACATTTGTTTTATTTCTATTAATTAATTTTTTATAATTGATTAATTATCTAATTAATAAAAAAATTGATTAATTAATTTCTATAGAGATTTAATATAAATATTTTATGCAAATAAATACTTGACGTTAGTATTTAATGTAAATAAATATTTCTTTGATCCAAACGAGAAATTATTTATTGTAAACAAATATTTATTTGAAGTGAAGAAAAAAAAATACTGTACAAAATCTTTTTAAAACTAAATTAAATAATTAAACAATAAAAACTATAGTGAAAAATTAATATTAATTACTAATTTTCTATTTTGAAAATTAGAAAATAAAAAATTTGTTTTTTTTAAAAGGCAGGATTATAAAATGTTTGAAAACAATTTTTAAAAAAACAAAAAAAAAAAAACTGGTAAAGGATAAATAAAGGGAATTTTTAACTGCGATGTGTAAATTTTGCTATATCCGCAGCTACTGCATGTGCACAGCATGTCTATAACAAAAAGCTTTCGCTATATCGTATAATAAATTTAACGCATAGAGTGCCATTAGTGTGCTGTGCATATAGAGAGTTTAAAAAATACCTTAATCTTATTTCACATTGTTAACCTTTTCAAAGTCTTCATTAGCACCAAAGTTTACTGCATCCTCTCTTCGAGATACTTGATTAAAAAATTTACAAATTTTCACCTCTCTCTCTCTCTCTCGTTTTTATTGCAAAAGAAAATTTTTCACACTTTTTTTATTGCATTTTGATTGGCAACTATTTTTGTTCATTTTCTCTAAAAAGAAGAAAAAGAAATTACCGTAGTAATTAAATTACTAAATAATTATGTAAAATACTTGATTATTAAATATTTTCCATTTATTACTCTTTATTACCATTTTTTTCAAAGTTTTTTAGTTTTTATTCATATTCTTTAAAATATTTTTTTATGTTTTTTAAAAATATTAAAAAACATAAAAAAATATTTATTTATTATTTACCTAATTATTTCTTAATATTTCTTTATATTTACTCTTTATTAATATTTTTTTATTCACACTGATCGAAATTCTTTAATATAAATTAAATATATTTATTATTTATTCTTTTGTTTATTTATTACTTCCTCATAGAGGAAGTATTGTAATACCGAAATTTTTCGAGTTCGATTTTTTGACATATCTTTATGTTATTTGACCTCAGGAGTTCAAAAATGACATTTTTAAAAAATGTCATTCCGTATGTGTGTGTGTGTGTGTGTGTGTGTAAACATCACATTTTCATAAATATCTCGAAATCATGAAGAGCTTTTGAGTTGAATTTTTTTTTAAATTGTAGATCTCACCTGCGGACATAAAGCGAGAGTACTTTCTGATATATTAATAAAGTTTAACTAAATTTTTTTTTGATTTTTAATTTTGCAAAAAAACGTTTTTTGACCATAACTTTAAAAAAATGTTAGGACACCTATAAATGTTTTTCCATAATTTTGTAGAGTTTTTTTAGACGCATCTTTTGAGCCCTAATTGAACATTTTTCGTCCATATTAACCGGAGTTATTAAACTTTTAAAAATCAAAAATTTTGGAAAATAAGACTTTTTTGAAAATTTTGTTATAAAACGTAGAAGTAACTTTAAAATTATCGTTATCAACTTGTAGAGCATTAAAAAACGCTTCGATTGACCTATTTTTGAACCTAATTCGATAATAAATTTCAAAATTATTGGTATTTTAAAAACCAAAAATTGTGAAAAATGACATTTTCTCAACTTTTTTGATTGACAATTTTTATTTAACTATTAAATTATTGTAACTATCTTGTAGTGTATTTAAAAATACATTGATTGACTCAAAATTCAATCACTTTTACCATATTTATAAAAAGTCATTCATATATTTCTATTATTTTTATCTCTATGAGGAAGTAAAGTGTTCATGAAATGAGCACCAAAATTATATAAAAAAATACAACTTGGCAGCGGTTTTTATATTTTAAATTATTATTATTATTTTGTAATTGTATTTTTTTAATATTCTGCAATCTTTTGTAATAATTCGAGTATTTATTAATAACTATTAAAATTATTTAATATTTTTTAATTCCAACTACATTCATGTAATATAAAAATATTAAACTAATTCAAATGTAGTTGAAATTAAAAAAGGATTATCAATTAACTAATTAATATTTATTAATTGATTAATTGTCCTTTTGTTCGAAAGAAAGATAATTATTAATACTTTGCAGTATTTTTGTACTATTTTGCAATAATTATTAATATTTTTTAATTTTTCAATCTTTTTTAATTCGTACTACTGAATCGAATTCGTTTAATAAATTTAATTATTCGATTGTTATTATTCATTCTTTTCTTTGCTTAATAAAGAGTCATTAATAAACAAATATTAATTAGTTAATATTTATTAACATTTATCCATTTTTTTGCAATATTTTTTAATATTTATTTTTTTATTTATTTATTTAAATTTATATTCATATAATCGCATATTTATTAATATTTATTTTTCTGTAAGTTTTTATTTTAAATACTAATCGAAATCGTTCAGTTTTATTCACTTGTTAATTATCAATTTTATTCTTGTGTTTCTTTATATATTTTTGAAATTAAAAGAATTTTTTTTTTCTATTCTATACACGTTAAATTAACCTTGACATAAAAGTTAACATGGAGAAGAAAAATATTTTTAAAAGGTAGTAAAATACTTGAAAATGCTTCTTTCATTGATTTCGTATTTTTGTGAAAATTCTTGCTCTTTGAGTATCTCGAAGTGTGCTTATCTTTGCTCAGAGAGATTCGTAAGTGAAGAGACATCGTTGGGAGAAACGAGCTTCGAAATGCGTTGAAAGAGACATTCAAAACATTAAAAAAAAAAAGTCGTTCTCTCAACGCCCTTTCATTTTATGAACTGACTGGGAATAAAATTTATAAACCCCCACTTTAGTCAGCAATTTTTGTATTGCAAGTTGTTTTTTCTGTTTTTCGTTTTAAAATAGAAAAAAAATTAACCTCTTTCAAGACTTTAGACATTTTTGCTCTTGTTACAGGAACCTTGACCGTTAACGTGAGTGTACTGCTCTTGAGTCTCGCATCACCCGACGAGTCCAGTTTGGTAATTTGCATTCTTCTTTTGATATCTATAAATCATTTTTTAATTTTTCGTATTTAATTCTTATATATATTTTATAAATATTTAAATAATAATAATAAAAATAATAATAATATTATTTGAATGTTCCCAGAATTTTTCACGAAACAATTGTCAATTGTTTTTATTGATTTATTATTTTTTATTGAATTATTGATGTTTTAATGGATTTTTTTAAAGTAAATAAATAATTAACTTCTTGAAGAATAATTCCCCAAACTTTGGTAAATAAATAAATAAATAAATAAAACGTTCTTACATTATTTTATTGCTTTACTTATATTTTATTTAAATGTAAAATTATTACCATTATTATTAATAATACTATTATTATTATTTTTATTATTGTTGTTGTTATTATTACTTTTAAAAATATTTTTTTCAGGGTTGAATTCCTTTTTTTTATCAAATGTGAGAAGAAATTTATCAAATTGAAAAATAAATCAGAATTATTTGAAAACAAATTTTTCTCATCCTTTTGACATTTGATATTTTTGCATAAAAAGAAATGTCCATGTTTTTGAATTTTTATTTTTTAATCGTGAAATTCGTTTTTCCTTTTTTTTCTTTGTTTGTTAATATGTCATATTCAGATGTTTTGAAAAACGATAATGCTTTTTCGTTGTTTCGGTCATTCTTTTGTGTTATTAGCTTTTTGGGAATATTAAATGGGAAATGGAAACATTAAGTTCCTTACTTTTTTGTTTTCTATAATAATTTTTTTATCAAAGTATTTTTATATTTTCATCTTTTAGAATTCCTTTTTAAAAATCCTTTGAATTTTCACTCTACCACTGTGTGTGTGTGTGTGTGTTTATATATAAAATCTTGTATTTAAATTTCAAATACTTTTCAACTCGGTTTATTTTAAATTATACAAGCATCTTCTTCATCATTCTTTACGAGAGCGACAATTTCTCTTTGCAATTTTTATGGGTTTGATTTTATTTTTAGAAGATTGCCAAAAAAAAAAAATGTGCAAACTTATAGAATTGTTTTAGTAAAATTTTTCTTATTGAAAAAAAAATTAAATATTTAAATAAAAAGAAAAGAAAAGAAAAGAAAAGAAAAGAAAATTATAAATAAAATTATAATAAATAAATTATCAAAATTAAATAGTTAGAGAAATGTTTATTTTAAAAATTCCAAAGGTCTACTGATTTAAAAATTTAACTAATTTGATCGAACTGTAAATTTAATTCAAAGACGATTCGGTGGATACTTTTTTATCTACTCGAGGAAAAAAAGAATAAAAGAAAATCTATTTATTTGGTTCATGAATTTTGCATTTACAAGGGATGGGGAGTATAGAGGTGCAAATTTGAGATTACACTTAAGTTCCAAACCATGCACATTGAATCTCACTTAATGCCATGACAGATACGTCACAGCAGATAAGCTGATTTGTAAAATGTGAACAATCTGGGCACGTGAGATCGAAGAGCCAGCCAGTATAATCCAACGATAACATAGGCTTAAACCGGAATTGTGTGTGAGAGAGAGAAAGCACTGTCCGAATTTTTAAACAATATTCAAATAGAATATTAATCGAAAAAAAGAAATCAGTTATCAGATGTATTTTTTTCGACTACTGAGAAATCTATTCACAGTTGAAAGAAAGAATTGTCTGACTAAAAACACTTTTACTACTGATTACATATTTTAATAAATTTAACTGAATAATTAACTTTATTCTGTTAAAAAAAATATTTTACACAAAATTCAATAAGCTGGACATAATATATTCTCTACTATTGCGAGTCAATTTTTCTCTGTGTCTGACTAAATAAGTCTGTTACTACTGATTTCCAATTTCAATTTTCTCGACTAATTAAAACTACATTTTATTACTTGTGGATTAATTTATAATTTAAATTAAAAATTGAACGTCTGACTATATCTAGTTTTGACTCGTCTGACAAATTTTTTTTCCTTCGTCTGACTAAATAAGTATGTTACTACTGATTTCCAATTTCAATTTACTCGACTAATCAAAACTATCTTTTATTACTTGCGCATTAATTTAAAGTGTAAATTAAGAATTAAAAATCTGACTGGATGTGCCTCTCTCATCATTTTTTTTTTTACTTTTGTCTGACTAAATAAGTTTTTTACTACTGATTTCTAATCGGCTCCGCTATTTGCAAATATATATATTTTATTACTTCTGAATTAATTTACAGTTTAATTTTGAAATTACTGGTCTGACTAGATCTTTTTTTTTTACACTTGAATAAAAAAATTGCCAGGACTTTTCATTTTAAAAATCTAGACCACTGTCTAACTAAAAATGTTTTTTACTACTCATTAAATTTTCCAAACAAGGTTTATAGTCTGACTGAATATTCTGTTTACTACTAAATTTTCACTTGACAACAACTCATCATAAACTCTCCTCCATTACTCTGATTCATCAAAATTTAAAAAATTCATATCATTGTCTGACTAAAACTATATTTTACTACTTATTAAATTTTCAAAACGTGGATTAGAAAACAAATGTAAATATAAATATTCAACTAAATATTCCATTTATCACTTAAATTCCACTTGACAACAAATTTGTCTAAAAACTCTTCTCTATTTTAGTGATTCATCAATATTCCTCTACATTATCTAATGCATTGTCTGACAGAAAATTGTCCCTCTACTATTATACTTAAACCGACGATTCATATAAACCAAAATAGTTATTTTCGTAACAAGGGCGCAAAATAGGTGATTGCGACGATGGCGAAATGAAGGGACCGAGGGGACACAATTTCGCGCCCGAGGCGAAGCCGAGGGAGCGAAAGTGTCCCCGAGGTCCCGAAATTTCGCCAAAGTCGTAATCACCTTTGCGCCCATGATGCGAACATAATTTTTTGTCCTAACTGCATGGAAAGTATGACATTGAGGGCACGCACGATTAAACGCTCATATTAGTTAAAAATTAAGCTCTATATAAACATTACATCGAATGAAGTTTATAATGATAGAAGTTTTAAAATAGAAATAAAAAACTATGTATTCTGGAAACATAGTATTTATTTAGAACGTAGTAATTAATAATTGAACAAAACTGAAACAAGAACTTTTAAAATTGACAATTTTGATAAACGAAATGGGAACAAAACCAAATGTCTCATTATTTTTTTTAGAGAAAATAAAAAAAAAATTGCAAATTTTTATAGACAAAATAAAACAAGTTGAAAATGTTTGCAGTTCTATAGTCAACATAAAAAGAAAGTCGAAAATGTCGCATTTTAATGAAGAAAATCGAATAATTAACAAGCGGGCGCAAAATACTTTTCCGCCCGCTCGGAGGTAGGGGAAGCGGGCGGAAAATACTTTACCGCCCGCTGACGTCATACAAGCGGGCGCAAAATACTTTTCCGCCCGCTTCCCCCACTCCCGGGCGTAATGTGTTACTTTGCGCCCGCCTTAAGTGCCCGAAATGACATACTTTCCGTGCAGGTAGGACAAAAATAACTTTTCACTCTTACACACTTGATGACAAAATATCAACTTTTAGCTAAAATTAATCTTGTTAAGAGTTTCTCTTGAAAATGCATGACTAGTAGAGCATACATAAAGCTCATAATGCAAATATGTTGTTTCAACTGTAAGTCGAGTGCTTCCATTAGGTGTAGAAATGTCTGTATAGTTTATACATATCATACACTATATAGGTTTATATATGAAATTCACTATCGTACTTTTCGACAAGTTCAGCAAGTTTGCTGTTCCTCTCGTTTAAGGAAATATTTGTATTATATATATATACCTTTCATTATATTTTCATTTGAATTATTTCGTTATAAAATAATTCAAGCATCAGATGTTAATTAAAACAATATTCAATAAAATAAATCAGAAGTAAAGGACACTCGTAATAATCAGCGATATTTTTATTATGTGGCCAATTAAATTTTGCCATTTCAGTTTTGTAACATTATTTTGATGTAGTAATACATTCCTCCAACCCTGACACGGATTAATTGCATTTCAATCAGTTATATCACTGAGTGTTGTTATAATTACAAACATTATGATTTGAATACACAAATTTTTTACTTATTTTATAATTTTTAATACTTAATTTTATATTTAATTGATTTAATATTTTTAATTTAATATTTCTTACTATTAACTTTTAATAAATTTAATTAATTTTATTTAATGCCTAAATTAAATGAACATAATTAATATTAATTATTATTAATATTAAATACCAATGATAAAAGAAACTTTTAAAATCATATAATTTAATTAATAAGTATCTTCACAGTAAATCGTGAGGTATTAAAAAGTGTTGCAGATTAAATTAACACCGAAAAAGATTAAAATAATCAATTTTGGTGTTATTTTTACAATGAATGAAATTTTAGTTCACTAAATTTTTTTATTACTGTAAAACATGAAAATATCGATAACTCCGAGTCTTCGACTCGGAGTGATCGATTTCTTCATATTTTATAATAATTTAAGATGACCAAGTAATAAAATCATTATTTTATATTATAAGATTATTTTACTTCTTCAAAATTGTTTTCATTATTTCAATTTAATTATTATTTTCAAAAATTTTTAACTACAATTTTACTTTATATCAATTATTTTTAATAATTTTCGAAAAAGTTCTTTGGCAATTTTCAAATTCATTTGTTTATAATATTTAATTTAACGAAATTTCAATTATTCCTAAATTCTTTAATTAAATGCATATTAGAAAATAAAAACTTCAAATAATATAAAAGAAAATTCAATTAAACTTTTTCATGAAAATTAATTTCAAAATTCAATTATTTGTAAAAATTCACGTTATATTGCTTTTAATATTCAATTATAATCTAAAATGTTAACTGAAATTCATTTTTATGAAATGAAAATCAATTTTTATTAGAAAATTCTACAAGAATTTTATTATTTAAATGCAAAAGTAAATAATTTATTGAATAATTCAATGTTTCTCAAAATTCAATTCTCATAAAGAATTTTATTAACAAATTTTTAAATAATTGAATTCTTTTGTCCAATTTTATTAAAAATTGCATAAACATAATTACTTTTTTCAAGGAATTCAATTATAATTGTATGAAAAATAATTGAAACGCTGCGATGAGTTTTATTATTAGTAAAAATAATTGAATCATTAAGAAGAATTTTATTGCTCTTGAAAATAATTGAATTTTTGCAATAATTTGTAACTTCTCTAAAATTAAATTTTTTTTCTAGTGTTTTTAACTAAAATTCTTCAATAAATCGATTATTTTTTAATAATTTTGAAAAAAGTTCTTTGAGAATTATCAAATTCATTCGTTTACAATTCAATTTTACAAAATTTCAATTATTCGGAAATTCTGCAATTAAATAAATTATTCAAAATAAAAACTTGAAATAATTTTAATAAAAGTCCTATTAAACTTTAAAAAAGAATTAATTCTACAGAATTGTTTGTCAAAAATATGAAAAGTTAAGAATTTCAATGATTTTAATTTGAAACTTTTTCAAAATTTAATTATTTCTAAAAATCCACGTTATAATGCTTGTAATACCTAATTATATATTTCTTGTAAGATGGTAATCAAGTGTCATCTAACGGACATTTATTTTACTTATCATATCGATAAGGCAGAAATTAATAATTTCTTTTTATTTTAATTTTGTGCATGGTTTCTGAAAAAAATGAATCGTCTCTCACCGCTGGGGTATGATCCCAGAACCTTCCTATTGCCGGTAGGATGCTCTAACCAATTGAGCTACAGAGAGATTCGATATCATTTATTTCACAAAAAAAAAATTAAAAAAAAAATTTTAGTAATAAAATAAATGTCCGTTAGATGACACTTGATTACCATCTTACAAGAAATATTTAATTATCACGGATGAAACTAAAATTACCATCAAAACACATATCTAATTATAATCTAAAATTTTAACTGAAAGATTTTTTTAAAACCATTATTATTAGTACTTTCTACGAGAATTCAATTATTTAAATTTTAAATACAAAAATAAGTAATTTATTAATTTCATGTTTCTTGAAAATAAATTCTCATAAAAAATGTTATTAACAAATTTTTAAATCATTAAATTCTTTGGACGAATTTTTATAAAATTTATAAGAATATTTTCAATTTTTCGAGGAATTCGATTAAAATTGCATTAAAAATAATTGAAATTCTGCAATGAGTTTTATTATTTCTGAAAATAATTGAATTTTTAAAAGAATTTTATTATTTATAAAAATAATTGAATCCCTGTAAAAATGTTATTATTTATGAAAATATAATTGAATTATTGCGAAGAAATTTATAAAAAAAAAATTGTAAATAATTCAATTCCTTAAAAAAATTTTGTTATTTATGAAAATAATTGAATGTTTGCGTAGAATTTTATTAAAATTTTTTTTAATTATGGAATTCTTTTGGAAAATTTTATTGAAATAGTAGATATTGAAAATCATTGAATTTTAGAAAAAATTTTAAAATAATTAAAATTTTGACAAGAATTTGATTAAAATTACACACTAAAAAAAAAGTTTTACTTTTAGCCCGTTTTCGAGGCTGAATTTACGGTGTAAACGGAGTCAGCCCCATTAAACAAGGACAGACTTATGTGAAATACATGGGCTGAATTTAAGGTGTAAACGGAGTCAGACTTTTTTTTTCCTGTGTATGTAAAATAATTGAATATCAGAGAAGAATTTTATTATTTATAAAGAGAATTGAAATTTTGACGAGAATTTTTAAAAATTTTTGAACACAATTGAATTTAGTAACTATGTTACTAAGTTAGTTAGTAAGTTAGTAACTAAGTTAGTAACTTACTAACTTACTAACTTACTATTCTCCCTGGAGAAGCTTAATTCGTTGAATTTTTACAAATCGTTGACTTTGGTGTTTTATTTAAAGTAAAATTTCATTCATATAGTTAAAAATAACATCAAAATAGATTATTTTAATCCTTTCTGGTGTTAATTTAATCCTACATGGATTAAACTATTGCAGATTATTTTGATCCATTCTAGCGTTATTTAACAACTCACGTTTTACTGTGATAATTATTTTGTAACAAAAATACCTAATTAGACAGAAGATTAAAGAAAGAATCGTAAATAAATGTCCTTTTATAATAACATTGCCATAAATTACTATTTCTTTTTATTTCCCTTAATATTTACAATTGTCGGATATTTTAGAATAAAAAAAAAATTTCTTTGTTTGTTAACTTTCAAGAAATACGAGGTGGAGTTCCTTTTGCAGCAGCAGTGGTACGATCCACGATTGCGTTACAGTAACAGATCACGTTACGAATTTCTGAACGCGATCCACCATCACAACGACATCTGGCTCCCAGACACGTACTTCATCATGCACGGAGACTTCAAGGATCCTCTTATACCGGTCCACTTTGCATTGCGAATCTACCGCAATGGCACTGTCAACTATCTTATGCGGTATTCATATGATGATTTCGTTATATATAAATTACACTTTTTGTTTCTCTCTCCACCACGTGATGTGACTTGTGGAGGAAAAAAATTAAAATTTCCTTATATATAAATTTTATTTGCAAGACTGTAATATTTACTTTTAAGAGGTAAAGAGAAAATTTTAGACAAAAAACTTGAAAACATCTGAGATATTTGAGTGCAGAGAAAAATTTTTATAAGGAGATTTTGAATTTTAAATTTTTCGTCTTACTGTACTGGAATTTTACTACTGATGGGGAAATTAATTTTAAAATGTCTGATTAAACGATTACTTATATTACTTAAGGGGAAAATAATTTTAAAATGTCCGACTAAACGATTGCTTAGACTACTGACAGAAAAAATAATTTTTAAATGTCTGACTAAATATCTGCCTGTACTACTGACAGAAAAAATAATTTTTAAAAGTCTGACTATACAGTTGCTTGTACTACTGAGGGGAATAATAATTTCAACATGTCTGACTAAACGATTGCTAACACTACTGTAAGGGAAAATAATTTTAAAATGTCTGACTAAATAATTACTTGTACTACTGATGGGACAAATATTTTTGAATAATCACAAAAAGTCTGACTAAATATTTCTTCTACTACTGATAAGTAATTATTTTTCAATAATGTTCAACTACTAGAAAATATTGTCTTGTGATTGTCTGACTTAAAAAGTATATTACTACTTAAGATATCAGACCAAAGCTACTGACTCTACGCCTCAATTTTTTCGTCTGACTGAAACCGATTTTACTACTGATTTCATATACATGTAGATCTCAGTCTGACTAAAAACAGTGTTGAACTACTGATTCTAGATTTAAATTGATTAGAAACATTTTTGAATTTCTATAAATTTTTAAATATAAAAATTACAAACTATTGTGTCTGACTATGAACGGCTTTTACTACTCACTGAAATGAGAGTTATAATTATAAAATGTTTTCTTAAAATATAAAAACCAAAAATAGTTGTTTCTCACCATAAGCAGTCTCTAACCAAAATTTAAAAAAATAGATTTAAAAACAGTAACCAGAATTACAATTATAATTAAATTAAATAAAATTAAAATAAAATTTAAAAGAAATTGAAAGTAAACAAAATTAAAATTAAAAAAAAATTAAAAATAAACAAAATTAAAATTAAAATTGAAAAAAGTTAAAAGTAAATAAATTTGAAAACATGTAAATTGAAATTAAAAGAAATGGAACTTTGAAAATAATAATAATAATTTAATGACTAAAAATTTAGGAAGCAAAGGAATATTTATTTTGATACATTTTATAAGTATAGATAATTGAAATATTGCTTTAAGCGAATAATATTTGAGACGGCAGAAAATGAGAAAAATGGATAAAAAATATAAAGAACAAGAGACAAGAATCTTTATTATACGTTTGCCAGTAGATAGAATCCGTTTTGGTCAGCCAACAACTGGAAATAGCACGTTAACAGTTAACTTGAGCGAGTTAAATCAATATCCGCCACTAGCTTCACAAAACCACATTGGTTTTACATAACAAATATTTCACTTTATGCTTCTATGAATCGAAATCACAATAGTCAATTGTCAAATTTCAACACAATAAACACTATTTGTAAATGTTTATATCTTCATTTTAACCGTATTTCCAAAAAAATTTATGATTTTTTATCTTTTTCGATTTGGAAATAAAAAAATAAATATTGGTAGATAAGGAAAACTATTTTATTAGGAAAAATGTTTTTTCTATGTTTGAAAAATATTTCACCGTAATGATAAATTATGTTTCAGGCGTCATCTAATCCTCTCCTGTCAGGGTAGACTTAACATTTTCCCATTCGATGACCCATTGTGTTCATTCGCTATCGAGAGCAGTAAGTATTTTCGTCTCAACAAAATATTTCTCACCTTTTTTTTCATTAAATTTTTTTCTCTTATTTTACTTTTATGTACTATTTATGTACTATTTTATGTACTTTTATGTACTAATAATTTAAAGAAGATTTTTACTAAAAATTACTTGTAAAAATGAATTTATTTTATAAACTCCAACAACAATTAATAATACCGTCAAATGGGGCAATGAGTAACAGTGGGGTAATAAGTGACATGACTTTAAATTTTAATTCAGAATTCATTTTATTATTCTCCTACTATTTTTTCCTTGAAATTTGTTTAAAGAATTTAAAAAAAAAATTGAAATCCTTCTAAAGAAATATTTTAATTTTTACTATAAATGATTCTTTTTTATATGGAAAATAATTTTTTAAAAAATTCCTTACGAGAGAAAAGAGAGAAAGAGTGAGTGAGTCGGGCTGAGAAATATTTTAGAGAGAAATTGATGTATCTACATGTAGAATGGAGTATTCTTTGCCTATGTACCAGTTAAAACGTTACCTCAGTACTTTGTAAGAATATTTAAAAAGACTTTTGTTCTTTCTTGCCTTGCTTAATTCTTCTCTCTTCTCGTTTTCTTTTTTTTTGACCCTTTAAGAAGTTCGAGAAATTTTTCAACAAAATACTTGAGAATCCAGGGAAAACTCTATTCATTAAAAAATCAGATGAAATGTTTTACAAAGAATGTTCCTTTGAGATGTACATACACAGAGCTATATGTATATATTTTATATTAAAGATCCTCTCTCCGCTATATAGTGGAAAAAAAGTATAATAAGTTTTTTAGAAAAATGAAAATTTACTAGTGGTTCTAAATTAAAAAATATTTCGTCTGACATAAATTTTACTTTGCTATTAATATTCTATTTTAGTAGAAATAATATTTATACCTACTAGTAATATGTTTTACTACTTGTATTTTATTTTCCTACTAGTCATTGTTTTTAGTTTTAGTGTCACTATTAATGTTCTATTTGACTACTAGTATTTTTTACTACTACAATTCTAATTCACTACTATTATTAATTTTTTTACTTGTTTTACTACTGACTTTCTATTAAACTACTATTTTTTTCTACTACTATTCTATTTTACTACTTGTTTTCCTACTAATATTATTATATTAGTACCTTTCTGTTTTACTACTAGTATCTTTGTGCTTCCTACTAATGTTTTATTAGACTACCAACATTAGTTTATCTATTAATATTTTATCTATTAATATTTTATCTTAAAACTAATACAATTTTACAACATTCAATTTATTAATAATATTTAAGATTATAATAAATGTGTCAGATTCTAATATAATTTTTTAAAGATAAAAAGTTTCCAATAAATAAAATAATCTGAGTAAAAATATTTTCTATTATTGATAAACTATTTGCCTGCACTTGAGAATTGTCTGACATAAAAGTTGCCTTTACTACTGTAAAGAATAAATGGTTCTCAATTTGTTTGGATCTTTTTACTATTGAATAATATTAGTAATAATAGTAATCATCCTTGTCTGGCCGTAACTTCCTCTTACTACTGACAATGTTTTTTAAATAGATATTTTTTTAGTAAATTAAAAACAATTTTTCGTTCTAAAATAAAAATGGAAATAATAAAAAAAGTACGTTAAAAATAAAAAAGTACGTTAAAAAAATAAAAAGAGAATAAATGAAAATATCTGAAAAAATCAGAAAAATAGTAATAAATATTTTAAATTCTAATAAAAGAATTTATTTTCAGTATCCTATGAGCAAACGGCGATCACATACGTTTGGAAAAATGACGAGGGCACGTTACGAAAAAGTCCCAGTCTAACGACATTGAACGCATACCTTATTCAAAATCAGACAATCACATGTCCCATCAAAGCCAGTTGGAGAGGTAAGCCGTAAATTTAATCTTTGAAAAAAAAATAAAAGAAAAACAAATTAAAATTAAAATTTTTCTCTTTCTCTACTATTACCAAATACACTCACTTGCACTATTTGCGCAATTGACTTGAAATTTTTTGCTTTAATTCTAATTACTTTTGCAAGAATATATAAATATTGACACTTTTTTTTCAAAGCAAGTGATATATAGAATTATTTATTTAAAAACTAGTTTACAAGTTTTTAGTTTCAAAAACGACTATACGTGAGATTTTATAATTTAATTCGAATTTGTTTTTGATTAATATTTATTTTCTCTTCTCTTCTTTCACTTCTTTTCTTTCTCTTTTTTATTTTTTTTTAATTTTTAAATTTTTTAATTATCATATTTTTTTATTTCCTCAATTATTTATTTCGGGAAGGAAAGGAAAAAAAATGTATTTTTTATATTTATTTCTAGTCTCGATACGTATACAGTTTGCACAAAGAAAGTTTGATAACCCTTATATTCTCATGATACATTTGTATTGATCTGATAGAATTATTTATGAATTGTCTCGACTATTTCCAATTATATGAACTGGTATTGAATCAGTTCTTATTGACTTTGATTATTAAATTCGATAGTTTCAGGAATATGGGACTAATTTACATTCATGATTAGGTACTAAGTCTTAATTTCGATTTTACTATTTTTAATTTCCCATTTTTGAGAATTAATTACAAATTTAATTGAGATAATTATAAATATTATTTCTATTTAATTTTTAAAGAAATTGTTTTTTTACTGTAATAATTTTTCGTGTACGTGAAATAAGAAATTATTTTTTTATTACTCAGTTTTGAACGCGGACAGAAAAATTATTTTTTCAGACTCTAAAATTTTTATTGAACGAAAAAAATTAAAATTATTTATTCTAAATTTAAAAAAATTCATTATTTTTACGTACTTTTTTTTGTACGCGAAAAGAAAAATAATTTTTTTCGGAATGCAAAAATAAGAATTATTTTTCCTGACTAAATTTTATTTTAACTTCGTGAAAAAAATTACATTTTCCGTCTCAAATACTTTTTTCAAAGAAAAATTAAATTTTTAAATAATATAACTCTGATTGATAAGTTTTTTTGTACGTGATAGTAAAAATATTTTTTTTTGCTCTAACACTTTTTTTTAAAATAAAATTTAAAAGTACTTCTTCTGACTCTAATTACTTTTTTTTATAAGCGAAAATAAAGTGGAAAAGAGATTTAAATGAAAATATAATTATCCATGGAATGTGTTAAATGTTCGAGTTAATGAATTTCGGTAAAATATTTTTTATCAAGGTAAGTTTTTCATTAAAAAGTAAAAAAAAAAATTTCTGGTGGGGAAAAACGGCTGTTATTGTTTCTTTTTTTCTATATATACCCTATAGTCCATGACCCTCTTTTGTTTAGTGCGTGGCTTTTGCGCTCACTGGTGAAGCGAATAATCTTTTTATCCCAGTAATTCCTTACCCAACATTTAATGCACCCCTTATATTCACAAGATTACAAGTAAAACTGGAACTTAATTTTCCAAGTTGTGCCTCAGGAGAAAGCAACTTTTCATTTTTCATTCAACATTCGTGAAAGATGCAACCTACATTTTCTTATGTGTACAACTCCCACGAGGGATAATTGAGATTTGTACACAAAAAACAACAAAAAAATGTAATTAGAATTTTTTCTTTATTTATTTTTAACAAAAATTTCTACATTAATTTCATTATAAAATTTATAATAAAAACTTGGAATTTTGATTTCCAGTTTTTTTGGGTAATGTAAGTATAATTCTTAAATAATTGTCTTTTGGAAAAATTTGTTAAGTGTCAAAAAAATATTTTGCTTTTATTTTCATAAAATTTTTCCAATAAAATTTACTTGTTAAAAATTATTAATAAGTTTTTCATTGTTATTTATCGTATTTACTATTTACTTTCATTACCTAGTGATACATATTGCATGGAAACAACACGCACACGAACTAACAATTTTTTCAACACGGTCGAGGAGCAATCTAGTCTATTATTAGCGTTTTATTAGAAAATAAAAAGATTTATTAAAAAAAAAATTGTTTTCAAATATAAAAATTCGATTAAAAGATATTAATAACTCTAGTTTGTAAATTTTAATTATAAAAATTAATTAACTGCTTTTTTCTCACTTTTAATATTTTTTAAAAATATTTCTAACTTACAGAAAATCTATTTATAAATTTATACTATACATTATTTTTCTACTTATAAATTATAATATTTACAAGAAAAATTTATGAGGAAAATTTTTATACAAAAATTTATAATTAAATTTTCCAGGAATAGAAAAATTGTTAGTAAAAAAAATGTTAACTAAAATTTACAAGGTTTGAAACTATAATTAAAATTGAAGAAGAAAATCAGAAAATACTATAAAATCAGTGAGAATAGGATTAATAATAAAAATAATAACTTTTTCTTTTTTTTTTTTGATGAAAAAAATTTTCAAATTGGCAAATAATTGAAAATTGATTGTCGAACGACGACTGGATTGAAAAATTGTTAGCATGAAAAAAAATAGAAAGAAACACACGAATGTGCAAGAAAGCATTTAAATGTCGCATTACATTATTATTGGCAAGAGAAAAAGTGCATGTCAAGGCAAGGTCTTTTTTATGAACGTAGAATGGTTTGCAATATTAGTTCCTTAGACATTGGCAACCTTGGTCCCTGTCTCGCTTCTGAAATTTGTCCGCTGTGGTTCGCTTCAAGGTCGAATCATCGAGGGTTCAATTTCAGATGTCAATTTTTTAAAATCAATTCACAAAATTACGTTTAGGTAAAACAAATAAAAATTTTCCAATTTTATTAGAAAAAAATTTCTTTTTCATAAAAAAGACTAACAATTTAAAATTTAAATTATGAATTAATCACAAAACATTTTAACAATAAACTTAAAAAATAACAGAAAAAAATTAAGATTCAAAATCAATTTTCAATACTAATGAAAAGATTTTTATTTCATAATAATAGTTAATAAAAAAAGGATAAAAAATAAATGATAATTAAAAAAAGTTAGTAATTATAAATAAAATACTTATAAATAATCTTAATATTATTCTAATAAAAAATTATTATTATTAAAAATAATACTATTAATAAATAGTAGTAAAAAATATTTATGCTCAGTAATAAAATTGTTAATAAAGTTACTAATAATAAAATTAACCATCACGAGGTCTTAATTATAAGTCCTTAAAAATTTTTTAGATAGAAAAAATGGGGAATTTGAAGAATCAATGAATTGCAAATGTGCAATTTGTACGGTTAATGGATTAAAATTTGAATAACGATGCAATTATTCAAACAAGTCAATGGCAAACAAAAATGTTTACATCTCGTTAGCGATTGTAACTGATCTTTGCAGTTGAAACGTGCCGTCAGTTTCTGTTATATAATGCAAACTTATTATTATTATAGCATTTTCATTAGTCATTATAAAATAAGCACTAATAATCGAAAATTTTATATTTTTACTAAAATTATCCATTTAATAAATGCAATTATTAATTATTAATAATAGGGAATAATTAATAAAATGAAAAAAAAATTATTCATTAATAATAATTAATATATTAAAGTTATTTGGAGAAAATGTGCTGCAAAGCAAAATTTTTATTAAAAAAATACTATAAACCGCAAACAAAAAATTATGTGAAATTTAATAAAGTTATATTAACATTTAATTAATATTCTTGATATTTGATATAATTATACTAAATTTCACATAACTTTTTTTAAAACTTAACTATTTTTTATATCAAAATTTCGCTTCATCGCATTTTTCCCCAAATTGTAAAATACTTTTAGAAAAATTAATATAATAATATTCTCTTTCCGTATAGTAATTTTTTTGAGAGGAAATCAATGGTCAGAAAATATTTTTGACACTCTTTGGATTTTTAGTTTTCTTAAAAATTGATAGATTTTAAAATCCATTTGTAATTTTGTAGAAAATATGTTTTTTTATCTATAAAAAAATTACCGAATGAAAAAATTAATTTTTACAATTTTTGAAGCATTGAAAAAAAAATTGTTTCAAAAATTGTAATAATCAATTTTTTATTCAGCAATTTTTGCGTAAATAAAACAGCATTTTCTACAAAATTATTTTTGTTGCGTCTTGCAACTCAAAACGAAGTAGTCTATGCCATTTATTTTGAGACCAGGTTTTTCAGTTTAAACATAACACTAAAGGAGAAACAAAATTTTTTTATAATACTTTATGCGCTTCATTAATTTTTATATTGTGTATATAAAATTATAAATATAACAATATTGCATACCTGATAAAGGAAGTTTATGATTTATTCATAATGTTTAAAGTAGAATATAGGTAGGGGAGAGTCTCCAGTTGTGAGACACCTCTAGTTGTGAGACAGTCAATTTTTTTTAACATGCAATATTAAAAAGCCGATTGGTTTATATAAAAACATTTCTTTTTATATGAGCCAACTTTTTCGTGTACGCCGAAGCGGATATATAAACTGTTTTTGTTAAATACCAACACTGTGTGTGATAATCGACTAAAAAGCGTTTTTTCAATAAATGCAAAGTACTTTTTTTACAAGTTAATTAATTGGAAAAGGTAAATGTAATGCATTTTCTTTTAGTGTTTTCCTTATATTTTGTGATGCAATATTGCATTGTTCCAATCTACGGTTGAAAATAATTTAATTTTCCTTTTTCAAAATAGCGCCAATTTCTGGGTGTGAGACACAGCATATCACCAGTTGTGAGACGGTGTCAACACCCATCTGGGCAGCATAAAAAATACGACTTTGCAGGCATACTATTTAAATGTTGTTTTGATTCTTTTTTCTAGTATTTTTGGGCATGTCAAGTGGAAAAAAGTCAATTGATTCAGAAGAAATCAATTTTAATGCTCTTGTTGAAGCTATTAAATTGTGTTTATTTGATAGTCATATTTTGGCGAATAAATATTATTATTTAGTATATAATAATATATATTATTAATATATTTAATTATTTCTACTAAACATAACGTTTTATGTCAAACTTATTAAATTTTAGCAATTTTCAATGAGTGTCTCACAACTGGAGACATTTTTTTTTTTTGAAAAAAGCGATGTGCTCGGAAAATGTATCGTAAAATTTTTTAAGTTCATCGAAACACTATACTTTCTTTTAATAAAAGTTGCGTATTTCTGTTACCTTTCGAACGGTGTATTTTATTAACAATTTCGTTTACCCGTTTACAATTTACGGGTCAAAAATGAAACCCGTCTCACAACTGGAGACTCTCCCCTATACATACCGCACGCTTTTAGATTTAAAAATAAAAAAACAAAGAATTTTTTTTCAAGACAATAAAAATATAGTATAAAAATTAGCAACTACGATTGTATGCAATTATTTATAATCTCAGTGCTTCCTGAGAAAGGATTTAAAAAAACAATTATTATACATTTTTCTGATTAAAAATCACTTGTTTTGTCAAAAAAAAAAAAAAAAAAAAATTGAATAGTCCAAGAAATTTTTATTTTTATAATATCAATTTCTGTTGTATAATATGTTTTGCACGTGTGAATATCATTCTATGAAATGCACGGCTTTTGACGAAAAATGAATTTAGAGAATTTGAATTTTTTTTCTATTTTTATTCTAAATATGAAAATAATATTAGATAAGCAAATTATATTAATGTGAATTTAATACTATAGTTAAAAATGCTTTTCGCATGTTTGATTCATTTTTCTAATTTTCAAGAAGCAACCACGGCGGAGTGTTTGCGTGCTTAGATTAAAATCGGCGATCGGTAATCATCCAAGGAAGGAATTATAAAAAATTGTTAAAGTTTTTATTAAAAAAAGTCAAAGGGAACATTAGAAAAGTATAGATAAAATAAAAATACAATATAATTAATGCAATTATATAGAATATTATAACATAATAATGAAACTAAATTATAAAAATTAGTATTTTAAATTTTTTTAAATTTTTTAAATATTAAAAATTAATAATTAATTAAATAAGTTAAAACCAATATTTTATATAATATTTAATTGTTGTAACTAGTAAAAATTGTTCTTAAAAAATTGTTCATTTTAAGCCAACAGAATTTGTTAGAAAATAAAATAAAAAAATGTGAAAATGTATAAAAATAGATAAAAAGAGAATGTAATAAAAATCTATTTTAGAAGCAAATGTTTTTATAATGAAACACACAGTATTACTCTATAGTCTTTACACAATTATACTACAAACAATTATTTTTCTATCCACACTCTCCTGCTCCTTTAAAATTTAACTTGATTTTCTTCTTCTTTTTTTTGCACAATCTTCAATGGAAATATGTTAATTATAAAATATCCGTAAACTCGAGGATATTTTATTATTAGAAAATATAATCCACTGGGGAAGAAAAAATTTTGCGTTCAACTATTTAAAAAATTTTCTCTCTTCCTTTAATCACAGAATTTTTTATTCACCAATTTTTTTTTCTTTAATTTTAATTCATAATGTTCATTTGCTTTTTTTTAAATTTCAGTCTCTTCTGAGGAGGATCCTTTTTCAATATATTACGGTAATAAAAAAATAGGTTTTTTGAAATTAAGTGAAAAATTAATTTTTTTCACTGAATAACAAAAAAAAAAAAATAATAAAGTGTTTCTTTATTTTCGGGAAATAAATTGTTCTCGATTTTTTTTTTATATTTATATTTTATTTGCTTGATTCTATCCATTCTCCTTTTGATCCAATTCATATTAGAGTAGAAGAAAAAAAACTGTAGTTAATGCATTGACTGTAGAACTATAGAAATTAAGAAAAAGTGTAAAAAAAAGTAATTATTACCGATCGCTGACATGATTTTTGAACAATAACAATAATAACAAAACAAGATTGATGAGTGAGAATAAAAAAAAAACAAAATACAGTGAAAATCGAAAGATGTGAGAAACAAAGAGATGAAAATAGATAAATTAAAAATAGTCTGCACATAAAAAGTAGTTTTTTTCTTCTATTATTATTATTATTAGTACTAGTAATAAAACCAGAAGCGAATTTTATCTATTTTAGTTGAATTATTATTATTATTATTATTATTAAAAAAAGGGAATTTTAGAGGAAAATAATTCACAAAACCTCTAAAATTTAGTGTGTAAGGTGGAATTATAAATATGTGTATAGGGGTAAAAATATAAGTTCATGAGAAAATAAAACAAAAAAGGAAAAAAAAATGATAGCAAAACAAAAAAAAAACAAAAAAAAGCGGAAGCCGGAAGCAGATCGAAGCTGTTCTGTTGCAGACAGACAGCTGTTGGCTGATTACGAGGACGAGATCGATGATTTTGGGGACACTAGGTGCTCACTGTGCCAGAGGAGATTTGAAGAACAAGGTAAACGCATCAAGGCACCCCCCTTCCCCCTACAAGTGATTAAAAAGTTTGATCGAGAACCAACCAAGGACCCCAAAGAGAGACAGGACCAAGTTAACCAAATCGTGAGATCAGCCACGATCCCATTTCTTTTTTAGTTGACTTTTATTAAATTATATTTTATGCGAAATTTTGTTACAAATTCTTTCTTTAACAATTTTCTATTTTTTTTTTTTTTTGTATGCTTTCAAATTTGGGAAACATTGTTTTAATATAGTTTTAGAATTCAAAATTACCATCTGGTTGTTTTGCTATTTTTTTTTTTTTTTTGAAAAGTTTAGAAGATGTATAACTCTTTAAGTGAAGAATTATTTACAATTCATTGGTGTTTTAAAAATCGTGTAACGAAAAATTTAACTTTTGAAGTAATTGTGAAGATAAAAATGCAATTGTCTGACTAAACGTACACTTTACTACTGATTTTCACTAATTCGACATGCCTGACATATAAAGTGATTTACTACTGATAATATTCTACTAATGACAAAAACTCCTGACTATAAACCCCTTTTACTACTGATTTAGATAAAAGATCAATTTGTCTGACCTAAAACATACTTTACTACTGGTTTGAAACTTGACACCATTTGCCTGACTCATATTCTATTTTACCACTAAGAATATTTGATAAATAACCAAAAAAGTCTGACTGAGTATGCCTTATACTACTGATTTTTACATAAAACTATATTTTACTATTAGTTTTCTTTCAAAATCGAAAATTTCTGACTATATTAACTTTTCACTATTAATTTTCGTACAAAATCGTGAATTATTTACCTTTTACTACTAATTTTCTTTCTAAATCGATAATATCTGACTATATTTACTTTTTACTACTAATTTTAGTACAAAATCGTAAATGTCTGACTATATTTATTATTTACTACTAATTTTCTTTCTAAATGTAAAATTTCTGACTATATTTTCTTTTTTACTCCTAATTATTGTTCCAAAACGAAAATGGCTGACCATATTTTCTTTTTACTACTAATTTTCGTACAAAATCGTAAATGTCTGACTATATTTACCATTTACTACTAATTTTCTTTCCAAATCTAAATTTTCTGACTATATTTACCTTTTACTACTAATTTTCTTTCTAAAAAGAAAATTTCTGACTATATTTCCTTTTTTACTCCTAATTATTGTTCCAAAACGAAAATGGCTGACCATATTTTCTTTTTACTACTAATTATTGTTCTAAAACGCAAATGTCTGACTATATTTACCTTTTACTACTAGTTTTCTTTCTAAATTGAAAATATATGACTATATTTACTTTTTACTACTAATTTTCGTACAATAACTCGCTAAATTTAGTTTTTATTATTAATTTTCTTACTACTTAATTAATTTCAAATTCTAGTTGAGAAACATCAAATGTTGAAGAGATTATATATTGTTCTGAAAATTTTAAAAATATAATGTATTATAAAATAATTTCAAATAACACAAAATTATTTAAAGTTGTCTGATTAAAACATTCTATTACTACAGATTTCTCGTCTTAAATCAATTCGTGTGATCAAAACTGACGTTAACTACTGATATAAAAATTTCTCTTTCAAAAAAAAAAATAAAAAATTATAAAAACATATTAAAAACATATTTTTTTAATTAATTATCTCCATACTCAATGAATTAAAATATTCTTCAAGAGTTATACATTTGATAATATACCGATCAAATGTTTTCCTTATTTGAACCATCAAATTAAAAAAGCTTGCTTTAATCTGCTTGGGAATTGAAAATCATAACCTGGTCATTATTTTAAAAAAAAATCTCCAACCATAATTTAATTTTTGGCTGAAATTATATTAATTTCCATTATTTATGAACATGGCAAAAACTCATCTCTTTTGGCACAATATATTTTTATTTCTTAACCCATTAGGAGGAGAAAATACTAAAATAGATATTTTCATCATCTTCTTAGAAAATTTATTTAGCAAACTAGATAAAATATATATATTTAACATTGTCATTTCAGTCTTTATGTAAATGATAAAATTACCTTGTTTTTTATTACAAGGTAAAGAAAAAAATCTTTTACATCGAGTATATTTTATAATATCCTTTTAGATATCTAGTTTCAGAGAAGCTTGCTGTTCTCAGTGTGTTATACAGTAAAAGATGAAATTTGCATTTTTAAAATAACTGTAATGTACGTGAACTTTTACTCAATACATACATATATGTATAATCAAGCGCTCTTCCCTCGTAACAATATTTTTAATGTGTTTGAAAAGTACACATCATAAACGAAGCATGAATGCACTTTATTAATGTCGTAGAATATTTCCCGTCCAACTCGTATATATATTTTTTTGTTTGTTTGTGTGTGTTTCTTTGTCAAGTCTTATAGTTAAACAGTGTTCGTTAATAATAAATACTTTTAAGGAAGGGAAACAAATTTTTCTTTCTTGGAAAGAAGGAAGAGAAAAAAATTTTTATTTTTATATTGAAAATGAAATTAATTTTTAAAAATTTCATTTTCGGAAATTAAAAATTTAAAAATAATAGGGGTATGATGATAAATTAGGTTTATTATATAATTTCGATAATTACTTCGTGAAATTTTTTTTTAATTTTGTTGACTCCACGGCACGAAAAGAAATTACTTTTAGACTCATCTTGTTATAAATATGTCAAAATTGAAATTATGGTCTGACTGAACATGTCAGTTACTATAAAGTTTTAAAATTTTAATGTCTGACTAAATATGTGTTTTACTACTGATTTAAATTAAAATCGTTTTTGTGTAATTAAACATAGAACTTTTATTACTGATTCTAAATTAAATTCGATGTCTGACTGCAACTGTATTTTACTACTTGAACACAATTTTTCGAAAATCGACTCTGCCAGACTGAATATGAGTTTTACTATTGATTTAAAATTAAAACCATCTCCGTTTAGTTGAATATTTTTCTCTAGAAAATATTCTCACACTTTTCCTATTAATTCCAAATAAATGTCGATGTCTAGCTATGACTGTTTTTACTACTTTCATATTTTACCGAAAATCGTCTGTCTGACTATAATTAGTTTTTGCTACTTACAAAGTATCTTAAAAAAAATTATGTCTGACGAAAAATATTTTTTACTACTTATTGTACATTGAAATATCTCTGTCTGACTATAATTAAATTTGTCTACTTAAATAATTTTTTACAGAACATTGCGACTGATTAAATACATTTTTTATTACTGATTTTAATTGAAATTGTTCTGCCTGACTATAATAATTTTTTTCCACTTACATAATATTATACAGAAAATCAAATGTCTGACTAAAGATATGTTTTACTACTAAAAATAATAATACTAACCTGAAAAAATAATATATATATTTACAAACGAAAATTATTTTGCCTGACTACAGCTATTACTTACTACTTAAATAATTTTTACACGAATAACGTCTCTGTCGGACTAAATACATTTTATACTACTGATTTCTAATTTAAATCGCTTTTCCTAACTTTAGTATTTATGTTCTGTTAATTAAATAATATTTCGCAAACGAAACGACATTGTCGGACTAAATACATTTCTTACTACAGATTTATAAATTAAAAATGTTCTGCTCGTTTACAATTTTATTTTCTATTAATTGAATAATTTAACAAAGGAATAAAGTCTCGGTCAGACTAAATATATATTGTACTACTGAATTTATTTCAAATCGTTATGTCTGACTATTATTACATTTTACCACTTGAATAATATTTTACCGAAGATTGTTGCTGTTTGACAAAATATATTTTCTACTACTGAATTAATTAAAAATATTTCTGCCAGACTATAACTGTTTTGTGCTACTTAAATAATATTTATAAAATGACAGTTCCGTCTAACTACATATTCTTAACTACTAAATTCGTAATTGGAATCGTTTTTCTGATTATAACCATTTTTTACTACCTAAATAATTTTTATTTAAATAATTTTTTTTATGACAAAACAGCTTTGCCAGACTAAACATATGTTTTACTACTAATTTTAAAGTAAAATAGTTCTGTCCGACTAAACGTATACTTTACTACTTATTTCCCACCCAAAACTAATTTGTCTGACTAAAACCAAAATTACTACTAACTTGGAATTCTTCACAGAATTCTAAATGTCTGACTAAATATATTTATTTCTACTGATTTCTAATTTAGACCGATTAGTCTAATCTAATCTTTGTCCCACTACTGAAAAAATAAGTTTTGTAGAACATACCAAATGCCTGACCCAATTAATCACTTTACTACTAAATTTTGAAGAAAATAAGAAATGTTCTACTAATTATATATTGCAGTTTATTTTTAATTAAAATCGATTTGTCTGATTGGAACTATTCGTCATTACTGATAAAATATTTCAATCTTTGCAAGAATTATGAAATTATTTGCAAATAAAACTTTCAATGCTTTGCCTTATAATAATTGGTGTAAAAAATTCTCATAGCTTTTTTTAGCTAATAAAAGCTTTTTTTCGAGTCCTGTAAAGAAAAATACAATAGTTTTTATATTTTTCTCGATTTTTTGTTCCTTTGTTTCTATAATATTTGTGTGTCAATAAAGAAAAAGTTTCGAGGCTTGAAAATAAAGAAGAATGTTCCTGTTCTATATATAGAGTACTGATATTTTGTGAGGTACATTCGTTTTTCCAGTATTTTCAAAAGTAAACTCGAGTCCAGATATAATATCATATTAGGTATATACGAGAAAACTCGTAATTTTTTTTTTATCTACAAAAGGAGTTTTCTTTTTTTTTCTCCCTCTCTTTTAATATACATCGGTCTAGAAAAGAAGTTCTAATCTGGGTCAATGTACCGTTTTATAGTTCTCTCAAACTAGAATCTATAAAGTGAAAAAAAAGGAAACATTTATTCGCGAAACACTGGAAAAAATGAAATTCTTATTTTTTTAATGAGAATTTAAAAATATATTTTTCTTCCTGAAATTTTAATTATGTTTTTTTTTAGTTAACAAATAAATTACATTTGATTTAAATAAATAATTTTTTTTTGGAATTTAGAAATATTATTAAATTGTATTTAAAAAAATTTTATAGAAATTGAAAAATTTAAAATAAAATGGAAAATAAAATGAAAAATAGAATTAAAAATAAAATTAAAAATATATTCAAAAAATTAATTTAATACATCAAATTAATAAAAAAAATTTCTATAAATAAAAGTATTTAAAAAATTTTCTTTTAAATTTTCTTTTTAATACTTAATATTTGTAATAAATGAAAATATTTGTAAATAAAAATAATTTAATGAATTAAAAATAAATTTCAATTTAAAAGGTATGTGTATATTAATAATTTTCAACGTTTTTCATGTCTGTGGCTTATTTTCCGATTGCTTTTGCATTATATTAAATAGCTTTTGCTTGGATACATAAATTAATTATTTAACTCAATTTTGGTAAATTCGTATCTCAATTTCTCTTTATACATAGAATTATTATTATTATAGTAATTTGTATGAAAATTCGCTTAGTACCTAATGATTAATGTAGTTTCCATTGCTCAAACCAATCAGTGATATAATCTGTGTTTGGTCAGACAGGTAAGGATAGAAAATTTTAAATATCTAAATTCCATTTATAAACGATAATTAGTGACATTAAATTCGTATTAAAAAAAATATAATTTTAGAAAATAAAATTTATAAAAGAATAAAATTTTAAAAATGAAATTGAAAAAGGATTGAAAAAAAATTGAAAAAAATAATATGCAGATAATAATAAAATTTAGAAAAAATTGAATATGAAAAAAGTGTTTCTTAAATATAATTTAAAAACTAGAATTTCTTCAATAAAATTTTGTTTACTATTAAATTAAATTTAAAACAAATTACAAGCTAATTAAAACTTTTGAGAAAAATACGGCAAAAAATGAAAAGAAAAATAGGAAAATTATTAAATATTTAAAGTAACTAAAACTTTGGAAGGATAATGAAAAAATTAAACTTTTAAATATATGAACATCAATCCTTTATCCTTTTTTAGTAAAAAAAAAATTTAAATACTCTGATTAGGATATGTCAAATTTAGACCAAAAAATAGAAAATAATGGCCCTATTTGATTCAGAAATTTTTTTATCAAAATATATTTTTTTTTAATTTACAAGAATAATATTCAACTCTTCATTCGTGCGTTTAATATGATTAATTTAAAAGCTTCTCAAAAGAAAATTTAATATATGTCGAATTTTGGTTTTGGAGCAGGCTGGTTTTCTTTTTTCGTTTTTAATTTTGTTAAATACCACACATCGTTATTTGCCCCGGGGGAAATTAAATATAGCGCCTTGACCCGAAATTTTCGTGTATGAACTAGGGCGATTTAATAAAGATGCACATAAAAACACGTTTCCCGGTGAAAACTTTTCTAGGATTTTCTTTTTCTTTTTTCACTTAACTTTATTATCCTAAATTTATAACTTCTAAAATTTCTAAATTTTTTTTTAATTAATATTAATGTCATTCTTTAGTTTACAAAAAAGAAGTCAAAATCCTTCTACAGTGAACTTATAATTTGAAATTATATTTTCTAAAAACCCATTTATTAATTTATAATTATTTTCATTTTCTTTTTCATCAAATAAATCAGTTTTATTTCGATAACACAGATTTTCTTTTTGAAAAAGTTTAATATTATTTTTATTTCAAGTACATTTTGGTAGATATTGTAAAAAGATATTTTTTACTATCTTAATATAGTAATAGTAGCAAAATGTAAAATTAGTGATAATTAAACAGTGCTTGAGAAAAATGTGCAGTAATTTTCAACTTTAATAAACAATAAATATAAAAATCAATAATAATAATTATTATTTTATTAATTATTTTATTAATAATAATAATTTTAATAATGAATAATAATGTAAATTCTAAGAATAGAATTTTGGTGTCAAAGAAAAATGACCTTTAGATTTAAATCAGACAATGGAGAAAATGATGTTGAGGTGAGATGAATTTCTGGGACATTTTTCTTTGAGACAAAGCCTATTTGATTCCAGTGATTTCAATGCAGATAGAGGAGTAAATTTAAATTTTGCATCTCAGGTAACTATAGCTGCCTGAAGGTGGATCTGATGTTCACAAGAGATAGAGCCTTCTATTTCACGACCGTCTTCATCCCTGGGATTATCCTAGTGACGAGCTCCTTTATCACGTTCTGGCTTGAGTGGAACGCCGTCCCAGCTCGAGTCATGATCGGTAATTAATTCAGAAACGTTTATATTTACTCTTTAGGTTTATTTAAATAAAATGTATTTTTCTAATTGTCTGACTTGATATACATTTTACTACTCAATTGGAAGTTAAATTAACTTGTCTGACTTAATGCATACTTTACTACTTAATTAAAACTAAAATACGTTGTCCGACTTAATACCTCCTTTACTACTTAAGCAAAATTTAAATCAACTTGTCCGACTTATATTGTATTTTACTACTAACACTATTTTACGAATAATGAAAGACGTCTGACTGAATATGTCTTTTACTACTGATTTAACCCGTTGCCTGTTTGCGACCCAACGTTGGGTCGTGAAAGTTTTAGCAAAAAATATAAATTTGTTATTTAAATTATAAAATAAATTCTTTTATATCATTATTCACATACTATAGGTATCAATGATACTAGAAAAAGTAATAAATAAATAATTGTTTATTATTTTTAAGTAATATAACAATTTAAAAGATTTTAATGGACATTTTGGGGCATTAAAATGAATATTTTTCCAAACAGTGAAGGGGTTAAATATTCGGTCAACTTCTTTAAACTGTAAAAAGACTGTATTTGAGATTGAACATTGACAATATTTGACTAATAATAAAATAGTCTGACTACAATCACCTTCTACTACTGATCAAAATAAATAATAAATTTGTCTGACTATAATTCTGTATTTTACTACTGACAAAATTTTATTAATAACTAAAAACGTTGAACTGTAAACGCCTTTGACCACTGATAGCAATTCGTCTGATAATAATTAAGGTTTTACTACTGAATGGATATTTCACAAAAAATAACAATTTTCTGACCTACTACTGACACTTACTATTTAAAAAAGTGAATAAAAATTTACAAGGGTTATGAACTATTTTTTTCACTAATGATACAATTTTCTCTACTTAAATCGTAAATGTCTGACTATAAATTCCTTTTACTACTAACTTTCTTTTTAAATCTAAAATTTCTGACTATATTTATCCTTTACTACTAATTTTATTTTTAAATAAAAAATTTCTGACTATATTTACTTTTTACTACTCATTATTGTTCTGAAACGCAAATTTCTGTCTATATTTCCTTTTTACTACTAATTTTCTTTCTAAATGTAAAATTTCTAACTATATTTACATTTTACTACTAATTCTTGTTTCAAAACGCAAATGTCTGACTATATTTTCTTTTTACTACTAATTTTCTTTGTAAATGTAAAATTTCTAACTATACTTACTTTTTACTACTAATTCTCTTTCTAAATCAAAAATTTTTGACTATATTTACTTTTTACTACTAATTATTGTTCTGAAACGCATATTTCTGACTATGTTTACCTTTTACTACTAATTTTCTTTCTAAATCGTCAATGTCTGACTATATTTACTTTTTAATACTAATTTTCGTACAAAATCGTAAATGTCTGACTATATTTACTATTTACTACTAATTTCCGTACAAAATCGTATATGTCTGGATATATTTGCCTTTTACTACTAATATTAGTACAACATCGAAAATGTCTTATGTCTGAACATATTTACCATTTACTACTAATTTTCTTTCTAAATCAAAAATATCTGACTATATTTACTATTTACTACTAATTTTCGTACAAAATCGTAAATGTCTGATTATATTTACCATTTACTACTAATTTTCTTTCTAAATGTACAATTTCTAACTATATTTACTTTTTACAACTAATTCTATTTCTAAATCAAAAATTTCTGACTATATTTACTTTTTACTACTAATTTTCGTACAAAATCGTTAATGTCAGACTATATTTATCATTTACTAGTAATTTTCTTTCTAAATCTAAATTTTCTGACTATATTTACCTTTTACTACTAATTTTCTTTCTAAATCGAAAATTTCTGACTATATTTCCTTTTTACTACTAATTATTGTTTCAAAATGCATAATGTCTGACTATATTGAGCAATTCCACGCCAAGTGATTATAAGAATTTTCGATGATTTTAGCAATATTAAAAATACTTTCAGAATTTCTTCCTTTTTATACATGGAATAAAAGTGTATGAAAGTTTTTTTAAAATTTTCAAAATTTTTTGAGTTACCTCTTACTCAAAATTTTGGTCGGTTTTTCAAAAAATGCACATAACTTTTTTTCTTGTTAACCGATTAAGATAATTTTTTTTGGAAAATACTCATAATAAGAAGTACTTTAAAGAAAAAAAATAAAATTAAATAAAAAATTTTTTTTTGCCCGAAAAAAATTTCAAAAAATTTTTTGAATTCAAATTTTGAAAAAAATATATCTTCGATTTGAAAATTTTTTTTTGGTAAATATTGTCAATTAACTAAAGAATACTTCCTGTAAATTTAATTATGGGACAAAAATAACTTTACGAGAAAAAAAATAAAGTGTGCAGCGCGGCGTGCCGGGACTTGTGCTTATGGCGGCGCAAGTTTCGTTTCAAATCACTCTAATAGGTCACAATTCTTTACCAAAACGCTTTTTCTTTTTTTCAAAATCTTCGTAATTAAATTCTCTATCAATCTTTTGAGCCTTATTTTTAAATTTTTGTTTTTAAACATTTTTTAAATAACAATAAGTATTAAAAAAATCATAAAATCGTAAAATATATTTTTTTAGTTTTATTAATTAAGAAAATTAATCGAAAAACTTATTAAAATAATTTTTGATTGATAAAAAATAAAAAATTATTTAGTCAAAAATTGTTAAACAATAAAAATTTATTATTTTGTCATAAACTGTACTTAGGGTTAAAAATTTCTATTTTTTCTGAATTGTGCAATTTTTCATAAGTAAAGTATTCAAGTATAAAAGAAAAACTAAAAATTTATTATTTAACCCTTGTTTAAACAGTTTATAATTTTCAATTTTTCAATTAATTGTTTAGAAAAAATTAGAAATTTCTAACCCAAATGAAACTTATGAAAAAATGAAAAAAGTACATAAGAAACAAATATAAATTTCTTACCCTAAGTATAAATAGTTTATGAAAAAATAGCAACAATTAATTGTTTAAACAATGTTTTAATAAATAATTGTTTTTTTTATCATCAGTAGATATATTACTCATGAAAAATTGTACAATTGAGAAGAAACTAGTAATTTCTAGGCCTAAGTATACAGTTTATAAAAAATAACAACAATTAATTAATTAAAAAGTGTTTAATTAATTTATTCTTTATCAATCAAACATTATTTTAATAGGTTTTTTAAATAATTTTCTTAATCAATAAAACTAAAAAAAATATATTTTACGATTTTATGATTTTTTTAATACTCATTGTTATTTAAAAAATGTTTAAAACAAAAATTCAAAAATAAGGCTCGAGAGATTGATAGAGAATTTAATTACGAAGATTTATAAAAAAGAAAAAGCGTTTTGGTAAAGAATTGTGACCTATAGTGTGATTTGAAACGAAACTTGCGCGGCCATAAGTGAATACATGCACAAGTCCCGGCACGCCGCGCTGCACACTTTATTTTTTTTCTCGTAAAGTTATTTTTGTCCCATAATTAAATTTACAGGAAGTATTCTTTAGTTAATTGACAATATTTACCAAAAAAAAATTTTCAAATCGAAGATATATTTTTTTCAAAATTTGAATTCAAAAAAAATTTTTTGAAATTTTTTTCGGGCAAAAAAAAATTTTTTATTAAATTTTATTTTTTTTCTTTAAAGTACTTCTTATTATGAGTATTTTTCAAAAAAAATTATCTTAATCGGTTAACAAGAAAAAAAGTTATGTGCATTTTTTGAAAAACCGACCAAAATTTTGAGTAAGAGGTAACTCAAAAAATTTTGAAAATTTTAAAAAAACTTTCATACACTTTTATTCCATGTATAAAAAGGATGAAATTCTGAAAGTATTTTTAATATTGCTAAAATCATCGAAAATTCTTATGATCACTTGGCGTGGAATTGCTCTATTTTCTTTTTACTACTAATTTTCTTACAAAATCGTAAATGTCTGACTATAATTACCTTTAACTACTAATTTTCTCTATTGAAATCGTATATGTCTGATTATATTTACTTTCTACTACTAATTTTCGTAAAAAATCGTAAATGTCTGACTTTATTTACTTTTAACTACTAATTTTCTTTCTAAATCAAAAATTTCAGACTATATTTACTTTTTACTATTAATTATTGTTTCAAAACGCAAATGTCTGACTTTTCTTATTTAAAACTGATCTTTTTTGTCTGACTTAAAATGATCTTTACCACTGTAGTAGACTTTTACTACTGTTTCCTAGTTTTCAAATTACTATTTGGTTTTTGTCAGACAGTATAGCAAAAATATTCTAGTGATTACTATTTTTTGTAGCTTTGACAAATTGAGACAGTATTTTATTACTGTTTACAAATATCGGCGATTCTTGTCTGACTGTAGCAGTCTTTTACTACTGACTCATATTTTTACTATCTTTGTCTGACTCTTTCAGTCTTTTACTACTGATTTCAATTTTTACTAATTTTGGCCGACTCTATGTGTCTTTTACTACTTATTCTACTCTTTTGCAAACTATGTCCGACTGTAACAGACCCATACTACTTATTCCAATCCTTCATCTCCTTGTCTGTCTCTAACACTCCTTTTCCACTACTAAAAAAATGTTTCTCATGATTCGTCTAACTATTTATTATAAACACTCATTTATTACTAATTTTCCTAATTTTTAAGTTAACTTCACCTAAAATTATAAATTTGAGAATTAAAATTTCTAAACTTCTTTCCATTTAGAATCAATAATGCAAACAAAAAAAATGTAAAAATAAATTTCAGGTGTCACGACAATGCTCAATTTCTTCACGACGTCGAATGGCTTCCGGTCGACACTTCCTGTCGTCTCGAATTTAACCGCCATGAATGTGTGGGACGGCGTTTGTATGTGTTTCATCTATGCGAGTCTTTTAGAGTTTGTTTGCGTCAATTACGTAGGTCGCAAAAGGCCGTTGCACAACGTCGTCTACCGCCCAGGCGAAAATCCCGTGACCCAGGTATTTTGCTATTTACAATCTCTCTCTCTTTCTCTCTCTTTCCCTCCCCTATATTTATAATTCATTCATTGAATTCATTAAATTCACCAATAATATCATCGAAAGAAAAAAAAATATTAAAATCTCTTTATTTTTTACTAAAATAAAAAAGTGAATTTTTTAATTAATTATTTTTTTGGTTAAAAAAATAAAATTAGACAATTTACAAAATTTCCATTTTTCAAATTTTCTAAATTGCTTCTTTGTTATAAAAACATAAATAATATGTCATTTTACATTTTTTACTGTAACTCCAAGTTGTCCCGAATTTTTTTTCACATTTTTCTTACAATTAGAAATATTTATTTTCCTCTTAAATATAAAATTTAATAATCGAATTATTTTGCAACTAATTTTTAAAATAACAAAAGTTGATATTTTAATTTTCAATATATTTGTCTCTTGTCATAAAAATTAAAATGCAAAACTTATTTCTGTTCGAGAAAGACGAAAGAGAATTTCATAAATTATAAGAAACAAGTAAATATAGAAACAAATAACTACCAAATAATTTTTCAGTAAACAAATATCACCAAGAAAATATTTTTTCATTAATTATGTTTTCCGTTAATAAATATCACAAAAAAATATTCTTTCTTTTATTTTTATTTTCCGTAAATAGATACCCCGAAAAAATATTTTTTCTTTTATTTTTATTTTTTGAAAAAAAATATTCCAAAAAAGTATTTTTTTTTCTATTACAATCTTAATTATATAATTTACAATCTTCGCAGAAGAAAATCAAGAATTAAAAAAAATTTCATTGTTATTATTTTTTTTCGCAGTATTTATATCATTTAGAGAATGAAAAAGAAATTTTTTTCTTATCCATTTTCCCCTCATACATTAAATTTATCGTTTTAGCATTAAAAAGAAGAGATAAAAAAATAGATAAAATTTTTAAAAGCGAAACCTCATCCAGTCACATCACTAAATTAAAAGACACTAAACCTTTCATTGTACAAGTGTACTCGATAAAAATATTTAAAACGTTTTCATATCTGTGTTAGCCAAACAATATTTTTTTCATTTTTAATTTACGATTGTTCAATTATTTTATAAAAATTGCAAGACATTATCGAAAAACATATTTTTAAGGAATTTTCAATTAAGAATTATTAAATATTGTCAAGAAAATAATTCTTAATGTAAAAATAGTTAGCAAATTCTTATTAATTATTAAATGCTGTTAATAATTTATTAATAATTTAAAAATATTATTAATAAATCCTTATCAACTATTAAATATTCATGATTACTAACTGAATAACTGATTAGTATTACTTTAAAATAATTTAAAATGTTTGAATTTATTATTATTGATAAAATTTCTGTTATAAATTAAAAATAATATTTTATTGTATGATTTAAAAATACTGTTAGTAATTATTTATTTATTTACTTAACTAATATACGGAAAATAATAATAATATTAAAAAAATACAATAATTAATAATAATTATAATAAAACAAATGGAAACAAAAATATGAAATATAAACAAATTAATAATTTTATTGAGTACGCATTTTGCACAAATTGTGATTTTTGGCGTGAAAATAACACAAAAAATAAAACATGTATGGTTTATTGTTAAATATTATTATTATACTGTTAAAACTAATTACTGTTGCTAATTGATTATAACTATTCTAAAGAAAGCACTTTTCAGTTCTCTACCCTTTCTCTTTTGTCTTTCTTCACCTCTTTTTTTGTTTCCTTTTCGAAATTTTGATTTTTTTTAAATAAATATTTTTTTATAATCATAAGAAAAAATTACGAATTTTTTCACACTTCTCTAGTAGATTCGGCATGTAATTTACTTAGATTCACTTTTCTCTTTGTAGATATATATACATATTAACTAGAATAGGGTTTTTCTAGGAAAAAATATCAAAAGTTAAAATTTTTTTTTTTTATCTCACGTCTTTAAATAACGTATTTTTTTTATTTATTTTTTTTGTAAACATTTTTTTTTTTTTTGTAAATTTCATCATTTTTTGGTTTTTTTTTCTCTTTCTCTATTTTCTATTTCTCTATCTCTCTATATCTCTCTTTCTCTCTATCTCTTAAAAAATCTCTCTTCTCTTCTTGAGAAAATTTTTGCAAATCTCTCCCATCCGCAATTTTTTTCTTCGTTTAGTTGTCAAAAAATAAAAAAATTCTAATTAAAAAAATTCTTTTAAAAAACGACTCTAAAAGAAATTTCCTAATTGTAACTAAAATATTTTCGTTCGTTACTTTGTGACTTCTCATTAAAAAGTTTGCATGAATGCATTATTATTAATCCTCTCAAAAAGCATTGTTATTAAGTTCGAGGAAATAACGAAAAGAGTATTTAAATAAGATAAATAAAATAAGAAATAGAAAATAAAAACTAAATAAGATATAAATAAGAAATAAATAAAAAATAAATTAGAAATAAATTAAAAATAAATTAGAAATAAATTAGAAATAAATAAGAAAAAATTAAAAAATAAATTAAAAACAAAAAGTAAGAAAAAAAAACAATGAATTTTTGAGAAAAAAATAGAATTAAGCATTTGTTTATAGTGCGAGAGTGTGTTTTTTTATAAAAAAATAATATTTTCTAACTATTATTAAAAAAATACAATAAACGATATTTTAATTATTCCCGTCAATAATGTTTCACATAAAAAAAGAGTAGATAATCAAAATCACTGCTATATCATATTATATCAATAAATAGTGTTTTTTGTAGAAAATTTTTTCTACCGTCATTCCTGTCCTTTTTTCATTTTCTGTGTGTTTTTTGAAATTTGAACATGCACATTTTTTGTGGCAAAAGTAATTATATATATACATACTTTTTTATATTTATACAAAATATAAAAAAAAATATTTAGAATTCCTGTGAGCACATTTTTTTGCTTTTACATTATAATATAGTTGTTTTTTAATAAATATACATATGTGACATAATGAGCACTTTTTCGCACGTTTGTAACGAATCACATTGATGTTGTCACAAGTGTTATTTTTTTATAATAAACAATTTTAGAAACAAACAAAAAAAAAGGAAATAATTAAAATTACAAAGAATATTTTTTATAGATTAATTTTCCTTTTAAACTTTGCTCACTAATAAGTAATAACTATTCAATTTTAACTATTTACACTATTTAAAGTTTCAAAATTTGTAACTTCGATTTAGAATTAAAAATTAAGTTTTGATTTGTCGGAAAAAATTATAATAATATAGTAAAAATATAAATTATTGTTTCAATTTGAAAGATTTTAATCAATAATTTTTTTTTCAACAAAAATGTGCATCAAGTTAAAATAAAAAAATTGATTTAAACCATACATACAATATATATATATAGCACCCGAAGGTGGAAAAGGGAGGGGAAAATAATTGGAAAGTTTTCGCCTTTAGTGAAAACTTTGCTCCAATTTTTTCAGATTCATTCGGCGTATTTGTTTTTCACTGATTTACGTTCAGCTTCTAATCAAAACATTTTTCCTCGTAATTTAAAAATTTTCTTTTCCCTGTTAATTTTTCATTAAATTTTTTTTTCTTTTTGAAATCATACTTATTATCTCAAAATTTTCAATAATAATATTTTCTTTTATGAAACATGATTTATTTTCAATAATACAAAAAAAGATATTAATTATTTTTCTAATATCAATAAAGAAAAAAATCTCTTGAGAGTTATGCTGAAATATTCCACGTTTTGTTCTTTTGGAAAAAAAATTGACTGAATTTTATCAAACGTAAAATGTTTAGAAATTATTCAATTTTTGTGAATTGTTTAAAAAATTAATGAAAATTCTGTTTTGATATAAAAATAAGGAATAAAGTTTTGATTTTTTTTCCTCGTTTCAAATTTAGGAATTAACTCATTGTTTTTCCTTTTATTATTTACTTTCTACTATTTATTATTTATTTCTTTATTAATATTTTTTGTTATTTATTTACTTTACTTATTTGTATTTTTTATTATTGAATTATTTATTATTATTTTTTATTCACAAAATAATTGCAAAGAAAACGGTTTTAACAAAAAGAAAACATTTTTTATTATTCATTTATTTTATTTACTACATTTTACAATTTTATAAATGAAAATCGATTGAATTTATCTTTTAATCATTGAGTGTAATTTTTTTTTTTTATAAGGTTTTGTGCGTAAATTTTAATAAAACGAGAAAATTTAAAATGACAACTGACCGTAAAATCGAAAACACATTTTGCTAAATCATTTTTTCGTGGGATATTTCATTGCAGTTACTCTCAGGGGTCCTCTAAAGCATTAACCTTTAGCTCCGAGCGCTCCTAGTATATAAATAGTTGATCCTCGCAACAAAATCGTCGAATAAAATCGAAAAAATATAATTGCAAAAAGAAAAAAAAAGCAAAAAAAAAAAGAAAATTAATAATAATAGAGGAGGAATAACAGTAATTACGAATCGGTTAGTAAGTTTGGTTGGTGGAATGTTGGTGAGTAAGTCTCTTTGTTTGGTGTCTGTGATGTTGCAGCGGCTTCCAGCGGTGCTCAGCAGGATAGGGATTATATTGGCCAGCCCTTTGGTAAGATCCCTCTTCGCCTTCGGGTACTGTTAAAACTTCTCACGTTTCAGTCAAGTGATAAAATGCAAATTTTTTTCCCACATAAAAAAATAAATTACTTTTCTTTCTTTAAATTTTGAAAATAATTTTTTTAAATAAAAAAAAAATTCAAACACAATTCAATTACCTTTTGGTTTTTTGCAGACTTGAATTTAACATTTGAATTCAATTTGAAATCAAAGTACTAAATTTCAATTAAAAATTATATTGAAAATTTGTATTGAAAATAATAATGAAAATATACTAGAAAATAAAATAGAAATTAAAATTTCAAATTGTATTGAAAATTATATTGAAAATTATATTGAAAATTATATTCAAATAAAATTTTTTTAAAATTGAATATAACATTGGGAATTTTGTTAAAAATATAAAATTAAAAATTGTATTAAAAATTCTATGGAAAATATGAAATTGAAAATTTTATTGGAAATGAAATTAAAAATAAAATTGAAAACAAAATTGAATATTAAATAGAGAATTTTAAATATAATTTAAAGTAACATTTTAAATTACAAAAAAAAAAATTATATTTGTAATTGTTTTGAAAATCACACTAAAAATTATATTTGAAATTATTTTGAAAATAATATGGAAATTCATTTTAAAATTAAAATTATATTGAAAATCAAATTGAAAATGAAATTGAAAATAAGATTCAAAATGAAATCGAAAGTCAATAAAATATTAAATAGAAAATTAAATTGAAAACCAAATTGAAAATTAAATTGAAAATAAAAGTGAAAGTTAAATAAATTTTAAAGTACAAATCAAACTGAAAATCAAAATTGAAAGTCAAATTGAAAATCAAAATTGAAAATCAAAATTGAAAATTAAATTGAAAATAAAATTGAAAGTTAATCAAATATTAAATTGAAAATCAAACTAAAAATCAAAATTGAACGTCAAATTGAAAATCAAAATTAAAAATTGTAATTGAATTGAAAAATTGAAAAAAACCAGTAATAAAAAAATTGACTGGAATTTTAGAGGTTTAAACAGCGCCCACACATGCTCGTTGAAACTCCCAAAAAAAGGGGCCATAAGACCCCGAAAAATTTATATATATTTTTTTTACTTTTATTCTCGTGCACCGAGCATGCCCGCGACGTAAAAACACTTTGGCGTATATAGTAGTTTGCCTTTTTAAATCCTCTGAATAAGAAGAGAGCATTTTATTATTCAATAATTTAATGCAATACTAAAAAAAATTCCCATGTTATTTATACCTACTGATTTTTTTTAAAAACTTTTTATATACATTTTTTTCCAAAATATTTCAGGGCGCTTAATTTTTAAATAAACTCTTAAAAATAATTTCTAATAAAATTTGTTATATCAATAACTGAGAAAAAATAAGTAAATTTTTGTGAAATTAAATATTGAGAAGTAAATTTTTTTAAAAATTGAAAAAAGAAGTAAATTTTTATTAAATTGAAAACATGGAATGAAAAAGTTTTAAAAATTGAAAAAAGAAGTAAATTTTTATTAAATTGAAAAGATGGAATGAAAAAGTTTTAAAAATGAAAAGAATTAAATGAATTAAATATTAAAAAGTAGATAAAATTAAAAATGTAAGCAAAATTTCCTGAATAAAACTGAAGAAATAGAAATTTTTTATAAAAATGAAAAAAGAAATAAATTTTTATAAAATTAAAAAAAGACCTTTTCTATCAAATTAAAAGAATTAAATTTTTTTTATAAAATAAAAATTGTGACTTCCTAACAAAATAGAAAAATTGAAAAAATAAAATTAAAAATTGCTTTCTTCTTATTCATCAGGTCCCTTGCAATTATTTTTTAAAAATTCGCGCTTTAAAGTTGTTTATCTTAGAATTTTCTCCTCAGAAAATGAACAGCAAAAACAATTGGGAATTGAATATTGCAATAATGAAAAATAATTTTCATTCTTTCAATTTTCATTTATGGCCTCCTTGATTTCTGTATAAATTTTCAAAATATGGGCCACCAATATAATACCATCCTTTGCTACAATTATATGTATTGCAGAATTTTTAATTTTTTTTCGTACTTTTTAATGCTTAGCACGCACTCACATTTCTTGTCAATTTATTGCCAAGAGGAAGATTTTTTCCCTTTTTTATAAATTTATAAATTATAACTTTTTATTTATTGATTTATCTGTTTATTTATTTATTTATTTACTTATAATTTCCTTTAATTATTTTTTTTTATTTAGTTATTTATTTATCTATACGTTTATTTATTAATTTTTCTATTTTTATTTACTGATTTGTTTATTTATCTATTTTTTTTTTATTTACTTACTTATTTGTCAATTCAATTATTTGTTGATTTATTTACCAGCAAATCTTTCTTTACAGAAAAATAAGCAAAAATTAATTTTCAATTATTACAAAGAAATTTATAGAAAAAAAAATGAAATATTGTTATTCACCTAAATAGATAAATAAATAGAGTAAATTTATTAGAAAATAATTCCTCTATTCTAAAGCAAAAAAAAATTATTTTTTTTACATCTATTGCGTAAATTGTAATGTTAATTATAAACAGAAAATGTAATGCATTATTTTATGCTGGCAATATATGAACGGTTTAATCTTAATAAAAATTTTGTTACTTCATGCTTTTAAGTGTCGATAAAATTATATAAGTGTCCGCAGAGAGAAGACTAGTTTTTATAAAAAGAAAAGAATACATAAAATCTTTTTTTTTCTCTGAAACAGAAATTTAAAAATAATTTTAGTTTATTGATTGGCAATTTTTTCTCGCACATTATTTCACGTTGTAAATTTGATAGCTTGCATTTTTATGTGCCTATCAATTTGGCTTAATGATCATTCAAATGGAGAAATTTATTTTTATAATATCGTTCAATTACGAATATATGCAATTTTTTTTCCGCTGAGAGTTTGTGCATGATATTTTCTTGTAATTTATTACACATAATACATATACATACAATATAAGTTATAAATAAACAAATTTCATTTAAATAAAAATTTTTAATTCATAAAAAGTGGATTCAATTTAAAAATTAAAAAATTTTTTTAAGTCTTTTTATTGCACTTTCAAACAATTTGATACTTTGGACCAATTTATTATTATATTTTTTTTTATTATTATTATTTTTTCCTTTTAGTATTTTATTTGTTTATTATTTATTTTTTGACAATTTATTTTATTTTTTTTTCTTTTAGTATTTTTTTGTTTTGTAATTTCCAAATTCTTGAAATGCTTCATTGAATCTGAAAGTTTAAAAATTATATTTATTATTTTTCTTTCATTTAGTATTCTTTTTTTGTTTAATAATTTTCAAATTCCTTAAAAAATTCCATTCTTTCTAAAAGTTTAAAAAATAGTTTAAAATTTCAAGTCCAAAGGATTAGAAATATTCGGAATTTAAAATTTTTAAGTTTTGAAATTTTACACATTTTTTTTTTGTCGAAACATTGTTGCTAATATATTGTCTGTGGCTTTCATGTAATGCTTTTTATGCTTGTGCACAACCTTCACAATCCTCATTCTTAAAAACTAAAAAATCATATTAAAATACAATAATTAAAGAAAAAACCTAATAAAACAATTTTACAAAATTGTATTCTTTGTTAGTTGCCAAAAAAAACTAGATGGACTCGAAGAGGTGCTTTTTTCTGACTAGAAATTTTTATTTCTTTCTAGAATCTTTTTAATTTTAAGAGAGTTTTGAATTAATTTTTTTTTTAAATCTAATTATATAAAAATAAATAGTTTTATTTATTATATTATTTAATTTTATGTCTAACAACAACTAACATAAATTAAAATTTTTTTTAATTTTCAATTATAAATCAAAGACTAATATTCCAGATGCTCTTTTCATTTAATTAGAAAAAGTTCGGTGCGCAGAAAAGACAATGACAGAGAAATCGAAATAATTTTCCCGGCGAGTTTTTCCAAAAAGAAAAAAATAAAACTTTTTTCGATATTCACGAGATTGCACGTTCCAAAATGGAAATAAATAGCTCACGCGCATAAATCAACGCCAAACCGAAAGTGCTCTTAATCATGCCTTGACTGTGATACCGACAATCGCTTTGCAACTGACCCCGATTGAAGCTTTATTGTAGCATTATAATAAGCTTGACGATCCCCATTCTAAACATTATATTTTATTTTTCCTTTTTTTAAAATCAAAAATTCGTTTCAATAATTATAATTATTGCATATAAGAAAATCCATTTCGTTAATGTCATTTTCATGCTCTTTGCCTAATCGTTTTTCGATTTCACATATATATTTATTAAGTTCTTCGTATATATATATTTCAGATTACAAATTAAGTTTCCGTAGAAGTCGGATAATGTATATATTTTTTTTTGTTGAGAAGAATTTAATTTATGCTCTGGAGAAAATATTCTTTCTTAAACAGTAGGAAAAAAGTGTAATTATTTGGTGGAAAAATTAATTTTTTAGTAATAAAGTAATTTTTTAATGAAAAAATTAGTTATTTAATAATAAAAGACATTTTTTAATGTAAAATTAGTTATTTTATAACAAAATCAATTTCTTATTTGTAAACTAATTTACGAACAAATAATAATCTTCAGAAATAGACTGACAAAATAATTCTACTTTTCTAAATTTACTTAACTAAGTAAATGAATTGAAAATAATTTTTTATTAATTACAATAACAAATTAGCAATTATTATAAATAATTTTCAACAATAATAAAAATATTATAACAATCCCCCACTCCGAATGAGTCCCACTTGCTGACTTAACTTACTCCTCAAACTAATGCCCTTCAGAGGTGTAAACTCGCTGACTAAAAATATTATTATTGCGAAATTTTTAAAGAAACTAAATTTTTTTCTCAGAAAAAACTGTTTCAGTTTGAAAGGCATTTTCTTCAGAGTGAGTATCAATGTCAGGTGACACAGGAAAAGTAAAAACTATTTTCAAAATGAAATTTTTATTCTTTTCTAAAATTAAAAAAATAATAATGATAATAATAAATAATAATGATAAAAAAAATTTATTTAATTAGTTTCAATCAGAAAATTAAGACTGACAATAATTTTAGTTAATAAAATTTAAATACTAATATTTTTATTGCAATTAATTAATTTTAATCGAGAAATTAAAACTGACAATTTCAATAAATATGATTTATTTATTAAAATGTATACATTTTCTTTTTTCTTTATTGAAATTAATTAACGAATTAACTAATGAACTATTTTTTGTAGAAAAATTAAGACTGATATTTCAATAAATAAAATTTATTTACTAAAATTTATTTATTTTTTCTTGAAAATCATTTCCATTGAAAGTATTTCTTCATAATAAAAAAATAGAAAAAAAAATTGAAACTTAAAATGAAATTGCGAATAAATTGAACATCTAAATAAGATGCATTAAGTTGAAAATATTTTTCCTATGTAACTGACATGTGACGCTCTTGATATGTAGATATTTTTTCCTATACATATAAACGGCATGAAAATCGAGATACAGAAAGGCACGAAATCGTTTATTGACAATTTTATTATTCGAATTGAGCGAACTACTTTTCTTATACATATATATAAATATTGTAAATTCCGAATGCAAAATAAGAAACAATTTTTAATTTCTATTTTTAGAATACGATTAAAATTACAATTTTTTATATTTTGCAAAAACGCAAATTCTTTCTTCGTTAAATGAAGAAATATTTTTTTAATTGTTTTTTCTCTTTTTTTTTATTGATATTTAAAAAGGAGAAATTTATGTTTATCAAAAATAGTTTTTTGATCATAACAACCTCGAGGGTATATTTTCAGTTTCATATGATGAAAGTTCACAAATATTAAACTGAATAGCGGGGAAAAATATTTTCAATTCCCCAAACGAAGTTATCAATTTTCCGCTGAAATGCACCTTACATGACTATATAATATTCGTTGTTATAGTTTTTAACTGCTTTTGGTCGAATTTGTTTTTTTAATTTATAATGTCAATATACGTAGACTAAAAAAAATCTAATGACAATTTTTATCTCTTTTCAATTTAAAGTAAAAAATAATAAAAAAAATGGAGGATTGAATTAAAATTAAATAAACTCAGTGGGGAAAAATTTTTGTTTAATAATTAATAATTTTAAAAATTAGTTAGTGGAAAAATTCTTTTTAATCAATAGTTACTTTATATATTTTCAAGAAAGATAAATTCTCAAGTTGTGAAAATAATTTAGCAAAAATACTAAATACTAGTTGTAAAAATACTAAATAGTGAAAAAAAAATATTTTTCTACTAATTCTTATGAAAAAAAAGTAGAAAGTTTGAAATAACTGGCTAATTTTAGAAATATTCGTATTTTTTTTTTTTTTTTTTGCAAAAATGGAAAATTTATTCGCATAAAGTATAATTTAAATTGTACAATTAATGCACACAACGTAGTACTTAATTTAAACTGAGATTAACTCGATCACAACGTACTTCCCTCGGGGTGGGTAACAAAGTGACCTCAGGGAATACGGCAAAACCACAAATTGTACCCGATTGTTATCAGTTATCTCAATCTATTTTGATGTAAGTTGAGATACCTTCGAATCAACCACAAATTGGGAGTCTGCATTAATTCTAATATTTGCTATTATTAATATGCGCAATCATTAACGGAAATTGAAACAACCAATTCTTTAGTATTTTGACAAAAAAAAAAGAAATTTATTACATTTTGGATCAAATTCAATATATTTTGAATACAAAAACAATAATTATTTTCTTATTCAAATAAAAGTCATTTTTTTGCAAATTTTTTAATTTTTTACAATTTTGTATTACTCTTTCTAATTTTGTTTCTTATTCCTAATTTTTAATAACTAATTTTAAAAAATATTAACATAATTTATTTTGCAATATTTAATTTAATAATTCACATTAAAATTTGTTGATTTTACAATTGAAATTATTTTTGTTGAAATTTTTTTTCGTCCATTTTTTGGTGGAAGGAACAATATTCAAAATATGAGAAAAAAAAAAAGAAATTGAGAAAAAAAGTGGTTCGCTCAAAGAATAAATATTTTTAAATTATAAAATTTCTGCTACGGAGACCCTGTCGCAGGGTAAAAAGAAGCGAGAGGGCGGCACAACCACCGGAGCTGGCAGTGGGGCGAATGAGATTGTCGCCTGTACCAACTGCGGACCAAATCCTTGTACGCACACGGCTACGAACGGATGTGCCGCTGAGGTGAGTTTAAATTTTCTTTTCTTTAAAAAAAATTATTTTCAAAAAAAAAAAATTTTACAAAACAAATAAATTTTTGATAAACATTACAATTTCCAATTTGGCCAGAGCCAAATTTTTTACTGAATTAAAAAAAAAATGAAATTTTATTCTATTGTATGCTGAATTAAAAATTGAATATTTACCCCTTATTGAAAATTCAATTTAAGTGAATTATTAATTGAAAATTTCCTCCTTTTTACTCTTTATAAAAAAAAAATTGAATTGAATGCTGAATAATTGAAGTAAAGAATAAAAATTTACCCTATTTCACTATTTAGAATTTAGAAGAAATTGAATTAATTTCTGAATTAAAAATGGAAATTTATTCATCCAGAATTGACAAATAATTGAATTATTGAATTGAAAATTTATCCCATTTTAATATTTTTTTTTAAATTGAAAAAAATTGATTAAAAATTTATCCCATTTTACTTCTTATCAAATTAAGAAAATTGAATTCAATTCTAAATTGGTAATTAACTAAATTTTTCGGGTATGAAAAAAATTAATTGAATGCCTAATTGAAACTTATCCCATTTTACTTTTTATCAACTTAAAAAAAAAAATTGAATTGATTGAAATTGAAAATTTGACATTTACCCGAAATTAAAAAAAAATTAAATTGATTGCTGAATTGAAAATGGAAATTTTAAAACATGAAAAAAATTGAATACCAAATTAAAAATCGAATTTTTAAACACGATTATCAAAATAAAAATTTCTCGATGAATAATTAATTTATATACAACTCTCCTAAAATTTTTAAAACTTTCATGACAGAATTTTATATTTTTTTTAAATATTAAAAAACCACGCAGAAATAAAAATTATAAAGTTTCAAGAGCGTCGTCGACGTAAAAGAAAAATGTGAATTAGAGAGGAATGAATGCAGATAAAAAATGAATATAATCTTTTTCGCGCTCCAATGAAATGGGATACGCTTTTTCATTCCGTTGACAGCATCAATATTCTTTAATCAACATAGAAAGTCCGTGGCAACTAATGAAATATATATGTAATAAATAATAAATAATAAATTTCATTCAAAGCGAAATATTATAATGAATTTTGTTTTATATTTTTTTTTACCAATTTCTATATTTTCCAAGTGAGAAAAAAATATATATTTATGACGATTGATGTAAAATTTTTATCATATTGGGAATGAGGAATGTTAGTATGGAAAATTGATGGTTAGTTATAAACGGAAATTGAAACGATGAAATTCAACGAGCCTCTGATTGAGTTATATTTTGATTTAATTCGAGTCGTTTCAGAGAGAAGAGTTTTTTTGACATTTAAAAAAAAACTTTCAAAGGAAAAATTAATTTTTCTTGCTTTACCTTTCTAATTTTTCTAATTTTTCAAAATAATTTTTTTTCTGCTTTTTAATTTGAATTTTGCGTTAATTTTGATTTTCAGAAAACTTCCTCAATCACTAGGTGTCAAGAAAACTCTTTGCTAACAAACGAGATTGAATATACAAAAGTATTAGAACAAATGACTTTTGAATATTTTTTCTTTTCTTATTTTTTTTATTATATTTTTAGATTTATTATTAATTTATTATTATTATTATTATTTTAGTTTTAAGTTTTATTAATAATTTATTAATAAAATATATTTTCAGTTTCATTATTAATCCATTATTATAGTTTTAATTCTATGAATTCATTATTATAATTTTACTTTTATTATTAATATTTTCATCAATAGTTTTTATTATGTAAATTAAATTTGTATTAATAAATAATTAAATTCTCGAAAAATATTATTTTTTCTTCACAATTAATATTTTTTTCTCCCTTTTTTCTTTCATAAAGAAAGTTATATTCCAATTTCTTTTGTCGCAGTATTCTAAAAAAAAATACTATCAAATTGGGAATTCTTTTCTCAGCTTTGAAAATTGGAATTGTGAGTAGGTAGTTTTTTTTCGTCGCCAACGATTTCTCAAATGTCACGTTTCTATTTTTGCAGGTAAGGAAAAAAGAACCACCTCATCCAATCAGAGTGGCCAAGACGATAGACGTAATTGCGAGGATTACATTTCCGGCGGCTTACTTCGTGTTCATCACGTTTTTCTTCATACACTACAAAGGTGTTACGTAGGTCAACCGAGTTCTTCGAGGTTACTTAAAAATAAAATTTAAAAAAATGAACACTCTAATTATCTAAAAAAAAAGAACATTTAAAAAATGAAGCTTATAATTACAATTCCACACAATTATACCGAGTTTCTTTGTTATTATAATGGCGGGTGATAAAAAGAAGAGGATATTTTTTTCAAAATAAAAAAAAACAAGAAAAACGATTAATAAATAAGAAAATTTGCCTCCTAGATACGTCAAAGAAGAATAAATCGAGATTAACCGCAAAAAAAAAAAAAAATAAGCGAAACGACATTTATTGGGTAACCTCGATGCGAAGTAATAATTAAAAATTAAGATAGATGTATTTTTCAATGAAAAAAAAAAATTAATATATAAACAAGGTGTTTTCGCACGATACGCGTTGGCTAAAATATCAGCTTTCATAAGAATTGCGAACCCAAAATGTAATTAATTTTATAATATTTAATAACAGGAGAAAAATTTCCTGAGAACTTTGTATAGTTTTTATTTTGAATTCAAATCTTTTACTTCTAATAATAAACAAAAGGCTTCATTTTTTCGTTGAATAATTTTTTTATTTACGAAATAATTTTTTTATTTACAATTTTTACAAAACCAATTTTTGTTTTTTATAAACAAAAAGAATTCTTGCAAAAATTCAATGTGCCAGTGAATCATGCGACGCCTTGTAGCCTTATATAATGAACCATCTGACTTGTAAATGACGATTATATGCTCGATTATAAAATTAATGCGTGATATTTGATCCTCACACTGCACTTCTTCCTAAAGCTCAAAAATTTCCTGGTCGGAATTTTCATTGATTATTTTTTGTTTTTTTCTACTAATAAACTTTTTAAGGGGGAAATTTAAAATTAAACGATTGTTTGACATTTGATATTGTTGAACAATTTTTGCAATTTTATGTATTTATCCCGTATATTCACAAATTGTTATTTATTATGTCTGATATTTATAATTAATTTTGTTTATTTTAAACAAAACAATAGATTAGTAACATTTGTACAGTTTTATCTTTAATTATTAATAATTTATAATCTTGTATTCAATTTATTTTATTTACCTAATTTATTTATATTTTATTTTCTATTTGCATAATTTCTTCTTAATTTTTTAAATTAACAATTAATTTCAATTATTGATTTGAATAATTAACTTTAATAATTGATTTTTAAAGTTTATTTCGATAATTTCTTTTCGTCATTTATTTTTGTAATTTTTTTTCGTTATTTATTTTCGTAATTTCTGTTTATAATTTATTTTCGTTATTTATTATCAATATTTTTAATTTTAATTTATTTTCTTCGTATAATTTATTTTCAATTTTTATAATTAGTAATTTATTTCCATAATTATTCTTAATAATTGATTTTTGTGGTTTATTTCGATACTCTTTTTGAAAATTTATTTTCGTAATTTTTTAAACATTTTATTTTCAATATTTATATTTATAATTTATTTTCAATATTTATTTTTAAATTTAATTTTCGTGATTTATTTTCGATTGCTTTATGTTGTAAATTTATTTTTATAATTTAATTTCACACTTTATTTTTAGTATTTATTTTCTCTTTTTCATTTTTTGTTATTTATTTTTGTAAATTAATTTTTCTTTTAATAACTAAAAATCAATTTTTTAGTAAAATTAGGACGAAGTGTATTAAGTTATGGATCGGAAATATATAAGAGTAAATTAAAACTTACTTCTTAAGGAATATGAAAGTAACACACGTGGTGCTTTGGGATGCTCCAAAATTTATATTTATGAATCGATTTGCAAAAGAGGGGGGGGCTCTTCTCTTTAGCTTTAAAACACAGTACACTTATTAGAATACAATTATAAAAATGCTGCTATACCGACTATTAAATAAATAATTCCGATTATAATTCACCATTTGACGATAAAAATACAATACAAGTATTACTACTGAAATTGTACTATAAACTGTTGTTTCAAAACAATACGGGACAATTATTATTATTATCATTATTATTATATTATGCACGAAACAATTGTGTTTGACCATCACTCTAGCGTGAAACAGTATTTTCAAACTATTTCAATTTCGAAACATTTTCCTTTTGTCTATTATTTCGAGTTGAAATATTCTTTTTCTAACAATAAAACAAGAAATTCACTTTACGAACATTTCATTCAGTTTCCATTTTATTAAATATAATCAACAATTGATAAAAAATTTATTTATTCATTTATTTACAGGCCTTGGACTTACGTAACAATTGTTATTCAACCAAAATTTTAAATATCAATTTATTTAGTAAAGAAATTAATTCTGAATTAGAAATTAAAATCCGTTTGTATTAATTGTCAGATTTGTTTATAAATAATTAAAGAATTACGAATATTGACGAACATATTGAGATTCAATATGGAGTAGCTACTCTCCACCTGCGAGCGTCAAGGTCACCGTCAGATGGCAGTTTAGTTGATAAAATCAGATTTCTCGCCACCTAGTGGCGACCTTGGCGTTCTCAAGTGGAGAAATTCATTTCGTTCTTCAAAAACTTTTTTAATGCAATAAATATAATTGTAAAAATAATTATTTGTAAATAAATAATTTAAGACTATTACGAAAATTTTTTTACGCTGTTGATATTTTTTATTTCTAAATTCAGTTCGAGGCCTGCATTCATTCATTATTAATTTATTCATTAATTTATTTATTCATAATTTATTATTTATTAATTTATTTATATATTATCACATATTTACGGGCTTTTGAAAAAACAGAAATAGACTCTTTAAAAAATATTATTTTTTTCTATAATTATTTTTCCCTTTGAATAATATTTCATGTTGAGATTTAAGATTTAAACTCTATCCTGAAAATTAGTAGTTTTTTAATTACTTAATTAAGTAAATTATATCTAGATTTCCAAATGTATTAAAAATTATATAATGTAAATTATTTCCTAAAGTAGATAATATTTGTACTTAATTAGTGAAAAATCTACTAATTTACATTAAAAGAGTGCCACTTTCTAAAAACACAGGGATTGAAAATGTTTGTATAAAGTTAAAAAAAATATGAATTAATAATGAAAATTGTTTGCAAAAAAAAAACTTACAAGACCAAAAAGTAAAATTTTTATGTGTGAGCGAGAACAAGAAATAAAATTAATAATACTCAATATGTTTGTAGATAGAAAAAGAAACACTAGAATTATTATCATTCGAATGTAACGTAAAATTATGTACACAAAATCGATCGGATTTTAATTATTTCATAATAATTAGGTATTGAACATTTTTCTTTTGTAAAGAATAATTTTTTTTGTAATGATACGTTTCAAATAACCATAAATTGACTGAATAATTTTTTTCACTTGTACATAACAGTATTTGTTTTATTTTGAGTAAAAAAAAATTGTTCCTTATTTCTGCAAGTCTAATTTTGAAAAACTAATTTGTACACGAATTTTTTATAATTTTTCTTTTTTAGTCAATTTAATTCCAATTTTATGTTTCTAAAAATTTTCGATTTTTTTTCGAATAGGAAAAATTTTATTCATTATTATTTTAAATAGCAAAAAAAAAAAAAAATATTCCGGCAGTGACATTTCTTTTGTTTCAAAAAAAAAAAAAATTTTTTAAAGGAAAGAAAAAAAATTACGCACCTAATTTCTATATCGACTGCCAAAGAATCTATTTATGCTAAATAAGATTTTAAATTGTTGCCTACTATTTTTTTTTTTTCATTATATGAACTAATAGATTTATCAAAAGTTAAATCGTAAAATATTATATTTTATCATATTCTGTATTTTCTCTCAAAGTTTATCACTTGTTAAAACATGAATTCAAATTTATTTTAATGTTACTATTTTACCAATATAACTTAAAACAATTCTATTTTTACTTTTTACCATAAGTAAAAGAAAATTATGATTGCATGATGCTTTGTAAATATTCCCGCGAAACAAAAAAAAAATACTTTCTTTAAAATCCAAATAATAAACTTTTTGCATTGCAGAAATATTTTTATCCTTTTTCTACGTATTTATAAAATTAAGATTGCTAAAATAAAGAAATGACAATTTTATTATAGGGAAAATAAAATGTAAAAGTGACTCCATATTATCGTATATTTTCCCTTTAAAAAATATTATTCATTTCTCAATTTTTGAAAACGGAATTTTTTCCTTGAGTGAGAATATTTTTTTTTTAAATTTAGAATATCCTTTTATTCTAATTTCTAAATAATAATCACTTTTGCTCTATAATTTCAAGCACTGCCGTTGAAAAAAAAAATCAAATATAAAATTAAAATTAGAAAAACCGTGAAACTAAAAAAAAAAAAATTTTCTCCTGAAAGAAAGCTTTTAAAAAAATACTCTAAAAGGTGATTTTTATTCTATATTGTTCCATTATTTTTTTTTGTCACATGCGTACATATTGTAAAGAAAAAAAACTTCATTAATGTATTTCGTGAAACGAGATATAAAAATCTCATCGAGAATATTTCTAATTGTATAAAAACTAGATGCGTTTAAAATAATTAGTAAAAGAAAAAATAAAATACGCGCGTTTCAGATCTCAGATGATCAAATATTATTAAAAAAATTTGTAGTTGTATAAATAAACTTCTTTTATCTCGTTCCTCGATTTTTGCCTTGAGAACAAAAAAAAAAAAATTAGTGTAAAATATGCGCTCTCTCTCTATCTCTTTGTAATTTTTAATTTCTAGTTCAAAAAAATGTTATACATTTAAATTATTATCGTATAAATAAATTATAAATAGAATGTCATAATCGAGACAACGAATTTAGAAAAAAAATATCAGTTTAAAAAATTCTTTTCTCAAATTCCTCTCAACAATTTGAGAATCGTTATTTAGTTCCATTTTTGGAAAAAAAACAATACATCTTTTATTGATCTTACGCGTCTCTCTTCACAATATGGAGACGAATTTGAACTATTGTGATTTACCAATAAGATTTTTTTTCCTCAAATTAAAAAAAAAGAAAAAAGAGGAAAAATGTAACCTTTATATATATCTAAAAATGTGAACTATAACGATACTCTTTTGTGATGTAAATTCATCCCATAAATCTATTATATAAGCTCGCACGTTATAAATCGAATTCAATTAACAAGAGGACTCTGAGCTTTTCTAAAAAAATTCTTTTATAAAACAAAACAATTTTTATTTCAAATTTTCAATTATTAAAATTTGAAAATTTTTTACTGAAATCATGATCTATTGATAAAATAGATAACAGATTTTTTTATTCGGAGAATCAATTTTTTATTTTCAAGTGAATTTAGCAAAAGTTTGGAGTTTTCTTGTCAATGAGGAAAAAAAGAAAAGCAAAATAAAAAAAAAAACTTGAGAACAATGAAAACATTTTATATACCTCACACTGTTGAGTGAAGTCCCTTAGATGATAAAATGTACGTTAATTAATGTTATTAATGTTTAACGCTCCACGGACCAAAAACAAAAAAAAAAGAAAGAGAAAAGAAAAATGAATGAAAATAAATAAAACGAGTTATCGCTCGAAAAAAAATTTTTTCTTGCAAAAACAGGAAAATTTGTATAAAAATATCTATTTCAAATTTGCATAATTATTAAACAAAAAATGATATATTTCGATCATTCCTCTTTGGTCCATAAATATTCTTACGAAAGCTTGCACATTTTGTAAGTATCGATGTCAATCATTATTTTTTATGAAAAAATAAGAAAATAGCATAAATTCATCTTAAGATAACAAAAAATTAATGATAACAAGAAAATTTTTGAAATATGACCAGAAATTTTAACACTAAATAATAATTATGAATCAATTTATCAAAAATCATTTTTACCTTCACTGGTAAATTTCTGTTAAGAAATCAAAAAAAAAAAAAAAAAATCCAGAAGAAAAGTTTTCAAAATACCAGACTGATTAAAAATGGGACTTCAAAATAATTATTTTTTCCAACAGCAAAAAATTTTATTCTCGAAAAAAATAAAAGTGAAAATTATTTATTTACTTTGTAATTTGTAATTAAAATTAAACATTAATTATTATTCAAATTATAAATAATTAATTAATTCTGCGACATTAATTAATTTTGATATTGAAAAAAAGAAAAAGTTTTTATAATTTACTTTGACTTCTTCGAATAAAAATTAATTTTCTAATATTCAATATTTTTTACATAAATAAAAACAAAAATTTACCAAAAATTTTATTTTATTTACAAGTAGTAAATTTACTTTTCAAAATGTAAATAAAGAATACCAATGTAAAATATAAAATTAAGAAAGATTATGGTTGATATCGATGACATATATGAGACGAAGGGAAAAAAAATAAAAATAACTGATAGTATTGTAATACACATTACTACGCATATGAAGATCACGGTAACATTAAATATGAAATTTATACACAAACACATTTCACACGCCATAATTATAAATAAATAAATATATACATACGCAATTAAAAAAAAATTATATATGTCAAAATAAAATCTTAATATTTGTAATTAAAAAAATATTAAAATATACCAAAGAAACAAAAACTGAAAATTAGAAAAGAAAGCATTTTCTGTTCCAAGATGATAATGACTAAAATAATATAATACGCGCTAATATTTTTTCAATGCACTTTTTCATTGCGGTAATAATTTTTTCAACTATCGACGCAGTTCGATTTATTATTGTAATAAAAAAAAAAGAAAGAAAACAAATATGTGATAATTATTGCATAAATCAGTTTGCCGTGTAGTGATCTTTAAAATAAAATATGTTGACGCCCAATGCCTTTTAGAATAAATTAATGTTCAACACACATTTTTATTTTCCATGCTTATTTTTAAAAATTATTTTCAAATTTAAAAAAATTTTTTAAAATTATTTTAAATTATTTTAAATATTTTAAATTATTTTATATAATTTTTTAAAATTATTAATAATTCCTTTTTTATTATTTATAATTATTATATAGAACTATTTTTAAGGATTATTTTTAAAGAATGCTTTTGAAGATACATTTTTTTTAAAATTATTATTAATTGTTTAATAATTAATTAATAATTTCTTCATTTCGTTAATTTTCATTATTATCGTTTGTTACTTATTTATTTTTGTTTATTCCTTAAAGGAATTGTAATAAAAGTTTAATTTTCGTTGTTTAATTAAGAGAATGTTTTTCTTATTTCTTTTTTAAATAAAAAAAATTACGATTTATTTCATTAAAAACGTAGCAACACAAAGGAAACTTGTACATGCCCATAAGAAAATATTTTTGCTGCATTATGCACCGAATGGAAAATTGACATATCCTATATGCGTATAATTTTTTTAATCCGCTGCCTTATACTTTTAATGCACGTTGCCTTCTGTAAAATTTGGTGATTCCAAGCAAATTGTGATTTCCTTATAAATATTATGTAATACAATATGTAATATATAAAATATAATATATACTATATAAAATATAATATATACTATATAATATATAATATTATATAATTATATAATTATATAAAATACAAATACAATTAACTGAACAATGTTATACCAATCAGTCACATTATTATTAAAGAAGAATTGGAATCACGAACCACATAACTATAAATATGTAAATAATTCAAAAAAAAAAATTAATGTATAGAAAAGCCTGCCTTATAAACGAAAAAAAATATATCATTATAATCATGCAGTTATTGTGCTATAAAAGTCTTATTTTTTCAAATTAAGAAACAAATCATTAAGGAAATCTAAATAAGCAGATTAAATTCTCCAAACTATTAAATTTTCTTTGCCGAAGTATTTCCAATGTAAAAATAATTATGTAATTTAAAAATGGAAAATAATTCGCAAAAAACTTAATTATAAATAACAACTAATTATTATTGATAATTAATTATTTATTATTAAATAATTAATGAACTAGTAAAAAAAATCATTACAACCCAAAAATTAATTATTAATAAGGATCAACTAATTATTATTAATAATTAATTATTTCTTAAGCATTTATAATTAATTATTAACACCAAAATACCGTAAAAATTAATTGTTAATAACAACTAATTAATATTAATAATTATTTGTTAGATAATAATAATTAATTATCAATCAATTTATTAATAAGTTCAGAAAAAGTAGTAAATAATTAAAAATTCGAGTTTAATATCCCCTCTACTTTTGAACTCGTTCCATTGGCTGCTTCTCAAGGTCACGAAACGCTGATTGGCTGTCGTAACATGACCTTGAGCGAGTAGCCAATCATAAAAGAGTAAGACCCATTTGGACCCTATTTTCTTCAAAATGGAATTTTCAAATACTTTTCCATTTAGATTTTCAATTATTTATTAATTAAAATCGATTAAAATTTCAAATTCAAGAAAATCTACGCAATTGTTAAATTAATGAAAAATTTTAGCAGAAATGGCAATTTACAGTCAGTGGCGTATTTATAGAATACCGTGATTATTATATGCTAAACTATAAGTAAAAAAATTCATGGTTTCTTTTTGTTCTATTGACAATTACTATCAATTATGTAGTTTCATTATTTTTTTTAAACTTTAAAAATAAAATGGGGACTATTGTGCACATTTACGTTTTAAATAACAAAAAATTCGATAATAAATATTAAATTAAATTTTCTTCGTCAATCTCTATTTTTATTTTATATATTTAAATAGAAATCGACAAAAAAAAAATCATTTTCAAAATAAGCATCAGTAATGAATAATATTATATGCGAACTGTGATGATTTGATGACGGTCGGAAAAAGAGCCGTTCAAACTATTTTTCGCTATTATAAAATATAAAAATGCAAATATAAATTTTTTTTTGGAGAGGGCTTTCTTATTTAAATAAAGAAAAAAAAGAATAAAAAAAATTCATACGCCATGTGTATTATACTATTATGTTTAGGTAATTACAGGTAATTCAATAATTGCACTGCACATACACTGACACAATTCATAACACAAGCATATTGTATATGTACGATAAAAGAAAAATTATTATTAAGACATACTCTCGAATCTACGAAAACGATTTTTGTCTCACACGATGCATTTCATTGCATGTATTATAATAACATACAAAACAAAGAAAAATATAAATAATACGACTACATTAAAAATTCTATAAGAAAAATAAAAAAATAATAATTTAACAGTCTTACATTTGAAAAAGAAAAATAATTAATTACGGTTATACGTATTATAGTATTATTAATTGTATCCTAATGACATTTGATTAACTGATTTATCGGCTGTGTTTGTAATGTATGTGATTAAATATTAAATTACCGATTAAAAGAAATTAATGGTGTTGTTATTTTTTCTATTATTTCCGAGCAATGTTTTATCCTTTGAATACGCAATTTTTTCGTTTCTAAAAAAATTCTTTTCTTCTTTTAAAAAATATTTTTTTAAACATAATTTTACTACTGAGTCAAACTAATTTTGAAAAAAAATTTTAAAACTCTTCTACTTTGCTTTTTAATTATTTTTACCTAAAAAAATATTCTCCACTATAATGAAGAGAAATAATAATCTACCCTTAAAACAAAATACGCCTTTTTTCTATATAAATAGTTTTATTAAATAAATAAATATAAATAATTTTTTGGTACTAGAAAAACATTTTTTGCTTTATGACGAAACTGAAACAAAAAGGTCTGGTTACGATTGAAAGACAATACAAATGGAATATTTCTTTAATAAAAAATTAATTTTACCAGTTTCTACAATAAAATGTCGCTTATTAGAACCTTCTGGGAATAAAATAATATTATTATATAAAATAATTTTTTTACAAGAGACCAAAGAAAACGAAATTACTGATTGTTTTACAAATAACAGTGACCATCCACTCGAAACATTTGATCATTTGAAAAACAATTAAAACATGAAGGAGTAATATTAAAATTTCTAGTTTATACATATGCTGCAGTCTTTCAATTAAGGCCAAATAAATTCTTCTCGATGCTCTGCTGCTGAATTCACTTAATCTTATTACTGTGTGATGTAATTTTGCATGTTCGCTGCATTCGTCTTCTGCGGAAAAAGAATTAATAAAAATTTTTTTTTTTAATTTTAATTAAATATCAATAAAAATATTATAAAATAAAATAAATGCTAGAAAAATTAGGAGAAGGAAATAATATTAGAAAAACTAAGGAACAAAAAAAAAATAAATACTAAACAAAAAAATAAATAAAAATATTAAAAAGCAGGGGAAAATAAAATAAATATTAGAAAAAATAAGGAGATGGAAAATAAATATTTACAAAATAAGAAAAATAAAATAAGTGCTTTAAAAATAAGAGTAAAATAAAACAGTTTTTATTTTCATAACTACTTTTGGAAAATTTGTTATTAATTTTCTTTTAGTTTAGATATTAAATTAAGACAAACCTATATGTTTGTGACTTTCGTATAAAGGATTCGGCAAATATTTGTCTAGCATAAGTTCAGCAAGATCAGTGGTATTATCGACAGTTTTCAAAATATTTATTCCAGTCTCAGTGGACATCATTTTGTCAGCCTGCTGCCAACTGTAGATTCTCAAATAATGAGCCTTATAATAAGTTCTCAAAGTGATAATTCTAACTCGTTGCTTTGTTTCCTGTTTAAAATCCTTAAATGTCTGCACTGCCGGTTGAAGACGTTTGGAGACTATTGATTTTGTTCGATCGAAGATCTATAATCAATTATCAAAAGGATATTAATAAAATTTGTTCTTTTTTCCCAAAAAATAAATGTTTTATCCTAATTTAATTATTATTAGTGTTTTTTTACAAAAAAAATTTTTTATCGTAATTCAATGATCATTTTTAATGTTCTTCTACAAAAAAAATTTTATTACAATTTAATTTTTATTAGTAGAGTTTTTCTGCAAAAAAAATTCTTTATCTTAATTTAATTACTATTAGTAATAAATACAACAGTTCTAAATTAATAATTGTAAATAGTTTTAAATAAAGTAATTTTGAAAAATTAGAATACTAATCATTTTTTAATAAAAAGTTATACCTTCTTTTTTTAATAAAAATGTTTAGTACAATTTTGTTTCGTATAAAGATTGTTTCGTATAATTTTTTTTTTTTTTAAATAGATGTAAATGTTTTTTGGATTAATTAAATGTAGTATATGATGTTTTTTGTTTTTTGTTTTTAAAATCGACTTATTTATTTCTCTTTTCTACAATATTTTTTTTCTACAATTCTTTTCTTTTACTATTTTTTTTTTTTTAAGGTTTTGTAATTTTTTCTTTTGGAAAAAAATTGATTCGCATAATTTTTTTTCGAAAAAAATAGTTTGTATGATTATTTTTCGTTAAAAAATAAATTGTTTCGTGTGAAAAAAGTTCAGTACAATTTCATTTGGTAAAAAAATATTTTGTATAACTTTGATAAGTGTGAAAATTGTTTCTTAAAAAAAAATATTTTGTATGAATTCGCTTAGTAAAAATTTTGTTTCTTAGAAAAATTATTTCGTATAATTTCGTTTAGTAAGAAAAACGTTTTGTATTATTTTTTTTGTAAAAATAATAGTTTTGTATAATTTTGTACATGAAAAAAATGTCTTTTACGAAAAAAATTATTTTGTAGGTATGATTTGTTTATTAAAAATTATGATAATTTAATAATTTTTTTATCTTTTTGAAAGGTTTTGTAAATTTCTATTTTGTAAAAAAATTGTTTTGCATAATTTTGTTTCGAAAAAGAATAGTTTATATGATTATTATTCGTAAAAAAATTGTTTCGTGTATTAAAAGTTCAGTGCAATTTCGTTTTGTAAAAAAATATTTTTTATAACTTTGATTAATGTAAAAATTGTTTCTTAAAAACAATGTTTTGTATGAATTCGCTTAGTAAAAATTTTGTTTCTTAAAAAAATTATTTTGTATAATTTCGTTTCGTAGGAAAAACGTTTTGTATTATTTTTTTTGGTAAAAATAATTGTTTTGTATAATTTTGTTTAGTAAAAAAATTATTTCTTTAAATAATTTTTTTTAGAAATTTTCTTCCTTATAAAATTTTGTGAAAAAAATTAGTATAATTGAGTAAAAAAATATTTTGTATAACTTTTTTTTTTGTATAAAAATTGTTTCTTAAAATTTCTTTTCTAATTTTGTTCAGTAAAAAAATTATTTCTTAAAAAAATCGTTTTGTATAAACTTGGTTAGTAAAAAAATTGGTTTACATAAATTTTTCTTGCATAATTTTGTTCTGAATATTTTTTTTAAATTGTTTCTGAGCCTAATACTTTTTCGTGAAAAAAAAATTCAAAATAATTTCAAGTAGGAAAAAGTTATTTTTGTATAATGTAATTTAGTAAAAAAAATTGCTTCGTGAAAAAATGTTTTACTATTAAAAAATCCTTTTCTTTAACTTTTTTTTGGTAAAAAATTATTTTGTATAATTTTTTTCGTAAAAAAATTGTTTTGTATAATTTCATTTCTTGAAAAAAAGTTTTCTGTAACTTTTTTTGTGTGTGTTAAAAGTATGTTGTGTATAATTAAAATATATAAGTTGACTTTCTTTACTTCTTTAGGTTCCTCTTTGATGATTGGTAATTTAACTTGGACAAAGTCAAGACCTTGACATAGAGTCTTGTCCAATGTGTATATTGGTTTTTCCATTAACCTGGCAACTGGCAACGATTTCTCAAGAACAGTACTGACGACATTTTCCACTCTGCCAAATGCCCAATTTGTCAATGGACTGACACCTTTTACCTTGCCATAAACCTCAGCTGATTTATCCCAAAGATAATTAACACTCGGAATTTGTAGTGCACGATCCACAGCTTGAATACGATAAACGGGATCCTGTATATCCCTGTCCATTTTCAAAATTACCAAGTTCTCTCATCGATCCTTATTTCGAACTTCTGTAAAGGAAAGTTTATTTTACCCAAAATGAAAATTAAATAAATTATTCTAAATAATTTTTTTTACATTTTTCATTTTCAAATTTACCAAAAAGTTTTTTCATCGAAACTCATTTAGAATTTCTGTAAAGGGAAATTTATTACCGTAAAAGTGATTTACTATTTTTTAAATTCATTTTTAAATATAATGTTTTACAAAAAATTAATTCGAGAAAAATTTTTATTAACTGCGAATAAATTTCTGATTTCAAAAAAGAGGGGAAATATTTCTCTTTCAAGAAATGAAATAATTTTGCCCTCTTTTTGAAAGTAATTGAGGGTTAAGTATATTGTAGAATTGATAAAAAATTTTTTTTTTCTAAAATATATTTTACATATTTGTTATTTAGTTTGTAATTTCCGTGGGGTTCTTCTTATCAAGATTGATTTGCGGTCAAAAGGGTGTCTACTTAGTGTCAATAACAAAAGCCGAGGCTAATAAATAATATCCAATGTAAAATATATTTTTGCAGCAATCTTAAATTTTTTTAAATTATTTATAATTATTAAATTATTATTATTGTCCTACTACCGAAATTGTCAGCCAATTTACTTTACTTTACTAATTAAATGCATTGTCAAAAATAAATAAAAAAAATTCATAGAAAAAAAAAAATTTTTTAATTGAAGTTTTGCTTTCGATTATAATTAAAAATTTTATTTTTACAAGTGACCCAGTTTTTTAAAATTTATTTTTACTCAATTTTCCAGTTTGTGTTAAAAATTTATTTTCAGTTTAACTTTAACTGTTTAATTTTTCAATTTTTTATTTAAAAAATACGGTTGGAAATATTATTTATTTTTAGAATAAAATTAATATCGATTATGATTGAGAAACTAAAAATAACATTATTGTGGTTAAAAAAAAAACGTTTACACTCTGCGGTGATAACTAGCAGAAAAAAAAACAATTGTCATAAAAGAATATGTCACCGTACTCGTGTGGTTGACGTGAAAAGGAAAACAAAAAAAGTACTCACGGATATTTTGCTGTTCGCGGCGACACGATCAAATGATTCTGAATGTTATTTCACGCAAATGTACCTTGATCTCTGACTCATTTACGGAAAAATCTTGTTTACTTCGAATCACTGACCGCCACGGAATTTACACTGTGTTTAAAAATTTTTTTAAAGAAAAATTTTTCTTTTTTTCAATTAATTCATCACTAAGAAAAAGTGTCAGCGAATGTGATTGGGGAAAAAGTATAAAATTGTAAATTTAAATTTAAGGGTGTATGCTTTCGATTCGTGTAGCCATGTTGGTTATTATTATTATTATAAAGTAAAAAATGGTTGTAATAGTAGCCGTGAAGGTAAGACATTTGTAACACGCAAAGGGGTCCAAAGGTTGTGTGTTCTTTATTGTTTTGCCTCACGCAACTTGGTCGATATCATTCTATATAATATATGAAAAGCAGGAATGAAAGTCCTCATGCACTTTTGCGCCAACTGCAACTCAACAGATGTCACTCGACTAAAATTCTTCTATTCAAAAATTTAAATTTAAATCCCAAAAAAAAAATTTTTCCTTGCATTCGAAATTCTTCTTTATCTCCAAAACGAATTTTCTGGTTCTTTCAAATATTTTTCTTTATTTTTATTTATTTACTTTCTCTTTATTATATAATTTTTCTTTAATTATATAATTTTATGAGTTTATTATATAATTTTATTAAGAAGAGATTTTTTAAAAAATTTTATTTAATAAAAAGGGAGAGAGAAAAATTAACAGTAAGAACTTCTAAATAAAAAAATGCGGAATAAAGTTCAATTATTTATATACATTATACTTGAAAATATTTATTATAGATATATTCCTCTAATACAACATTACAGGATTCATAAATACTTTATATATAAAATATTTTTGTAATAAAAAATATACATATTAGTAAAAAAATTTTGACAAACTTGCGATATAAAATGATTCTCAATAGAAGAGTATAAAAACTAATTTGAATTTATCACATTTTTAATGTATTTTATAACAAAATTTTGAATTTAATTGAAGTCATTTCTAAGAGTACAACGACAATATTTTCCCACGACTTATAAGTCGTTAGAAGATGAATTAGTTTTTAAAAGTTTTTTTTTATTTATATTGATATTCATACTTTCTAAATTTTGAGTAGAAAAGCACTCTTTTTTTTACATCTGTTTTTGGGTTCGTTGGAAAAATCCCAAACTTTTTGAAAAAAACAGTATTTTTTTATGTAGAATTTCATTCGGAATTGAAAAGTAAGAACTGCAGTATTGGTATACTGAAATTGATTCTTTTGACAGTAATATCATGACCATGAAACAAAAATGATGAACATTCCAATTTACTATGAAATTTCTTGCCAAACATGTAGGATAAAAGAATTTAAATTTCTTTTGTATTAAAATTCGCATTATGAAATTTATACAAAAACATCTTGATAAGTAATAATTCAGATTGTATATGTACAAAGTTGGCGGAAGAAAAAAGTGAAGTTATGCAATTAGAAAAATGAGAAAGAAAAGTAAATTTATAAAGGAATGTTGCATTTAATCGTTTGAGGAACAATATTTCATTTGTCAAATGAAGTACGTATTATGCAAAGTATTTCATATTATTAGTGAAAAAGATTATACTCCAAATGCAAAAACTGATCTTTAATTATGAACCAAAAGATGACCTACATTTACATTTAATAACAATGTAAACAATAGTTAAATGAAGAAACTTGTAAACATTGAAAAATTAAGTGACAATTAAATGAAGAATCTAACAATGAGGAATTTTATGTTTCATCATCAGCAGACGAAGAGTATTTGATGATAAAAGTTTGATTAAAAATTTAACAGATTATTATTCTAATCCAATTAGTTGAAATCAGTGATTCAACCTGTTTAAACGTGTTCATTTATCGTCTTACGTGTGTAAGACTTTGCAAATTACTGGATTACTATATCCAATAATTTGTTTTATAATTCAATTATAATGCAATTTTTTTTTAAATCTTTATAATCTTTGCATTTATAATAATCACTAAGGGTAATTTTAGTCATCCTTAATGTTTATTCTTTAATTCATAATAAGCAATTAAGAAGATTTTCATTTCAGGTGCAAAGTAAAAAATAAAATTCTAGTGGGCAAGAATTTCCTTAAACGTTTTTAGAACGTTTCATGCCAGACAAAAAATATTTCAGAACATTATTTGAACATACGTTGTTCTTAAAATGTTATGGAACATTACTTGACGGACATGAAACGTTCTAAAAAGATTTGAACAAAGTTTTTGGGACGAACGTGCTTTTTTCCCACTGGGATACTTGATAATGATTTAGATGGTACTATTTTTTTGGGAGAATTTTAGGAAATAAATGCGAGAAGATGATGAACCCTGGCCCTTAAATTAAAGTCGAAAAATTTTTGCGTATGCCAAAATTGATCATATAGAAAACAATTTCAATATACCAGCATTCTTAGTTTTATGAATCACAAGTGTAAAGTTTTAGAAACAATGACAGTTATTTGTAAAATAGTTTTCGATTTTAAATCTCACTAGGACTTATTGGGACTATTAGGACTCTCCTCTTTTTTCTCGAGATTTAAAAACTGTGTTAGATGAAGAATCGAGACAACGTTTGTAATGTACGTTGATACATCTTCCTTCTTAATGGTCTTCAGCTGAGCCGAAATGGAATGATATACACGATTAGCAGTTTTTGTCGATAATTGACCAATTGTTTGCACAGCGTGCAGTACTTTGTTCTCGTCTGCTGACACTGGAGCTGCAAAATTATTTTTTTATTAATTGAAATGTCAATAATGGAAAATAAATTATTTCTTGTTAGTAGAAAGAAAAGGCAAAAGGAAAAATAAAAGAAAATAATACTAACTCTGTAAGAAGGCAAGCTAATAAATATTTTATTCCAAATAAAGATTAAATATTTGTGAACCTAAATAAAAATTTTTGAAAAAAGTAGAGGGAAGGAGAAAATATTTACCAGGTTGAGTATCCTCGCCAGGAATCGGTGGGAAGAAATGGTCCAGTAGTTTCGTGACAAGAGCACTGGTACTATCAACACCTTGGACGGCCAATGTTCCACAACGTGTGTTGAGAATTTCGTTTGCCTTGTTTATGCTAACATCCTTCAATGAAGAAGCCTGTTGAGTTGCCGATTGTTTTGCATTCATTAAAGTGTCAATTGTTGGTTGCAGTGAACTGCTCATCACTTCTTTGGCTGCATCATAAATCTGTGAATTGCAAACAAACAAAATGTTTCACATCCAGTTTACTATTAACTCATAAATTATGTGATTTCTCCTGTTTAAACGTGTTCATTGCTGATTACCTTTCTGCTTTTAGTTTGAAAAATTCTAGTTCTAAATATTTTTTTTCAGATTACAGATTTTTATGGCTACAAATAGTAAATGTGTACCAAATAACTATTGGTATTAAAACCTAATGCAAAATTTACTATTAACTATTAAATAATCATTGATTCCTCCTGTTTAAACGTGTTCATTTCTGACAACAAAAATTATAACACCTTCTCGTGCGATGAGAATAAAATTAAATTTATTTTAAGAAACATTTTGCAATATAAAAATTAACTCACCTGTTGAGGTGGTTGTTTCATTATTGGTACTTTTTCCTCCACTACGTCTAAGCCCTGACACAATTTTTGATCAACAGCATTAATTTGTCCCTCAAATTTTTTTGCAAGTGGCGTTGCAATTGGTGCAGCTGCTGCTGTGGCTAAATTAAGACCAGCTTCAGCATGACTTAAAGCCCAATTTATTAAATGATTAGAATCCTTTAGATAATTGTAGGTCGATCCAGTTCTCTCAATGGCAGAATGTATCACAGGAATATTTTTTATTCGATCAATTGCCTCCAGATGAGGTCCTCCATTTGTAGGCGTTGTTGGAGTTTGTGGTGGTGAAGCCATTTTTATTTTTCTGGAAAAAAAGTATTTTCTAAAAAAATTTTGTCTTATTAATTTAATATATAAAAATATAAAACTGAAATTAACAAAATAGTTAATTTTTCAAAAATTTTGTTTTTGTTTTAAACAAAAAAATATTTAATTTTCAAAATTAAGTGCGTGACAATTTCAGCTTCATTATAAACATTTGTTTTTAATATCTAAAAATTTCTTTTATCATTTAAATTTATAATTCATTTATTAATTACACCTGCATATAATTAATGCAGTCCCAGATTTTTATTCGTAAATGAAAATTATTTAAAATCAAATTCAAAAGTTATCTGATGTTCACTTTGGAATTTGGACTCCTGACAGTAGTTCATAAACGTATTCTTAATGATTCTTCACTAATGAGCATTTTTATTGTAAATATCAAAATGACAATCTTACCTAAATCAAAAATGTTCAATGTCCAATTTTATCCTGTCGGCTGTCACGTATAAAAATTTGTTTTTAAATACTCAATTTCGATCCTTTAGAATTTAGAAAATATATGTAATTTGAAAAAATAAACAAGTTGGACCAAATACAAGAAGAAAATAAAAATATATTGATAATTAAAATTTAATTAAAATAAATGAGATATTTCAATTGATATTTTTCAGTAAGATCCTGGTATGTGTGATGTAAATATAGAAAAAAAACTATCAATTTCATTCAGTGGCCTTCAAATGTTTGAAAACAAATTAATTTCAACAATGTTCAATTACAAATCACGCGCACAAGCGCAGAAGCGACTATTTCTTTTTTCTAAGGAAAAAAGCGTTAACATTTTCTAGAATAATGTAATTTGTATGTTAATTAGGTGTATAAGAAGAATTTACAGTCAATTAAATATTGAATATTTCGCTTTTTATTGAGAAAAATGGACCAATTACTTTCTCTCCTTAATTTCCCATAAAAGATGACTTTCTCTGTGCGTATACTTTACGTTTGACGTATTGCAAAAAAGTGGAACACAATTTGTCGCATAAATGCCGGTTAGTGCAAAAAATTTATCGCAGAAATGCGGTAGAAAATATAAAAATGTTAATTAGTGACATAAAATAGTTTTAAAAAATCCCATTGTTTTCAAAAATTTTCTATTTTATTCTTAATTTATTATAACGATCACGGTGTTTTAATTCTTTGCATTAATTATTATTTATTATTTTATGCACAATGAATTATTTTATTCATAAATAATTATTTTTTATTTTATTAAGTATATTATTAATTATTTTTCTTTTATTATTTTTATTAATTATTTTATTCCGTAATTTTTTTTCATGACGAAAAAATTGTTTATTAAATTCAACTAAAGTTGCATCACAAGCGTTGACTCGAAAATTTATTTAAATACAATTTTCCATTTACTATCACTTAAAAAGTAATTTAACAATAAAAAAAAGATAAATCTAAACACTAAAAATAATGAATCGGACTTTATGAATTTCAATAAAAAAAATTTATTGTTCTCACTGTAATTGTTTTTATTAGAAATAAATTATTTAATGCCACTAATTATAAATTATACGTGTATAATTATAATTATACTGTAACTATTTAATAACTTTCAAAGAAATTCAATTGCACAAAAATTTATGAAATATGTTTTGTAAGAGATGAATGAAAAACGTGTTGATGATGTAACACGTCAATTTATTTTCGTACATTTTCAATATTTCGAGTAGTGTATCAATTTTTAAAGAGAAAAATAAAATTATTTATATTTTTAGTAATAGTTAGGTAGAATATTTTTTCGAAAAAGTGTGTTATAGTTAAATTTTTTGCTTACTTGTTATCAAAGAAATTTGCGATGCAAGGTTCAAAATTTCAAATATTCTTTGCTTCCTAGACACTTTTGAATTGTATGGAACGAGAAATAAGTTGATACTGAAATTTCAGAAGAATATACACCGGTAGTCAGACATAGAAGCAGATGGAGAGGGTCTACCGGTTACAGTGCCGTAGTATTAGATTCCTTTTTATTTTCGAAAGTTCGAGATAAAAGTGTGATTGAAATATTTGATGTTAACCATTAATTTATAAATAAATAAATAGGAGAAAAATTATTTTGAAAAACTATTACTTTTTGAGTAAAGTTAAATATTTGTTAACATACGTTAATTATTGCTCTATTAATTTAATTTTTTCTTGGTCTTACTTTTTATTTATTTATTTATAAATTCATAATATTTATTTAATTATTTATGTTACAGTAATCGTGACTTGACGATTTTTCTATTCAGAATATTATTTTTTATTTATAATATTAATTTATAAATTATTCATTAATTTTTTTATTTTAATAAAAGATATAAAATAATAGATAATAAATAATAATAATAAATTAATATTAATAATATACTTAATATAATATAAATAAATAAAAATTACAAATTATTTATAGCAACTGTAAAGAAAATAATAAATTTAATTTCCTAAAAATATTTGATAATAAAAAATTATTTAGCTAAATTGTTAAATATGAAGAATCAAAAAAATTGAGCAATAAAAATTAAAAAATTATAAGCGAGTAGGGACTGTAGTTTAAATGCTACTTTCCTGGTACAACAACTGCTCTTGCGCATAAGACGTGGGGGTCACTTCGTTGGACTCATTACTCATCAAATGATCAGACCATAACTTCTGATATAGTATTTACTTCTAATGACGTTGATCAAAATCATGTTAAATCATCATACCTCACGCAATAATTGTTCTCGTTGTGCTATTCAGAGGAATTTTTATTTTTTGCATTATTATTAATTTTTCTTTGATAATCATATTTTAAGTACAATACAAGGTGTATAACTAGAAAAATTTATTTGATTCAAATAAATGATTGTTTTACTGTTATGAAAAATAAAAATTTATTTATTTGCACCAAAAAAAATTTTATTTACGTCAATTAAATTATATTTGCTTCAAATACAGAAATTATTAATTCAAATTGTCACATTTTAATTAATTTAAATAAAAATTATTTGATTCAAATTAATATTTATTTGATAATAGTATTTATTATTAACTAATTATTATGAAGTTATTATTAAGTATTCAGATCTTAAAATTTATTTCATCGAACATAAACTAATAGTTTGTAAAATCCAATTATTTATTTGTAATTAAAAAATATTTATTTTACTTTTAGTTCACTTACCAGTTTCTTTATTTCATTTCTTTTTCTTATTTTAGAATAATTTTTGTTTTATTTTAAAAAACTATTTATTTAAATTATGAAATAGCTTTTTTTAATTCAGATGTTTAAAAAATAATCATTTCTTTAAATAGATAAAAGAAAAAAAATTTTCTCTTTCAACAAATAAGAAAATTTCTAAATTAATAAACAAGATAGAACTGTTTATTCAAATAAATAGAATGGAATATATTTTTCTTTCAACAATTTTGATTTCTGTTTTTTTTAACGAAAGAAAAATAGCAAATAATAACTAGAGGAAAATTCATAAGCAACCATTTTTTATTAATAAAAGAGCATTTAAAAAAACAATAATCAACATAATTATAATTTCATGATTAACAAAGAATATGTATAAAATATTAATCCGTCGCGAGACGTTATAATAAAATTTTTATAATATTCTAAAATACTATATTTAAAAATCTCTTTTCCTCAACTTTTTAACCTATAACAAAAACAAATTTTTTAACCTAAACATTCCAATCGATTACGATCATAAATCATGATACTATTGAATCTTGATTGTCTTCTGTCCCTTGTGTCTGTGAAAATGAGGCAAAAATGTATAAAGACGTAGCAAATGATAATTATATGAAAACTAAATATAAATATCAATGCTAAATTTGCAGAGAAATAAAATGTACGCGATGAATTATTAATTTGTCTTCTCCTTCGATTTCGTTGGCGGCGTTTTAATTGTTTGCACTTTACCGTTGATTCCATGCAAATAACGTGTGATATGAAGAAATTCCACGAGACTACCAACATAGGCTTTTAAAGTATCTTTATTCAATGTCCGATAATGATAGACCACATTTGCATAAACACGTCGTGCCGCCTTGTTTGAAATTCGTCCCATTGTTTGTAGAGTGTGAAGTAGTTTGTCATCTTCAGCGATAATTGATTCTAGAGTACAAACACAATAAATTAAATAATTATTTATTTATTTATAAATTTAAATGGATTTCAAGTTAATTAAATATAATTTTAAAAAAATTTGTGGATGTCAGGGACCAACTAAAACTGACATCGAAATTTTATGTGCGGCTCAAATCATCAAAGAATGAGATAATTCCCTATTGTGATAAATATGAAGTTATTACAATTAAAAAAAAAATTGTGGAAAGAAAAACTAACCGGAAATTTGTTCTTCCTCAATGGGAGGGAAATATCTGTCAATAAGTTTATCGACAATAATTGCAGTACTGTCAATGCTCTGCACAGCAACGGATCCATAATGTGTGCTTAAAATTTGATTAACTTTGTTCCAACTGATTTCCTTCAGGGATGTGGCTTGCGATATAATTAGGTCATTTGCATGTGAAATTGTCGAAACCGCAGGTTGCATTGTTTGCAAAGCTAGCATGTACGCATTTTCCAGAATCTGCAACAAAAGTTTATAATTTTCTATATATGAGAAAATAAAATTTGTTTTATTAATCCATTCACAACAAATTTATTTTACTCTCATCAGTTGCAAACAGTAATTCAACTTGTTTAAACGTGTTCATTTATTCTAGAGACAAAAATACTAAAAATTAATTATATAAAAATTACTATATTTTTAGTAGAGAAAATTATTTTATTTTCTTTATCTGTTCAGAAACAGTGATGGTTATTATTGATTAATTTATTATTAATTAAATTATTCACACGAAAGTTATTTTACTCTCATCAGTTGCAAACAGTGATTCAACTTGTTTAAACGTGTTCATTTATTCTAGAGACAAAAATTATTCTATATTTTTAATAGAGAAAAATATTCTGTTTTCATTATCTGTTCAAAAATAGTGATGGTTATTATTTATTGATTTATTATTTATTAATTAATTCACACGAAATTTATTTTACTCTCATCAGTTACAATTAGTGATTCAACTTGTTTAAACGTGTTCATTTATTTCGAAGAAAAAAAATGTATTCTATATTTTTAAAAAGAAAAAGTTATTCAATCCTCTTTAGCTATTCAAAAGCACCGACAATTGTTATTAGTTAATTTATTATTATAATAAATAAAAATTATAAAAAATTATTCTTTATTTTATGTAGAAAAATTATTCTATTCCCTTTAGCTGTTCAGCAACAAAGAGAATTGTCATTAATTAATTTTTAATTATAAATTTATTAACATTAATTTATTTATTTTAAATTTTATTTTAGTCAGTTTTACTTTCAGTGATTTAACCTTTTTAAACGTGTTCAATTACTCTGACGATTAATTAATAATTAAAAATAGAAAAATTAATCTAAATAGTTAAGTTAATTAATTTTTATTTATAAATTTATTATTATTAATTTATTCGCATTAAATTTATTGTAGTCAGTTGTACTTTAAGTGATTCAACTTGTTTAAACGTGTTCAATTACTCTGACGATTAATTAATAATTAATAATAGAAAAATTAATCCAAATAGTTAAATAGTCCTCCAACTATTTAGCTTAATTTTCTTCTTTTTTTCATTTCCTAAATTTTTGAAATTCTTTTATATTCATACAAAAATTCAGCGGATTTCTACCCTGATGCATTTTCAGTAAAATGAGAATAATCCTTTTTTTGTCGAAGGAAAGGGAAATTTCATACTCTCTAAAGATATTTAATAGCTATAATAAAATTTTAAGGAAAAAACTGAACCTGTTCGGGTTGCTCCTTGACCAAAGGCACTTTTTCTTCGATTTTATTGAGACCCAGACAGAGAGTGTGGTCAACGAAGTGTATTGGGGTTTTAAATTTCCTGGCGATTGGAACTGCAATTGGCACTGCTTGCTTTGTTGCTCTCGTTAGAGAATATTCAGCAGTCGATAGAGCCCAATTTAACAATTGATACGAATCTTTCACCCGAGAATAAGTACTTGCCGATTTTGAAAGGGCAAATTCAATTGTCGGCAGATCGAGAACCCGATGAAATATTTCCATTTGAGGCAAACGCTGCGAATCGGTCGTCATTATTAAGGCTTTACCTGTAAACCAAGTTTTTTTTATTTTTCTTGAAGTATTTCTATTTTTTTGATATATTTATTTATTATTTAAATTATATATGAGGCATTTTACGTGAAATGTCCTAAGTTGAAATTTCAACTTCTTGAAAAAAATTGAAACTCGAGGAATTTGTTGTTCTATCAAGTAGAAATGTGACCCAAAAAATATTTTTGATTTTTTCGAAAAATTGGAGGGGGTAGAGGGGGGTCAATTTGACCAATTTTGCCAACATCGGCTACTTTGTGAATGTTTCCAATGGTGTATTTTATTTTTTAATATTTTAAAAATTTACCCTAATTTTTGATAATTTATATTTAATTTTCAATTTCCCAAAAATCGGTCCGTTTTTTTTTTTAATAAATTATTGCAAACGAAAGCTGAGGTTTTTTCCTATCGGCATGTAAATTTTCAGAATGCCCTTTTTTTTTGTTTTTGAGTTATTGAATTTCAAAGAATAAATTGCGGCGCGCAGCGTCCCGGGCGCCTCGTCTCACGCCGGTTGCCATGGGTTGCCACGCGGCTCAGTGCAACCGCGACGCAGCGCGCCGCAATTTATTCTTTGAAATTCAATAACTCAAAAACAAAAAAAAAGGGCATTCTGAAAATTTACATGCCGATAGGAAAAAACCTCAGCTTTCGTTTGCAATAATTTATTTAAAAAAAAAACGGACCGATTTTTGGGAAATTGAAAATTAAATATAAATTATCAAAAATTAGGGTAAATTTTTAAAATATTAAAAAATAAAATACACCATTGGAAAGAGGACGAAAAAACCTTTCAGAAACATATTCTAAAAAATTTTTCCCATTACAAGTATGTTCAGAAAAAATTCACAAAGTAGCCGATGTTGGCAAAATTGGTCAAATTGACCCCCCTCTACCCCCTCCAATTTTTCGAAAAAATCAAAAATATTTTTTGGGTCACATTTCTACTTGATAGAACAACAAATTCCTCGAGTTTCAATTTTTTTCAAGAAGTTGAAATTTCAACTTAGGACATTTCACGTAAAATGCCTCATATTTCAATCTTTGCATGTCCCTTTCGAGATACTCGATATTTTTAAAATTTACTCGTACATTTATTTCAGTTACCATTGTCTGATTGTTATTGTAAAAATAATAATGATAATAAAAATATTGATAAGAGTAAAAGTTGAAATAAAAATTAATTATAATTAATATTCAAGTAAGTAAATATTAATAATGAATAAATGTAAAAATAAGAAATGTTCTACATCATAGTTTTAAATATTTTTAGATATTTTTTTAGGATATTTATGTTTATAAATATTTTTTAGGATCTAATATAATTTCGTACATTTTATAATACAATTAAATTATGTCTATTAATTAAAAAATAATTTATTACTTCATAATTTATATTATTGAAGAGGTTTCAATTTGAGAAATTTAGAAAGCTTTCACTTTCTCTGCGACAAGGAACTTTCAGAAACAACTTTTTTTTAGGAATATTTTCTGGTTGAAGAAGTTCAAAGGGGTTATAAACCTCGGCGGACTGGTGAGTTTCTCGTCGAAGAGAAAGTGAATTATCGACTTGATTATTGTCAGTAAAGTAGGTGCAAATCAGCTGTATTTGTGAAGATAAACTTTTCCAAGTATTGGTTTCAAGATCTAAATGAAGATAACAAAAGATGCACTTATTTTTTTCTATGGTAAATATAAGAAATTTTTTCCAGGCCAATATTCTGTTATATTTGCAACAATTAAAATATTCTGTTTTATAATTATATTGAATAACAAAATTAATTTAATTTAACAATTAATTATAAAATAAAAATTTAACAATTATTTATAAAATAAAAATATAACAATCAATTATTAAATAAAAATTTAAGAATTAATTATTAAATAAAAATGTAACAATTAATTATTAAATAAAAATGTAACAATTATTAATTAATTAATTTAAGATATTAAATAAAATAAATTCAGCCTGATTTCAATTAAAATTATTTTTTCCAGCTGGCAATAAGTTTAACCAAATTAATTAATTTACAACAATTAAATAATTGTAAATATTAAATTACATAAAATTTAACTTAATTTTAGTTACATTTTACTTTTCTATTAATTTAATTATTCAGAAATATATTCTTAATATAGAAAATAACAAAACTGTAAAGATGTAGTAAAAATTTTCTAATAATTCAAAATAATTTTTATTTTTACTTTATTTTTAATTTTAGTCTGCAAATTTTTATATTTTCATTGCACCGAAAAATATGTACAGAACTGTTACATAATTATTTTAACAATTTTATTTTCAACAATTTTTGTCAAATAATTCTTTATGTTGAATTATTTAAAAATTCCAAAGAAATTAACTCAGTTTATTAATTAGATTATACAGAATTAATTCCTCTATAATATTCAGTATTCTCCATTAAATCTGCATCAATTTGTCAATTACATAATTATATTTTTATTTCCTCATCGCGTGATGTTTAAAAAAATATTTTTCATTCATATTTTTATTTTTACAGTTATAGTTAAGAAAAATTGTTTTCACACTTGTTATTGAATTTAATCCCGGAAGAAATTGTTAATAGAAAACTATTTAGATATTTTGTGTTAAAAATTGAACCGAAAAAGAAGAGAAATATTTTTAACTTAGTTTTAAATTGGAACCAATTGAATAATAGAAGATAATTATTGTACTTACTTAATTAGATGAAAGTTGTCAGAAATTCGAGGAAACGTGTGTTTGATTGTTGCAAAAATGATAGTGCTTGGTTAAATACGAAATGATCACTGCAAACAGATAAAAACACGCGAAACATTCGAGGCACATGCGCGCTGGTGAGAATTTAAACTAACCAATGAAAGTGCATATCTTTAATAAAAGAGAGTTCTGCCAAATGTTAAATGATTTTAACACTTGCCTGATGCAGGATTAAAGTCCATCGAGAGAAATCTTGTATTAATGAGATACCACGGGAATTATATCTTTCTCTCCATAAATTTCGTGTCTTTTTTATATATTATTTTTGTTTTATAAATTAATTAATTTTTTAATGTATTAGAATTTTTTTTATACATATTTCAAAAATTTTAAATTTATTTAAAGGACCTTAATTGTATAATAATAATTGTAATTTGGACCAAAGGCCACAAAAAACTACAATTATTATTATATTTCAAAAATCTAAATGTATTTAAAACTCTCTTAAATTTTTCTCCTACATTTTTTTTCTGTAATATATTTTTAAAATTTATTTAATTTATTAAAGTTTACTTTTAAAATATATTTCAGTCTTTTGCAAATTGTTACCAACGACTTTTTAGAAAATTAAAATAAAATAAGTGAGAAAAAATTTATATAAAAAATTTAAGTAATATGTATAATTATTATTTAATTAATTAATATTGATTAATTATAAAAATATTAGGTGACAAATTAAAAATTACAAAATAAGAAGTAAATTATTCCTTTTCTCAATCTTTATTATAATAACTCACTTTTAATATTAAATTCATTACACTTTGGTAGTTAAAATAAACACTTTTACATTGTGTCAAAAAAAAAAATAAAATTACATTTATCGCTAGAATTAGAAAAAAAATTTATACTATCTAAGAATGAAAAATAAGTATAATTATTTGTTCATTTGTCTCTAAATTCTTCAGCAAGATTTTTTATCTTCTTTTTGCCGTACATTTCCATCTTCATTCTTTCAAACAAAAAAAATCTGAAATTAAACTCTTCTTAATTTATTTTAAAATTGAAAATAATTATTCAATTCCATTTACAGGTGGATTGGAAGAGATTCTCATATGATTATTGTGATTTTGATTGTGATTTGCCTTATGCACTTGAGGTCTTCCTGCCAAAAATGCAGCAACTTGTTCCTAAAAGAAAAAAAAATCCCCTATACCAGAATTCTGATTAGAAAAAAAAATGCTCTATGAAAAAATATTTATTAATTAGCTAATTAATTTTTCCATTTGTACGAATTTTTGTAACATAATGCAACAAAATTTATCAAAATTTTTTTTTATTTTTTTATTATTTATTCAATATTTTATTTTTGTTTACTACTTTTTAGTTAATTATTATTACTTAACAATTACTTGTCTTTAATTTACTTGTCTTTAAATTGTATTTGTATTTAAATGTATTTAAATTGTATTTAAATTTAAATTTATGTTTAATTACAATTTTAAAATAATTTAAATAATATTTAAATTTAAAATCTTGTATTTAAATCAATAATTTTTATTTTAATCAAATAAATTATCTTAATTTGGATCAATAATTTCAGTATTTGAAGCAAATACAATTTACTTGACTTAAATATAAATTTATTTACTTTTAGTTAATTATAACTTTCTTTTTTTGCTTATTTATTACTTTCTCATTTTAAGTTTTTTATTAATTTTCTATTTTTACATATTTATTACTTTTTTATTTTTACTTATTTATTATTTTCCTATTTTTACTTATTTATGATTTACTAATTTTTACTATTTATTATTTATTAATTTTCAGTCATTTTTTTTTATTTGCAAAATAATAGCTCACGCAGGCCTCGTACTGAATTTAGAAATAAAAAATAGTATCAAAAGTTGCATAAAATTTTCGTAATTTAAATTATTCTTACAATAACATTTTTTTGCATTTTTATTAATTATAAAAAAATTTCTGAGGGTTAAAATATTGGTTCAATTTCTCCACTTGAGAACGTCAAGGTCGCCACCAGGTGGCAGGAGAAATTCCAAGAAAGAACTAAACTGCCATCTAGCGGCGACCTTGGCGTTCGCAGGTGGAGAGTAGCAACTCCATATTGAATCTCAAAATGTTCGTCAATATTCGTAATTCTATAATTATTTATAATCTATTTTTATTTAATATTTATTAATTATTTATTACGTACTAATAATTGATTTGTTGTTGAATTGAGCCTATTGATTGCTGTATTAATGCCGGATTTGCTCATATTATAGGCTTCCTGTTTATCAACTATTGGCGCTGCCTATTAAATGATAATATATAAAATATTGAAATTAGTAAAAATTATTTATTCATGGATGAAATATTTTGTTGTTGTTTATTATTTATAAAACCTTAATGGCAGCATCGGCGATCGAGAGCATTTGATGTGAGATTGACACCAGCAATCTACCAAAAACTCGTGGCGATCGTGAAGCAAGAATTGTCGTTGCATTCACCAAATGAACAATTCGGCGTGCAAATTCACGTGTTAGAAGTACTAATAGTTGTTCCAATGTTGCTGGACGTGCTTGATTTTCCGGTTCCGGTAAACTCAGTGTGGCCCATAATTCCTTTGCTTTTTGATAAGCCAGTTTAGGGTCCGTTGCTATCTATCAATTTTATTCAAAAAATTTTAAACAAATCAAATTTTTTTTCTGCTCTTTCTTTTTATTTGTTTTGTTTTTAATTAATTGTAATGTAAATATTTAAATTTTCTCTTAATTCTAATCAAATAAAATTTTTTTTTTTGCTGTTTCTTTTTATTTATTTTGTTTTTAATTAATTGTATTGTAAATATTTAAATTTTCTCTTAATTCTAATTAAATTAAATTTCCTTTCATTTTGAAGCTTCTGAATTTTTTCTTTCTTTGAATATTAAGAATAGTTGAGAATTTTTGTTTGGATAATATTTTTTATTGATTTATTCCTGTAATCTACTGTCAAATTTTATAGGCAAAAAGAATTTATTGCTTTCTTTCACCTTTAACAAATTTTCTCTGGACAAAGCGCTTATTGTTCTTTTATACCAGATTTTTATTACATCTGATATTTATTTGCAGTAAAAGAAGAATTTTCAAATAATTAAAAATAGGATATCGGTTAAAGAAGTTATTTTTGTACTTTTAACAGGTTTACTTTGTTCTAATTTTACACTAAAAAGAAAAAGAAATAACTTGAATTAAAGTAAATAATAAAATTATTTATTTATTCTGCTTTAATTTTATTAATTTGCAATTTTTTTTCATTGTTATTTAAAGAACTTGTGGAAAAAAGGATCAGACAAAAATAATAATTGACTGACTTCGATTCATTTCGTTTATTAATGAACAATAATTTTTTTTAATACACAGGTGAGAAATTCCCCGAAGAATAATATTAACAATTTTTAAAAAGAAATTTTTTTAAATGTAAAATATAATTTTTCTCTTTACCTGTTCCCTTTTGTTCTGTAAGTGTAAGTGTAATAAATAAATTATGTGTTGAAAAAATAAAAAATGGAAAATAAAAAAATAAGAAATTAAAAAGAATAAAAGAGAATAGGATTAGAAATTAGAAAAAAGGATTAGAAATACAAAAAGGATAAAAAGAATTGAAAAAAGTTGCAGAAAAATAAGAAGAATAGAAAAAGAAATTTAATAGGAATAAAAAATCTACTGAAAAAAGTGTTCAATTCCAAAAGAGTAAAATAGAAAAAAAATAGAATTTAATGAAATAAAGTAAAATTTTATTGATTTTATTTACTGAATTGCAATTCCCTGGACAATATTAATTTGAAAAAAATCACAATTTTCCGCTGTTAATTTTTATATTAAAAAAAGTGCGAACGAGTGCGATAAATGCAGAATATTCTCGCAGCTGATTTACATTTTATTTATCACGTTCCTTATAATCCAACGCGTTGAGGCAGTATTATTAAACGATTATAGTCGAATGATGAACGGTATTGCGTGATATCGAATAATAATAATACAAAGTTGCGAGAGATTGATAAAAAAAAATATATAAGTAGAAAACAATAAATATTTGAAAAACTTTTGCCTCAATTCATTTTCATTCATATTTTCAATCTTTCGAATTACTCATAAACTAATTTTTAATTATTATAACTATAATAACAATTATTATACTTATAATAACAATTATTATAATTATAATAGCAATTATTATAATTTTGATAATAATTATTATAATTATAATAATAATTAATATAATTTTAATTTTAAATAATTATTTACAATACATTAAAATTTTCCCTCATTTTCGCTGAAATTTTCCTCACGCATTTCCCAATCGAAAAATTCTTAAATAAATTAAATGCAACAGACTCGAAAAATAATAAAAAAAAACTATTTTTTTTTAAGAAATTACAAAAATTAATAGAAAAAAAAATTATTAATATTTATTTCCATTGAGATAGTTATAAATAAATGCGGATGCTTACTGAGCGATTTTAGTTTTTTAAAGAAAAATTTATAGATAATATTATATTTTATCAGAAATCATGTAACTGTTTATTATTTATAATATTCAATATAAATTTCGTGTCAAAGGATACGTGGAGATCGTTATTTTTTATTTATAATAATCTTATCAATATACGATAAATCATTCAATGTATATAATTATTTTAAATTTCATTTTGCAAGAAAATAATTTTTCTTACAAATTTTTTCAAGTTTTCCTCTTATTTAACTATTTTTATATTAATCACAAGTTAATTAGAATTTAAATTTTTAATTTTAATTCGAAATTTCAATTTTTAATTTAAATTCGAAATTTTAATTCAAAATTTGAATTTAAAATTTTAACTTCAAATTTGAATTTGAAATTCTAATTTGAAATTTTTATTTTAAATTTGTATTCAAAATTTGAATTAGAAATATTAATTTAAATTTTAATTTGAAATATGAATTCGTAATTTCAATTCAAAATTCTATTACAAAAAAAAAAATATTACCCCCTTGAAAAATTTTCATTTAATCTCTCATAATCAGGCATTTTTTCTATATCACATTTATAAGTGTTAAATTGCATATAATTATAATTTAATTATAATTATAATTTAATTGATAAAATTACAAAATCTTATTTTTTATTATCACAAATAGAACAATGTATTGTAATACTATTTCAATATTGCAGAGTAAAATGCGAAATATTGCATTGTAATGTTGATTATTTCCACCTTGTGACAATGGATAATAGGTTGCAACTTTATTTGTTAAACTTAAGGCAATATTGACGCAAAATATTGTTCTATTTGGCGAACTATTAGTTCTACTAAGAATGGCAATTTTTGGTGAACTTACGAGTTCAGCGACGTAGAGAAGAACAGCGATACATTCTGTTCCTTGATTTTTTAGTGCTTTTGCCTCCATCAATGTGCGTCGCGTTAGTCTTCTCTGTAATTTTCGTGAAAATCGCGCACCATGCTTTATTGTTCGCACTGTCTTACTTGTTGTTTCAACTGGAGCCGAATCGACTGCAAGTTATTAAAAAATAATTTTTTTTTTAATTAACATTTGAATTTTAATCAAGAATTTTTAATTTTAATTGAGAATTTTTAATTTTAATTGTCAATTTTTCATTTTAATGGTAAATTTTTAATTTCAATCACAAACTTTTAGTTTCAATGAAAAAACTTCCCAACATTATGTTTTAAATTTTAATAATTCGAAAATATTAATTTTAATTACAAATTTTGAAATTTAATGGGAATTTTTTTGTTTTAATTACAGTCTTCAGTTTAATTAGAAATTTACATTTTAACTACAATGTTTTAAGTTTAATTACGAATTTTTTTTTTCATTTACAAAGTTTTAAATATAATTGCAAATTTTTAAGTTTCATTACATTTTTTTTATTTTAAGTATAAAGTTTTAAGTTTAATTACAATTTTAGTATTTTAAATCCAAAATTTTAAGTTTAATTATGAATTATTACATTAAATATTAATTATGAAGTTTAGTTACAAAGTTTAAAGATTAATTACAAATTTTTAAGTTAAATTAACAATTTTTATATTTTAATTACAAAATTTTAAGTTTAATTACCATTTTTTTAATTTTAATTACAATGTTTTAAATTTAATTACGAATTTATAAATTTAATTACAAAATTTTACATTTCAGTGACCAATTGTAATTTGTCTTTTTAATTCAATTTATAATTTTAAAATGAAATTTACTTCTAATCCCAAATTTTAAATTTTAATAATAAACTGAAAAAAAGTGTTTAATAATAAAATAAAATTTCTTACCTTCAGTAATTTTATCACTGGGATCTCCTGGTAAATAATGATCGATATATTGGTCTGCGACAGATAAGGCTCCATCTAATCTATCTGCAGCTGCATTTGCAGCTAGGCTGCCAATTTGCTTCACACTGTCTGCTCTCATTAGAACTGGTTTGACAAATTTTTTGTTCACATACTCTTTCGTATTCCAGTACATCTTAATTGAAATATCATAAAAATGCATTAAAAATTTTTCTCCCCTAATAATTTTAATTGCTTATTCTGTAAAATGTTGCGCACAAAAAATAAATCACAATTTTCAAGGATTTAATGAATTTTAAATTAATTTCTTAGTTCTGATAAAATTTATAACATATATTTGTTTTCATAAAGTAATTTTTTTTTCACCTAAAAATTGCATCGATAGTTGATTGATTGAAAAAAACGTTTATTAACGTATTAAAATACGTTACACAATTTTTTAAAAATAATTTTATTAAGGTATTAAAATAAATTAAATAATTTTTTAAAATATGTAAAAATTGAATTAACGTGTTATAAAACATTTCGTTTTTAGCAAAAAAATTTAAAAAATTGTTTCTTTATGTTAAGTAATGTATTAAAATTCGTTAATTAATTTATAATTACTTTTAATTAACGACATTAGAATAAGTTAAATAACTTTTTCAAATAATTTAATTAACGTATTTTAATGTCGTTAATTAATTTTTGTTTTTTTAAAAAAAATAAACACAATTTTTCTTAACGTCAAGTAACGTATGAAAATTCGTTAAATAATTTTTTGTTAATGTTAACTAATGTATTAAAATATGCTAATAAACATTTTCTTTTAGTTAAAAAAATAAAATGTTTTTTTAATATTGTTTGAGAAATTAGCAGTTTTTATAAATCTTTAATAGTAAAAATATAATTTAATGGAAAAATGTAGTTCTCACATTTAATTAAATAGAAAATAAAAAATTTTTTTTTACTCACGAGCTGTGGAGGAAGATGAATTGCTGGTACTCTCAATTCAACGATATCAATTCCCTTGCATAGAATTTGATCGATCGTTGTTATTGGACCATTGAAAGCAAAAATTGCAGATTTTGCTGTTGCTGTTGCCGAAGCTAATGATTGCTCCATTGTATCCAAACTCCAATTCATTAGTGAATTTGATCTCTATAGAATTTTATTATATTTGTTATTAAAAATTATCTCTATAAATAGTCACACTGTAAAAAAATACTTAAAAATTTTCTTAAAAATGTTTTTTTTTAAATAAGGAATTTATTCTTGAAGTAAAGAATTTATTTTTGAACTAAGAAATTTACTATTAAAATAAAGAATTTATTTTTGAAATAAAAAATTTGATTTTGAAATAAAAGAATTTATTTTTTCAAATAAATTTTTACAAAATTTCTAAAGTGAATCAAATAATCAGTTCGCTGCTAGAATTCTACTGACACAATAAGGCAAGTCAATTCGAAAATTAAACAAAAAATGCCAATTATTGACGTCAATGTCATGAGGAATATGACAAGAAGAAAAGAATGAAGAAACAATGAACTTCAAAAATAATTATTCTCTAATAAATTTACATAAAATTATAAAAAAAGATAAAATGTTAAAATAAATAGTTTAATTGAAAGTAAAACAATAAATATAAAAAATATAAATAGAATAATAAATAGAATTTTATTAGTAATCAAAATTTCCAATTTTATAGCGTGAAAGTAAAAAAAAGGATCTTTTTCACCCCACTCTACTCTAGAAGTAGAGTAGAGTGATTGATTTTTATATATTGATTTTTAAAATAAAAAAAAATATTTTTTACAATAAATATAAAAATCATGAACCCTAAATGCAAATAAAAACGAACCTTAATCATATCGTAAACATTTCCAGCAATGCAGATACTGCTTTCAACAATAGGAAAACTTGATATTCTGGCAACGGATTCAAATTGCGATAGATCCGAGTGTCTTCGTTTGAAATTTGACCGAGCCATGTCACAGTAATTTGCTGCAAATGAATAAAAAAGGAAAATTATTCAAGTATTTGCTATGAAAAAGAAATTATGCTACAATATGTATTACTATTTTTTTTACAACAAAAGAAATTTTTTTTCTTTATAAAGTGATAAAACGAAGCACATGGTTAATAGTGTAAGTGATCACAAACACATTATAAAAGTAATTCTTTATAGTGTGTGTGAGTCTTGTGAGAGAAAAACTCGTATTATAAACGCAATGATAGATGTGTGAAAAGAACATCCGATAAGAAAGGTTACAATGTCATTTAAATGGTTAATGTCGAGGTTACAATATGACAGGTATTTTTATGTAAAAAAAATTTTTAAAGAAACGCTGCATTTTGACAATTAATTTTTATGTCAAAATATATTCTTGATTTTTGTTGTATGTAGTTTTTTAAACTTTCTCTTGTTAATTTTTATTTTTCTCTTGTTCTTGCTTGTTATTATCCTCTTATTCTATTAATTTTTTGTTCTTGAAAATTTTCTTCTTTTGTGTTTTTTTTTTGTTTTTTTTTGTACTTCTTCAACTTACTCTTCTTCATCTTCTTTTTTTTTGTCCTATTGTATTTATTTCTACATCTTCTTGTTCTTTTATTGTTATATATATTTTTACAAACTTTCTTATTTTAATTTTTTTTCTTCTTATTCTTATCGTCTTTTTTTCTTCATGAACATTTTCTTCTTTTTTGTGTTTCTTTTTTGTTTTTTTGTACATCTTCAACTTACACTTCTTCATCTTTTTGTTTTTTTTGTCCTATTGTAGTTATTTTTATCATTCTTCTCATTCTTCGAATTTTTCTTCTTTTTGTAATTCTTCTTGTTTTTCTACATATTTTTTCTTTAAGCTTCTTTTCGTTATTTTTCTTCTTTTTGTAATAATTTTTCTTGTTTTTCTACATCTTCTTTTTCTTTTTTGTTTTCTTGTTGCTTTTCTTGTTTATCTTTTTTCCTGTTGTACTTCTTGCTATTCATATTATTCTCCTCAATATTATCCTTTTGTTGTTGTGCATTGTTATTTTTTTGACTTACTGTTCTTTTTGTTATCATTGTCATTCTTTTTATAGTAATTTTTCTTGTGTCTTTTTTGTTCTACTTCTTTTGTTCTTGTCCATCTTCTTCTGACTCGTGTATTTCTTCTTGTGCTTTATTTTGTTTCTACAATTTTTCTAATTATTCTTCTTTGTTCTGCTTGATGTTGTTGTTCAGCATCTTCTTTATTGTACTTCTTCTTTTTCTTATTCTTATTTTTTTATTTCTTCTTTTTCAGTTGTTTTTTTTGTGGATCTGCATCTTCTTTCCTTTGTTTTTGTTTTTGTTGTTCAGCATCTTCTTTTTTTGTTATTCTGCGTCTTTTTTTCTTTATACTTCTTTTCTATATTCTTCTTTTTTCTGTATTTTTATTCTTTACCTTATTATTATTGTAACTGATCTTTTCTTTTTCTTTTTCCTTATGTTTTCTTTTTCTTTTTCCTTATGTTTTCCTATTCTTTTTATTCTTCTTGTATTTGTTTTTATTTTTTGTACTTCTTATTCTTTGTCTATTTTTTCTTGAAATTTATTTTTTTTAAATGAAATTTTTTTGATTCTTTTTATTTCTTTTCTTTCTTTATATTTATTCTAGTAAATAGTAAAGCATTTTTTTCTCTCTTCACATTTTTTTCTTTCTTATATAAAAATTAAAAATAAAGAATGTAAAAAAAGAATTTCTTCTTCTATTCTTCTTATTCTTTCTCTTCCTGTTCTTCTATCTTTTTTTATCTTCTTTTTCTTACAATACAACTACTACAAACAGCAATTTTGCCTATCAATCAAAATACAATGTTTTGCGTAGGAAAAAAAAACAAAAACGTGATTAACTTCCTTCAAGTTGATCACTTCATTAAAAAAAAACAATGCTGATAACCGACTTGTCACCATTCTCTTCATTCTTTTTAAAAACAAATATAGTCCTAAAGTTTACAAGAAGTCATTTTCTAATTCACGTTTCAATAATAAAATAAAAAAAAAATTATTATTGTCAAAAGAAAAGATTTTCTTTCACCAGTAATTTGAGTTAAAAACAATCGGACTTCTTATTTTTTTCATAAAAAATGTAATTTTAGATAAAATTAGATGTGTACTTTTATAAGAGTGTACGTTTTGTTACGAAAGTCAGATATATACATTCCGGTAGACTTTGAACTTTACAGAGCAAAAGTTCTCAAAACTCCGTTTAACAGACGCAATTATTAAATGCCAAAACGGGTTTTTAAATTTCTCTTTGATATATCTAGAAAGAAATTATTAAAATTAAAAAAAATTAGTAAATAAAAAATAAATATTTATTTATTTGGATATACAGGGATTTAAATTGACTTCGAAAGTGTCTAATAAAAAATAAACATTCTATTCTATTTTTAAAAAATGTTATTTGGAAATAGATAAAAAATGAAGATTTCGTTGTAATTAACAATAGTGAATATTGTCGTTATTAATATTATGAATATTAATTAGTGAATTAGTAAATGAAAATTAGTTAATTATTGTTCTAATTAACATTAGCAAATGTTAATGAAAATAATTTTTTTTCGAATGAGAAAAATTTACGAATTTAATTTTCATTATTTTTATTATTAAATCCAATAAATGTAGAATAAAAATTTAAATAAAATAAATTTAGTATTTAAAAAAATAACTTCGAGTTAATAACAAAAAAAAAACAAAAAATGAATTAACAATTTTTCTCAACTAAATTAAAAAAATTAACAATTATTTTCAATCGAGGAAAATTTAGTTTCCTCCTCTAAGTGCGTGGCATATGTTAGTAAAAATTAACCAATTGCAAATAAAGCTCTCCAGCAAGGAAATTTTACTAAAAATCCAAATTTAACTTACAGTTAGTGATCGTCATAATTTTTTATTCAGAAATTTCCAGATGACGGAAATTAATTCACAAAATTTATCATATCACAGGAAAAATTAAAAAAAATGAAGATTCGCTCTCAAAAGCGTAACAGCTTAGCTTGAACTTTGAAAATTGATTAAATATACATCTCTCGTGTTATACAAAAAAAAAGTAATGACGCGATTAAAATCTCGTAAAGACTGTTTGAGCCGGAATGAATCTCATGCCTCGAATGATGTTGAAAATATATATTCGTGAATTCGCTCGATTCTCACAATTACACACACACACACACAAACATTTACACTTTACGAGAGTTCTAAATGTATTATATACTTTGAACGGTCAGAAGGTTTTGTCGAGTATTTCACGGTGAAGGACACGAGTTGCCATTCACATTCAGATGTGTAACTAAAATTATTATTTTACAATAAATTATTTTAATAAGAAGAAAAATAAATAATAATTTTGTATTTGTACAATACAATAAATAATAATGTGTATGTTTTTATTTAATAAAAGTTTCATTGTATTATAATATAATTTTTTAACTTTTTTTTATTTTGTATTTTTTTTTCTTTTAAAGTTTATTAATTTGAAAAATTTTTACCTGTTCTGTGAATTAAATAAAAAATTCCATTTACCAGCGAGTGTGAGAGAAATTATGTATATATGTTGTCCCAGTGGAAAACACGAAGTCGACTGCACTTCGGAGGCTGCTGACAGTATCTCATCGGTTTGACCTATGACACATCAATTATATATGGGCACAATGACAGCGCTTTTCAATTATAAAATTCGTGCCGTCTTTGGTGACAAAATAAGACTAAATTTACAGTTAGAAATTTTTTTTTAGTGGTAATTTCTTTTTTTGTGAAAAGTGACAGTGACGAGTAGAAAGATATTTTATTGACAAAAAGTAAATTTCGCTTGTTAGTTAATTGGTGAAATAAATTGTATATTATTTATAATGATTTTCATTTTATTTAATATAAAATTAATAAATAAATAAAGAAAGAAAATTAATTAAAGTTAACCATCAAATTAATAATTAAAAACAAAAATTAAAAAATAATTCTGAAAAATTGGTTTTTTTTCTCCATTTTTTGCAATTATAATTACAATTTATATTTCACTTTATGTCATTGTCAAGTGATGTTTTTCTGTAACAATTTTAAAGAAACAAACAAAAAACGAGAAAAATAAAAAATCAAAAATTTAAAAAACGAAAAATTAAAATTATAATAAACTTATTTCGCTTATTTTGTTTATTTATAATTTTAAATATAGTAAACGAGATGAAAAGGAGAATTTTGTTTTGTACGATTAATAACAAATAAATTATTTAAAAAGAAAATTTAAAAAATAATAAACAGTAATTCCAATCAATTTTAACAACAAAAATAATAATAATAATAATAATAATAATAATAATAATAATAATAATAATAATAATAATAATAATAATAATATAAACCCAGAAAAAAGTTTCTGTGGATTTAAAGAAATAATTTTCTTTGACATGTTTCTTCGAATGAAAATTAAGTTTTCTTTGATTCAAAGGAAATTCATTCGATTGAAAAAAAAATTTTATTTGATAAAAAAAAATATTTTACTTGATTAAAAAAAATTTCTTAGATTCAAAAACAATTTACTTGTATCAAAGAAATTTTACATTTTTAAATAAAAGAATTATTTCTTTGACCCTTTATCAATGATAAAATTTCTTTAATTTGAAGAACAAATTTTTTGTATTCAAAGAAAGTTTTTTTAAATCAAAGAAAAGTTGTTTGAATAAAAAAAAAAATTTCTTTAAAATTAAAAACTTTCAAAAATTCTCTTCCAAAAACCCTCTCAAAAAAAAAATTATTTTGAATGATATGAAACGAATCTAAGAAAATGATTTCTTTAAATTGACAAAAAAATTTTTCTAGGTGTAATTATAAAAATAGTTATCAGAAAAATAATAATAATTCATAGACAAGACAAGTCGCTTTATTTATAATAAATAAAAAAAAAATTATGAATAGTGATTGAAAGAGTAATTGAATAATTAAAATAATAATAATAATAATTTATATAGTAAAATACTAATTATTATTATTATTATAGTTGCAAATATTAATAAATGAATTAATTTAATTAAATTAATAAAATTAATAAAAAAATAAATAAATTAAAAATAATTATTACGAAATAATAATGAAAAAAGTATAATTTTAATTATGAATGAAGAAATAGATTAAAATTGAGATGATAGCTTTTAATTTTTCTTAAAATTATTAACGTATTTTTATTACTACATCGTCTGAATAATTAAAAAAATCATTAACTCACATTATTGAAATGTATAATTATACGGACGCTGGGTCGGAAGAAAAAATTTATATGCAATCATCATAAGTTGAATTTGTGTAAAAGTGTGTTTAATAAAATTTGCAATAGACTTTGGAGCTTGTGAATTGTCATTAATGATAATAAATTTTATAATAAATTGATAAAACATAGAATATGACAATTCTCGTAACACGGTCGATGAACCACTGTCTAGGCTATTATTTTCATTCAAGGACGATTTTACTCCTCGCCATCTGCAACTGATGTTCACTGTTCTCCAAAATTTCATCATCAGGTCAAAAAAAAAAAATGTTGCTTGTAAATTTTTCTCTTTTTTTCAAATTTTACTCAATGATTTCTTGGTAAATTTTTATTTTACAAATATATGAAACATTTTTTTTACAGGAAAATTCCATTTTTTAATTATTATTTTTAGTTTTTATATTCATAAGGCCGTGATTCATTATTTCCTTTTTCTAATACATTTTTCCATTCTTCAATTTACGGATATTTTGATCATTACATTTTTTTACAAATAATTAAAGCATTTTTAAAAATAATTTTTCTTTTAAATTGTAATTACTTTTTTAATTAGTATTTTTAGTTTTTATATTCATAAAGGGCATGATTTGTTTCTTTTGTAATAATTTTTTTCATAAATGTTTTTTATTTTGTTTTAAGTTTGAAAATTGGAAAAAAAAGAGGAGATGAAAAATAAAAAAAAAGTCTTATGGAAAGAACGGTAAAATCAAGGACTATGAACTATTGAGGCTCTAAATGCATTCACGTGGGAAATGATCGATAAAGGGTCAAGAAAGAGTAAAATATAAAGTAAAGTATAAAGAGTAAATTCGAAATTATCACCAACAGACGGCATTAATTGCAAGCAAAGTCCACAACATTTTATTTAAAAAAAAAATGTGAAAAAAATGAAAAAATGACAAAAGTAACAAATCTCGAGCATCTCATTTCTCACTTGCGCCTATATGTCGTTACGTGTCATTTCAAAGATTAATTGATTCCAAGAAATTATCATAATTATGAAGGGCACCGCTTAAATCATTCATCGAACAGTTAAAATGCAAATTAAAAAAAAAACTGGAAACATTATTTAATTTTTCTTATCAAAATATTTTATAATGCGATTACAAAAATCGTTATACATTTTACTATCAAGTATAAATTTTTCAAGTGCTATTTATAAATTTTTCATTTCTTTTTCACTTACAATTTCGGCCATTTTAGTAATTTTTTAAAATAATATTTCATACAATACAAATAATATAAATTTATTTCTTTATATAAATTAATAATTTTTTGTTCATAAATAAAACGAACTTTAAAAAAATTTGTTAATAAAATTACTTTTTATAAATCAATATTTCAAGTTTTAATTTTCATTCTTAATTCATAAAATTTTTTCCAAATTCTAAAAAAACTATTTTTTTATTTTTACGAAATAAATATTTTAAAAAATTGAACTCAATTCTTTTATTGCTCTTTTCGACTTCGACACAAGTCTTTGTTGTGTCTTTAATATTTTATTGGTTCAACTTTTGTAGTTTCTGATAATAATAATCTGATAAAATAAAATTGTTTTTTTATCAAGATTTTGAAAAGAGAAAAAAAAATTGAATGAATGAATAATACAGAAAAATTGGGTGTTATCATTTCTTGAAATGACAGTTTCGTTTATCTATTGGACAAAGTAACATTATCAGTGTATTATTTTTAATTTCTTTGTCTTCATTATTAGATCGCAGTGTTTATTATCTTTTCATCAAATAGCTAGGACAAATTGTTGAATATGAATAAGAAATATATTTGTAGTGATTGTCAAATTGCCAGCAGTGTTTAATAATATAAAAAAAGAAAAACAAATATGGTGAAAAATATTGGTGCATTTTTTTTATTTATAAAAATAAATATTACAAAAATAGTAAAATAACTCGGTTTTTAATTTCAAAAAGCAAAATGCGTAGGCGAAATTTTAGTGAATTTTTGTTAGTTTGCAATTTTCTGTTTGTGACTATAAATTGTCGTAAGTGATTAATTGAATAAGTAAATTACAAATAAATTTTTGTAATAAAAAATATTTTTATTTCAAATGCCAATTTCGAAAATTATTTTTATTTATTAATATTATATTTTTATTTATATTTTTTAGTACTATTTTTATTCTTTTATTTTATTTTACAGTATTTGTTTATAATATTTATTTATAGAATTTATTTATAGTACTAGCAACAACTAACTTCTTACTGGCTTTTCTAAATAAAATTAACAACTTTAAAAATAATATAATTTAAAAATTTTTTATTCAAATTTCTTTTGAAGACACTAAAAAAATTGAATTTTGCAGAAATTATAAATAATTGCAGAAATTCAAATATTTTCAAAAGTAATAAAATTCAATTATGTTCAAAATTTTAAAAAAATTCTCGTCAAAATCCCAATTATCTTTATAAATAACAAAATTATTCCCCAAAGTTCAATTATTATTTAAAAAAAATTTTCTTATTTCAATGATTTTCAATATCTACTATTTTAGTAAAATTTTCCAAAAAAATTTCAATTATTGAAAAAAAAATTTAATAAAATTCTACGCAAACATTAAATTATTTTTATAAATAATTAAAATTTGACAGGAATTCAATTATTTACAAATTTTTTTATAAATTTCTTTGTAATAATTCAATTATTTTCATAAATAATAATTAAAAAATCTACAAAATAATAATTAAATTGAAATGATGAAAACAATTTTGAAGAAGTTGCAGTTAACAATATTCTTATAATATAAAATTATTATAATATAAATAATTATAATGATAATAATAATAATATATTAATAATTATTGTTATTATTATTATTATAAGTTGTTTAATTTGAAAAAGGTTTGAATTTGAAATTTTTTAATATTTTAATTCATGTGGAAAAATAATAATAATTAAATATTTATTTAAAAAAAGAAGTTTTTGATATTTTTGAATAATTTTACAATGAAATAAATGTAACAGAACATTTTTCTGAGTAAAATTTTTTTCTTTATTTTCTAAACATAAAAAAATTTTCATTTTCTATGAGAATTCGTAATTGACAAATAAAATTTATAAACCTTTTTTTTCTTTTATTTTTAAAAAACTTTAAATTTTATTAATTTACAATTGTAATTAAGAAATAGAAATTATGCTTATGAAATGAAAATTATGCATAAAATGAATATATTTCCTTTTTCTTAATCATAATTTTTTAGCAATTAAAAATTTTCTATTTTTTATAAATAAAAAGGAGAAAAATTTGCATAATTTAAATCAGTCAAATAAAATTTGTTATAGAAAAAAGCATAGGTATTATAAACAACATTTATTTCTTAATTACAATTTTTAAAATATTTTCTAATTTTCTCATTTCAAATATTATTTTATTATAAATCATGAAAAAATACCTGTATTTAATTTGTTAAACAATATTTTTTAAAGAAAAAAAAAAACAAAAGCATACACAAAAATTAACTTTAAAGTGTAGTATTTCTATTTAAAATTTTTATTTATATTATTTTCTATTAGTTTTTATTGGTATGTTACTTTTATTTACTCTTATTTAATAGTATTTATTTTTAATACTTACAGGCCTCGGAGTGAATTTAGAAATAAAAAATACAATTTAAATTATTCTCTCAATAACGTTTTCTGTATTTTATTAATTATAAAAAAGTCTTTGATTGATTAAATGGTGGTTTAATTTCTCCACTTGAGAACGCCAAGGTCACCACCAGATGTCAGAAAAAATTCCAAGAAGGAAGTAAACTGCCATCTAGCGGTGACCTTGGCGTTCGCAGGTGGAGAATATCATCTCGATATTGAATCTCAAAATTTTCGTAATTCTATAATTATTTATAATCAAATTTAGAGAGTTTGGGAATTAATAATTTTAATTTACTTTAATTTATTTTCATTTATTTTTACGTTTCTATCAATAAATTTGTAAAATATTTTTTTAATCCATTACTGTGTAGAGGAATGGCCATCGCCTGGTTTCAAAGAACCTCCAACAGACAAGGAAATTATTTCTTGGGAATATTTGAAGGAGGCTAATATGGCTGTGATCGGATTAAATGAAGAAGCCGATCATAATGTAACAATTGCTGTATTTAATTACGAAGGTATTTTATTGAAATTTTGTATTACTTATTTTAAATAATATTTGTATTATTGTTTTATTAAATTATAAGATTGATACTATCACTCGCTCGTATTATAATTTTCTTAATTATTTATTTGAATTTTATTAATATATTTAATTTGATAAATTGTAAAAAAATAATTCAAAACAATTATATTCAATTAAAAAAAAAAAAAAAAAGTGACAGACAAATTTTTTTAATTAAGGAACCGAAGAACCACAGATAAATAAATTTGAAAATAGTGTTGAGAATAATGAAAATCTTGGAGCTGAATTTGTGAAAAATAATAATGGAATTTGGGAAATAGTGATCACTAAGAAACAAGATTACGAAACACAAGTGATGAGATCATACACAATGACAGTGATAATTCCATTGATAGCAAACAGTTATAAAGTAAGAATAGTTGTGATCAATATCGATGACAATGCACCTGTTATTCAAGCGAATGAGAAGCAGTGTTCGATCGAGGAAAATTATGTGGGACTGTCAAGTTGTACTTTTACAATTACTGACGTCGATGGTTGGATTGATTCTACTACTTTCACTCTTACATCCACAGTAACTACTCTAATTACTCAAATTTATTTTAATGATTCTACCATCACAAGAAAATTATTTTAAAAAAATTATAAATTTAGTTTATCCTCAGGATGTTCCGAAAACGTTCACAGGACTATTCAACAAAATTAATTGAGTCAATTTTTTTTAATACCTCATATACTTTACTTGCAGTTTATCTGCATATGCAGATATAATAATAAGTGCAAGAAGAATAATAATTAATAACAATTAAAAAATTTATAAAAATTTAGTAGTATTTGTCACATATTTTTCAATTTATAAAAAATCTTTCTAAAAGTCGTAAATTTCCAATGCTTATAAAACTTTTATTGAAAATAACGAAATACTTTCTATATTCGTAAACTTTTTTTTATTATTTAAAAGATAACTGAAAATAATTCTTTACAAGGTTGAACACTTATCGTAATACTAAATTTTAGTTTTTTATATTTAAAGATAGAAAACACAGTGTAAATTTTCTTTCACTATTTATATTTTACTATTGAAATTATACATTTACAAAATAAATTTGCTACAAAATAATTTTCCTAGAAAATACAAATGTAAATTATAGAAACAATTCTCATAAATTTTTTAATGATTCATTTTATATCAATTTTCTCATTTATGACTCTCGGGATGAGTGTTAAAATATTCTTTTTCCATCTCTTTGTATTTTTCAACTTCGTTTGCTAATTTAGTTAGCCAGTTGGCACTGTCATCAATAGGGAAAGTTGACATTTTAACATAAAAATTTGTTTTACCATTGTTGATAATAAATCCTAGATTACTTAATAGCTTAAAGTGTACCTTAGGTAGTATTACGTAAATTTCTTCATCATCAAATTCAACAATGTCTTTCAAACTTACCGCTAGAAGAGAATCCGTAATTACCATCTCGTGATTCACCGAAAATAAAGTGAAGTTAAAATAAAATTTTTCATTATTATATGAGTATGATTCTTTATATTTGCTGCTACAAATAATGAAAGTTGCCGTTTCGAAAATATCTCCAAACTTTATGGACTCAACGAAACTACTTGTTTTCATCATTTTAAAATAACAAGATTTCGAATCATAATTTAAAATTGAATTTGGATTGTAATTTCGAATAGCCAAAGTGTATAAAGCTCTTCTTATTCTCCAATTTGCAGGATCATCGACGTCAAGTACCGAAACACTTTTCATTAAAATCATAATAGCATAATAATCTTCAAATAACATTAAATCATCCACTTTTCTCTCGTAGTAAGATTTAATTAGTAGTTGGGAATTCAGTATAGGCGCATTCGGAAAAAACCTTCTTCTCAGATAATTAACACGCATTTCTGCTTGATGTTCATCTAATTCATATGCTTCCAGAGGAAAATGGTATCTCAGAAAATTGTAAGATTGATAATTTTTCAATTTTCTAGTTTTGCTCCATTCTGGTGGATTTCCAGTTTTATTTAAATGTTCAGCAAATCCATACATTTCCACTTCATTCCTTATTGTGTATTGACTTAAAAATTCAAATGCTTCACGTGGATCATAATTGGGAAGATATTCTTCAATCACCTTGTTTTTTACGGTATTAATGGTCTCAAGCTCGTGAAGTCGTTCAGAAGGTGATATTCTTGTTGATTCTAATTTTCCAATTAATAAAATTGTTATAATATTCCCAAGAATAATAATTGTATTCATTGTTATTAAGCAAAATATTTGTGATCCAAAAATTGTCAAATTAGTTATGTATATACAAATAAATTGATGTAAATTTCTGAATATTTTGTGAATTCGCTCAAACGATCTTTCTCTGAAATAATATTTTATACTTAAAATATAATTTTTAAATAATATTAAAATTAGAAAAAATTTGTTAAAAAATTTAGGAACCTAATTCGATTAGAAATTATGAAATTATTGGTATTTTAAAGCTTTGCTAAAACTCAAGGCAATGGAAAGATACTAGTTTTTATTTTCTCTCTTGCACGAATAGATATTGAATTTTTATAAATAAAAACAGATGTTTTTGTTAAAAAATTAGTGACGGAGAAATAAAATAAAATTGGACGTATAGATATTGATTTTTTAAAAATAAAAATCGAGGTTTTTGTTAAAACATTAGTGACAGAGAAATAAAATAAATACCGCTGCTAAGTTAAAAGATGAATATATCATCTCATGGAGATTTTTTTCGACCAATTTATTTCATTTTTTTATTATTACATACATAAATTTTATTACTCATTAAACACTTCTGCTTTTATAAAATTACTTTTACTATAAATTTTAAAAATAATATTTTTCATAATTTTTGGTTTTTCAAATAACAATAATTTTGTATTTCTGATCGAATTAAACCAAAAAAATACGTAAATCGAAGAGTTTTTTTTAAAGTTTTACAAGTTATTTAGAAGACTTTAAAAGTTACTTCCAGTTTTTTAAAACAAAATTTCAAAAATAAGACTTTCTTTACAATTTTTGGTTTTTAAAAAAATAAGTTTTTAAAAATATTGAATTAAAATTTTTAAACATTCAATTTTTTATAATAGATGTAAATATTTTTTGGGTTGTTTAAATTTAGTATATGATGGTTTTTGTTTTTTGTTTAAAATATAATTATTCATTTCCAGTAAAATATTGCTATTTCACTTAGTTATTGAAATTTTTTATACTACATTCTTTGTAAAAACTGATAAAAATTAGTAAAACTTCTAAATAATATGAATTAATAAATAAAATTTTTATTAATTCAGAATTTAAAAATGAACACTATTTACTTATTAAAATTCATAAAGTATTAATAACATTTACAATTTATAAAGTAATCTAATATTTCCAGCAATTTTTTGAATTAAAAATAATATTTGCATACCTTGTTGAATATTACTTGAAATATAATATGGTTTAGAAGCCTGAAATATTCAGAGTGTTGTGTTTTTTCTACTGGTATATATTAGTTACGAAATATTTTTAAAATGATAAGAAATAATCGTATTGAGAGTCATAAAATATAAAATTTCATCAAACTTCTTTTTAAAAAAATATTTTCTATTTTCGTGACCTTTCTTTATTTCACAAAATTAACTGCAAATTCTTTTGTATAGGTTGTGTACTTATAATTATACCCCTTTTTGTACAGTTTTTTTTTATTTTTAAAGATAGAAAATACAGGATAAATGCTTTTTTACATTATTTTTATTTCACATCCGATATCATACATATGATACAGAGAGTAATTTTTCTATTTAATACAAATGCATGTTATCGATAAAATTTTTATCTTCAACCTGGGACTATTATGATCAGAAAGAAACTATTTTCTTAATCAAAATTAATAATAAAAACAATTTTTACTTTTAAGTTTCGTTGTTGACATAACTCTGAAGGTTTTTTATAGTTTAACCAAGGATTTTAAGTATAAGATTTTTTTTGTCCTACCTGCACGAAAAGTATGTCATTTCGGGCACTTAAAGTGGGCGCAAAGTAACTGATTCTCGCCCGGGGTCGGGGAAGCGGGCGCAAAAGTTCTTTTACGCCCGCTGACGTCACACAAGCGGGCGCAAAAGTACTTTTACGCCCGCTTGCTGGACTTTTGCGCCCGCTTCGCTCGTGCCCTCAATGCTATACTTTTCATGCAGTTAGGACAAAAAATTATGTTCGCAACATGGGCGCAAAGGTGATTACGACTTCGGCGAGATTTCGGGACCTCGGGGACACAATGTCCCCTCGGTCCCTTCATCTCGCCATCGCCGCAATCACCTATTTTGCGCCCTTGATACGATAATAACTATTATATAATTTTTTAATGTACATTTTATCAGTAGTTTTTAATAAATGATAAATTTTAAAACAATTTTTTCATCCTTGACGATTAATATATTCTAATTCCATCTCTTTGTACTTTTCAACTTCATTTGCTAATTCAGTAAGCCAGTTGGACCTTGCATAAATTGGAGAAGTTACCAATTTTAAATACAAATTTGGTTCACCGTTTGTAATAAGGAAAGTTGTTTCACTTATTACCGTAAGGTCTATCTTTGGAAGTATTACGTAAATTTCTTCATCATCAGATTTAACTACGTCTGCCAAACTTACCATTAGAATAGGATCCGTTATTACCAATTCGTAATGCACCCAATATGAAGAAAAGTTGAAATTTAAATTTTCAGGAACATATGATAATGGTTCTTCATATTTGCTGCTACAAATAGTGAAAGTTATCTTTTCGAAACTATCTCCCGTCTTTATATCATCAACGAATGTCTTCGTTTCTTTTTTCTTAAAAAGACATGTTTTTGGAATATAATTCATTATTGCATTTGAACTGTATTGTCGAATAGCCAAACTGTACAATGCTCTTCTCATTCGCCAAGATGCGGGAGCATCGACATTAAGTACCGAAACATTTTTCAGTAAAATCATGATAGTATAATAATCTTCAAATGACATTAAATCAACCAATTTTCTCTTGTAGTAAGATTCAACTAATATTTGGGTATTCAGTATAGATGCATTCTGAAAAAACCATTTTCTCAAAAAATTAATAGGCTTTCCTGCAAGTGTTGAACGTAAATTATATGAGCCCAGAGGAAAATGGTATCTCAGAAGATTGTAAGATTGATAATTTTTCAATTTTCTAGTAATTATGCACCATTCTGGTAGATTTCCAGTTCTGTTTATATGTTCAGCAACACCGTACATTTCCACCTCATTTAGAATATATTGACTTAAAATTTAAAATGCTGTTTCTGACTTATAATTACGTAGATATTCTCTTGCAACTTTTTTTCTTAAAGCTCTTATACTTTCAAATTCACGAGATCGTTTATTACGTGGTATTCTTGTCGATTCTAATTTTACAATTAATAAAATTGTTACAATATTCCCAAGAATAACAATTGTATTCATTGTTATTGAGGAAAGTACTTTTGGTCCAAAAATTGTCAAATTATTATACAAATCAATTGATGTAAATTTCTGAATATTTTTTGTGTTTTCTCAATCGATCATACCCTAAAACAATATTTTGTACTCAAAATATAATTTTAAAATAATATTAAAATTAAAAAAAAGAAGTAAGTAAATTTAAAGTTTAGTTTAAAAATTTTTTTTAACGAAAAAGTCTATATTTATTTATAAAAAAAATATCTGCATTTTTACAAAATAAAAATCGATATCGTACGTTTATCTATTCATGCAAGAAAAATAAAATAAAAATTAATGTCTTTTCACTTCCTCGTATTTTTACAAACCATGAAATAAGAAATCAATGTTTAATTTTTTTGACATATTTTCAATATGAAAAATATTCAATATATAAAATATTTTTTGCAAATATTTAACGCAAGTGTTTAAACATTATTTTGTTTTTAATTTAATTTTTAGTTCAGATTACTTTTTTTTTATTTACTTTTTGCAATTAAAAAAGCTTTTATATTTACTTTGCATTGAGTATTGATTATATTCAAAGTACTACAGAAATTGGACATTGATTTATTTTTTTATGTCTTAAAAAAATTTAGGGAAGTAAAAAGACATTAATTTTTATTTTTTTTCCTGTCTCTAATTTTTTAACAGAAACATCGATTTTTATAAATACAAAAATTTATATCTATTCGTGCAAGAAAGAAAATAAAAATTATTATCTTTTCATTGTCATGAGTTTTAGAAAGCTATAAAAAAATGATTAAAAAACAGTATTTAATTTTTGTAAGCTAACTTTCAATATGATATTGTATAAAATGTATAACATCTTTTTTAAAAATATTTATTAAAAATTTTTAAACATTATTTTGCATTCAATTTGAAATATTGTTTGTAATTGAGATTATATTTTTTTTACTTTGTTTTTGCACATTTGCTTGATTTTTTATTTATTTTGTAAAAATAATTTTATTTATTTTGCAAAAATCAGTAAAACTTCTTACTAAAGTGAATTAATAACTCAATTTTCATTAATTCAGATTTAAAAATGAACACTATTTAAGTATTTACTAATTGAAATCTACAAAGTATCAATTACTATTTCTAAATTAATCTTATATTTTCAGCAATTTTTCGAATTAAAAATAATATTTACATACCTTGTTGAATATTACTTGAAATATTAGTATGGTTTAGAAGCCTGAAATATTCAGAGTGTTGTGTTCTTTTTACTCACATATAGTATTTGCGAAATATTTTTAAAATGATAGGAAAAAATCGTTCTGAGGGTCATAAAATAAAAAACTTCATCAAACTTCTTTTTAAAAAAATATTTTCTATTTTCATGACCTTTTTTTATTAGTTTAAAATAATTGCAAATTCTTCTATCATATCCTGCGATATCCAGTGATTATTTTTTTATTATTATTTTATTTTATTTATTTATTTATATATTACATTTTATTTTAATTTTTTATTATTTTATTTATTTTATTTATTATTAAATATACAAATTTATTCTTCTTCTTCTTATTTTTTTTTCATTTTGCATTTTGTATGTGTATTTATTTATTTATTAATTTACCTAATTGTACATTTCCCTTGATCATGAGGGACCACTTTTTAGAAATATGTTTGTTTTCTAAATAAAAAAATAAAAGACAATTATTGAAAAATTTCAAAAAAAACTTGTTCTAGAAATTTATATTCATTTTATAAAAAAAAATTTTTAATAAAATAAAATATAATTTGTCAATTAATAGCCAACCAGTGGAGTCGAAAATTTTGCAATGGTACCAGGAAATATCTTGAGTAACTATAAAATGAATGCAATTTTAAATACAATGAAAAGTTTGGATTTCGAAACAATATCGGTTTATACTCTTGGCATTATTGCAAAGGTACTATATTTTTTATTATTTAATTTTATACATCGTTTAAATTTTTCTTTGTATTTTAGCAAATTCTGTCATTATTATAGATTTTTTATCGAAAACAAAAATAAACAAATATAAACTTTCCACAGGATAGAGGAAATAATACAAGTAATAATTTAATAACAGTGGTAAAAGTTATAGATCTTCCTGATATGCCACCAATGTGGACCAATCTCATTGCGGCAAAAACCATTTTTGAAAAATCCATTAACGTATGTTAGAGTTTTTATTAAATTTTGATAATATATTTAATTTGAAAGAATAATAAATTAATAGAATATTTCTCTTTGTTTTTTATTTTAACATTTATATTATGATAAGAATATTAAAATAACAAACAAACAAAAATATTTCGAACTAAAAAATAATAATAAGTCAATTATTATTATCTTTATTATTATTTTAATCTACCCGGAATTTTTCACGAAACAATAATTGTTCCCATTTTTTCATAGTTTTAATTTATTTTCAATTTTTATTATTATTCTTCTATTAGAAAAAGAATTTTTATTATTTTTTTATTTCATTCTCATTTTTTGTTATCATTAAGTTATTAATTAACAAACATTTTGAATTCAAAATTAATATCTTTTGTCAAAGAATTTCCAAGTAACAGCGATTGACGGCGATCACGAAATTAATGCAGCAATTAATTACAGAATTGTAAATTTAGAGTCAAGTGAGTGAAACAAAAATATATTTCAAAATTTATGATTTGCTGAAAATGTGCCACTTTTTCTTACAAAACAAAATTATTTAATTTCCAGAGCACGATTTTTTTCAAGTAAAAAAAGAAACGGGGGAAATTACAATAAAGGAAATCGATCGTGATGCTTTGAAACAAGAAATTTTTAAATTTATTATTATAGCCTATGAAGTTGACGACACTGAATCGTCAATTAATAGTACCATTGTAATTGTAGTCAACGATATTAATGATCATAGTCCTGAAATAAAACCCTCGATTCTTGCAATTAATATTCTTGAGGAGACTTACATGAATCTTGAATTTAACGAGACTATTACAATTGAGGATCCCGATCTTGTAAGTAAAATTAATTATTAAATTTAATTAGTTGAAATTCATTATTAGCAAATAATAATTAATAATTAAATTAATTATTAGAAAATTATCAATTAACGGAAATTATAGGAGGAAAAAATGAGGAAAATGAAACATAAATTTTTTTGTAATAGTTTTTTTTCTATTTTAACTGAGACAATAATTTACAGGCTGAAAATGCTCAATTCGATGTGAAATTGGAAAACGAAGGTGATGTCAATTGGAAATCGGCGTTTATAATAATTCCAAATAGTGCTTATCAGTTGGGAACATTCACCATTTCTGTTGTTAATGCATCGCTTTTGGATTATGAGGACGAGAAATGGAGGAATATGAAATTAAAAGTGAATTTCTTTTAAGAGACATTAATTAAACAAATTTAAAAATTTTTTACATTAAAATACTTTGAAGTTTAAAAGACTTTGAATTTTAAAACTCAATTTGCAAATTAACGTTAAATCCAAATTAAATATTAGATTTGAAAAATTTAAAATGTCTGATCCAATATGTCGACTAAATTTTTTTTTTCAATTTAGTAAAACGACTAATGAACAACGACTTTCAAGTAAATTTGAATAATTTTTACAATTTTTGGTCACCATTTTAAATTTTTCAAATCTGACATCAGATTCAGAATTAACATCCCAGTGATAATTAAATCAAAATAGATTTAATATTTTTTTCGTACATTTTTTTGAAAAAATTTTTTAGTAAATGGCACTTTTTATGAAAATGCAATTTTTTATTTTGCAGATTGTAGCAACCGAGCGAGCAGATGCATCACACGTGGGAACAAGGGATATTGTAATTAATCTCATAAACTGGAATGACGAGTTACCGATTTTTCAGAACGATAATGTGACAATTAGCATTAAAGAAGATGTGGAACTTGACTATTCTGTTGCCACTGTTTTTGCAAAGGATCGAGATTTCGATGACAGTGTTACGTTAGTATTTTTTCGGGAAGAAATGAATTTTTATGATTTTTCGCAACTTTATCCTTCTTTTGAAAATTTAAAAAAAAATTTTAATTAATTGTAGTTTTAAGGATATTATTCTATAACAAAGAAATAATAATTATTATTCCTTAGAAGAAATTTTGATCAGAAAGAAATAATAATTTTTACTTCTTAAAAGAAATTTTGATCATAAAGAAATAATTATTTTTTATTCTTTTATTATAAATCAAAATTCTTTATATAATAACTGCAAAATGTATTCAAATTTTTATTTAAACTTCTTCTCCTTGGAGGAAGTATTTGAATTTGCATTTTATTAATTTTTTTTCAAATTGAATGATAAAAAATTTTTTGTATAGACATTCGTTGGTGTCTAATCGTGGGCTGAAAATCAATTCAGTAACTGGAGAAATTAGTACCACTGAAAAAAAATCTTTCGACTATGAAGCAATGCCAATTGTACATGTTCAAGTGGTGGCAACTGATAATGCAAATCACAAAACTTTTGCTAGTTTGACGATAAATATTATTGACGTTAATGATAAGCAACCGTCATTATTTTTGGTAAGTCATGTTTAACTAAATCGCACTTTTACTACTGAAAAACAAATTAAATAGAAATTGTGTTTAATTATCGTAGACTTTTACTAGTAATGGTGAAATTAGAAAGAAATTGTCTGACTACAACTGACTTCTACTACTGATAGACAAAAAATTACGACGGGATTTTGTCTGACTAAAATACTCTTTTACTACTGATAACAAAAATTTACGACGGCATTCTGTCTGACTAAAATACTCTTTTACTACTGATAGAAAAAAATTACAATGGAATTTTGTCTGACTAAACAACTTTTTTACTACTGATAGAAAAAATTTAGGACTGGATTCTGTCTGACTAAAAGACGGTTTTACTACTGATAGCAAAATCTTGCGACGGTATTTTGTCTGACTAAAAGACTCTTTTACTACTAATAGAAAAAATTACGATGGAATTTTGACTGACTAAACGACTCTTTTACTACTGATTGAAAAAATTTACGACGGGATTCTGTCTGACTAAGAGGTCCTATTACTACTGATAGAAAAATTTATAGAAAATATGTCTGACCAACACGGACTTATACTACTGACTAAAAAATTCTACCTGAGTTTTATCTGACCAAATGCTTAATTTACTACTAAAAGAAAAATTTAAAGTAAAGTCTCGTTTGACTAATGAAAATTTGTACTATTTTTACCACAAATATAGAAAAATTACAATTGAGTTTTATCTGACTAATGAAAAGATTTCACAATTTCACTAATGAAAAGAAAATTAAAATAACAGTTTGTCTGACTAAATACTTAATTTACTACTGAAGGAAAAATGTAAAGAGAAGTTTCGTCTGACAGAAGCGAACTTTTACTATACTTTTGCTACTAATAAAAAAAAATTACAATTAAGTTTAGTCTGACAAAACTAAACTTATACTACTGATAGAAAACACTAAAACAAAATTCTGACTAAAAACCGGTTTTTCTACTTAGAGAAAAAGTAAATAAAACTCTGACTGACTACAACTTACTTATTCTACTAATAGAAAAAAATATAATTAAATTTTGTCCGACTAAATACCGATTTTACTACTGATAGAATATTTAACCAAAATATATTGTCTGACTAAAACGGACTGTTCCTACTAATAAAAAATAAATTATAACTAATTTGTCTCTGACCAAAACGCTTTTTTACTATTGCAAAAAAAATCAAAGCTTTGCCTAAAAGAAGGAAAAATTTATTATCAGAATAAAATACATTGTTGAAAAAATGCTGCTAGTATACTCCGCCTGATATAAACCATCTTTATCTACTGACAAATTTTTAATTTACAAATATTTCAGCCTCGATATTATTTTATCTTTTTGTTGCTGTTATTATTATTCTTTTTTTGTTTTTGAATTTTAATAATTCAATAAATAAAAATAAAAATTGTTTTTCTGAATAATTTTAGCCTCAGGAGAAACCGTCACTACAAGAAGAAGTTTCCTTTGGGACGAAAGTGATAACGAGTATTTATGCAAAAGACTTGGACACAGAGGCTGAGCTCAAATTCAGTATTGACTGGAATTCATCAACAGCTCAAAGAAGCAATTCACTTGTCGATGACAGAAAACTCTTTGAAAAGTATTTTTCCAAACTGATAATTTTATTTCTTTTTTGTAATTTAAACTTGATTTTTTTTCCTGTTTATAATTTTTTTTTTCCTTTATTTTTATTATCAAGTTATTAAACAGAGAATTTTCGTTTAAATACCAGGTGTTTGACTATTGAAACAAATTATCGAAATGGCAAGAAAGGAGAAGCTGATGCTCAGCTAGTTGTCAATGGTAGAATCGACTACGAGGCATTTGACACTCTATTTTTGACGATAGTTGTCACTGATTTAACTACAGTACATAACGCTGATTTTAATTCAGGTAAGGAAAGAAAAGAAGAAAATTAGTTAATTCAAGAAAAGAAGGTAAAATTTTGTATTGAATAATACTTTTTGAAAAATTATTGAATGATAATACTTTTTGAAAAATTATTAAATGATAATAATTTTTGAAAAATGTACAGTTTGACTGTAATTTGTAGTTCATTTTTTTTTTGTGAAAAAACACAATTTTAATGCTGAAGTCAAATCTATAGCGTTTTGTAATACTTACGTCTGACTAAAACGTATTTTTACCACTGCAACGAAAAAATTACAATAAAAGATTTGTCTGACATAAACAGTCATTTTCTACTGATATTAAATATTTAGACTTTAATGACTAAAAGTTTAGCCTGCCTAAAATTTGCTTTTACTACTGATTCGAAATCAGGGAATATTTGTCTGACTAAAAATGATTAACACTACTTATCATTTAAATATCTTTGTGTCATTAGCAAAAATAACTTCGAAGATTTGTCTGACGAAAACGTACTTTTACTACTGCTACAAAAATATATTCGAAATAATCGTGTCTGACTAAAACATACTGTTACTACTGCTACAAAAAATAGGACATTTTTTTTCTAACTAATATTCAATTTTACTAAACTGTTATTCGAATTCCAAACATACAATGTTTCTGGCTAGTTTGAAATTACTTTTTCTACTGATTCAAAAAAAAAGAATTCAAAAAATTGTCCCACCATACCAGACCTTTGCTACTGAAACAAAAAACTAAAATAAGAACATAATAATAAAAGAATATTTTTTTCTCTTTTGTTTCATTTATATTTCAGCGTCATTAACTTTATTAATCACCGACATAAACGACAATGCACCAGAATTTGGTGAAGTCGCTGAAATGAAAATTCAAGAAAATCAAAAATCGAATATTTTCATTGGCAGAATTACTGCCTATGATATCGATGGTCCCGGTAATAATGATGTCACATATTCGCTGAAGTAAGTAAAATTTCATATTTTATTTTTACATGTTTTTTATATAAAGTTAATTCAAATTTTACTTAACCAAAATAATAATTAATAACAGACCTGTTAATGGCACAGCAGATAAATTGGTCCAGATTGATCCAAAAAAGGGTGACATCAAAGTAGACAAAGATGGTGCGATTGATGCTGAAATTTATGAATTTTTATCTTATCATGTCACTGCAACTGATGGACTGCACAATACAGTATTGCCGGTAAAATATATTCCAAATTGTCAAAAATTTTAGTATTATTATTTTTATTTTTACCATTTTTACTATTTTTACTATTTTTGCTGTTTCTGCTATTTATGGTACTATAGTTTTATTAATTTCATTATTTTTGAATTCTTACTATTTTCCTTTTTTTATTATTTGTATTATTTCTACTACTTTTTATTAAAAATTTTATTTTTATAATAGATTATTAATTTATTATTTTTACAATTTTACTCTTTTTACTATTTTTATTATTTGAGACCTTTTACTAATTTCTATTATAGTTCTTTACTTTTTTTACTATTTCATTTTTGCATTGTTTCTACTATTTTTTATAAATTATTTTTTTATTATAATTATTAATACCTAAGATTAAAATGAATAATAATGAATAGAATTTTGTTAAAATTTAATCGCAGATTCAAATTTACGTGATTGATGAAAACGATGAATATCCTGCAGCTCTTGCTGAAAAATTTCCATCAGAAGTTCACATTAAGGAAAGATCAAAAACTGGCACAAAAATTGTTCAAGTTTTCGCTCTCGACAAAGACAGAACATGTGAGTTTTGCTATATTGTAAAATAAATAAAATGTTTATACTTTGAAAACCAAAAAAAAAAAATTTTCTTTAATTTTTATAGTTCAAAAATGATGAAAACTAAATGATTTTTTAAATGAACAGAAAATAATAAAAAAAGAGTAAAAAAATTTTCTTTAAATAAAAATAAATTTCAAAATATGATAAATTAAAATTTAAAAATTCTCTTTTTCAGCACCATTCAATAATGTTTCTTATTTAATAAACTCGGACTATCCTCAATTATTCCAATACTTCAGTATCGATAAATTCAATGGCTGGCTGGAAGTTAATTTAATTGACGATGCAATTCTTGATAGAGATCGAGGACCATCGAGTTATACGGTTTATTTGAAACTAAGAGATAATTTTATCGAAGAACTAAGCTGTGAGTAAAATTGAGTTTTGTTAATTATTTTTATTTCTAAAAAAAGAAAAAAAGTATAAAAACAATAATAAAGTTAAATAATCAATAAATCAAAAAAAAATTCAGGTAAAATAAAATAATGAAGAGTACCTTATTTTTTAAGTTTAATATTATTTTATTCTTTAGTTTATTATTTTTACTTTAACATAAATTTAACTAAATTAACAATAGTATTGTGTTTTACTTTATCAAACTGAAAACATTTATTCAATTCAAATAACCGATTATTACTTGACTATCAAATGAATATCTATTTGAATCAAATAAATTTTTTTCAATATCATTTTTTTAATTAGTTTTTTATTAATTTTATTGTACCTTATTTCGCTTTAATTATAATATTTATTATAAATAATTAAATGTACATTTATTAAAGTGTTAAAAAATTTTTAATTAAAATTAAAATTTTAATCACTTTCTTAAATTTATATTTAATAAAGTGAAATGAAATATAAAGTTAAGTAAAAACTGTATCAAAATAAAATAATTAAAATAAATAATATTTTTAAAGACAATTCCAATCTAAATACAACAATAGTAACTGTTGTACTTGAGGATATTAATAATCAAATTCCGGAATTACCAGAACTTCCAATTCCTGCAATGAGTGTTTCTGAAAATACGAATGAAGTAAGACACGTTTAATTTCTACGTTTATCTTATGTTTAGATAATTAATTATTTCTTTTCACTTCACTGGAATTTATATTGTTTAAATTATTTATTTTGGCAATTTTGTTCCGTCTTTGTAGAAGAGAAAATTTATTTTATTTATTTCATTTCTATTTTGTTTTTTAGGATGCCCTACTGTTAACTATTACAGCAGACGATAAAGATGATCCAAATACTGTTAACACAAAAGTTTTTTACGAAATAAAAGAAATAATTCAAATAAGTAATCATACAGTAACACCTCAAGAAAATTGGCCTGTTTTATTTAAGGTGAAAACAGTGAATCAAAAAAATGCCGAAATAAGGACGAATTGTCACTTAAAAGGTTACTATGGAGTTTGGGGAGTGAAATTATACGTAAGATTAAATTCCTTTAAAAAGTTAGTTAAAAAGTACCAGTCCTGTATATTTGTTAAATAAATAAATAAATCCAAATTTAGAAAATTATCAAATCAATATTTTTATCTTAAAAGAAGCTTTCTTTGGTATCAAATTTATTCATTAAACTATAATTTTTTACTTTTTGGATTTTTAAATTATTAACATTACTTTTTGTTTCTTAAATTAAACTTTTTCTCTAATAAAACTTGATTTTTAGGTTCAAGATTTAGGTGTTGATCCTGGTCCTTTGAATGATACGAAAATTTATAATATTCAAATAAATGATTACAATTATCATGATCCAGTGATAATTTATCCTTCAGCGAATAAAGCTATTCGTCTAAGTCAGGTGACTAAAAATTTTTAAATCATTTATTGAAAGAAAAATAAAAACAAAAAAATAAATAAAGAATACAAAAATAAAAAGGAGATAACTCTTTTTTTATATTTAGATTCAAGAAATAAATTCGGAATTAAAAACATATGACGGTGAATTATTGGAGAGTTTTACAGCTACCGATGAAGATTTTGGTGAAAGTGGTAAAGTGACTTTTTCCCTTTCGGGCAATGATGGTATGTACTTCATATTTTATTTGTTTATATAAGGAAAAATAAATTTAAAAAAAATAATTCTAATTTTCTTTGCAGCTAAAAATTTCCGGATAATTCCTCTTGAAAATAATCAGGCACAGTTACAACTTATAACAATTCCTGATGTTAGCAAACAAAGGGTTTTCAATGTAATAAATATTTTCTACTTCAAGTACAAATTTGTAATCAAGAAATTTAATTTTTAAAAATATTTTCTTTTATTATTGTCACATTTTATTTATTTTATCATTTATTCTGTATTTTGTTATATTATTTTTCTTTTATTATTATTTATTTAGCCATTGGTCACTGTCACCGATCATGGACAGCCAAAGCAGAGAAGTAAAACTCAAACACAAAAAATTATTTTCGTTTCGACTAATGGACCAGAATTTGAACAGAATACATTTACAACTTGGTTTCATGAGAATACGACAGGCTTGAGTAATTTTACAATTATTCCAGAGGCGAAGGATTTAATAAACGAAGGCATCGAAGAAGAATTGCCAGTGAATGTTTTCTATTTCTTAGAAAGTGATGGTAATTTAAATAAATTCTTGTTTATTGTTTTTAATTACTATTACAATTAAAATTAACAAACGGAAATATTTTTTCTCCTCTTTTTATTTATTAATAACTAAATTAACTGAAATAGATTTTTTGGATTAGAAAAAAAAAATTACAAAGGAAAATTTTAAATTAACTTAAAAGTTAAAAATATTCAAAAATTGTATTAATTGATTTCTCACTTTATTTATTAGTTTTAAAACTAAATTTCGCATTTTTTAGAAGGTGACATGTCGTTTTTCTCTTTGAATAAAGAAACGAGAAATTTGACATTAAAAAAAGAATTGGATCGTGAAGTGCAGGAGACGATGATACTTCGTGTGATTGCAACGACGAATCCCGATGGACCAAATTCAAATCCTCGTGAGAAGGCAATTTTGAAAATTACAGTTAATGTTCGTATGTTAATTTATTTATAATTATAATTCTTCTTTGTTAATAGTTACAAACGTGTGACTAAAACTGTCTATTACTACTGAAAACATAAATGAGTTTAGCAAATAATATTTTAGTTTTAGTAGTAAACGTCAGTCTATGTCATACATAAGTTTAGTTTTACTCTACTGATACTGATAATTAATTGTTTAATAAGAAAAGTCTGACTCAAAATGTACTCTTACTACTGATACAATAGGAATATTTGGTTTACATGTCTGACTAAAAAGCGACTTTTACTACTGATTTCAAATAACAAGGCTTTCTACCAGTACTAATACTGCTACTGCTACTATACAACAACTACTACTTTTATTAAATTTTGTACTGATAGAAAGCCTCCTGTCTGACTTAAAATTATTTATACTACTTATAAAATACAGAAGGAGAAACATTAACTTTTTGTCTGACTAAAGATTATTTCTACTACTGACTACAGCAATGCGAAAAATAAAATAGTTTTTTCTCTCTATAAAAACCTACTACCACTAATTTTATTGAAGTAAACTTATACTACTGATAGAAAAAATTATAAACATCTTGTCTGACTAAATCAATCTTTTACTACTGCCTGAAAAGTATAATACAAGTCTGACTGTACCCAGTTTTTACTACTGACAAAAGAGTTTAAAAAGAATTATGGCTGACAGAAACGAGTTTTTACTACTGTCAGAAAAAATAAATAAAAATTTTGTCTTACTGCGAATTACTTCTACTACTAATACTAAATAATTACAACTGAGTTTTGTCTGACTAATTTACTCTTTTACAACTTAAAGACTTAATTAAAGGTAAAATTTGATACAAGTCTGACTGTACCCAGTTTTTACTACTGACAAAAGAGTTTAAAAATACTCTTTTACTACTTAAAGACTTAATTAAAGGGAAAATTTGATACAAGTCTGACTGCAACAGGTTTTTACTACTGATAGGAAAGTTAAACAAAAATTTCGTCTGACTAAAGCGAATTTGCACTACTTTTAATACTAATAGAAAATAATTGCATTAAAGTTTTGTCTGACAAATTGATTCTTTCACTACTCCGAAAAAATTAAAATGACAGTTTGTCTGACTAAAACGAACTTACACTACTGGTAAAAAAATTATTGAAAAAATTGTGTGTTGTCTGACTAAATATATATTTTACTACTGTAAGAAAAATTTAAAAATAAGTTTAGTCTAAGTAACGAATTTTTTCTCTGATTTTTTTGACTTAATCTCTTTTACTTCTTACAGAAAAATTCAAAATGAGCTCTGGTTGATTAGATAGAATTTTTACAATAATTTTATCCATTTTTTTTTTATCAATTAAAATTAATTACCTCAAAAAGTGTCTAAATATCTTTACAGGTTGTCGATGTAAATGACAATTCTCCAATTTTCGTAAGTAAGACCTACTTTGGTGGAGTGGCTCTAGAAGATGCCGTTGGAAAAGTAATTTTAACAGTTAATGTAAGAGATTTTTATATTTTTAAAATTACTTTATTCCATTATTATTATTTTATATATATTGAAAAAAATTGTCCTTATTCAGTTTGTTGAAATAGAAAATCCACTTTTTTGTCTACTTATATTTAAAAATGAAAAAAAAAAATGTTTTTCAAATAGGCAACTGATGCCGACTTCAATGACACTTTATCGTACAAAATAAGGGAAAACAGTCTTTCAATGTCAGACTCGTCCCTCGAAGGAATTTCCGTACCATTTCTTCTTAAAATTTCCACCGGCGAATTATCATTGGGCTTTAAACCCACGTCTTATATGACCGGTTATTTCAGTATGGACATTCTTGTTAACGATGAAGGTATGTAATAAAAATAAAAAATTCCATTATTTTTAAACAAAATTATTAAAGAAATAAAATTTTTGTCTAATTTTAGTTTCACATGAAGATTCATCGCACGTGAAAATTTACATGATTGCCAAGGACAATCGAGTGGTATTCACGTTTAGAAATAAATTAACAGTATTGAACGAATTAAAATCGTATGTAAGTATTTTTTGTCTTAAAAAGGTGCAAAATGAAAATATTGCAAATATTTTTGTAAAAAAATTTCAATTTTTTATAAATGAAAAAATTGTATATATTATAGAAGAGTGTGAGGCAAAGTCGTTTCTCAAAATATCACCTTTAACTTTCGACTACAAAAAATTTGTGTTTGAAATTAAATTTAAATGCAATTGTTAAAAAAAATAACGTACATTTTAATAGATAAAAAATGATGGATGTTTTTTAAAAAACGTCTTTACCCCGCTTGACGCCTTTGACCCACTCTCCTGTAATATATATTTGAATATTTAAAATTAAATTTAATATTAAATATATTTATTTTTTATACGAATTCTTTTTGTGCTTACTTTTATTTTTACTTTTTACTTTTTCAGATAATTAAGACATTTAGTGAAATTTTCGGTTACATTTGTAACATTGATTACATAGAGAAAAGTATTACCGGTAGGGATGTTTCAGAGGATGTTACTTTAATCACAACTCATTTTATAAATGCCGAAACTAATTTACCAGTTAGCGCAGACAAAATAATTTTGTACGTTATACAATTTATATTTAATTTTTCAATTATAGTTTTAATTATTATGTTCATAGAAATTATTTTAAAAAACTATTTTTATTCATTTTTTTATTTCAATTTGCAGAAAAGTGAATAATGTGGAAACAATAAGCAATCTTAGCAATCAATTAAAAGACAAAAAATTATTACTTGTTGATGTGCCAACATCCACGCAGTCAAAAAATGACGAAGACAATCACGACATTGTTCAATGGATTCTTCTCTTTTTGACAACATTTTTCTTTATTGTGTCAATTTCATTACTGATCGCATACATCGTCAGAGTCCGAGGGTAAAATTATTATTTATTTTAATTTTAATTAATTATAAACTGTTTAAAATTTTTTTTTATTTTTATTTACTAATTTATTATTAATTATTTTTTACTATAAATTATCAATTAATTAATTCCAAACTAATTGTTTCATTTTTTTATTAAATAAATAATTCAAATAATAATTATTCAATTTTTATTATTGAGAATAGTTATTAAATGACTTATTTTTAATTTCTTTTATTAATTATTGTAATAGAGAATTTAAATTTTCTTTTTTAGACTCTTTGAAAATTCATTGAGAAATATTTTGAATTTTTTTTTAAATCAATTTTCTTTTCAGCTTAACGGAAAAATTGGATAAATTAGCGATCACTAATTATGATTCCCCTGATCCTACGATTGAAAAAATTGCAGTTATGCCGAATGCGAATAAATTTGCCCTCGAAGGTTCGAATCCAATGTGGAAAACTGAAAATCTCAATGAAATGGAAGATAATATAAGGTATCAATCAATCTTAATTATGCCGGAATTAATTAATAAAAACTGAATTTAGTTTTACAGAAATAACCAAAAAAATGTATTTAAGGTAAAAACAACGCAAACTTAACCTAAAAATAATTTTCTTTTTAAGTACCTTTCTTTGGACAATGTCATATATATATTTTATAATTGTAGTAATATTAATAATTGTTAGGTATAAAATATAAATAATCAAATTAAAAATTATTATAATAAATTTTACAAATTAAAGTTTTTTATAATAATACTATAATAAATTTTATTTTATCACTAATATTTAAAATTATTTTCATAATCCCAAAATTATAAATAATTGTTTTAATAATTTAAACTTATTTTCAATTATTTTCATAAAAAGTCACGGAAGTGGAGATTCTGACTTAATTGGAGTCGAAGATAATCCCGATTTTGATTATGAATCAAAACGAAAAAATGAAAATATGGAAGTAAGTCGATTTATCGATTAAAGTTACAATATTACAAGATACACTTTCTATGCATAAAATTATTAATGTTCTTTTTTTTACAGAAAAAACTCAATCCTCTTGTGCTTCCTAATTTTTCAACAAATTTTTCTTATGAAAAATCAACACAAAAGGGAAAATCAATTAGTGATGAATATACCTGTTAATATAGTGTCTCAATTTTAATAATTTAATAAAATTAATAATTTATAACTTTTGCTAATTAACTAATAAAATAAATTCTTACTGGTCGTATTTAAAAGAAATCATTAATTAAATTAATAAAATTAACAGAAATTATATTTAAAAAAATAGAAAATAATATTAGGTTACAAAAATTATGTAATTAAAATGAATTAAAGTAAAGGTAGAAAATAAGTAAAAATTAATTAAATTAATAAGGAATAAATTAAAATAAAAAAATTAAGTAACGAATTTGTATTATTTTTATTGATAAAAATAACAATTCGAAAAATGAATAAATAGAGAAAAATAAAAAAGGGAGTTAACAAATTAATCAAAACGGAAAAATTGAGTAACACAAGATGGATGATGTTCATTACATGAACATTTTGCTTCTTCTTTACGATCAGCAAAAAATTTGTTTCCTCATGGAGGAAGCAATATCATTTTAACATTATTTGGAAAATTTTTTTACAATTCGGTACACTATTATTTTTAGTAAATTAAAATAATATTCACAAAAAAAAAAAAATTTTGAAAAAATTAATTTTTTGATAAAAGTAGAAAAAAATTTTGTAAGAATTTTTAAAAATCCTTCCATCAGTTTTAAGATATTTATATGATAAAATATCAGGACAAAAAATGGCTATTTCTAAACGGGTAATTATGAACTTAACCTTCAACAAAAACAAATTGTTTTAAAAGTAGTAAAAAGGTATCGATTTGCTTAAATTATAAAGCAAATTATTTGTGACATTCTTGTTTGATGAACATTGAATTTAAGTAGAATAATTAAATAAATAAATCTATTAATTAATGTAAATTTTATATATTAATTGTTTATATAAAAGAAAGCAAGATTTGGAACAGAGATAAGTTTTTCTAGAATAGCTGAATAGCGGAAATAATAATACGACTAAGAACTTTAGTAAAATAGTGGAATCTGCAGCTTTTCCATGTGGGGATTTTCTTTTTGTTAAAAATAACAGAATTTATTTTAACTTATATAATTTTTCACTATTAAACTTTTGTGGCATTGAATTTTATTACATAAATATATGTCTGATTGTCAAATAAAGTTTGTTATTTTAATTTCCTATATTTTTTATTCCTTTCATTCCTTATTTCTATGATTATTTTTTATGAAATTTCGATGTATTTATTTAATGAATATTTGTTTATAAATATTAACATAGTAAAACATCTTTTTTAATAAGGTTTCTGCTATTTTAATTATTACGTCTGACTAAAAATGTTTTTTTACCATTACTAACAAAAAAAGTATTGCAGCAAAATTTCTGACGAATATTTATTCTTATTATTAAAGAAATTGAAACTAACCGAAAATATTCAAGCAGTAAAGATTCCTTTTAATCATGTTTATCAAAAAGTTAATTTAAAATAATTTTTTCAATCGGAAATATTTTCTAACAAATTAGGTGCATAACAGTTGTGAACGTTATTTTTGTAATTTTAATCTTGTCAAAAAATGATTTTTAATGGTAAGAAATTAAAAATTCTTTAAAAGGGAATTATAATTAATGTTCTTTTCATCTCTCTGAATAAATTTTAAGTAAAGAAAGAAATGGATAAAAGTTGAAGAGTATTATAAAAGATGCTTTTTATAGTAACGTTAATATAAAACTTTAAGGTAAAGTGATATTCTTTAATAATAATTTTTTCTAACGAATACGAATGCATCTTTCGACCTCTAATTTCTGTCAAGAGTCATTTATATTCATTTTTTTTATTGCCCTTGTACAGTAATTGAACCTTTAAACACCAAATAATGGCTTTTCTTAAATGAGACAATTTTCATAGTTGAACTTATTGTATCGCACATGCAATAATCTAACGAGTGCTATTAAATTAATAGGTAACACAAGTTTCACTCTTAAATTAACTGTTTTATTAATTTTTACTCTTACAGTGCAATTTAATTTTTTTCTTTTTATTTCCTCAGTTATATATTTAATATTCTTTTAAAAATAAATAAAAAAATTTCATTTTATCTTCTTTCCAAATTGAGTAATTAATTTTACGAATTTAATTTTCGACTATTAAATTAATATAAGTAACACAAATTCTAATCTAAAATTACCAATTTGATTAATTTTAATTACTTTTAGTACAATTTGATTTAGAACTATTAATTTACTTATTTATTCAATATACTTGAAAAAATAAATAAAGAAAATTTTTCCCAAAAAAATCCATTTTATTTTCTATTTAAATTAAATTTTTTCGAATTTAATTTTCAAAAAATTTTTTATTTTATTTATTTTTTCAAAAAAATGTACACTTTTATTTTTTTCAAATTGAATAAAAATTTAATTCCACTAAGATGATAATAAAACAATTAAGAATACTTTAACCCGAATTATATTTTCATTGTCGTGGGAATTGTATCGAAAGTTTTGCAAGAATATTGTGTAATTATTGACTCAGAAAAGAAAGATATAATTTTATCTTTAAAGACATTTTTTCTGAGGCAATAATTTGTTAGTTTACTAAAGTTTAAGAAAAAATATTTGCAAATTTAATTTCTCAAAAAAAAAAAAAAAAAATGCTTTTAATGAGACTTTTTTTTAATGAATGCATTTTAAGAAATAAATCCCAACACAGTGTAAAAAAGCGATTCGTAAATTACTGCCAATAAAAAGTAATAAAGTATTAAAATTGCTTAAATGATTTTTCTCGTATCACTTCAGCAGTCTCACTTCTATAAAACGTTAATTCTCGTGATCTTGAATTTTTCCTTGCACTGTTCTTTCAACCTCGATATCGACCTTGTTACAAATTTCGAATTCGTGGAAAAAAATGTTTTTCACCATAAAATTTACAGAATAAATTTTAAAATTATTGATTTTTGAATTTTACCAAATATTCTTTCTTAGAAAAAGTAAAAAAAAAAAATTAAGAATACTTCTTTGTCGTTTATTTCAATTTTCGTTCGTAGAAAACTAATTTCTAACCATAAAACTCAAAGAATAAATTTTGAATAATTTTTGTGAATTAAAAGTCCTTCTACGGAAAAGTTGAAAATATTTCTAAAGAAGTTTAGTAATAAAACGGAAAAAGCAAAAAAAAAAAAGTTGAAAAAAGTGGAGAATAAGTGTAAAAACAGTGAAAATAAAATATTAGGAGAATAAAATTTTCCAAAGTGGGGGAAAGTATTTTTAAAAAATGGATAAAAAATTAATGAACGAAGGGGAAAAAATTCTCGAAGAAAAAGAATGTTTGGAAATAATAAAAAAGAAACTCGCTCAAGAATCATTAAACGAATTTAATCTAATTTCCCACGAACTCGTTCAAATCGAAGAAGTAAAAGGCTATATGGGACAATATTTCACACTAAGCGCAACAATAGCAAACACAAAATCACCAAAAGATGTGAGAAAAATAAAATTTTTCACCAAAATTCCACCGCCAAAAGATAGTCCAATGTATGAATTTGACAAAGAAATGGGAGCCTTCAAAAAAGAGGCGGCATTCTACAATCATTTTTTGCCAAAAGTTTTAAATGGTACCGATAAAAAATTCATTCCCGATTGTTTTTTATGTTCACGAGACGAGGTTATTGTCCTCGAGGATATGACACAAATTGGCTTCTTGCCAATAAATAAATTTGTACCATTTGATTTTGAGCATTGTCGAATTTTAATTGAAACACTCGCCAAATTTCATGTGAAATCATTTATATTCGAGGAGGAGACAAAGAAAAATTTACAGGAAAATTTCTCCCATTGTATGAAGGAATCATTATGGGATTTGGGAAAAAGTAAATCAAAATCATTGTACGATGCTGCAATTAAGGGAGCAATATCATTGGTTGATTTAATACCGGGTTTCGATGAGAAAACAAAATTAATATTTAAGAAAAAAATGAAGGCATTGTCCATTGAACGTGTTGTTAAATTATCGCCTTCAGTGAAACATAAAAATGTTTATTGTCACGGTGATCTTTGGGCGAATAATATTCTCTTCAAATATGATGAAAATGCAAAACCCGTTGAATGTTGTTTCGTCGATTTTCAACATGCGAGGTAAATTTTTTAATTTTTAATTTTCATTTTGAAACTTTTATTTATAAATTTTTTTTTAAATTTTTATCTTTATAAATTCTTGCAAATTTTTTTCTATTGTTTTTTATAACAATTCGATTATTTTTATATCAATTTGAAAAAAATTTAAAGAATATTTATTGACTAAATTTTTAATTAAATTTAAATTTAAAAAATAGGATAAATAAATATATATAAAAAATAAATACAAATAAATAAATATTTAAAAATATTAAAAACTGGTAATTAACAAACTAAATTAGCAAAAAGACAAAAAAACGCTGTAGATTTTTAGATACAACAACTGATCTATCTAATTTCAAAAAAATAAAATTAAAAATAAAAAAAATTGTAAAAAGAACAAGAAAATTATAAAAAATTATTTTTGCTTTTTTTTTACAATTGAGTTCAAATAACAGTACAAAAAAAAATAATTTCCAGATACAATCCACCGGCTCACGATCTACTGTCAGCGATTCATTACACGACGACAAGAAAAATAAGGGACGAATATTCGAATAGATTTTATAAAATTTATTACGAATCGCTGGGAAATTGTCTAAATTGTGTGGAAATGGAAATTGAAAAAATATTTCCATGGGAGGAATTTATGAAATCTGTTGCTGATCAAAAAATTGCTTTATTGGTGTTTTCTGTCTTAAATTTACCAATAATGTTACTTGAACCACAAGCTGCAAATAAATATTTTGCCGAAAATCCTGAACTTTTGAAAAGTGTTCTCTACATCGATAGAACGCCATTACTCTGTGAACAATTTCAAAATCTTCCAATTTACCGAGAGAGAATTGTCGAAGCCTATCTTGATTTGTACGATTATTTGGATAAAATTGAATTGTAAGATTATTTTATTGTTTGTAATTATAAATATTATTTGTAGAAATTTTATTTACTGATAAAAAAAAAATTTTTTTTCTCACTAAAAATTGTAATGTATGAGAAAAAAAATTATTGTTACAATTGTTTGGAGAAAACTTGTTATTTACAATTATTCAATAGAAAATTATTATTTACGATTATATAATAAACAATTTGTTCATTTTTTTATAAGTTAGCTGCCTTATTATATTATAAACAAAATATTTATTAGAAAAGCAAAATAAGCTGAATAATATAAATATAATTTTTAAATTGTTTTACGAACCTTTAGTGAAACTTCCATTCTATAAATTCCAGTCGCTTATTTTTCTATTGTAGAATAATTACATTTCAAAGTGATAAAATAATTTTTGATAAAATACAAAATTTTAATTATTTGTTAAAAATAAAAATAGCGATTAATTTTATAAATATTGGTCAAGACCAATTTAGTTTTTTCAGATATAAATTTTTTCTGAATCAAAAATGAATTCTAAAAAGTTTTTAAGCATCGACACTTTTCGAAAAAATTCTTTTTTATTAAAAAAAGATATTGTTTTGATAAAAAAAAGCCCTAATTTAATAATTAACTCCAAAAGTCGTATAAAACGAGTTATCTGTTAACGATTTCTAATAACTTTATTAGATTAAAAAAAATTTAGAAAATAAAAAATTAGAAATATTATTTTTTGAGAAACTGTTCCATAAACTGTCTGACAATAACATACTTTTACTACTAATACAAGAAAATTAATAAAACATTTAAAAATTGATGTCTAATTAAAGAATTTTTTTCAATTAATAATTATAATAGATTTTTAAAATGTCTGACTACAGCATAATGTTACTACTTAAAACAGAATTAAATTTAATTAAAATGCAAATAAATTTCCGAAAAGTTACTTCTGAATATTGAAATTGAATTTTTTTGTAAATATTTATTTTTAAAAGAACATCAATCGGAAAAATGCCAAACGACCATTTAATAGGAGAAAAGAGATAAACAATAAATTTAGAATTTTCTTTAATCAAATTAAAAAATATTTTCTAAATCCTTTATTGAAATTTAATTAATTAGAAAAAATATTGTTAATTAATATTTATTAATTCTTAAATTAAAAATTATATTTTAATTATATTTGTTAATTGTTAAATTGTTAAATTATAATTAATTTATATTCGTTAACTGTTGAATAATAATTTAACAGAAATTTAATTAATTAAAATTAATTTTTAAAAGAATTAATTTAACTCAGTTTAATTCTAGTTTCAAAGAATTAAATTCTTCATAGTGGAAAAATCCTTCGCAGTAAACACAAAAAATAATTTTAAAATAAATTTCTCCTCAGCCTTTCTGCAACGTTTCTTCATCTGGGATTAAAAATAAATGAAAAAGTACCAATAAAGAAATAATTTGAAAAGAAACAAATGTTATTTATTTTATGAAATACGACGGTGTGCGGAAATTTGAAGATCAATATACAAACTTCGTATTCTTTCTCATTTTTTTTTTCATTTTAAATATTTATATATACACAAAAAAGGATCACATTAGACATTATTTTAGCCAGGGGTTTTTTTTTCAAAGGAGTAAGGTTGAAATTGGTTTAGAATTTTTTTTTCCTCTCCTTTTCTTTTATATAAAAAATTTCATTTTTTTTTTTTTTGGGTGCTTCCATGAAAAATTGGGACAAACGCAGCACAATTTTTTTGTTTTTGTTTTTTTTAAGTTTTATGTATATAATTATTTATATCATCAATTATAATGAATATAATTATGTACAATATTGAATCTCATTCTTTAACAATAACATCAACAACATGATTAAACAACGTTCCTCATTGGTACACAAATTGTAAATTTACAGATAAAAAAGCATTAAGATGAGGTCAATGAGGCATATTAAAGTTTTTTTTTTTTGGCTCACGCTCTGCGCGCCTGTAATTATTATTATTATTTTTTTTCTTTTGTTTATACATATCTTAATGAATCCTCATTTATTTATTTAAATCATCTTCTTTTTTTCTGTGTGTGTGGTTTTTTTTTTGTTCTTATGTAGGTAATACATACATACGATTCACATACATACACGCAAATGCAACCACGAGATATGATTATAAAGGACGATGAATTTGATTGAATCAGTGCATGATTTAATTATTTAAAGAGAGTGCGCGAATTATTTCTCGGCACCTCTCAGCGAGCTCTATTTTGTATTTATTACCGATTCAAATCAGAAAAACAATCCAAAAATTAAAAAAGATTTGAAAATTTTAAAAAATTTAAATTTTTATTCTAAACAAAATTTTTAGAAATTAATTTTTGGAAATTATTTTTAAAAATTATTTTTTAGAAATTAAATTTTAGAAATTAAATTTCGAATCAGTAATTGTGCTATTAAAAGCTCACTACGAGGTGTTAAACACGATCATTCTAAACTTCTATACACAAGGCTTTCATTGATGAACGTCTTGCATAAATCTATTGCACAATTTATTCTCTGTTTTGTAATTCCTTTAAAGCAAACTAGGTCGTTTCTCGATATTTTCTTTTTTCCATTAGCATTTTTTTTCAAATTTGAAAATTACATCCTGAACATTTAAAAAGAAAATAGGAATTTAGAAAAGATTTTTCGAATTCGGTTTTTTTATTTATTTTTTTATATTTCTTTATTTTCTAGTAATAATAAAAATTTTTTTTTCTTTTCCGAAAAATGCTAATTTTACAGAAAGACAACAAAGTGTGGAAGTTCATTTTTTTTGAGTCTTTGTTAGGAAAACATTTTGACAGACAAAAAATATTTTGAAAAAAATTAAAAGTGATTAAAATTTTGTAAAAATAATTCATATTTTTTCCAGTCTTCGAAAAATATTTTTAAACGAAAATTGGAAAATTATTCACGACTTTCTTTGGCAGTTTGTTTATTGCTGTAATTGTATTAATAAAAAAATGAACACAACGATAGGAGAAATTTTAATCAAGTCTCAAAGAATATTATCGAAAGAAATGTTCGATTTTTTTACTGAATATAATTTAAAAATACAAGTATAGAAATATGTTAATTACAAAAAATTCGTAATTAAAAAATCGTTGAGTAAAGAAACGTTTGTTAATAAATCGTTTATTAACAAATCGTTAATTAATAAATCGTTTTTTAGAAAAATCGTTAATTAATAAATAGTATATAAAAAAAGTCGTCAATTAAATAAATCGTTTAGTAATAATTAATAATTCGTTAATTAACAAAAAGTTTATTAATAAATCGTTTATCAAAAAATGATAAATTAATGAATCGCTTATTACAGAATCGTTAATTTATTCCTCTAATTAACCATGTCTGCAAAAATATTTTCCCAATCGACTCATAATTTACATTTACAAACATATCTACATTCCCATGATGCTATATGACTTTTTCGCTATAAAATACATTCCATTTATATAATATTCTTTTTTTTTGTAATGTATATTAAAAAATTTAACAGTCCATAAACTGTGCTTTTTTCATTATAATAAACTATCCTGAAATTTAACTGGCGTTTTTTTCTCCTGGTTTTAATTTTAATTTCATTTCTTTTAAGTATATTAGAAAAATTTTACAGATTTAAAATTATGTTTTAGAATTATATATTTTTGTTGTTGTTGTTATTTTTAATTATATATTATAATAAATTGTCTATATAAACTGAGACGTATCTACGTTTAACGAGAATTCGAGATCAGTGTGCGTTATATAATTAGACATTATTATTATTATTTTTTTTTCTTTATAATTACATTATTAACTATAATTATAATTAACAATAGTCTAAAAGCTAGATTTTTTTTACTCAAGTGATTAACATTTAATGTATAAAGTAAATAATTATGTAAATTTTTTTAATTAAATTATGGAGAATAAGAAAAAAAAATAGTTTTTTTGTGTACAAAATCTCGATTTTTTTGTCTTTGTCTTTTTAATTCTTTAGGAAAATTAGGCCAACTTTCCGTATATGTACAAAAATAGTATTTTAAATTATTTTGTTTTAAGAACATTTCTTCTTTCTTTTTTTTTTTTAATAATAATCAATGGTTTATATATGTTTGTGAAGCGTAAAAAATGAATAATGAATACAATAATTAGTCTTTCGTCTGAAGGCTTTCTTATAATTAAGAAGAAAAAGTCAATAACATCAAGAAATGGAATTAATCTGTACAAGTTTATAGCGTGAAAAATTATTTATTTAAAATTTTCAATAAACAGAAAAGTAAATAAAAATGAATAAAAATAGGTTTTTTTTATTATAAGATATAAATAATGATTTTATTTTTTACCATTTTTTAAAGCCTTATCGGTAAAATTTTTTGCCCTCCCCCTTTCTCTTTTAACCCCTTTCCCCTTTTACTCCCTTTTTTCACCCTTTCTCCTATAAATTTTTTAGAAAATAAATTTCATTAAATGAGAATTTGAACAGGAATTTAAAAAAATTTCCCAATATTTTAAACAATTTACTTTTGATATTTACTTTTTTTTATGGATTTTTTATTGGTGTAATTATTTTTGAACAATAAATAATTCTTCTCAGTTTGTTACTAATAAAAAATTCAATTTGGAGGAATTTTTTGAAAGTTAATTTTCCTAGAAAAGCCAAAGATTCTTTGGGCAAAAAATTAGAAAAATAAATTGTTGAATAAAAATTCTTGTCGAAAAATTTGCGATTAGGAAAATTTACAAAATTTCGATTTAATTTCAGGCCTCGGACTGAATTTAGAAATAAAAAATATCAAAAGTATTTTGATAAATAAAATGGTGGTTCAATTTCTCCACTTGAGAACGCCAAGGTCACCACTAGGTGGCGTGGAATCTAGTTTTTGTCAACTCACCTGCCATCTAGCGGTGACCTTGGCGTTCGCAGGTGAGAAATAGCAACTCCATATTGAATCTCAAGATATGTTCGTAATTTTATAATTACAATTATAATTATTTAAAAATAGTTGCTAATTAGTGACTATTTTTTTTGTGCAACACCTGTAAGGAAAGTAATACTTTGCATGCCTGTAAAGTAGGCGCAAAACAGTACTTTGCTGCACTAGTGCGGCAAAGAGCTTACTTTGCTGCACTAGTGCGGCAAAGTGCTTATTTTGCTGCACTAGTGCGGCAAAGTGCTTACTTTGCTGCACTAGTGCGGCAAAGTTCTTAAACTTTTGGGTTTTTTTGGTGATATACATAGGTATTTGTTTTCTATTTGTAGAATACCTGTTTTTTACAGTAATATACGCGTAAAAAACCACGAATATTACGTGCGGTAACATACGTTCCAAACCCTGCTAAACAGTACGTATGTTGGCGTCAACTAGCGTTTCCAAACAGCTTTTTTATCAAAACCAAAAGCTGTTGCACAAAGTACTGTGTGCAACACGTACGAAAGAAGATTTTCCAACTTCGTGCAAATTGCTGCCCTCGCTTCGCTCGGGACAGCAAACTTTGCACTCGTCGGAAAACAGCTTCTTTCTGTACTTGTTGCACAATATACTATTTTACTATTGATATAAAAAGTATCAATAGTCCAAGGCCTGAAATTACTATGAAAACTGAAAAAAATTAAATAAACGGAATATTTAAAATCACTGGTAAAGTTGCTAGCAATTAAAATTAAAAATTGTAAAGTTTGTTACCAAGAATTGAAAATCCCTAGTTACAATTTTTTATAAAACTAAAAAACTATTTTTAAAAAGTCTGCTAAAAAGAAAAGAAAAAGAAAAAAATTCCACACTTTGTTGGACCCAGTCGCTTTAATTTTCGCGTCCTGTAAATTGTATTATACGATCATAACACGAATTGCGGTGGCAGTGAACAGTGCACGTGGATATTTGCAGCGGCAGCAAACAGCAGCAGCAGCGGTAATACACGGTATATGCAATATATACGAACAATGGCAGCGTCTACCACAGCTATTTGTCTTTTTTTTCCCAAAAAAAAAAAAAAGAATTTTTTCCCCCCATTTTAATTAATTTTTTTTGTCTCTTATAATCGTATATATAATTACCGAACACAACGCTGACACCGCATATCAACGACTTTAATTAATAATAATAATAATAATTCAATAATCATCTAATCACTGCATTTTTCGTCAACGTTTATCACGTGTACGTTCGTGTACGAGTGTGCGAAAAAAAAATTTCCTCTTTTTTTAATATTTATTAAATATATAATATTATGATCGCAACAGAGACGCGATTACAAATAAACGCGTACCTGCGCGTGTCTGTCGTTTTTCATTTAGTCGTATTTTTTTTTAAATCATTTTTTCATTTTTTTTTTTTTTGACCTTTTTTTCATCCTTTTTTCTGCTTTTTTTCCTTTTATAATTGTATATAATTTTATATTATGTATATACATATATATGTATCGCATTTAAAGAACATCGGTATATTTACACACGTGAGTTTCACAAAAATATATAAAAGAGAAAGTGCCTATGTATATACATATATATACACACACATACATATATATATGTATACATATATATGCGCATATATACGTATCGACGTATATATTCCGCTAAATAATTCAAAATTTATTTTTTTTTTCAAATCGTGTGGAAAAGGGTGTTTTTTTTGGCTCTTAATTAATAATAATTATTATTATATATATATTTATATATGTATATATACATATATATTTAATATACACAGATGGTATGCATAAATTTTACGAATACACAAATTACAAAATATCGTCTATTGTGTTTTTGGAAATATTCTGTTTTTTGTAAACGAGCATTTTTCTTTCTTTAGTGAATTTTTAAAAAAACTATTTACTTAAATTTAAAAATTAATTTGCTTAATTTACATTCTTTAACGAAATTTCGATTGTAAACAATTATATTAAGTAAACTTACTAAAATTGTTTATAATTGAAATTTATAATTGAAAACTCAACTAAAAATTATTAATACAAACAAAATAAATTTTTTTTATAAACAATTATCCTTATTTTTCTGTTTGAAAATAATTTAAATATTTTAAATATAATTTTAATTCTAAAATTTCTAAATAATTGGGAACAATTTTATTTATTTAAATAATTGGAATTATTTTTAATTTTTTATCAATAATCTCGAATTTAATTGACACAATTTAGATTATTTCAATATTTTGAACAATTTTATTATTTAAAACTTAATTTTCAATTATTACGACAATTTGCGTATTCTATATAAGTTTTAACTAATTTGTTTTAAATTCAATTTGAATTGTTTAAACTCAATCTCAACTGTTTTAAAAAAATTATCAACAATTTTATTTATTTAATTAATTAAAATTATTTGAATTCAATTGCAACAATTTAGATGATTTTAATTTTTGAAACGATTTAAATATTTAAAACTTAATTTTCAATTTTTTCATCAACTTACACTGTATAAATTTTCTCTTATTTCATCTTGAAACATAATTTAAATTAATTAAACTTAATTATAACCATGAAAAAGAATATTAATTGGAAAAAATTTTATTTATTTAAAATATAAATCCAAATAATTTTAATTATTTGTCAAAAATTTATATTTATTCAATTTTTTTTAACGATTTGAATAATAAAAACTAAATTTTCAATTCTTTTAACAATTTCTGTTGTATAATTTTTATTCAATTTGTTATGTAACTCAAATTAAATTTTGTAAACTTAATTTCAATTATTATGGAAAAAATTTACATTAGTAATATTTTCATTTATTTAAATAATTGAAATTACGTTAATTTTTTTACATCAATTTGCAATAATTTAGATAATTCCAATATTTTAAATAATTTAAATATTCAAAACTTAATTATCAATTTAAATTTAATTTAATACTTATAAATATTTAAATAATTTAACTTGTTTATACGTATTTAAATTAAAACGTATTATTTTTGAAATTATTATTTGTTTATAGAAGCAAATTATTTAAAAAATTTTAAATTATTTAGAGTTGATTTAAATAAATTTAATAAAATTAAAATTTTTTGGTTTTGACTTAAATATTTTTAATTGTTTAGAGCAAATTAGAACTATTTAAATATTTTGAAACCAATTTTATGTATTTAAATTAAACAATATAAATTGATTAAACAAATTTCAATTATCAATACAGTTTTAATCATTAAAGTATTTTAAACTTTAACTTATTTATTTACTTAAACAATTTAATTTATTTAAATACTTTTTTCTTACATGAATAATTTAAAGTATTTAAAATTTTTTTTTACATAAAAAACTTTTTAAAAACAGAAAAAACGACTAATTTATATAAATATCAGTTTGTAATTAATCTTAAATATATGTATATATCAAAGTTATAAAATGTTTTTTGAGCAATAATAATGCTTCGTTGGGGAGGAAAAGAAATGCTTACCATCTGCGCATATAAATCCTGTACAAAGTGCTTGATTGAAAGTTTCATTAGTCCTAAACAAGACACACGAGGTAAGATTATCAAGTCCCGCACTCTGCTTCCCGGCCGATCTTCCCTCTTTCGTTTTTTTTTTTTCATTTTTTGCCTAAAGTGCAATTTTAGGAGGACATATGTCGCAATGTCTTCGAGTGACAATTTTGCAGCATCGTCAATTCCTCGGCATTTCTTCATTTTTCTTTTTTCTCATTTTTTGCACGACTGAAGGGGGAACAGAAGGTCGGTGATGGAAAATCATTTCAACTTACACCCGCTTTCTTCATTTCTTTTTTTTTGCCAACACTCGATTAAAGTAATCCAGTCGAATTTTTTTTTTTTTTGCTATCACTCAACGACAATAGACGAAATTGTCGCTTATACACGATTTTACAATCATTATTTATCTTCATATTTATATTTATACTAAAAAGAGTTTTTTTTTTGTGTCATTTTTTTTCTGTCTTCAGAGATGACACTCGACGTATATTTTTTTTTCTTTATTCATTTCGTGTAGCGTCCCTCGAACCATAATCATGCCTTTTTCAAATATTATCCTTCATCTTCTTCTTCTTCTTCTTTTTTTTCTATTTCTTTCACCATCTTATATTCTTTCACCCACCTCATATATTGAGGGGGTAAAAAAATCTTTTTCTCGTTCGATTAGAAAAATGAGAATTTAATTATTAGAATATAAAGAATTCACTTATATAAAAATTATTTTTTTTTTGTTAGGAACATTTCTGGTTATTTTCTTGTTTCTAATTTCTTCTATCTGAAGTTGAAAGAAGAAATTAGATGGGATTGTGATTTCGATTTTCTTGGCACTGGTTAAGTGAAAAATGGTGTATATATTTTGTAAGGGGTAAAAAATAAAAAAAATATTCTTGAGAGAAAATCCTGAGAATATTGCGGTAAAAATAGGAGAAAATGTAAAAACTGATGGACTTGACGAGAAGAAGTTGAAGAAACATTCTTCGGATGATGGTTTTTTTTTTTGTCTTTCTTTTTCTAGTGTAAAAAGGCATGAAAAATTTCCTACGGGTATTTAAATGTAGGAATATGGTCCATCGGTGAGGGCGCTACACAGCAACAGTCAGGAGGCGTCGTCCTTCCCTCTGGCTCCTCTACTTGGCCTGTACTCCAGGCCTGGATCGAACTGCATGAGCACGAAGACCTATTTTGAAAAAAAATTATTTACAATTTATTTATTTCAATAAATAAAAATAAAGGAAAAAAAACGAAATTGTAAAAAACACTAAAAAAAAGTACAAAGAATAAAAATAGTTCGTCAAATTGTTTTTAATAGTAAACACTTGTCTATCAGTAGTACAAAGCAGTTTCAGTCAGACGAAATTTTAAAAATCGTCTAATTATGAAAGTCAGTAGTAAAAGTAATTTTTAGTCCGACAGAAAGACTACTTTCAAGTAGTAAAGGACATATTTAATCAGGCAGATGAATTTGATTTTACAAGCTTTTAAGGATTTTTTTATTTTAAAAAGTATTTAGTAGAAAAAAATATGTCAGTCAAAAAGTTAAAAATTCAAATATAATAATTGAATTACCTGGTCAGTAGGCAAAAGTGTGAAGTCATCAGGAGGATTAGTAATGACATATCTCTTCGAGGATGCATCGCACGACGAACTCGTGTCCCGAAACCTATAATTTTTTTTTTTTTTTTGGAAAAGAAAAGAGAAAAAACTCCGATTAATCCCATAATTCAGTAAAATAGTGCCACACCAAAAAAACTAAACTATGGAGTATAAAAATATAACTAAACTAAATATTTGCGAGAGCAACTAAACGCTAAACAAATAGACGTGACGATAGACAAAAAATATTTTGAAATGATATTTTTTGGATGGAATATAACTTACGATCATTGCATGGCATGAAAAAAATCTTTTTTTTTTTTTTTGCTTTGCAAAAATTGATTTTTGATTTGATTTTGGTGGAGTGATGCAAAAAGGCAAAAAATGCAAAAAACGTGTGTGCCAAAAAATCAGAATAATGTCGGTACACAGTAGAATTATAAATGACAATAATAATAATATTAATAATATACAATATAATGTATAATATTGATATAATAAAACAATATATATAAAGTGAACGTGTAAATATAATATATATAGTATATGATTACAAGTAAATATTAATTGAAAAATCCATTTATATAAAACGTGGGGTAAAATCCAATAAATACCATCGAAAGAAAGAAAGTCCGATACCTGTACCTGTACAGACCAATACACAGCATTCCATAAGACTTTAATGCTGCTACAAAGAGGTCACCGTACTTGCCTCCTTCGCCATACTGAGCTAATGGCCCGTCGTACAATGAAATTTGTCCAACTCTACAACGATCTCTATTTGAGAGACTGTCTGTCGTGCTGGAAAATAAAAAACGATAACAATCACTTACAACATTTTTTACACTAATGCACTCTGTACTTTTTTTTCTTTTTACTTTACTCTACTTTTTACGAAAATAAATCTAGAAAATAAAGAAACAAAAATTAAATACAATTAGAAACGTTTGAGTGAGTTAAATAAATTAAATAACTTAAATAAATTTAATACCCCCTGGAAATTATATGGAATTTATTTGCAAAACTCAAAAATCTGTTCTATTACATTTACGAATTTTTACATATTACAAATTTTTTTAATTGTAAAATTATTTGAAAACATCAATAAATTTGTTTTTAAATAAATATTTAATCATTATTATTATTCCATAGAAATTAAGATTTTCAAAATTCAAATCTTTATGAAATTCAACAACTTATAAGACTAATATTATTATATTATTAAACATAAAATTTTCAAAAAAAAAAAAGAAATTAAAATATTTACAAAAATTTTTAATAAAACCCTTCGCAAAAAATCAATTATTTTTACCGAGTCTTCGACTCGGAATGATTGATATCTTCATGTTTTATAATAATTTAAATTTCCATAAAATTTTCCCCAAAAAAAAAAATCAAATTATTTACAAAAATTTTAATAAAATTCTTCGCAAAAAATTTAATTATTTTTACAAGTAATAAAATTTTTCACATGAATTCAATTATTTAAAAAATGTAATAAAATTCGTTGTAAGAATTCAATTATTTTTACAAGTAATAAAATTTTTCACATGAATTCAATTATTTAAAAAATGTAATAAAATTCGTTGTAAGAATTCAATTATTATTTTTACAAGTAACAACATTTTTGACATAAATTCAATTATTTAAAAAATCTAATAAAATTCGTTGTAAGAAATCAATTATTTTCATAAATAATAAAATGTCTCAGAGGATTTCAATTATTTTCAATACAATTTTAAATAAATTCCTCGAAAAATTTAATTATTTTCAAAAATTTCTTGCAAAAATTCAATTACATTTCACAAATAATAGAATTCTTCGCTGAAATTCAAATATTTTCAAAATCCAGGTACTATTTTTATCAAATTTCTTATAAATGAATTTAATTATTTTTAAAACATTATATAATTTATTAAATAAATTAATGGTTATCAAAATTGAATCCTCATAAAGAATTTTATCAACAAATTTTTAAATAATTCTATGGTGAGTTTTTTTATTTATAAAAATAATTAAATCTGGGTAAAAAATTTTATTATTTATGCAAATAATTGAATTATTGACAAGAAATTTATAAAAAGAAAATTTGTAAATAGTTGAATTCCTGTGAAATTTTTATTATTTATGAAAATTATTTAATGTTTGCTTAGAATTTTATCAACACTATTTTTAAATAATTGAAATCTTTTGAAAATTTTTTGAATAAGTAATTGAAATTTGGCAAAGAATTTTATCAAAATTTTTGAAAATAATTAAATTTTTGGGAAGAATTTTATTATTTTGAAAGATAATTGAAATTTTACCATGGAATTAAAAAAAATTTTTAATATAATAATTGAATTTCTGCGATGAATTTTATTACATTTGAAAATAATTGAATTCATAAAAAGAAATTTATTATTTATTATTATGAAAATAATTGCATTCCTAAAAACAATTTTATAATATATGAAAATAATTGAATCACTGATAAGAATTTGATTATTTATAAAAATAATTGAATTCTTACGAAGAACTTTATTTAATTTTCTTTATAAATAATTGAATTCTTGAGAAGAATTTTATGAAAATTGTGTTTTAAATAAAATTGAATTCCTGTGAAATTTTTATTATTTACGAAAATAATTTAATGTTTGCTTGGAATTTTATCAACACTTTTTTTTAAATAATTGAAATCTTTTGAAAAATCTTATTAAAATAGTAGATATTGAGAATGATTGAATTGAGGAAAATTTTCGAAAATAATTGAAATTTTGCGAAGAATTTTATTACTTTTGAAAATAATTAAATTTCTGCAATCATTTGTAACAATCAGTTGTACAAACAAATTCAAGTCAGACCAACAATTTTTTTGAATAGAAAATATTGTACTATTGAGTGCAAATTACAGTCGGACTAGTAATACTTATATAGTCAGTTTCAGTAGTGAAAGTCGATTTTAGTCGGACAAACGAATAATAAAGTTGTTTTTAAGTAGTACAAATCAATTTTAGTCAGACAACAATTTTATTTATAAAAAAGTATTGTAGTAGTAAGTGCAAGTTATAGTTGGACTAATGGTATTTATATGCTTAGTTTCAGTAGTAAAAATCGATTTGAGTCAGACGAGAAAATTAATAAATTAAAAATTAAATATATCTATCGAAGGTGATTGAATTTAAATTTAAGTTAACTGACGTTAATAAAATTAAAAATCGCTTTAACTAAAATTATTAAAATAAAATTATTAATAATAAAGACTCCTAAAATTATTATTAAAAGTAAACATTAAATTAACATTAAGTACATAAATAATAAAAAAAAGTTCATGACTAAAAAAATATTTTTATAATTTTCTTATTATTTCTCAATATTTATTGCAGGGAAAAATTTTAATACTTAATTTATTCCTTCAAAATTTGTCATTTTTCTTTTTCTTAAAAAAATGTCGTTTGAAATTGAAAGAAATAAGTAACTATACACTAATTACGATTAATTACGATTTCAATTTGGGCATACCTGTAACCACCTCGTAAACCAGCGCCTTCTGCTAAAATTAATTCCAGTTCAGGCGTCGCACCTCCAGTGATTAACGATCGAATAAGCGTCAGTGCGTTTTGGTTGAAATATGTCTGAAATTTTTTTTTTTTAATAATTATTATTATAAAATATCATTCTTGTCGTTGAATTATTGCGTTTAATTATTATGTCGACAAAAGTAAATTGTTTGTTTTTCAACTAACCGTTGACATGAGTGAATCTAGTACACTGACAGCAAAGGCAGTGCCACAAGCGAACGGTTGAGTGAGGTAGAGTTCAGTATCGGGATCATCATCGTCATCCTGATCCAGAAACTGTACGTTGCTGTCATTTACAAGTTCTGGAAGAAAATAAAATTTGAATTTTACATTATGTTATGAGGAAAAAAATTGATAGTGATTTTTTAGTAGTAGAAAGAGTTTTTAGTCAGACAAATGTATTTGAATTTACAAGCTTTTTATATCAATAGTAAACGACCTTTTTAGTCAGGCAGACGTATTTGGATTTACAAGCTTTTTATATCAGTAGTAAACGACCTATATAGTCAGACAGTCGTATTTTTATATAAATAAGTAGTATACGACAATTTTAGTCAGACATACAATTTATAAGAAAAAATCGAGGAAAAAATTTTATGTCTGACTAAAATATTATTAATGTAAAACATCAGTAGTAAGTACGAGTTATAATCAGACAGATTGTAATTAAATGTTATCTATATTCCGACACTTGGTTCTTAAAATATTTTATATCAGTAGTAAAAGTCGATTTTTGTCAGCCCAACATTTTTAGTTAAAAAAATTTACTTGATAGGAAGTGTCAGTTATAGTTTATGCTTGTCAACAGTAGTAGAAATAAATTTTAGTCAAACGAACATTTTTTACTTAAAAATTGTTACATTAGCAGTAAGAGAATCACAGTCAGACTAATCATCTTTCAAGTTCTAAATTCAGTAGTAAAAGTCAATTTTACGACGACTTAATATTTATACATTAATAATTTTTCGCTTCTTCGTTTCTAAATAAAAGGTTTAAGTAGTATAAAATCTTTTAAAATAAATTAATTAATTTTAACTAAGAGTCAAGTAGTAAAAATCAGTTTTTAGTCAGACAAGGCGTCCTAACCACGTTTAGTTCAAATTTAAGTTCTCGAAAAACAATTTTAAAATAAAGAAATAATTTAAGATAATTTTTTTTTAGGTTTAAGTAGTACGAAATTAGTTTAATCAGACAAAATTATTAAAATTTAAAATTAAATAGTGATGGTCAGTTTTAGTCAGGCAAAACGTTCTAAATCTTTATAATTACGGTTTAAGTAGTGTAAAATAGTTTTAGTTAATAAGAAAGTCTGATTCTTTTTAATTAATTACAGTTTAAGTAGTATAAAATAGTTTCAGTCGGACAGTACGTTGTAAATCCTTATAATTACGGTTGAAGAAGTATAAACTAGTTTTAGTCAGACACAATGTTCCTAATCCTTACAATAACGATTTTAGTAGTATAAAATAGTTTTAGTCAGACAGAACGTTCTGAGTAGTATAAAATAATCTTAGTTAGGCAGGACGTTGTAAATACTAATAATTACGGTTTAAGTAGTATAAAACAGATTTAGTCAGACATAAAGTTTTAAATCCTTGTAATTATGGTTTAAGTAGTATAAAATAGTTTTAGTCAGACAAAATTCTTTCAATAACTAAATGTGTACTACTTTTAGTATTAAAAATCGTATAAATAATTTACCTGTAATCATGGGCACATTTGCTCCGTAGACCGATCCTCTTCGTTGGAGAACGATGGGGCTACCAACTAAAAAAAAATAATGTTAGTTCCTTAATTTGTCAATAATTTTAAAATCAAATAAAATTTGTATAAGATGTTAAATAATTATTACAAATAATTTCCAGTCTGTTTATTACTTTGCTTAACTTATTAACAAATAAGGCACCTAAATCGAAATTATATTTGAAATTTATTGAAAAAATGGAAATAATGGATTTTATTTTGTTTTCAATTTTTATTTTGTGGTAAATTATATATGGGAGAGGAAATTACCTTGGCTTAGGACACCGATAGTATCATCAAAAGTCATCGCCTTGATGTTAAGGGATGCGAGGATGGCCTCCTTGTCGGCGAGGGTGGGGTCATCGTTGCTAGGCACTTTTGCCGACAGGATGCAACACATGTCGCAAAGATTTACGTTTACGGCACGTAGATCTGCTCTGCTCAGCGGCGAGCCCTAAATTATCAACAGGAGCAAAATCAATCTTTGCAGACTTTTGCTTATTTTATTTATTTACTTATTTACATATGTAAAAATGGGCTTACAAGAAAACGAGTCTTAATAATTATTTTCAAAAACAATTAACACAACAAAAATTTACAAAAAAACAACCTTTTATTTAATGAATAATGATTAATAATATTATTAATAATTATTAAATTAATAAATAATATTATGAATATTATTAATAATTATTAAATTAATAAATAATATTATAAATATTATTAATAATTACAAAATTAATAAATAATTGACTATATTATTAATCTTCATATTCTTTTATTCATTCTGTCCTTAGGTTGAAGTTATTTTTTGTGTATGCTTTTGTTTTTTTCCTCATTAAAAAATATTGTTTGACAAATTGAAAATGTTCGGGTATTTTTTCACAATTTATAATAAAATAATAGAAATTAGAAAATTTTTTAAAAATTATGATTAACAAACAACTATATTCCAATTCGTATTTTATTTAAAAAAAAAAATATGAATTTAAATTTTTTACGTTCCATTATTTTTAAAATTGCTAATTTTATTTGAAAAAAGTGAGTGAGAAGTCAATTATTGCTAGTAAATATTAATAATTAATGTAAAAAAAAAATTTGCCATTAAAAAGTTGACTCACATTTAGCACCGATATTTTTGGCAGATTCTGTAGCATTTTCCACTCGCGGCGGATATAATCAACAGATCCAACTATCACAACATGTTTAAGCTCGTGATAATGAAAATTGGAAGCTCTTAATGGCATGACAAGGTTTCTCAGTCCAATGAGGGGTGAATCGGGATCGGCAAATAGACAAACGACAACGTGGCCATTTAAAACAGTCATTGCCGCTTGATTACGATCCAGAATGCAGTCTTCCAAATTACGGGCCGGGCTCCAATGGAACATTCCCGTTGAGTCATATTTCATTTCAGTTTTTTCAAAATCAAAATCCTTCGCTTGATCGTCAGCAATTCCCACTTGTAGTCCCGTGTTGTTTAAATTCGTACCGCCCGAAGCCCTACTCGTTGGCCTGAAATATTTCACAATTCAAAATAAATAAAACAAATTTCTTTCTATATTTTCTATTTTTTTTTTTTTCAAAAATCAAAATTTCACATTAGAAATCGAAATTAAATAATAATCGTGTGCAAAATTTTCAGGCGGGTTTTTTATTTTAATATTCTCTTTACCTAACATAGACGCAACCTTCAGCTACTACTTTTTATTTTGGAGAATGTATAATTATCATGAAACACTATTAAAATGATCACTATATATAATTAGATAACACCATGATCAAAAGGTAATGAAATCACAATAATTAATTTCAAATTACAATTAGTCTGTAATTTATTACAATTAATAAATTATAATAATCAATTACAACTAACTGTATTATAAATCAGTTCGATTAATTACAATTTCAATAATTACAATTAATTGCAGTAATCATTTCAATTATATATAATAAATAATTAAAATTAACTACAGTAATCATTTGTATAATTAGTAATTAAAATATTATTATTTTATATAATAATTAAAATATTCAATTACAATTAATTACAATCATTAATTATATTCAAAAATTAGTCAATCAATCGGTTAATTAATCTCAATCATTGCAATTCGATTAAATTAACTGGACTAATTTTATAAAGTAAACTGAATTAATTAATTAATGTGATTCAATTAATTTTAATGAAAATACATACAAGTTATATAATCAACAGAAAAGATGAGGAAATTTACTAAAAACTATAAATACGATCAAAAATTGAATTAAATATGTTTGAAGAGAGACTATATTTTGAATATTAGATGGTTAACAGGCCTAGAAAGCATGGCTCATGCATATCAATTTTACATATTTTTAATTCGATGAAATGATGAGCAATTATTAAAACAATTTTTAAGAATTGTGGCAAAATTAAAATTTTTTTCGAAGAGGAAATGAGATGATTAATTTGAGAATATAAACACTTAAAAAAAGGAAAATTTCTAGCGATGAAACATTACTATTAGGAATTGTAATACCTTAATGTGTCTGCATTTCCTAAATTACCTAAAAAATTGGTCAAAAACTTGTTTGCTGAAGGTAAATATTTTTTTCTCAAACTAAAAGTTATTGTTTTTTCTAGATATAAAAATGGTATTTTTGAAATTACTATTCTGGAAAATTTCAAAAATAAATATTATTATGTTTACTATTATTTTTTTATCATTCTTTTTTATCATTCTTTTTTTTATTATTATTCTTACTATTTTACTCTACTGTTTTAATATTATACGTATAAATAAAAAAATTATGCTAATTACAATTTTTTCCATTATTATTAATTATTATTCTCACTATTATTATTCTAATTACTAATTTTCTCACTATTATTGTTTTTACTATTATTACTCTCACTGTTATTATTAACATTATTTTTATTACAAAGAATTGCATAATTATTATTTCTCTACAAACACTTCACAATAAATTCATCAGAAAATTACACCTTCTAAATTTCTACTTTCTTCTTAAACTGTAAAAAAGATGTCAATATTCAGATAGAATCATAATTTTTATTGAAAGCAACATTTTTTTACACAAAAGTGAATTTTTTAGGTCCATCAAAGTTTTCTATTTTCATTAAAAAAAACTTGACCTGTTAATAAATAAAAAATAATAATCTTTGTTACTTTATTTCAAAAATCCAAATTTCCTCTTAAAAAATGTTTGCAACGAAAATAAATTTCTATTTGCATCAATCAAAAATTATACGAAATAAATAAAATGTAATTCGATTAAATAGAATTACCATTCAATTGTAAAAATTACTATTTAAAAGTAAAAATTACTATTCAATAGTAAAATTTACCAATTAATTTAGTAAAAATTACTATTTAAAAGTAAACATTACTATTCACTAGTAAAATTTACCAATTAATTTAGTAAAAATTACTATTTAATAGTCAAAATTATTATTATATATTTTTACTATTTTTACCATTGAATATTAATTTTTACTAAATTAAATAGTAAAATTTACTCATTCGGTAACAAAGTCAGTCACTAATTCAAATTAGTAAACATTTTTACTAATTCAAATTTAGAGTTCAAATAAAATTTTTGTTTACACATTTTAAAAATTAAAATTCACCATTAAATAGGATTGTATTAAAAAAAAAATTATCTACAGTGATAATAAAATAATTATTAAATAAATTATGATTCTATCCTTTTCTTTTACAAAACTCGTCATTATGTTAAAATTGTTAATAACTTTCAATAACATTCAAAGGATGGAAATTACATGCAAATTTTTTTTTTTAAACACTCTGATGCAACATGCAATGAAGCATTATAGCAGAATTTGCTTCGGCGAAAAAAGAGAAAAGGAATTTTCTAAAATTTCTTCTTTTTCAACTACAGGATTTCACTAGCCATCACGATAGCACGTTGCAAAACGTGTAGAGAGAGTACTTATAAAAAAAGAGTGTTAAGGGCAGAAGCGTACATGAGTTTTTTGACTTCGTAGGCGAGATGGTAGCCAGCGTATGCGGACTCCTCTTGCGATCTGGAATCAGAAAGTGAGCGTATGCCGTTGATCCCAAAAGCCTGCACTTCACATTTGTCAATTAATTTCACTCTGCGCATTTCAAAAAAATGAGAAAAAAAATTTTTTTTTAAATAAAAAAAAAATAAAAAAGAGATGGAGAACGAAATGAAAAAGAAGGTTGACAATTTTTTCAATGTTTTAAAACAAAAATTATTATAAAAAACATTAATTATTAATTTATTACCAATAAGTAACAATAATTATTATTAATAATGATTATGAATAGTAATGAATATTACTAATAATATTTATTAATAGTAATATTTATAACCAATAATATTTATTTCTAACAATAATTATTACTAATAATATTTATTACTAATAATAATTGTTAATAATAATAATTATGAATAACAGTAATTATTACTAACAATACTTATTTCTAATAATTATTGTTACTAATAATATTTATTAATAATAATTAATAATCAAAATTGTTACTAATAATAATTATTACTAATGTCATAATAATTACGAATACAATAATTATGAATTTATTATTCTTTAATTACTAATTATTAGTAATGAAAGAATAATGACTTAAAATTATTCATAATTATTAATAGTAACTAATCATTATTAATAATTTTTAAAAAATTGAAAAGAGTTGAAAAAAAATTTTTTATAAATACAAAACAAAAAAAAAAATTTAAAGGAAAATCAAATAATGAACTTTAAGAAAAAAAATTTATAAAAGGACAAAAAGAAAAAAATCAGGAAACGAAATTCCTCGTTCAATGATCATCACTTCCGATCCACTTGCGAGTATACTGATTGATACACTAAAAAATTATGTTGCGCAAACCACTGCATTGCTTTCGAATATTTGTTTTACTCATTGGAGCCTAATACGTGCAATTGCATTCAATTTGCGCCTCTATTTAAGCCCAGTTTCATTGAGATGCATTTGACAAGAAAAAAAAAATTACTTTTCATCATTCCTTTTGCAAAGAAAAAAAAATTACCTGCCATTTAGTAATAATAATTTTGTGGCAAAAAAAGCAATTTTTTTTCTTTCTTCTAAATTACTTTACATACATTATAAATTGTATTTTATTTATTATTGTCTTGTAATTTATTATGTACTGTGATTTTTATTTAGTACTGTATTCAAAATATACATTTATTTCAAGTTTTTAACTCTCCTCTCTAAATTTGAATTCGTAAAAATGTCTGATAATGTTAATTAGTGACTGACTTTTTGATATTGAATTAGTAAATTTTATTAGTAAATCTAGTAATTTTTACTAATTTAGTAGTAAAATGTAATAATTCAAAAGTTTTGTACTAGCAAATTAGTAGAAATATTTTACTAATAAATTAGTAGAAAATTTAATTAGTAAATTTTACTAATAAAAGTAATTTCTACTAATTTAGTAGTAAAATGTAATAATTCGAAAGTTTTTTACTACTGAATTAGTAGAAATTACTATTTATTAGTAAAATTTACTAATTAACTTTTCTACTAATTTATTAGTAAAATATAACAATTCAAATGCTTTTTACTACTAAATTAGTAGAAATTACTGTTTATTAGTAAAATTTACTAATTCAAAAGCAAAAAGTAAGTCAGAAATTGAAATAACCAAACATTTTAAATTTTTAACTAATTCAAATTTTGAGAATATAGTTTGTTTTAATTACCATCTACTGAGAAAATAAAAAAATACTTTGCGACAAAATTAAAATTCGTTAAATGTTGTATATATTATTTTAGTTTTTCTTATAGTATTGTAAATAATGATATATTATCATAATAAAAGTTATGATAATTTTTTGTAAAATTAGCCTCCAATGAGGATGACAGTTTGGATGACAATTTGGATAACAGTTTTGATGACACTTTCTTAAATGATGACAAGTTTGGACGAAAGTTTTTTTGTAAGAAAACATTTTAAACGACAATTTTTTTTTATGATGACATTTTTTTCTTGTATGGCCAAATGGACTAAATCGAAATTATGAGAAGAAGATGAAGAATTCACGAGAATGAAAAGATGATTCTGGATCGCATTGAATCAGCTCTTGAGATTTATTATTAGTGCGAGCTTGAAAAATTGAAATTGAATTTAAAAAAAGTCCCACCAAAGAAAAAATTCCCCCCAAATGTCATGCTATGAGAAAAATAAATTATTTTTATAATAATATACTTGAGTGAAAATCGATTTTTGTGCAATTATATTCGCTAGATAGAAATTCATTTTAGTGAATAACGCGATTGTGTTGATAAGAGCTATAAAAATTTTTAATATAGAAAAGAAAACGGTGAGAGAGAAGTGAAATATAGAAAGGTAAAGATCGTTTTAAAAAAAAGTTCTAGAAAAATATTTTTATAAGATTTCAAAATTTTTAATAGGAATTGTATATTTATTTATATATATACTTTTATATGTATAAATATTTATATATTTTTTATTATTATTTTATATATATTTATTTATGATATATTTATATATATTTACAAGAAATTCTACACAGTGGAAAGCAACAAAGAAATTAAAGCAAGATTGAATCAAGTTTTTTAATACATTTTTGTCAAATATTTGGCTTTCTCTTGAACCAAATAAAATTAATTTATGAAAAAATAGTTTTTATTTGGTTCAATGAAAAATGTTATTATATAAATAAAACTTAAATCGACAAGGAAAAATTGTGTTTGAATAAAATTTATCTGTAAATATTTTTTCCCTTTTTTTTATTACAATTGTTGGAGATAAATTAAAAATTAAAATATTTAAAGAAAATTTTTCGAAAATAATAAGAAAACTATTTGTTTATACAAAATATTGAAAAATTGTTGGAAAAAGTGCAAAATAAATAAAGTGATTTGTCACGTTAAAAAAAAGCAATTTCGATTTTGCTCGCTAAAAATTAACGTGACTTTAAGAAAAATAGCTCCTTTTAGAAGAATAAATATTTTGCAAGAAAATTCAGTGTTTTTACGTGTTATTACTTACAGTTTTTTTTTGCCTAAATACAGAATCGAAGGACTCGATTATTTTTTTTCTTAAAAATATTGCACAGCACCCGTGAAAAATATAAATATTGTGTCAATTAAAAAGATTGTACAGAAGAAAAACGAAAAAAATTTGTAAAAACTGAAAAGAAAGTGAAAAAATAAAAAAAATTAAGAAAAAAATTATAAAAAAAATTATAAAAATATTATAATAAAAATTATAATAAAAATTATAATAAAAATTTTGAAGAAAATTAATATGAAAAAAATAAGATGTAAAAATTTACTTTGAAAAAAAATGACTATGAAAAAAATTACTGTGAAGAAAATTAGTAAAAAAAAGAACTAAAAAAAATTGCTATAAAAAAAATTACCAGTGTTTAATTATTGATTATAAATATATTAATTTGAACGAATGTGAAAATGCGCGCCACAGATAAATATATATAAGTGAGAATGGTGATATGACAAAAAGGTGAGTGATGAACAAATGCAAAAATACGTGTGAAAATAAAAAAAATAAAAAAAAAATATTTGACAAGAATGGCCAACACCATATACTGTACCTTTGATTGTACGGTTGATTGGGACTTGATAAACTATCATTGGTGTTCCTGTTCACGTTTGGCTTCACTTTGTTGACTTGCTTCGTTGAGTTCATCATTGTCATTCCCACGGAGTTTCGATGATTTCTCATGGCTGAAAACAAAAATTATTCCCTCATTACACTAATAATCTCAATTAAAGCAAAATTTTTGGTCGAGAAAAATCAATAAAAAAAAAAATTTACTGCCTCTGAGATGCAAATTAGCCAAGAAAGAGAAATTCAAAGATTTTGGAAAAATTTATTTTTACACTTTTGATCACTGGATTTTTTTATTTTTTACATCATTTTTTTAATTATTTTATTTTCATATTTTCTGCTAAAGAAATTCAACAATTTTTGGTTTAAAACAATTTTTTAAAAAAAATTGACTGCTCGATATGCAAATTAACAAAGAAATTAAAATCTTGAAACACATTAGAAAAATTTACTTTTACTCTTTTGTTAACTGTGGGTTTTTTATTTTTTTATTTAATAAATTTTCGCAATTTTTAACAAGTAATTAAAAATGTAATTTTTGGAATATTTTGTAAGAAGAATATTCTAATTTGTTAACATTTGTTTTCATTTTTTTTATTTTTTTTACTGTATTTTTTATCTTTCTTTTAGGTATTTTTTAATCTTTAAAAAAATTTTATTGCATCAAACATACATTTCAATTTTTATGATTTACTACAAAAACTTTATGTTTCGATATTTGCTGGGAGAAAAAAAGAATTAAAACCCGAGTTCATTGCCCGGTCAGATATAATCCAACATCTGTATAATTGCAATTGCTTTTAGTTCATACGAGTGTAAATTTATGCGCCTTTGAAAAATTATAAAAAGCATAGCAATTAAAAAAAAAATTCTTTACCTTTAGTAAAAAAAAGTTTTCCTACAAAATTTTATTACAACATTCCTGCGAGTGAGTGAATATTTCGATTCTTAAATTTGATTTCAAAACGCTCGTTTACTTTCTGGCGGAAAAAAATAATCATTTCTATTCAAAAAATATATTTTATTTCCTATATTTTACATTTTTCATACAATTTTATAAACTAGAAGATAAAAGAAAAAAAATAATTCAAGGTAAAAATAAATTCAGTTCAGAATGAGAGAAAAAATTTCTATAAATTGATAGTAAAATTTTTGTTAAGAATAGAAATTAGTAGGACAGACAATTCTTAGATAAAAAATTGACAAAAAAAATAATTGTTAGGAAAGAAAAAATTGTATGAAATATAATTCATATAAAAAATATTTTTGTAGAAAAAAACCGGTGGGAAAAAAATTGCTCTGAAAAGAAATTAATAGAAAAATGGAATTTGTTAGGAAAAAAATTATTATCAATAGAAATTGATAGGAAAGAAAATTGTAAAGAAAAAAAATTTATAGTAAAAAATAGTTATTATGAAAAAAATTTGTAGGAAAACAATTGTTAAGAATAGAAATTGATAGGGGAAAAAATTGTTGAGAATAGAAATTTTTAGGCAAAAAAAATTGTTGAGAATAGATATTGATAGGAATAAAAATTGGTAAAAAAGAAATTATTAGAAAAGAAAATTGGTGAGAAAGAAAAATTTCTATCAAAAATATTGGTAGAAAAAAATTGATAAAAAAATTAAAAATAGAAATATTTAGAAAAGAAATTTTTGAGAATAGAAATTAGTAAGAATGAAAGTTGGTAAGAAAAAAATTATTAACAATAGAAACTAGAATGAAAAAAATAATTATGAATATAAATTATTTGAAAATAAAAATTGATGAGAATAGAAATTGTTAGTAAAAAAAATTGATAGAAAAAAAATTGTTATGAAAAATAGAAAAAAATTAGTGCAAGTAAAAGGGAAAATGTGCGATAATTATTTACAAAAATATTAGTGAGAACTATTTTTTCTAGACTATTATTATTATTATTATTGAAAAAACATGTGCGGGAGAGCTACGTGATTTTCTACGAGAGGTGAAAACAATATTTTTGTTGATCACAAGAGCTTACCGTTCGGATCGTCTCGTTCGCGACTGATTTCACCTAAAATGCACAGAGCATAATTAGTCACGGTCAATGACTGTAAAAGAAAGTTAGGAAAAAATTTTTCTAATTTTTTTTATTTTATTTTATTTTTTTTTGAAAATTAAAAAAAAATCACGTTGATTAAATATATCGAGTGCCACTGTGATCGTGACCTAAACTCCCCCCCTTGTACTGCGCAATGCTTCATGTATCGACCTACAGTCCCCATGCTTACAGGCGCGCATACCTCAATCCGATCACTGTCATCTTTTATAAAAAGAATTCCTCTTAAACAGAGAGAAATGCCAACAGGCATTATTTTTTCATTTTACACTTTATAATAATGAGCATTCTTCGTTCTCTCGAGGAAGAGTGAAAAAAAAAATTGAGAAATTGGTTTTATTTTTGTTGAGAAATATTAAGTTTAAAAATAATTCACTCTACAAATTAACTATTATCTCTAGAATTTTTAATTTTTATACAAAAAAATATTTTTAAATAAAAGTGAAAATATTCTTTTTTTGATATTTTGTTCTTTTTTTGGATATTTTAATCGGTAAAAATATTTTTACACAATATTTTCTTTATGCTATTTTTATTTTTACTATTTAATATTTGATTTTTGTTTTTACTCGAATTTTACTTTTAGTTTTTATATTTTTGCTTAATATTTTAATCTGCTTTTTTATTTTTTACTAAAACTTTTGCTTTTTGAGTTTTATTTTAACTAAAATTTTACATTTTGCTTTTTAATTTTTACTATTTAATTTACTTTTTACTTTTTATTTTTACTAAAATTTTACTTTTTGCTTTTCAATTTTAACTCAATTTTTGCTTTCTGTTTTTTATTATTACTCAAATTTTACTTTTTCTTTTTACTCAAATTTTTGGTTTTATTTCTCTATTTTTACTATTAAAATTGCTTTTTCTTAATTATTATTCAAATTTTACTTTTTCTTTTTCTATTTTAACTCAATTTTTGCTTTTTGTTGTTTATTTTTACTATTCAATATTTATTAAACTATACCAAAAATTTATTATCAACTGTTTATTTTTCTATTTCATTGAAAAATCTATTTCTATTTCTTTAATTTTTATCTGCTGAAAAATTTACATTATAAATATTTCTAAAAACTACTTCTAGTTTGAAAAATGATATCTAAAAAATGTAATTTTAAATTTTTAACAAACCAAAAAATTTTTTTCTATAAAAATCGGTTTTTTCTGATTTGTTTTTAGGAAAATAAATTCGATTGATAAAAAAAAGTGGTACATATTTATTTTGATGGATTGAACTGAAGCATGCGCACAGATTTTTTTTTTTTTTTTTTTTTTGATACAATTTATTTAAGTTTTTTGATTTTAAACTAAATCTAAAACTAATAGTGCTTTTTATGTTATGTACCTACGTACTATTCTATCTAAATTTTAATGTTTTTGTTTTCCATTTGTATTCTTTAATTGGGTAAAAATTACAATAAAAAATTTTCGCACAGAAAAATAATTTTTAAAAATGAAATTTTGAAATAATTTGCTATGAATAAAATAATTTGATATTTATAGTAAATATACAAATGAATAATTAAGAATTATGTAAAAAAATAGAAAAGACTGGAATAGAAAAAATAAACTAGAATAGAAAAATTAAACCAAAGTAGAAAAATTGTACATGAATAGAAAAATTGAACCAAAAAAGAAAAATAATAAACTGTAATGAAAAAATTAATAAAATTGATTTTCATTTTTTTATTCTACTTTTTTGAAAATAATTTACTCATAGAATCTTTTATTTCCAAGTTCTTCTCTGAAAGATTTGCTAAAATTCGTGTAATTAAAAAACTAATTATTTAGACCTTTAAGAAGTAGAAATTTTTTTTTAAAATTAGAATTAAATTTGTAAATGAAAAAAGTAGTGGTCACTCGTATGAACTTGTTTTCATAGAAATAGTGGATTTTCGATTTTAGTGTATTTGTTTCAAGTGTTTGCATGCTTCTACAACATCGATTCTAGAATATTCTATGAAATCTAAAGAAAATTTCTAAGCTAATAAATAGATATATAGATCATCAATCATTACTTTAAAAAATTACATTATACAAATACATAAATTCTCTCTCCGAAAAATCCTCGAAATCTATCTATAAATATTCCTTTTTGCAAAAAAAAAAAATTCTACTCCAATACTACAATAACACGGACAAGAAATTTATTTCTAAAATAAACCTGTCAAACTATTTTCAAAATTTTTTTTTAAACTAATCTTCAAAGTTCCAATTTATTATTTTTTCTGTTTTATTTATTTATTTTACTCCTTTCATTATTCATTTATTTCTTACTTTTTTATTTTTTTTGTTTCTTATATTTTTTATTTTAATTTATTTTTTGCTTTCTTATTTATTTGCTTACTTAAAAAATAAATATTTATATTTTTTTACTTAATTTTTTACATTGTACTTTGCCTTTTGTTGCTTTATTTTATTAATTTTATTAATTTTTTCTGAATTTTAGTAGAGCAATTTTTTTTATTTGTTTCAAAGTTTCACTGACAAAAATTATCTTTAAAAAAATAGATTATAGAAGTAAAACTATATAAACTGTAAAAAACTGTTTAAAAAATGTCTGGAGAGAAATAGTTTATTTAAATTCAATTATTATTTTTATATTAAAGTTAAAAACGAATTAATTAGTCTATATCTAATAATTAGTACACTACAATAATTATAAGCTCTATTATTAATAATAATTAATAACAATAAATTAAGACTTTCTAAGTTCTACAGTAAATTTTTTTTAATAGAATTATTTTCTAAATTCTGATTCTAATTAAAAAATTTCTAATTCTATTTATTTTATTTTACTATTTACTATTCTATTAACAAATTTTTTTTAATTTCAGTAAAGCAAAAAAATCCTTTTTTTATTATTTCAGTAAAGCAACAATTTTTTTTTTTAAATTCACTTCAGCAAAAGTTACAAATCTTTTTTTATTAACTTTGCTAAAGCAACGAATTTTGTTTCTACATTAATTTTTACCAGAGCAATAAATTTTGTTAATTATTTATAGTCAATATAATTAAAAAGAGAATCTACAGAGTTTTTTTAAAGCTGATAATAAAAATAGAATAGGCGAAAAAAGACCTAGTTAAATAAAATTTAAAAATTGTTAGTAATGATATAGAAAAGCTCGACGAAATAGAAGAGAGAATTATAAGAATCGGATTAGGTTAGCGATTGTAGAAAAATAGCGATTGCATTTTAAAATAATGATCGCGAGTTAGTGGAGTCTAGCTTGCGAGACTGTATAGCATGGTTTTTTTTTTTTTTTTTTTTTGACTGAGGTTTAACTGTACCTCTCACGTGAACCATCTTGGGCAGTTCTGGCGGGGTGAAGGTGGGGGGAGGATGGTGGTCGTCTGTAACAAACCACTACACATGTTAGCTACCCTACTTAAATACCTAATGCCTAACATCAAACTACTTCTATCACAGGGTTTGTTTATTTTTATCAAGACATTTTTTCTCCTACTTTCGCTTTTATTTATTTTTAATATAATTTCAATGATAATTTTTTTTAAAATCAATTTCAATGGTAATTTTCTTAAAACCAATTGTGTGATGGTAATTTTATTAAAACTATAATTTAACTCATAATTTTTTTACAACTATAATTTAATTTTTTTATTTTAAACTTTCATTTCATTTTTATTTTAATAAATTTAATTTTTTAATTAATTTCTATTTTATAAAGTTTAAACCATCATTTGATTGGTAATTTGTGTCAAACAAATTTTTCAATCTTTGATATTTCAAACAGTAATTTTATTGATAATTTTTTTTTAATTATAATTCCATTGATAATTTTTAAAACAAATATAATTTCATTGATAATTATTTTTAAAAAATGTAATAAAGAAAAAAGTCCTTTCAAAAATGAACAATCCAATAATTCATCTATATTTTAGTAGAGAAAAAACCAGTTCCATTTCATAGAAAGGATAAAAAAAAATATTCAAGTATAATTAATTTTTATATCCATTTTTATTAATTATTTGCAATTATATATTACTTATTGTTAAATAATAATGGAACTGGTTTTGTATACAAATATTTCCATATTAATAATGAAAATAAACGACAATAATAAAAAAAAGTCGATTATTTTTATTATTTTCTATGTATAATCCAAATGCTAACATTAACTAGACAATTTATTCAAATGATTTTAGTTCGTGTCTTTTGCAAAAAAAAATGAAAACAAATTATAATTAGAATTATAAGTTTTCACTCATTAATTAATTTTAATTCTTCGTGTTATTTGTAAATTATTTTTACTATCAAGGTATTATTCGGGACATAATAACTATTTATTTCTATTCTTATTATTGACTATTATTTTTTATTAGTTATTTAATTATTATTTTTACTATTAGTATTATTATTATATTCTTTTCATTATTAATATTGTCATCCAGGTATTTATAATTGTTTTTGTTTTTATAATAAAATTTTAAAAACTCGGTCATTTGATAAAATTCAAAGTTTTTTTTTTTGAAAAAGTCACGAACAAATTTAAGTAAATAATTTAATGAGAATATTCTAAAGTACATGCGTCGTGCTGAAAAAATCGCCTCGACGAGATGACAAAAATTTCACTTTCTCGAAACAGTAAAGCAAAATAAAATTTTTTTTTTGAAAATTTTCTGCCTCTCTCAATAAAGTGCAGAAATTATTATTATACAAAAAAATTCATAAAACCTGTGAAATTTGTCATCGTGTAAAATGAAAAAAAAAAGAATCGCTGTAATCGAAATCATGCGCGAAATTATTATAAACAATTTTCCTTTAAAAAAAAACCTACACTAAATTTTATATAATCATAAATATAATTTCAATTCATTTCGAAATAAATGTGCGTCTGCTACAATGCGTGCATTAAATACAATAATTGTGCAATAATAATTAATCACAGAAATTATCGCATAGAAATTCTACAGTGTAATATAAGTGTAATTTACGTGCTTTTTTTTGAAAAAAAAAAAATTAAAAAAGTTTCACGAAATTTTGAAAGATCAAAAAAAGAGACATGCATAAAGCTTCGGAAATTTGGAAAAAAAGTGCAGTTTAGAATTTTACCATATGTGAGGCTTAGAAAAGTTTTTTTTTCTTTTTCTTTCTTTCCTATTACCAGGAAATTATAAATTTTATCTCACGATACTTATATAATTTTCATTATATATAAATATCATAATTACAATATTAATACTGCCTATATTTAAGTAGATTTTGGCGTGCGAAATACCATTAGCTGTCAATTTTGGCTTTTCACATGATGGAAACCACATGAATTTTCTACTTAAGCACATTTGCCAGAATTTCGAAAATTAATCGCTTGAATTGCTTCTAAAATTTGCAGCAAATGCCTCCAAATGGAAATTATTAAAATTGAATATTTAAATAATTTTAATTAATTTAATGATTTTAATTTAATATTTAAAAAAAAGAGTAAATAAATTATAAATTTTCTGCTTTTTCACAAGGAAGGAAATTTTATCTGGAACTATAATTTCACTAAAATAAAAAAAATGTTGGCTACTTGAGTTATTTCTTTCATGGGACATGAAAAATTTCCGAAAAAGATTTTAAAGCTTAATAACTAAATTTTTTGTACCTGATTTTAATAATTTTTTTTAATAGTAATTTTCATCGAGGAGGATAAAGAATATTAATTGTAAAAAATTTTACAATTTTCTTAAAAATATAACGACAAAAGCAAATATTTAAATTTTTAAATAAATAAATAAAGGATTAAAAAAATATTGAATTTGTTTTTATAGTTGTAAACTTTATAGTCAATTTAAAAATAAGAATTAGTTTTTTCAGAAACGATTATTTCAGAATATTTAGCTTTAAAAAAATAATTAGAATTTAAATTTAGATTTGTACTTTTTCGACTTTAGATTCTTTTTAAATTTGGATTTGTATTTTTTCAAAATTTTTATTTGTAGTTTATTGAAATTTGATTTGTACTTTTATCAATTTAGACTTGTACTCTTTTGAAGCAATTCGATTAAAATTTTCCAAATCTGGTAAATGTGCAAAGTGCAATAACGAGCGTACAACTAAACAGCGCCCTCCTGTAATATATCCTGATATAATACCAAAAAAATCCTACTCTATTTCTGTTACAACAACAAAATAAAAAAATTTTTTAACTATTTTGATTTTTGTCATGTGCTCAAATACACCAAAGTATATATGGATTTCCCTTCCCAATCTTTTTTCTTTCTTTCTTTGTTTTTTTTTCTTATTGAACTTACTTGCGTACGAGAAGTCTTCACCTATGATGGTAGTAGTAGTAGTAGTAGTAGTGGTAGTGGTAGTAATAGTAGCAGTAGTAATAGTAGCAGTAGAAGTAGTAGTAGAGGACGTAAGGTACGGACAAATAGACACACAAAGAGTTAGTTGAAAAAAAGTTTGCGTTTTCAGTCGACTGTTTAATATTAACAATTAGACTGTGAATTTTTTTTTTTTTGTGTAAATGTATAGTCCAAATGTATTTTTTTTTGTTAATGTAATATGCGTATAATTATGTCACATTTTGCAAAAAAAAAAAAAAATTTGTGAATTTGACTGATAGTGAAAAGTGGTATTTGTGAATTTATATAAAGGCGCAATGAGATGCAGTGATTTTTTTTTTTTGAACAAATATTTTTGTGTAGATACAGATCGCACTTTTTTTGTATACTATCTATAAATGTTTTATTTTTGTAACTATATATTAAAAAAAAAGTGGATGAGTGATTAATCTGATAGAGATATATTGTCAACATATACATATAAATTTGTCATGAACACTCGGCTCGATCTTCAGTTATTTATTTGCATACTTCACCAACTTAATTTACAACCTTTTTCAATTTTAAACTATCTATTCAATTTTCTTTCTTAATTACGATAATTAAAATGTAATAAATAAAATTAAAAAAAAACCGAGTTCGAGCCTATGTTCAAAAAAATCAAAGAGCCAATTAGATCAGATTTTCATTATCAATAGAAATTTTTTATTTTTATTATTTTATACATATAAAGAAAAATAATTTTTTTTATTAGAACCAAAAAATAAATTTTGAAATCGAATAAATTCTCATCTAATATGGCTTTTCATTTTTATCGTTTTATTATATATATTTTGTCACAAGAAATTTGTACATTGAAACACTAGACATCAGATTCTCAGGGTGATTGAAGCGAAACTTTATCACACATATATTTAAATATATATACAACAAAATGAAAAAAAAACAACAAAACCAATTTGAATTCAACTTTTTTTTTTTGTTATAATAACACACGTAATACCGAAATAGACTAAATCTAATATGTATTCTAAAAAAATAATTATTACTGACTTCTGATGCCGAAAATTTTTTTTCTTTTTGAAGAGAAAAGATTTTTTTTTCACAATCAGTTGAAAAAAAAAAATTTCATCAAAATCCATTGAATAGAACACACAAAATTTATCAAGATTACTACATTCCGAACGACATTTAAAAAATAGTTAATTTTGTAGTTGCAAAAAAAAAATGTATAGAACAACACACCAAAAAACTGAACACTAAATGTATTTATGATGGCAAGAGTAGATAGGACCACTTATTGTTGACGTTTTTTGTGAATAAAAAATTATCAAAATAGCAAAAAAGTACATTATTTTTCTAAATTATAATTCAAATATATGTAATAATAAATTAATCATTAATAAATAATTAATAATTAATTAATAATTGATAATTAATGCATAATTAATAATTAATTAATAATTGATAATTGAAAAATAATTAATCATTAACTATCAATATTTAATAATTGCTACTTATTGAATAACTAATTATTAATTATTAATTATCGATAATTGCTAATTACTTAATCATTAATTACATTACAAATAATTAATAATTGATTCCTAATTAATAATTGATAATTGATACCTAATTAATAATTAATTATCATTCATAATTTACATTTTTAATTGCACTTTATCTAAAATGCGTAAAATATGAAAAGAAAAAATTGCGCAAAAAAATAAATGTACGTTTTTGTTTTGATAATTTTTTTAAATTGAGCTGAGTCGGGTATAATCTTTTTTTTATAGTATTACCTAATTGCACACTCATTATCACACGCGAGGAATGAGAAAACGGAAGTCTGTGTCGCGAAAAAAAAATGTGGATACGAAAAGAATGGCAAGAGTCATTAGAGAAGTAACTTTATCAGCCAATTATTCGTTATCGATCGTGTGGCTAAACAACAAAAGGCCGTCTTGACACAATAACTGTTTGGGGAAAAAAAATTAGGGTTCAATGATCACAGGCATTGAAGAATCCTGAATCACTGAATTTATTATTCACCAGGACTCTTGCCATTCGAAAATTCTCAGTGGTTGTCCTCTCTTACATTTGAAATTAAGTTTCAAGGACAACCGCCTATTTAGGAAATTTTAGAAATAAATTATTTAATTTATTATAATTAATCAATTAATAATCTGTTAACAAATCATTAATGATAATTAATATTTAATCGATTAATAATTGAATAATTAATAGTTCATTAATAATTAGTCAATTAATAGTGAATTATTAATTAATTTATTAATAGTGAATTATTAATTAATTAATTAATAGTGAATTATTAATTAATCAATTTATAATTGAATAATTAATAGTCAATTAATAATTAATTAATAAATGGTGAATTATTAATTAATAAATTTATAATTAATTAATTAATTAATTAATTAATTAATTAAATAATTAATAGTATATTAATAATAGATTAATTACTAATCAATTAATAATTCAATAATTAATAATAAATTAATCATTCTGGAATTAATAATAACTTAATCATTCAGTAATTAATAATCAATTAATTATTCAATAATTAATAATCTGTTATTAATCATTAATTAACAATTAATTAATTAATTTAAAAAATAAACAACAAAAGGAAAATTTGTAGAAAAATATCCGTTCATAAAATGAATGATATATGGTCGATGATGGAGAGAATGGTAAATATGTCCTGAACTGGTCGTCGAAAATGCCATAATAAAAATTACATTCTCAGAACATTAAGTTTTTAAATTGTCAAGAAAAATTGTCGAGAAAGGAAAATAACTTTGGAAACAATGGAAAATATAAAAAAGGGTATAAAATTTTAGTAAGAAAGAATGTAAATAAAAATTTGGGAGATTGAAGAGATTGAAAAATATATGCATTTTTTTTAATTAGGAAAATAAATCGAGAAAGAAAAGAATACCAAAATGAATATTTAAAACAAATAGGTAAATATTAAAATTTTAATAATTATTAAATGTATTTGATAAAAGTCTGAACTAAGATAGGAGAAGCGGCCCCCACCACGCGGAACGGAAGCTCCTCCCCTCGCATAGTGGGGAGACGCTTCTCTTAGCCTAAAATCATCTATTTATTCGTTTTTTTATTATTCTTTTTTCTTATTTACTTTCTTGCTTTATATATTTTTCTATTTTACAAAATTTACTATATAAAATGCAGAGAATAAGAAAATATAATCTTTTTTATTTTATTTCAATAATTTTCCTCATGAAGGAGAAAAAAGAAAGGGAGTAATAATTGTAAAAATTAGTATTAAAAAATAAAGGTATTGTCTAGTAATTTTTTTCTATTTCAAAATTTATTACACAAAATATAAAAAAAATTAAATAGAAAATCTCAGAAAGTAAAAAAAAATGTAAGACAACACAAAACGAAGCTGAAAAAAATGTTCAAATTTCTCGTTAATTTCCACTAAAAGAAGAAGAAGAAAAAGTATTTTTCCAACGGGAAAACATAAATTTAAAGTAAAAAGGATATGAGAACCAGTGACTCGGTATTATCAAGACAATCATCCGAGGGAATGGCGCGGTCAAACCACCACGAGTCAATGGATTGGAAAAGTGTAAAAATTGTTCGAAGGACCAATTCAGTGTGCGACACATGGATGAAAAATGAGAGTTCCTGATTTTCAAACACACATTTATCCAGTTTATATATATATATTAATGAAACATTTTTGCTTTATTTCGTTATATATTTTTTTTTTTTGAGGGTGGAGAAAAAGGGTTAGGAGAAAAATAAAATAAAAAAAAAATCTGATGAGTGACACAATCTACTCTCGGATGGGGGGATACGTACTTGCTCTTCCAACCATTTGAACAGCTCGCACGCCTTTCCGGAATGTGGCCACTGCCCGAAGGGAGAAGAAGAAGCAGAGCTGTTAGTTCTTCACATCAAAAGTTAGTCGACCTAGATTCGTGGGTCAACTGGGCGGGTAAGGAGAGAGATAGAGAGAGAGAAAAAGAAAGAGAGAGAGAGAGAGAGAGAAAGAGAGAAATAGATAGAGAGCGAGAGACACACATACAAATACAAACATTATTTCCTCAAGTTTTCATCGGGACGAATATTATGAATTAATCACGTAAACATCATTTCCCTGAAGGATTTTATTAATTTCCTCGTTTAAAACTTGGATAAATGTAACATTAAAATTTCCCAGAGTATAATGAATTTAAATTTCCAATTTTTCTTGTAATTATATTATTTGTTAAGTTGAAATTTTTTATTACACAAGTTTTTTAAATTCGTTTTGATATTTTTTAATGGGAATTTATTTTAAATTGTTTAATGACATTTTTAAGAAGGGGAAATTTGGCAATTGATACTTTTTTTATTAAATTTGTTATAATTTATTATCGCAGTGGAGAAAAATTTATTTTGTTTAAACTAAACTTAAATAAAAATTATTTGACTCAAATTAACATTATTTTACTCAAATAGCAACTATTTACTCAATAAAAAATCATATTTTGATGCAATAAAAAATAGTTTGACACAGTAAAAAGTTATTTGACTCAATAAAAAATTATTTGATTTCATTATATAAATAATTATTTGCCTCAATAAAAAATTGTTTGACTAAATAAAAAATTATTTGACTGAATAAAAAATTGTTTTACTCAATAAAAAATTATTTGTTCCAATAAAAAATTTTTTGACTGATTTAAAAGTTATTTGACTCAATAAGAAATTGTTTGACTCAGTAAAATATAATTTGATTCAATAAAAAATTGATTAATTAAATCAATAATTATTCGAGTCAATGAAACATTATTTTACTCGAAAGTTAGTTGATACAAATAAATATTTAATTGACTTAAAAATTATTTTACTCAAATAGCAACTACTTTACTTAAGAAAACACTGTTTGACTCAATAATAAAAAATTGTTTTTTGACTTAATAAAAAGTAATTTGACTCTATAAAAAATTCCACTATTTATTAAAATACGACTGAGTGATAGAATCATCTCTACTCTTCTATAAAAAATTGTTTGATTTCATTTTATAAATAATTATTTGGCTCTATAAAAAATTATTTAACAAGAAAAATTATTCTAAAAATTAATCGAATAAAAAACTGTTACTTGATAAAATTATTTAAATAGAAAAAATATTGTAAAAATTATTCAAATAAACTACTAGTTTTATCTAAAATCATTTGAATTTGAATTATTTGACTCAATAAAAAATTATTTGTCTCTAAACAAAAAATTCTTTCTTTCGAAAATTATATTTAATACAAATAAATATATAGTTGACTCAAAAATTTTTTTAAGAAGAAAAATTATTGTAAAAGTCATCTAAATAATAAATACTTCAATCTAAAATTATTCGATGCAAATAAATATTTAATTGACTCAAAAGTTATTTCATGCGAAATAGTTTTCTAAGAGTTATTTACCTCTTAGAAAAATATTTATATTTTAAACAAATAAATTTTTTCTCCATGCAATAGTTTTGCAATTATCATTCGAAAATAAATATTTATAAAAATAAATGAGTTAAATTTACATAATATTCAAAATTTTCCAAAATAAAAAATATGGAAAAAATTGAATTGAAGTAAAAATAAAATAAAAAGTAAATTTTTTTTACTAAACTTTAATATTTCATTTTCATTAGTCTAAATAGAGAATCAAAATAAATTTCAGAGGAAAACTTGAGTTCTGTTAGTAAGGGATTTAAAAAAAACCAACTGAAAATAATTATCCACTCAAGCAAGACATTTACACTCGTCAGTCAAAACTGGATGGACCATAAAAATGATTTACACTATTTTTCCTCTAACAAAAACACATTTTTTTTTTTTTTGTTTTAAATTATTTTAAAGGACACAGGGCACAATGTTTGATTGTTATACATTAATTTCAAACACAATTTCACATGATTATAAAACGCATTACAAAATAAGTTGACAAAATTTTGCAAATTGAAAAATCGATTAATTTAAAAAACTTATTTCGTAAAAAAGAAATCACTTTTTGACTAAAGTTTTCTAAACTGTAAAAAAAACCAAAAAGGTTGAAGATTTGTATTTTATTTATATTTTCTTTTTTGTAATTTATATATACGTATATAAATATATATTTTACAATTATAATTATAATTTTATTTATATTTTTATTGCAATATAATTTTTACTATAAAAGTTTTATTTTATTTTAGTTTATTGATTTTGTTTTTGAATAAAGATTTTATTATACAGAAAAAAGATTCATCTGAAACAGCGATAAGTTTTTCTAGAATAGCGAAAATCTTAACTAAAACAACTAAAAATTTCCCTATTGTAGAGAAATTTATAGAAGTTTTAGGTAAAACTATTTTTCGTGTATAATAAAAACTATTTTTATTTTTCATTCTATGAAAATTTTTTACTGTAAATAAATTATATTTATTTTTATATTATCTGTATATTTTTTTTATTATAAATATGTAAATGGTTTGCAGCTATCTTGCCTTGCAATATTGCGTCAATATTATGGTAAGATTGCCTCAGGCTTTCGCCGTGCTTGCTACAAGATTGCCGTTAGCTTGCTGCTATTAATTTTATTTTTTGATATTAATACAAATATTAATTTTATTTTCTGATATTAATACAAATATTAATTTTATTTTCTGATATTAATACAAATATTAATTTTATTTTCTGATATTAATATAAATATTAATTTTATTTTCCGATATTAATATAAATATTAATTTTATTGTCTGATATTAATATAAATATTAATTTTATATAATAAAATTTATAGCAGCAACCTAACGGCAATCTTGCTGCAAGCGTGACGTAAGCTTGCGGCAATCTTACCAAAATATTGTCAGACAAAATCATTTCAAAAAAATAATTGAAAATATCAAACAAGAAATATTGCAAAATTTTCTCCCCTTTTTTCGTTGAAAAATTGTTTTATAAAAAAAGGACAATACAATTTGGTGATAAAAGGACTTAGATAAGTTTAAAATGGTTGACAATCGTAGAAGGAATGCGACATGATGCGACATAATTTGATTGGAACTTTTTTTTTTTTTGGAAAGTGAATGATTGTAAAGTATTTATTTTTTTTTGTATGCGTGTCATGTTTTTTGTTGATTGGGATGAACGACAAACAGAGAGAAAGAGAGAGAGAGTTAGAGAGAAAAAGAGAGATAACGAGAGAGACAGAGATAGATATACACAGTTAGAGAGTTGATCAACGAGAATTTATTGAGAATTATGAGGGTAAACCCTGGGCATCAAAAGTTCCTCATTGCTCCTAATGATGTCAGTTTACCTTTTGGGCATATTAGTTTACGGTTAATTGGCACGATTAATTAAACCACTTTCATGGACATATATTGCGTCGCTCTCTGGAGTTTGAGATTGTAATTATTACAGGCACTGCATATGCAATATGTACCATCCGGATTTCTCGGTGATAAATACATGTACATAACATAAATATAGGCTTTGCTTTTGCCGCATATGGATCTTTTATAGAAAATTCTGTGTGCTGGCAGGAAAAATATTAAGCGGGAGCAAAATTTTTCTTTTTTTTTCACAAAGCAAAAATATAACAAAACCGTTATATCGATCGATTGTCGTCGTTCCAATGGGATTCACTCTGTTTGCTCTTCGCTAGGCTTGTCAATTTTTTTTCCTGTTTTTTTTTTTTAACTAATCGGGATTGTTGCCAAAAAAAAAGACCAAAATCTACGGCGCCAAGGTTGAAAAAGTACAAAAAAAAAAAAGAAAATTTATTACTATCCCCCTCATTTCTCAACTCAATTCAACGATTACGTTTTTTTTTTTTTTTGGTTAGTAAACAAAAATAAAAGTTAATAAAGCTTTTGGAGAGTAAACAAAACACAGAACACGTCGCGAAAAACATTTATTGTACACAGAAGAAAGTTTTTCTTATTGGTTAATGAGAGATGTGAATTTTCCTTTGAATGCGAATTTTAATTTCCTTATTTAGGAATTAATTTAAATTCTAATTATGAAAAATTTGCGCATATGTTGAATGATAATTAAAAAATTCTGTACTTGTTAGTAATGAATTTGTAAAAGTTTTATAAATTTTTATTGACTTGCAATAATAAACCCTACGTACATTGTCTTTGACTTTGAGTTTAAAACAAACGGTTTATCAATTAATCTCTATTGTTTCCAAGCAACAATATTTATTTATTCTCAAATATAATTTGAAAAAATTAGAAAAAAATTCGTACAATTAGAACAAAAAGAGACAAAAAAGAAAATTTAGAAAAAAACTGTTTTTTGCTTCTTCCAAATTTTGCTATTCTCGCAAAAGTATCTAACTAATTTAACTAATTAAATTAAAATAATTATAATAATAAATAGCTTAATGAATTTAACTAATTAGCTAACCTAATGTTAAAATGAAACGGTTATTAGCATATCTATTGTTTGAATTTGAAAATAATAATTGATAATTAAATTATTCTAAAAATTATTTATTTAGAAAGAATAATAAACAATCTATTCATTAAAATATAATTATAATTATAATTATCTAACTAATTTGACTAAGTATCTAACCTATTGTTGTAAAATGAGACGATTATTAGCATAATTATTCTTTGATAATAATAATAATTAATATTTAAATTACTTTTAAGATTATTTAATTACAATTAATAATAAAGAATCTTTTCATCATAAAAGAATATAACTATCTAATTAATTTAAATAAATGACTAACTTAATTAGAAAAAAAATTAAACGGTCATTGGTATAATTATTGTTTGATAATAATAAAAAAAAATAGTAACAATAATAATAAAAAAAATAATAATCTGGTGAAAGAGTTTTGTCTTTACTAACAAAAAAATAAATAATAACAATAATTATTAATTTATTATTATTAATTATTATTGATAAAAATTTTAATAAATTAATTAAAAATTTTAATCACTTACTTTTCAGGTGAAAATTTATTGAGTGGAATAAAGAATAAGTGATAAATACGTTCAAGTAGATTGTTATTATTGCAAATCCCTTTAAGTATTTTTTTTTGTAAAGTAAATTATTATTATTAATTATCAAATTATTAAAGAGCTTAACTTTTTTCTGTGATGAACATACAAAAACGATAACTAAATAAAAAACAAATAATAATTAACGTGCGATATAAAAATGCATTTCTGCAAAAGCCGGTGCATAGCAATATTTCACGTTCTCAAAAGAACAATAAATAAATAAATAAAATAAAGTCAATAATTCGAAGCTCATTTCATTAGAATTGCTTTAAAAAAAATAACAATAAAATAAAATAGAAAAAAACGAAAAAGTTATTGTCAATTAATAACGATTTTTAATCTCAGCGAATAATAATCGATTTATCGCGATTCTTTACTGTCAGGCCTTGTCATGTGCAATTATTGTAGTAGTTTATATATAAGTATATTTATATATATATATATATATATATATATTAAAGCAGCCTGTTTAAAACTGCTTGCAGCTTTTGCCAAAAAAGCTTCACGTTTTAAGCTTGAACTTAATGCTTATATATAGATGACAATTATTATTATAACAATTAATACACGACGTTTAAGGGAATTTTTGGATTAAAATAAAAATTAGGACATTTGAGTAGTTTTTCTAATTTTTTTCTGATTCATAGTGGAAAAAAATTTTTTTTTAATTTACAAAAAAACAACATTTGTGTAAAATATCAGAGTAAAAATTTGGAATTTTGATTATGAAAACTACTCAATTTGAAATAAATTGAAAATCAGAGGTGAAAAAATCCTTCTCTTTGTGAAGTTGATAAAAAATTTATTTTAATCGATTTTATTCTATTTTGAAAAATTTATTAATTAGTAAATTGAAATAATTATTATTTAATTACTATTTAATTTATTACCTATTATTATTTAATTTTTTATTCAATTTACCGTAGAAATTATAATTCAATTTATTCTTTACATTCCTATTTTGATTGTTATTTAGTATTTACTTTATTATTTCCTTGACTATAGTTTTAAAAGTTTTAGTTTTAATTTTAATTTTTATTTTAATTTTAACAATTCAGTTTTTAAAAAACTTTTCTCTTGAATTTATTTTATTATTTTTACTCTTTTAAAATTACATTTAAAATTTTTAAATTCTATTCTATGAATCAAAATTTGACAATAAATATTATTTGGTTTTAATATAAATTAGTTTGCTCTGATAAAAATTTACTTTTATTAACTCAAGTAAATTATATTTAGTTTAAATGTAATTATTGTTCTTTAAATGTGATAAATTAAATAAAAAATATAATCAATATATAAACAATGTAAAATAACTACAGAATATAGTTACGAAAGTTTTTAATTTATGATAAAAGTAATTAGTTATTTTGAAATTAATTAAAAAATTTAATTTAATTAAACTAAATTAATTAAAAGATATTAAACTTAATTTGATTAAATTAAAATATTAATTTAGATTAAATTAAATTAAATTATTACAAAATTATTTTAAAAATGTAATTAAATTAAATTATTACAAAAATTAATTAAAAAATTTAAATAAGTGATGTTATTACAAAATTAATAAATTACTACAAAAATTAATATTAATAAATTAATATTAATGTTTTTAACATTAAATTATTTGAAAAAACGAAATAAACGACTTTTGTCAATAAATATTTTGAAAAGGAAAATTTCACCTGATTTTTCAAATTTATTTTCAATTTTATTTTTAAGGAATTGAGAGAAACGGAAAAAAACATTTTTTTTTTTGAGAAAGGACAAAAAGGACAATGGAAATACAACGCGTACCGTCAAGGTATCTGTGGCAGGTGGAGTTTCCTTTCACCATACCCGTCTGCATCATCATCATCCCCACATCTGCAAAAATCCATTGATGAGCCGGACACGGGATTTCATAAAAGATTAATTAATTTTTTGCATTAATATTTTTTAAAAAGGCAAAGGGGGTAAAAAAAGGTGTCAGCGTTGCTGGCAAAGGAGTTAGATGCAACAGCACACCGTCATATCAGATGACATGAAAATATATATTTATAAATATTTGAATCCATTAAAATGCTTATATATGAGGAGGGGTAGCTGAAAATACCTGTAATACCTAATTGGAAATTTTTTTTTTCTTTGAAAAGTAAACAAAACTTATTGTTTTTTCTGTTAATAGTACCTTACAATGATCGTCAATCCCATATATTTCAGAAATTATTTAACTCCGCTTTTTTCATAAATAGTGAAAAGAAAGAAAAGAAATTTGTGATTAAAAATATAAAGTGAAAATTAATAAATTAGAAATGTGTTACTTAAATTAGATTAAGAGAATAAAATTTATAATCTGACAAAGATTATGTATGAAAATAATTTTTAATTTCAGTGATTTATATTGTTTGTGTTTTATTTTTTTCTTGTGATTTCTGCATTCGCCAAAAATAATTTTTTTTATTTATTTATGTACATTGGTATTGTTAAAATTAAGACTTTCTTTAAATGATTAAAGAAAAAAAGTGTTGTAAAGTAAAAGAAATTAGTGAAACAAATTTAATATTTTTGTAATATCTCCATTTTTTTAAAAACTTTTTCTCAAAGCTTATTTGTAAAAATCCACAAACATCAATTATTATTTTTATCAGATAAAAAATCAGATAAAAAGATATTAAGAATGAAACTGAATTCAAATTCAAAGAAATTGAATTTCATTACATATTTTCTGATTTTTTTTCTATCAGTAGAAGATGGCAGTTTAAAACTGTCAAAACAAATTTTTATAGTTTTAGAAAAAGTGGTATAAGAAAGTTCTTAGTCAGACAGAGCTTATAATTCCGAATAAAGTAGTAAAAAACGAATTTAGTCAGACAAAAGGTTTAAATGAATAGAAAAATTCTTCAAAATCTCGTTAAAGTAGTATAGAAATATTTTAGTCGGACAAAATTGTGTTACTGTAAAAAACTAATAAAAACATTGCTTTTTAGATATTTTACTAAAGTTTGACTAAAATTTTCCTAAAAAACCTAAATATTTAATTTCACTAGTTGGGGTCAGTTAATTTCAGACAAAGGTAAGAATATTCGTAAAATTAGGGGAATCAGTAGTAAAAACAAATTTGGTCAGACCAAATAGAAGAAAAAATTTTCGTAACTTCTAAGTAGCAAAAATCGAATTTTCAGACAGGTTACAAAATACTTTTAGTATATTGTCAGTAGTAAAAGTCAGTTTTTGTCAGACAAAAGTGACATGATTAAATTCCTGGCTCTAGGAGTAAAACCAAATTTTGTTCAGACTGGAAATAAAATCTCATTGTGATTCCCAAGTAGTAAACTCCTAATTCAGTCAGACAGTTTCTTATAAAATATTATCGTTTTATTGTCACTAGTGAAAGTATTTTGTGTTAGAAAAAAGTCAAAAGATTTCTGAGATTATGACGTCAGTGGGAAAGAAAAATTATGATCAGCAAGACTGGGAAAAAAATCCCATTGTAATTCCAAAGTAGTACAGACCGAATTCAGTCAGACAGTTTGCTATAAAAAATTACCCTTTTTATTGTCAGTAGTCAAGGTCATTTTTTATCAGACAAAAGTGACATGATTCGTAAAATCTTAGCTTCAGTAGTAAAAATAAATTTTGGTCAGACAGAACGAAAAAAGAATTCTAGTTAATCCTAAGTAGTAAAAATCGACTGCAGTCAGACAGTTGGTTATAAAGTCCTGTGACTTTATTGTCTCCAGTAAAAGTCAATTTGTGTCAGACAAATGTAATAAAATTCTTATATTCCTATTCCTTGAGTAATAAAAATCAATTTTAGTCAGACATGACGGAGAAAAAAAGCATCATTATCTAATAAGTAGTAAAATTCCTAATTAGTCAGACAGTTTTGTCATAAAATCCTGTAGTTTTATTGTCACAGTAGTAAAAGTCAGTTTGTGTCAGACAAAAGTAATAAAATTCTTATATTCTTAGTTCTTCAGTGGTAGAGATAAATTTTAGTCAGACAGAACCGAAAAATTTATTAGATATAATAAGGAGAAAATTGCGTAATTAGTCAGACAGTTTGTTACAAAATTATGAACTTTTATTTAAATAGCATCAAAAATGCAGTTCGGGTTAAAGAAAAGTAATAATAAAATTCCTGGTATCAGTAGTAAAGACCACTTTAGTCAGACAAAATTTTTTATATTGAATCAGTAGTAAAAGTCGCTCATAGTCAGACAGATTTTTACAAATAAAAAAATTTTGTTTGTGGAATTTTACACACTATTTTTTCTTCCAAACTCAAAAATTTATTTTAATTCTACAATTTTGAAAAATTTCATTAATAATAACATAATTGATATTAAAATTTATCATTAATAACATAAAAGGAAGAGAAAAATGTAAGATAAAAATTAATAATGTAATTTCGTAAAAGGAAAATTATTAAAGCGTATATAAAAAGGGAAAATATTATTTTTTAAAGCGAGTTTGTTATTTATATATGTGTGAATTTCGCGAAAGCTATTTTATTAAACAATTTGGACTGCCCAGGGTTTAAAAATGTATATAAACAATTTGTGATATGTATGTGGCGATATTGTGTGATTTGTAGCGTCTGTTTTTTTGTATAACAAATATATATACTCTATATACAATAACGAAGGAAAAAGTTGATCTGGAATACAAAAAAGGCCCTTTTTTTGGTTTTATTAAATCTGTGGGGCAGTGCGAAACAATTGTTCGTTATTTCGTAAGAATGCTCGTACATGTTTAAAAACTAAAAAAAAAAAAAAAAACAGAATTGATAAAAAAAAATAGTCCCTTCTCCCTCGATCAGAATTTTCCAAAAGAACTTCCTCCCGTTTTTCTTAAGATCCACCCTAATAATAAACTTTCTCATCAACACTCAATCTCATAATTTTTGTGTAATTGAAAAATCACACACTACTGCCCTTTTTTATCCGGATGACACACTTTTCTTCATTTTTTTTCTACTTTTAAAAATAAACCCTATGTATATATTTTAAAAATAAATCCCCTCAGTTAAAAAGTTTTTTTTTCAAATAAAATGTTTTCTTTTTTGTTTAATAAAATGTTTTTATTTTTTTCCAATTCAACCAATTTCAGTTTGTTTATTGCAAGAAGAAATGTCCATTTCATCAATTTTATAAGTTACTTTTAGAGAAAATAGTAAAAATTCCTTTCACGTTAAAATTGACTATTTCTTGAATAAAACATTTACTGGGATATAAAAATGAGTTATAGAACGTATGTGCAGCTTTTCAACCCTTGTTACTTACTCTTTTACTTGGTAACAAAAAAAACAACCCTCTTATCTCAAGAGACTATTTTTGAATTTTCTTATCCCATTTATATATATACTTGACCCGAAGAGGATAATAAAATTTTTACTTAAAACAGGTGCATATTCGAGATACATTAAAATTGAGTATCTTGTGAGTAAAAATAAATTTTTGCTTTACACTATATTTCTTTTTTTACTCCATTTTTTTATTTTCGAAAATTATTCCCCTTTGTCTGCTCATTGAAAAAATATAAGAATTTAAAAATTTATAAATTTAAAACTTTAAAAAGTAAGAAAAAAAGAAATCGTCAAATTAAAAGTTATTAAAAAGTTAATAATTATTAAAATATTTTTAATATTAGGTATTTAAATAAAATAATAAATATATAAATATTATTTTTAGGAAATACTACTTTCATTCAATAAATATTATTTTTAGAAAATATTATTTTTAGTAAATATTTTGCGAACAAAATATTATTTAAAGTAAACATTATTCTACATGAATATTACTTTCAGTGAATATTATTTCCAGTAAATATTACTTGTGGTTAATATTATTTTCAGTAAAAATTATGTTTCGAAAATATTACGTCCAGTAAATATTATTTTTAGGAAATAGCACTTATAGTAAATAAAATTAATTAAAACTAAAATAAAATTAATTAAAATTAAACTTAAATTAATATTCGTTTTATTCCATCAAAATATTATTTTTAACTAAATATTACATAAAATAAATAGTTATTATTTTAACTAAGTAAAATTTTAAAAAAATATTTTTCTATTAAACAAAAATATATATGTAAATTAAAAAAATCGAGAAATCATTTTTGAAAAAAAAGTCAAGAGAAGAGAATTAAAATTTTTAAATTACTTCGTTAGATAGAGAATTCTGTGTAGATTTAATGGAAAAATTTTCTATTTACTTTCATAACGTTCGGTTTTTCGATATATCAAAGCTCTTTTAAAAGGGAAGAAACACGGCTTTATTTTTTACCAAGCTCATTTTTAGATCATGTTTCATAATTTATTCAAGAAGTCAAAATAAAGTCGAAAGCAAAGAAGAAAAAGAGTTTTGCATTGCAAAGGGTGATTTTTCTAAGGGTATAGTTGAAGAGGGTTGGAGACCATATCATTATTTTACATCCCCCTTATTTTCTGTTTATTTAGGCCAAGTAGAAAGGATGCTTTTTTCACAAATATTCTCCCCAAACCATTTACAATATTTTTCTAAAAGAAATGAATTTTCAATATTTCTAAATATTTATTTACTTTTTTCTCCAAATCATTACAATTAGGAGGATGGCAAATAAAATTCGATTTTTAAAATTGTTTTTACAATTCGAAATTTAAAAAATCCGACTGTCTTTTTTTTGCAAAAAAAGAATTTAAAAATTCATTTCCGTATTTTAAACTCGTTTCTAGTTCGTATCTTTTTAATTTTGCACTGAATTGGCAATTATGAAAAAATTATAATAGAAAAACACTTTTTTTTTGTTTCTCCGATAAAAATTGTCCAAAGAAAAATTCCAGGACCTAAAAAAAATGGTTTAAAAAAATTTGAGGGATTCAAAAAAGAAAGTAGAAATAAATCCTAGTTAAAAATTTAACTTAATTTTACTTAAAACTGTATTCAAAAAATACCCAAGTGGGAAAAATTTATAGAAGGGTTTTTTTTTTTGTTCTTTCTTTGTCATCCGGATTTTTATCTTTTTTTCCCTCTTTGAAATATATTGAGAATAGTTTTGCGCGGATATTTCGAGACAGTTTTTGTTTTTTTCTTCTTCGTCTTTTTTTTTATCAATGACAGCTGGTTACACTGTGCGATGTCAGATCGCTTGTTTCTTTTTGAGACTCCTTTGGTGCCAATAAAGACCCAACTTGAGAGCTATATCATGCATGCAAGGCGGACGAGAGGTGACACACTAGAGTGCAGGCTAATTTCCTTATAAAAATCGGTCAGGTGGACATGCGCCAGCTGACTTGACACTATCAGAGGAAAATCGGCGGGGTTATTATACATGTCACATGCTTCATCATAATGTTTCATTTTTCACCACACAATTTACACGATTGCGTATAACAAAAAAAAAAAAAAGAAAAATAAAAAAAAATAGATAATATTCTCCTCTCAATTTTTGCAAAAAGAAACCATTTGTAAATCTATTTATAATAATGTATACTTCGGTTTCCTTATTTGAGTAAATCATTCAAATTTATTGAATTTAATATTTATTTATTGTAATTTATTTTATAATATTTGTAATCTTTATTTATTTATTTAATTATTTACAACAGTATTAATTAATCTATTTCTTAATAATAAGATTAATTTACAATTAAATTGTATTTTCTCCAAATGAATTATTTAAATATGTAAACGGATTTATGAAAAATAAAAATTGCTTAAAATAAAAAAATAAACTTTTACAGAAAAAATATTTTTGTCCCAAATTTCTCTTTGTGAAAGAAAAAAAATTATGCGCTTATTGCTTAGAATAGAAAAGTAAACATTTATAGAAAATAATTTAGAAAAAAAAACAAACACCTTGATATTTTTAATCATTAAATCTATCGAGTTATAAAATTATTTGTTTATAAAAGCGAAAAAGTTAAAGTTTTGCTTGAAATAATAAATAATAGCGGTTTTTAAAAAACTTAAATTCAATGACAAATTGAAATTTTATTTAAAAAAATTAAATAACAAAGGAAATATTTATTAAAGCGATAAATAAAATTGATATTTAAAAAAAGTACATATTTAAAAATCCATTGAAAACTATTCTTTCCAAAAGAATTAAATAATATGAATAAAATATTACTTGAATTAATAAACAGAATCGGCTTTGCAAAATTTTATATTCAATAAGCAAATAAAAATTTATTTTAATTAAAAAAAATTAAATAAAAAGATAAATATTAATAAGAGTGATAAATAAAAATTGTATTTGCAAAGCTAGTATTTAATAATAAATTAAAAATTATTTCTCCTACAAAAAAATTAAATTGTCAATAAAATATTGCTTAAGTAATAAACAAATATAACAATAAAAAATATCAATAAATAATATTTTAAAAAAAAATATTAAAAAAACTAACATAATTAAATGCCTTCGACAAATTTTATTAAAATTTTCAAAAATAATAAAATTCTTTAGAGAAATTTTATTCAAATTTGTATTGAAAATAATTAAATTTCCGCAAAGAACTTTATTATTTTTGAAGATAATTAAATTCTTGTGAAGAATCTTATTAAAGTTTTTGAATATATATTTGAATTCTTTTGCACAATCTCTTTGAATTTTTTGAAAATAATGCATTTTTTAAGATAATTTTAATTTAATTTAAGATTTTGAAAGTAATTGAATTTTATGATCAATTTCTTTCAAATTCTTAAAATAATTGTGTTTATTAATAATTGTAATTAAACATTTTATTATTGATTTTTATAAAAATTTTTAAAAAATAATTCAGTTTTTTTCAGAATTTTATTACAATTTTTTGGAAATCATCGTATTCTTCCCAGAATTTTATTACAATTTTTAAAAATAATTAAATTCTTTCGAGAAATTTTATAAAGATTGTATTGAAAATAATTGAATTCCCGCAAAGAATTGTATTATTTTTGAAAATATTGGAATTCTTTTGCAGAATTTCTTTAAATTTTTTGAAAATACCTAATGCATTATTTAAAATAATTTTAATTGAACATTTTTAAAGTAATTAAATTTTACAAGCATCATCGTAATTAACAATCTTCTTTCTAGTTTTATTAAAATTATTAATGAAAAATTGAATTCTTTTGAACAATTTTATTGGTTTTCGTAAATAATTAAATTCTTTTGTTGAATTTCTTTAGGTATTTTAACTTAGAAAATTATTTTAACTTAAACAGATTTATTTAGGTATTTTAAAAATCATGTAGTTTCTTAAAAAATATTTTTAATTGAAAACTTTTAATGTAATTTATTTACGAAAATAATTCTATTTTTATAAAGCATTCTATCATAGTTTTCAAACTTAATTTTTTAGTCTTTCGAATAATTTTTTAAAATTTATAAAAATAATTGAATCCATTCGAAAAGTTTTATAAAAATTGTATCGAAAAATATTAAATTTCTTCGAAGAATTTAAATATTCTTGAAAATTTTCGAATTCTTATGAAGAATTTTATTAAAATGTTTGAAAATAATTAAATTATTCGAAAGTATTTTATTAAAATGTTTGAAAATAATTAAATTGTTTGGAAGTATTTTATTAAAATTTTACATAATAATAGTTAACAATAATTCACCATGTAGTTAATTAGGGAATTTTTTATATTTTTGAATCTGAAATTAGTCAAATATTTGAAAATAAAAAATTTTGTCATTTTTCATTTCGATTACAGAATTTAATGGAAATAAAACTGAATACAAAGTAAATAGAAAAAAGTTAATATCGAATACTTAATATCAATATTTATAACAATAATTATACAAAACCGTTCATTATCCCAAATAAAATACCCTCTTAATTCCACCTTCATTAATATAAATCCACATTAAAAATATTTTCGTCCATTATCGAATATCAATAAATAAAAAGTCCGAAACGTAAAAGTATGGTTGGTAACAGAGGAAAAGTTGTATTTATAGAAATAAACGCAATCAATATTGTGAAGAATGAAACATTACCCGAGCAGCATTCCATTTATATAGTGTAAGTATTGTCGGGAATGTATATATATATATAGATACAGATATAGAGAGAGAGAGAGAGAAAGAAGGGAAAATGCAGCTTTTGTTCATCGCCATCTTTATTATCACTATCACCATGATCATTAACGTCATCACCTTGGCGAATGCAGGGAACGATTATAGAGTGTTTTTTATATATAAAAAAAGAAGGGAATATAGAGAAAAATAGAGAGTGAGGAGAAAAAATTAGAAAATAGATAAGGAAAGAAAGTAATAGAGAGAGAGAAAAGTTAGAAAGTGAAATAGCCAATCAAAAAAAAAAGTACTGTAGAGTGGGCATATACAGTAGAAGATTCAAAAAAGAGACAAAGGGAGACAGAGCAAATAGGTGGTGAGTATTAATAGCGAACAAAGGACAAGAGCCAGATCGCAGAGTGAAAATTAAGAAAGAAAAAAAAATGAAAAAATAGTACAAAAAAAAATTATATATATATATAGTGTATATAGAGAGAAAGATATTAATATGTATATATATAAAGTAGACGGTAGTAAAGTTCCAGAGTAAGCGAGCGAGTGAGACGTTACCTAAGTCCCGGCCCCAGGAACGCTGCTGTTGCCCCACTAGATCATATATCACAATAGTTTTGTCACAACCATGTCACTTTTCTCACTGTCACAGTAATTACTGATACGGCTCTCAATGCTACAGGAAATTTTATAGAGGGGTGGGGGGTGAGGGGCCTTCAAGGAAGAGGACTTCCTATTCTAAATTCTTATATATTTTTTTTCAATATTTTTTAAATATATATTTTACAAGTCACGTGAATCATTCTCATTCGTTTACTTTAGAATTTTATTTTTCTAAATTTAAAAATAAAATCTAAAAACATTTTATGCAAAAACCCCAAAATTTTATTTAAGGTTTCTTTATTTATTCGTACTTTATTATTAATTAATAATTAATAACGAGTTCTATTATTAATTTATATTTAGTAACTAATTTTATTATTAATTAGTAAGTATTGATTAATTTTATTATTAATTAGTAAGTAATAACTAATTGCATTATTAATTAGTAAGTAATAACTAATTTTATTATTAATTAAAAATTAATAACTAATTATTAATTATTAATTCAAACAAGAATTTCAAAAAGGACACAACTCTTACAAATTTAAGAGGCTGTCCAAGCCAATGCGATTTTTCCATTGAAGCTCAATGTAAAAATCAAAAATCAATTAAAAAAATAATTAAATAAATAATAATAAATAATTGTTGAATTATTTTTTCTTGTGTATTTTTTTTACTTCACATTGATTTTTTTTATTCTTTATTAATTTATTTGTTTATTGAAACATACGAGTAGAGGAAAAAACAGATATTTTGTTATTTATTTTTATGATTTTTATAACTTTTGTAATTATTTGAATATTTTTTAATAAAAATGAATTGAATGTCATGTGACTTGTAAAAATAATTTCTGCGTTTTTTAATTATATTTTTGATTTGATTTGAAAAATGAGAAATACAAGAGATCAGTTTTTGTCTTTAGAAAGGGAAGTGAGCAGAAATTTATTGGGAGGGTAGTAATAGTTAAAATTGATCATTTTTTTTTTTTTTTTTTTTTGTTAAAAAGAAAGAAAAAAGTTGTTGTAAATATAAAATGGAATGACTTACAGTTTTTACACTTGCATTTCTTGATTAAGGTTTCGTCCTTGATGTCCTCGTGACATGCCTTACAATAGAACCAAGCTCTGAAAAATTACAAAAGAAGAAATCATTTAGAAAATTGTGTACAAAATATTGAAAGGAATTTAATTATTTTAATAATAATAATTTGAAACTATTTATTGACTGGTAGTTAAGAAACTATAAAAATTTTAATTACATTTTTTGTAATAATAATTTAATTATTTTAATAATAATAATTGGAAACTATTTATTAACTGATAGTTAAGAAAGTATAAGAATTTTTATTAGATTTTTTGTAATAATAATTTAACTATTTTAATAATAATAATTGGAAAATATTTATTAACTGGTGTAGCATAACTATAAGAATTTTTATTAGATTTTCTGTGATAACAATTTTTTTTTGTATTTTCTATTTTTTGTGTGAAGAGTCAATTACAGTCAGTCCTTGGCAATTTTTCAAAAATTCTTCTATAAGTGGTATAAATCATTTTAATCAGACGGAGAGAGTGAATTTTCTAATGAATTAAGTAGTATAAACAGATTTGAGTCAGACAATGTGCTAATAATTTTGTAATTTATTCTGTCAGTAGTAAAGCTCAGCTAAAGTCAGACGAAACTAATATTATCACAGTTTTTCTAAAGATATCAAATTGAGTCAAAAAACGAATCGAAATTTGCGAATTAACGTTTTGATTCGATTTTTGTCTCAATTTGATATCTTTAGAAAACTCTCATTGTAACTCTGCTTTATCAGTAGAACAAAATAATTTTAGTCGAACGAAATATTAAAAATTATTTAAATTTCATTTTAAGTAGTATAATTCCAATTCAGTCAGACTTCCATAAAAACTTGTACTTTAATAAATTAATAAAAATAACCAATAAATATTTTCCTAAAATTCTATGTAATAATTTTAAGTAGTTTCAGTCATTTTACTGTCAGTAGTAATAGTAAAAAATAACCAATAAATAATTGGTTATTTTTTTAAAATTCTAAGTAATAATTCTAAGTAGTTTTAGTAATTTTACTGTTAGTAGTAAAAGTCAGTTTATGTCTGACGATAGTAATAGTATTTGTAAATTTAATTATCGGTGATAACATCAAATTTTGAATATCCAAAGAGGAAAAAAAATTTAAAAAAAAAAAAAAAATACTGAGTAAATAATAAAATTCGTGTTAACTCAACCCAAAAGTTATATTTTGGATCTTTTGTACATACTAATAGTGAAAGTCATTGTACGTCAGACAAAAATAATAAGATTCGATAAAATCCTGACATCATTAATAAAAAAAAAAATTCAGGTCATACAGAATGGGGAGAAAAATTCTTGTAATTTCTGAGTAGTAAAAATCGACTGCAGTCAGACAGCATGATATAAAGTCTTCTTATTTTATTATCAATAGTGAAAGTGATTTTATGTTAATTATTTTGTAAGACGAAAAAATTGAATTTACTCATACATTTTGTTTTAAAAAAATATTATTATTTCTAGAGTCAGTAGAAGAAACAAATTTTTTAGACCAGAAAAGAATAAAATAAAATTTATTGCCTATAATAAGTAGTAAAATACGTATTAAGTCAGCCGAACAGTTGGATTTTTATTTTTTTCTATTTTTAGTAGCTAAGGTCAACTAATGTCAGACAAAAGTGATAAAATTCGTGAAGAGTAGTAAAAACAAATTTTAGTCAGACAAACTATAGTGAAAGTATTTTGTGTCTGAAAAAGTAAGAAGATTTCTGAGAACCTGACAGAAATGGTAAAAAAAATTTTGATTAGCCAGACTGGAAGAAAATTCTCATAATAATTCCCAAGTAGTATAATTCGAATTCAGTCAGACAGTTTGTTATAAAATATTATCATTTTATTGTCAGTAGTAAAAGTATTTTGTGACAGAAGAGAATATTTGTTACAACCTAGAATCAGTAGTAACAACAAATTTTGGTCAGACAGACTGAAAAAAATACTCATTATAATTTAGAAGTAGTACAAATCGTATTCAGTCAGGCAGTTTGTTGTAAAAAAATTAAAAAATACCATTTCATTGACAGTAGTGAAAGTGTTTTTGTGTCAGACAAAAGTGATATCATTTGTAAAATCCAATCTTTTGTAGTATAAACAAATTTTTATCAGACAGACTATAAGAAAGTTATTATAATTCCTAAGTAGTAAAAATCGACTGCAGTCAGACAGTTTGATATAAAGTCTTGTCATTTCATTCTCAGTCTTAGTAAAAGTCACTTTACATCAGACAAAAGTAATAAAACTCGTATATCCCTAGTCCTTCAGTGATAAAGACCAATTTCAGTCAGACTTGACGGAGAAAAAAGTATTATTATCTAATAAGTAGTAAAATGCCTAATTAGACAGGCAGCTTGTCATAAAAGCGTGTAGTTTTATTGTCACAGTAGTAAAAGTATGTTTGTCTCAGACAAAAGTAATAAAATTCTTATGATCCTAGTTCTGCAGTGATAGAAAACTATTTTACTGAGACAGAACTGAAATATCCAACAGAAAGTCATGTCAATTTTGACAATCTACTAGATACCTTTAAAATTTTTTTTCCTGTGGTTAAGGTCAACAAGTGTCAGAAAAAAATAATTAAATTCGTAACGTTTATTGAATTAGTAGTACAAACAAATTTGATCATACAAAGTGGAGAAAATTCTTGTAATTATGGAATAAGTGGTGAAGGTCGAATTTCGTCAGACGATTATAGAATTTCGTCAGTTTATTATTAGTAGTATAAGTCAACGGTTCGTTCGTATTAAAAGTTCTATATTCCTGTTCCTTAGTAATAAAACCCGATTTCAGTCAGACTGAAAGATAGAAAATTATTCTAATTATTGAGTAAGTGATAAAATACGTATTCAGTCAGACAATAAAGAAATTTTTTCTTTGGAATTAAACTCAATCAGACAGCTGATTATATTTTGTAATTTTTTTTCTTCCAGTAGTGAAAGTAAACGCAATAGTCGGACCTAGAAACTTTGTATGTAGAAAAGTAGTAAAGATCATTTATAGTCAGACAATTTAGTGAAAAAGGATCTTAAATATAAAAATAAGTAAATATTCCTATAGTTGTAGTATATAAGTAGTAAAAAACATGTTTAGTCAGACAAGCGACGAAGAATTTCTCCACTTTTAATTTTGCTAAAAAAAATTCTTTAGCAAACTTGATAATATTTTAAAAAAAATGAAAAAAACGTGACAACTTGTCTGACTAAAAACGCATACATCTACTTATATATTAATACTTTTGATGACTCGTGAATAACTTACCTCTTCACTTCGTCGGCCGATTGAGCAATGAAGAATCCCTGAGTATTAGCAGCGATCTTGGCACCTCTTGGATTTATCGAGATCTTACTGTCAGCACCTGCTTCTCCTTTAATCTCGATAGCGAGGAGTAGGAGCTTCAGTTTGGTGAAACATAACCTAAAATAATTTCAAAAATTAAAGACAATGTTTTTTTTCTCGTAAACCATTGTCAAATTTTTAGGAAGTATTTGATGTACATGCACAATATTATTACCAAAAGAAATAATAAACTTTTTCACTAAATATTCAATTCAATTTAATTCAATTCAATTCAGTTCAATTAAGTTTAATTCAATTAGATTCAAATAACATTAATTCAATTCATTCAATCCTTTACAAATTAAATCAGATTAATTCGATTCAATTCAGATCAAACTAATTCAATTCGATTCGATTCGATTTAGATCTAATTAATTAAAATCAAATCAAATTAATTTGATTCGTATCAAAGAAATTAGTTCAATTCGATTCAGATCAAATGAATTCAATTCGATTCAAATCGGAACAAATTAATTCGATTCAATCCAAATTATTCAATTCGATTTGATTCAGATCAAATTAATTCAATTCGATTAACATAGAATCAAATTAATTCGATTCGTATAAAAAAAATTAGTTCAATTCGATTCGATTCAGATAAAATGAACTCAATTCGATTCAAATCAGAACAAATTAATTCAATTGGATTCGATTCAAACCAAATTATTCAATTCGATTCGATTCAGATCAAATTAATTTAATTCTATTAAAAACAAATTAATTCAATTCGGTTCGTATGAATCAAATTAATTCAATTCGATTAGATTCACATTAAATTAATTGAATTCAATTTGATTCAAACCAAATTATTCAATTCAATTTAATTTGATTCGATTCTATTCAAAATAAATCAGATCAATTCGATGTAGATCAATTTAATTCAATATTCGTTTTCTTAGGCTCGATTCAAAGTAAAATAATTTAATTCGATTCGATTTGATTCAAATGCAAATCAATTCAATTCGATTTCATTTAATTCGATCAAATTCAATTTAATTCAATTTAAATGCATCTTAATTAGAAATTTTATTATCATTATTTTATTATCTATTTTTAAAAAATAATCTTTTCTACAAGTTATATTCTAACGAGTAGTAAAGAAAATGTGTTTATTACTTTAATACAGTTTCCAAATTGATAACTCCATTCATAAAGTATGTCAACAGTGCCATAAAACTATATAATTTTAATTGAAAGTATAAACAAAATAAACTATCGTCATTTTATTATTTCTTTAATACTCAACATGTATCTCAATACTTCAATTTCACTATGAAAAAAATATATTAATTGTTTTATTAACTGAATTTGTTAGTATTTTAATACGATTTTCATCAAACAAAAAAGGAGAATTTTTTTGGAATCAGTGATATATGTTCACGATTTTTGGAAAATGCTACCAACTAGTAGAGTTTAACATCATTACAATTAAATACTCATTTTTCTTTAAAAAAAAATTCATATTATTAAATAATATCAATATTTTTTTTTGTTTATTTGCAAAATAATAGCCCACCATAAATAAACGTGGACTGTAAGTATAATTTCCTCTTTTAATAATTATAATATTTATAATTTCCTTTTTCAATAATCATAATATTTATAATTAATTGTAATTTATTTCTTATTTCTTTCTTCAATAATTAAAATATTTACAATTTCTTATAAATTGTTTATAATTTCTCTTTCTAATGAGTTTTTAATTCTTAATTTAATTCTTAATTTTTCCGCAGGAAAATAACAAATAATATTTATGTTAAACTTTACTAGGAAAAAGAGACAACACAGTGAAAAAAATTGTGTATGTTTTTGAAAAAAGAATGTTTTTCATTTAAACTACAAAATAAAAATAAAAAAATTTTTGTAAAATATTTTTTAAAGTGTATATTTGAAGAGTTGAATTATAACAAAAAAAAAATTTTTTGTATTGTCTGCGTAAATGATTTGTGAACAAACCTGTATTTTATCAATAAGAAGTTGTAATTCGATGTTGTGTGAAACAGAAGTAATAAGATTTATTTGTATAATTGTCGATTAAATGATTAATCTATGTTTTTGAATTTTTTTTTTTTTAATCAAATGCGACACTATTTATTTTCACTAAATGCACAAACAATAATAGCGAAAGCAAATGCAGAAATATGGCGTGAGAAACATATCAAATTTATCGCATGCAATGTTGTGTTTGATAATTAAATTTAATCAAAAATTGATTAATATCATTATTAATCGTTTGTTTTAAAAATGTTTTGGTTTTTTTTAAACAGTATTTTTTTGTTTTTTTGTTTCAAACCAGTTATTTCTTTTAAAATTGTACAAAACATTTTTTTTCGCGAACGTTAAACTTTAACTTTCGGTTCAATTTTACATCGAAATTTAAAATTAAATGTTTTTAAAAAGTATAAACTTTAGTCAATTTTATTGGAAAACTTTAATTACTTTTGACAGAAACATTATATAATTTTGTCACGAACTTGTTTTCTATTTTTGCTACAAATTCCAATTAATTTTGTCACAAATTTATAGTACTTTTGGAAACAATCTTTAATTATTTTTTAGCAAACTTTAATTATTTTTTCCCAAACTTGTATTAATTTAGTTCCAAACTTGAATTAATTTTGTCACAAAAATGTCATTAATTTTATCAGAAACTTCAATTAATTTTGTCCCAGACTTTTTTTCACTTTTTTCACAAACTTTAATTTTTTTGTACCAAACTTTAATTACTTTTTATTACAATTATTTAATTAATTTTATAATAACTAATAAATTAATTTAGTCATAAATAATAATTAATTCCTTAATTGATAATATGGATATATAATTATTAATTTTATCAATATAAATTTTGATCATTTTGCGGAGGAATGAATTTTTTTTCTTTTTAATTTTTTCTTAACAATATGTTAATGATCAAAATTGAATGGTGCATATTTAACAGGCATTGTTTTCTATTATTGGAAATAATATTATGATAATTTTGTTACCAATATAAGCGCGAAGACATGCGAGAACGGAAGATCTCTAAAATTAACAGCTGCAATCTATTTATTAATAATAATTATCACTCTGCTCTAAGATCTACATGTTTAGGCTGGCATTATAACGGCGAAAGGAACACTACATTTTGTTGACAGGAAAAAACTAAAATTATGTATTTTTTAATGAGAATATAATCAATAGGACAATAATTATAATATTTATTATAGTATTAAATATTAATACAATATTTAATTATTAAATACAATTATTTAATAATAATATAAATAATATTATATATTTATATTATAAATAATAATATTATTAATTAAAGATAAAAGATGTCTTACTACTAATTTAAAAAAAAACTTTTAATAAAAATATTTAAAAAAATTATTAATAAAAAAATAATTCGCAAAATATGTGAATTCGTATACTAGAGGGATAATTATGACAGAAGGTTACGGATGAGAATTAAAAACTATATCTAAAGGAGATTATGTCTAAAAAAAAGAACGGGAATATATTTTATATAGGCTTAATACTCCCACACACGCAAACGAAATAATTGGTGATTCAGAAGTGTGCCAAAAATTAAATCAAACCTTCAACCAAATCCAACTATCCTTGTGCACTGCTAGAAACTTTTATTGTTCTCTTATTCTTTTTCTATATTAAGAAAAAAGTACAAACGAGAAAAATTTAACCATTTACTATTAAATTACTTTATGCATATATTTACCTATTATACACGAAATAATATAAATAATAATTTATAATTAGAAAATATTCATTTTTTATAATATTATTATATTTATTGTATAAAAAATAAATTATTTATCAACCTAATTATTAAATTTTATTTCTCAGTCGAATTTTCAATTAAACAGAAAACCAAAAATTCGTATGGTTGAAAATTCAATAAATAATACATTGTTAAAAAACAATAATTAGTAATTTTTTTATGATTCTACAATTAGTGACAAAAAAAATTTCTAACAGTATAGTGCAATACGAGTGCATTTACAGTGCATTGACATATTTTTCTATTAATGATTTAAAAAAATATTATCCAGCATTAAAATTGTGTGCAATTCTATACGAAAAATATATATATTTTTTTTAAACAGATTATTTATATATGAAAATATTACTAATTGTAAAATTATCAAATTATAAACGAAGGAAATAATTATTTCCATCAAATAATTATTTATATAATTAGAAATTAAGTGTATTATAATCTAATAAAATCTATTTATGATAATATTCGAAATTGTAAGGTGCAAGAGAAAAAACTAAGAGGCCTCCTTTTATTACCAAAAATGAGCTTATCCTTTTTTGTTTTGAAATTTTTTAAATAAGTGTTATACGTTTTTTTCAGAAAAACGTAGAGAGAGCAGCAGGCATGCGAGTACAGAGAAAGGAGAAAATTGTTAATAATTATATGGATTTTTTGAACCCCTAAAATACACACACACACACACACTTACTCACAAATGCATATAATAATAAGGGGACGGGTAATAAAATTTGCTCTGTGTTAAGGTGAAAAAAAAACCCACAAAATAAAAAAAGATTTTCGTTATTTCTCTTTGTAATATAATTAGAGAATTTGCATGAAGTTAGCAGTAAATAATGATTTTTTTAATTTAGGAAAAAATGGGAATTTCCAAATTTTTAACTCTTGATCCAAAAATGAAAAATTAGGATTTTTTTTTTGTTTTCTTTTGATTTCTAGGGTAAGATGCTCTAATATTAATTTCCTTTTTTCAGGAAAAAAAGATTTTCTACTTTTCTCAATTTACTATATTTAATACTTAAGCAAAATTTAACCGTAAACGGAAAACTTCAATAAAAATTATTCTTATTTTTAAATTAAAATTTTAATAAAACTTATTATTTTTATGAAAGTAAAAATTTTAATATTAGGTACATAAATTTTTTTTTTTTTCTTAATTTAAATTTCTTAAGTGAAATTGTATTTTTGACAAACTCTGTTCTATTTTCCAGAAGAAAAAACGTTTTTAAAAAAAAGTCAGAAAAATGTCGTCTAAAAAGTCCTAAAGAGTTATTCTACTGAATAAAAACAAAATTAAACAAATTAAGTTTCTTCTTAAAGTCCTTCTCACTCTTATCTCCCCACTCCGACTTCAACTACAATTTGCCAATTTTTTTTTAATTAAAATTTTGATTCAATTTTTTATTTAAATTAATTTAAGTGAAATTTATTTATTTATTTAAAGTCATTCCAGTTAAATTTTTTTAATAAAATAAAATTTATTGATTTGAACTTCAATTGACTTGATGTGAGAAAATTTATTTGTTAATTAAATTAATTATTTTAGTTCATTAAATTAATGATAATATTCAATAGTTTAATAACATATTAATTAGTCTAATTATACTTTTAATTTAGTTGAACAATTTTAATTTTAAACTTAAATAATATTTTAATTTTAAACTTAAATAATATTTTAATTTTTATTCTACTTTACAATTTAACTGAAATTTTAATTATAATTAAAATAGCATTTAATTTCAGACTAGACTTTTAATTTAAAATTGAAATATAATTTTAGTTTGCAATTGAAATATCTACAATTTTAGTGCAAAATTAAAATACAAATTTTACTTTAAAATCGAAATACAATTTAACTAGAATTTTAATTTTAATGAAAGTATAATTTCAAATTAATCCAAAATTTTAATTTAAAATTAATCTAAAATTTTAATTTAAAATTAAAATACAAGTTTAGTTTAAAATTAAAATACAAGTTAATTTTAAAATTAAAATGAAATTTTAAGTTAAAATTTTAAATTTTAAATACACGTTTCGTTTAAAATTTTAGATAGAATTTTAGTATAAAATTTAAAATAAAAACTCAGTTTAAAATTTTAAGTAGAATTTCAGATTAAAATTAAAATACAATTTTAGTTTAATATAAAAATTTTAAATACAAGTTTATTTTTAAATTAAAATACCAATTTAGGATACAATTAGAAATATTAAATACAAATTTAGTTAAAAATTTTAAGTAGAAGTTTAGTTTAAATTTTAAAATAATAAAAAGTCAGTTTCAAATTAAAAATTTTAAATACACGTTTCGTTTAAAATTAAAATACAACTTAAGTTTAAAATACAATTTAAGTTTAAAATTAAATATTTTAATTTTTAAATATGCGTTTAATTTTAAAATTAAAATACAAATTTAGTTTAGAATTAAATTACAATTTTAGTTTAAAATAAAAAATTTTAAATACAAGTTTACTTTAAAATTTTAGGCACAAGTTCCACAGTAAAGTATGATTCTAGCATAAAATTAAATTAAAATTTTAATTAAAATCCCAATTAAACGAAAAAAATTACATTTCCTAATACGAATAGACCGAAAAAAAATTATTTTTAAATTCTTCCCAGGGTCTAATTCTTTGTTTTACACCCGTCCCCTAGTAAAATGCATCCATGTACTAAACTAAAAAAAAACTGCCCCGAACAAAAAAAAATCATATCGACAAATAAATTTTCTTAACGAGAAAACTCTACACAAAAGTACAAAAAAAAAAATAAATAAAGAACAATGAAGAAGAAAAGGAATAAGAATAAGAAATAAGTCCAACTATATATGTATATACATATATGGTGCCAGGCGAAAAAAAAAATCTCCGGAGGTCAAAAAACGTTTTGTTGATGCATTATGTATAACATTGTCACGTTTTTGTGCTATGTGTCGGAGGCTCGAGACAGTAAAAAAATAAATAGATATAGAGAGAGAGAGAGAGAGAAAAAAAAGAGGAAAGTGAGAGTGTAAGAGTGTGAAAATTTGTGTAAGTCAATGTGAAAAAAGAGAGAGAAAAAGAGAGTGAGTGAGTGAGTGAGTGAGAGAGAGAAAAAAATTGGGGGTAAGTTTGCATGTGTGGCAGCCGGTGGCAGCGAGAACTTACTCGCTGGCTTGGGGAAATGTCATCCCGGTAAAGGACGGGGAGAGGGTTTCCGTGTACATCTCGCAGCCAGTGCCCTGCAGGTAATCATTCTGCCACGCTTGAGTGTCCGGCGACTGAAACACCAACCAACCTCCACGTCATCGACCGTCAAAAAAATACCTGCTCTCGCTCACTAATTATTTTTTATTATTTTTTTTTTTTTGCCGACAAAATTATTGTTTTTTTTTTTTTTTTTTTGGTTTTCTAAAAGAAAATTTTAAAAACCCTTTCCACATTTTTTGAAAGAAGCCAAAAATAAAACCTAAATTAAAAATTAATCACCAGTCCAGGAGGAATTTTTGGCAGAAAACAATTTTTTCTTCTCATTTTTTTTAACTGAAATTGTATTTTTGACTCCTTTGTTCCAATTTTTCTAAAAAAAAAAATACATTTTCCTAAAAAGTTGTTTTAATGTGGGGAAATATTTTTCTAGAAATAAACATTTTCCTAAAACTTTGTTTTATTGTGGGGAAAAAATTGTTCAATAAAAAATACATAAAAATAATAGTAAAATGTTGTTTGATTTGTTGGGGAAAAAATATTCCTGCGCACTCTGAATAATAGAGAAAATAAAAATCTTTGTGATTTTAAGTTTTCTTTTGTTCCCCACGTGGAAGAGGTAAAATATTTCTGAAATTAAATTTTAGTCAATTAAATATTGATGATGAAGAATTATCGTCATCTTGTCGTATCTTTTGACCTGGATTGAAAGAAAAAAAATTACCTGCGTAAATAATGTGTTAATTAGTATGTTCCCTGCCTCTTTTTATTACGAAGAAAAAAATTTATACTGATTTATTCTTTTTTTTGTATCTATCAATTTTTTTCTATATAATATTATTAAAAAATATTTTTCTAAAATATGTTTCTAAAATATTTTTCTAAAATATTATTCTAAACTATTTTTCTAAAATATTATTCTCAAACATTTTTCTAAAATAGTATTCTAAAATATTTTGCTAAAATCAATTTCCAGTTTCGTTAAACTTTAATTTAGTTTGGTGAATTAAATTTTCAAAAATTCTCATTTCTAATAAAGTTTCTTGAAAATTGCAAAGAATTTTGTAATAATACCATTTTTTAGGTATTATATTACAATTCTTTAATAAAATTAGTAAGAAAGTGTTTGATTTTTATCGATGAATGAAAAATACTTACAATAAAAAATAAAATCGTAAGTAAATAAAAAAAATGTGGTTTTCAAAAAACAATTTCATTTTAAATAACTCTCTGTGTAGGCTTAGTCACTGACACAGTTTCTATTTCTAGTGAAAAAAAATTGACAATTCTTTAAAAAATAAAAAAAACTGGTAGCAGCTGGCACGGTTCAATTATGCTTCGCTTAATATTTTTCCCCTCTAAGTAGACACGTTTTCCTTCAAAAATTTTTACAAAATATTCAAGATTATTAAATTTTTGTTTTATTTCAGAAAAAATAAATAATTCATAAATAATTCAATAAAATAATAAATAAAAAAAGTAAATAAGAATATAAAGAAAAAAACAAAGAAAAAAGTAAAGAAAGAAAAATATAAAAAAGTAATAAATACGAATGAAAAAAATAAGTTCGTTTTTAAATTTACTCTCATGAATTAAAAGATTAACATTAATTAAAAATCGTGTTCGATTAAAATAAAAAAGTTATGAATTCATAAAAGAATTAAGAATAATTTATAAAAATATCTACTCAAAAGTACTTATTAAAAAATTTATTCACAGTTAATAAAAATCAATGACAAAATAAATTGAATAAAAATTTATACACAGTTGTTAAAAAAAATATAAATGCGAATTTACTCATTAAAAAATTTATCCACAATTAATGGAGGTCTATAGTAAAAAGAATTAATTTAATAAAAATTTATTCAAAATTAATCAAAATCTGTGACAAAAGAAATTAAATAATAATTTTTATACATTTAATAAAAATACCCAAAATAAATAAATATAAAAATTTATACAAAGTTAATAAACAATCTAGGTCAAAATAAATTAAATGAAAAATGTTTATACAGATAATAAAAATCTATTGCAAAATAAACTGGGAATCGATTATTTAATTTCACTTATATTTTCACTTTCATTTTCAATTTCATTATCACTTACATTCTCACTTTCATTTTCACTTTTATTTTCAATTTTACTATCACTATATGCCAGATTTCTTTTATTTTCCTTTTATTTACACTTTGATGGATTCTTTTAGATTCATTTTGTTTTTGAAAGTGAAAATTATAGCGAAAGTGAAATTAAAATTTTGTCAAAGTAAAAATACAAATAAAAGTGAAAATTAACTTCTATCAAAGTATAAGTGAAAATAAATGTAAGAATGAAAATTTGTTAAAGTGAAAGTAGAGGTGTAAACAAAAAAACTTTCAAAGTGAGAGTAAAAATAAAAATAAAAGTCAACATTTAATTTCAACTTTTATTATTTAGACTTTGAAAATAATGGACCCCCTGATAAAAAATCTATACAAAGTTTATAATAAATCTATGGAAAAATAATTATTATTTTTACTAATTAAAAATTAATCAAAAAATTATTTTAAAAAAACCATGATTTTCTTAATATAAAATTAATTATTTTAAAATTAATTAATTATTACTAAATCACTAGAAAAATAAAAGAAAAATGAATAAACAAAATTACTAGGGGAAAAAAGCGAATTTCTTTAGATTATGTAATTAATATTTTCCCTATTGGCCTAGATTTAACAATGTCTGTTGTAATATTGGTCGTGTGATGCTGGCTTTTCCACAATTGATTAATTCGAATATCCCCGGCATATATACATAAGGATGTTCCTAATAATGGAATTCAAAACCCGATGAATTCCCACTAGAATGCATTTCTCATTCGCATCTCTCATCATTTATCGATTGAGCTTGAATAATTCTTTTATTTTCGTTCACATCCCACCCTCAAAAAACAAAAAAAAAAAAAAAAAACTCCTTTTACCCCGCTTTCATTTTAATTTCAGTCAAGAAAAAAAACCTTTCTAATATATTGTGTATTTTCATATACTATTTTATCACACATTGTCCCGTCCTAGAAATAAATATTTTTGTCTATTATAAAATTATAAATATATAAATTTTTTACTTGTAGAAAAAAAATTATTTTTTTCTTTTCCTGCTTTCTAAGCAATCTTTCTCGATTCGATCTATAGAAGTATCATTAAAAAGTTGAAATAGATTTGAAAAGCAGAAGAAGGTTTGATCAATATTATACATAAACTTACTTTAACCTGCATCACGTCTGCACCTTATACAGGAATTAGTGAGATTATAAAACTTATATTCATCTCTTGTCGATATTTATATATTAATAATAATTTATTAATCGACATTATATATTAATATCAAAGAGCATCTTAAAGAATATTATATATGTGAAGAAATATATATAAATATTTATATATATATATGTATATATAATATATAATAGTACTGAAGTTACTGAAGCAATGATAGGGTGGTTACATTGATTAGGTGTAGCACAAATACGGTTTATACATTGTTGACACGTTCATAAAAAAGAGGTTCATATATAGCGGAGTGGAGCGTAGTGAGAGACATAGGCGAGGCGAAGCTTCATCCCTTATTTTTTTCAAACCGAATCAAGAGACTGTCCGATTATATATATATATTAGTAATTATTTATAAATATATATAGAACTGAAGCTCGTGTTAATCACAATCCAAATAAACACAATCGAAAACCAAACACATAGCATGCGCTTCTTTAATGAACGAAAAAAAAATTAATAATAATAGCCAGGCTGCTTTTTTATTATTACATTTTTTTTCTTGCTTCTGTCAGTATTTTAAAACAGCACACATTTTATTTTCGGTATTTACAAAAATATTTTTGCAAAAACAATTTTACTGAAATATTTTTACTAAAACATTTTACTGAAATACTTTTACTAAAACATTTTAACAAAAATATTTATAACAAAATATTTTAACAAAAATATCATAACTAAAATATTTAAACAAAAATATCATAACTAAAATATTTTAACAAAAATATCATAACTAAAATATTTTAACAAAAATATTTATTAAAATGTTTTAACAAAAAATATCTTAACTAAAATATTTTAACAAAAATATCAGTACAAAAATATTTTATTCTATTGAGAATTTAAAAATGTTAAAAATTCAAATTATTGAAAAGAATTATGGTAATTTTAATATTTTATTTATTAGGGGTAATTTTATTATAACTTAATTTTTGATACAAAACAAATTTATCTAACATTTATAAACATTTGTTTAAATTTTTAAAAAATTATTTATTTATGAATATTATTTTATACTTGGGGGAGAAAAATGGAAAAATATTATTTAAAAAATATTATTTACTAATTAAAAAAAAATCGTCCCGTTTATTATTTAAAGAAATAAACAAATAATTATACATTTTGAAACTATTATTTTAAAAAATAATTAATATTAAATAACAATTATATTTTTTTTTTATTTTTTAGAACTAATTTTTAACTTTTTATCGTACAACAAAAATTGGATAATGATAGCTTTCTGAAATTATTAAATTTTTCTACTATAATTGATATAATATTATTATGTAAAACTCAAATTTAATTTTGAAACGATGCCAAATTATTGTCAACGATAAATTTCGATGTTAAATACAAAAGTTAATTTCAATTCACAATCAGTTAAAATAAATTCTAAAAAGTATAAATTTTTGTAACTTAGTTAAAATAAATCCTAAAAATCTAAATTTTTGCAATTCAATTAAAATAATTTCTCAAAGTCTAAATATTTGCAAATTAAGTAAAAAATAGTCTCATAAAAATATAAAAAAAATTTAATTCAGTAAAAAATAGTTCTTAAAAAGAATAAACTTCTATAATTCAGTGAAAAATGAAATATAAATTTTTCACAATCAAGTTAAAATAAATTTAACAAATTATAAATTGTGATACAGAAAAAAGTGTTGGATTATTGTTTTGTAATTTGCTTGTCGTATTTTTTTTTTTAGAAATAAAGGCAGACATTCGGCTTTTAGCATATAAACAAATACACCCAGGGGACGAGTCTCTTGAAACGGAAAAATTTACACTCTGCTGGATGTCAAATTTTTTTTTTTTTTGTATTTTTTTGGCTTTTTTTATGAACCGACTTACTCAGTTGCTTTGGCAAAGGGCATTCCAATGAAGGTTGGGCTCAGTGTCTCGGTGTACATCTCCATTCCGGTTCCTCGTAGATAGTCATTCTGCCAAGCCTGTATATTGGGCGACTGATACCAATCAACCAACCATTTTCTAAATTACACGCGCGCCTATGCATGTTTTTCACGTGCGACACATTCACAGTGAAGCGATTTATTTTTCATTTATATGGAAACTTTTATTTTTCCACTTTATTTTATTTTTTTTTTTTCTTAATTTTTATTATTTTATTAATTTTCTCTAATTTTAGCAAATTTTTACTAATATTTTTATATATTTTTGAAAATATTAGTATTTTTATTAGGGAAACAGTAATAGAAATATAATAATTGAAATAAAAAAAATTGACAAAAATAATAATTTTAATAATAATAAATACCTAGTAATTTTGGTAATGATAATAATAAAGTAAAATAAAACAAAGAAAATGAAAATAGATTAAAAAATAAGAAAGAAAATAGTAATTAAGTCAATAAGAATTGAATAAATATAAATAAAGTAAATGGAATTAAAGTAAACGATAATAAAGTAAATAATAATGAGGTAAAAAAATATAGTAAATAAATTGAAGAGTTAATTTTACAAATTTAAAAAATTCTGATTTAAAAAATTCTAATTTTAAAAACTTACTAACAAAAAATATTTCCCAAATAAAATACATTGAACTAAAATAATTATTTATAACAATCGACAATGTTCGCTTACTGTGAAGTGTTTCACAATGTTTTAAAATAAAAATAAAAAAAGAAGTTAATTTAAAAATCGCATTTTACTCGCGCACATGCATAGAAGATAGCGGAATCAATTTTTTTTTTTAAATATAATATTATTGTATAATTATGTTAGACAAATAGAAATTATATGAAATAAATAGAAATTATATATTAAACAAATAGAAATTATATAATATGAAATAAATAAAAATTGTATATTAAATAAAAATATTATCTGTATATAATTATAGAAATAAATAGAAGGACAATTTGTACTGACCGTCTTAAAGGAACGCATGGCAAAGAGATTAGCCATCATTGTACTGAATCCTGGCGCTAAACAGGACTGAGCGATGAAACCCAATTTTAGTTCCGCTAGACAAATCACATCGTCACCCTGCTTCCAGTCCCACGATGGAATGTTTAATAAATAGGCCTTGAAATGAAAAAATTAAATTTTTACTGATATTTTTTTCAATAAATTAAAATAAAATGTACAAAAATTATAAATTTTTTCAATTGAAAATATAAAGAATTTTTGAAAAGAATTTTATTTTGTTAATAAAAGGGAATATGTGGGAAAAGAGAAAAAAAAATAATTTGGAAATATAGTTTTTTTTTAGTTATCAGTTAAACTTTATTTTTCCTTTTTCTTTGATATTTATTTTATTTTTTTCAGAACTAGTAGTAAAGGGCAGTTTTAGTCAGACGATATTCTAACAAATAGTAATAAATAACTTTCTAAGTATAGAAGAATAAAAATTTTGTCAGGGGAAATTAATTTATAACCAACAGTAGTATAAGTCAATCTATAGTCAGACAATTTATACATTTTTTTGGCTCTTGCAGTAGTATAAGTCAGCCTTTAGTCAGAATTATTATTTTTTATTCTTTGGAATAACTTTGTGTATTACTGTCTGACTGTATATTGACTTATATCACTGCAGAAAAATATAAAATGGCTGACTATAAATTGACTTATACTCCTGCGGGGTACGAAATATTTTCATCTGACGTAAACTTTTGTACTTCTACTTGCAAAAATGTAATTTTGTATATATATTTGCAATTTTATATTAACAACAACAGAATTTATAGTCAGACGGGATTATTTTATACTCTTTAGAATTTAAAGTCACTCTACAGTCAAACAGTAAGTTTTGTGAGTTGAGGCACAATAATTGTTTGCGTCAGACGAAAATAATTCGTATCCTGCAGTAGTGTGGGTCAATTATAGTCAGCCATTTTATGTTTATCATGCAGTAGTATAAGTCAATCTGTAGTCAGCCATTTTTATTTTATCCTGCAGTAGTATAAGTCAATCTATAGTCAGCCATTTTTATTTTATCCTGCAGTAGTATAAGTCAATCTACAGTCAGACATTTTTATTTTTATCCTGCAGTAGTATAAGTCAATCTACAGTCTGCCTCTTTTGCTTTTTACTCTACCTTTTTAAATTAGTTACAGTAAATTTTCTAAGTAGTATCAGAATATTTTAGTCAGACGAAATAATTTTACAATCTGCAGTAGTACAAGTCAATATTCAGAAAGTCTTTTTATTTTTTCTCCAAGTTTTTCAGTTTTTTTGTGTAAATCTTACAAGTAGTAAAAAAAAAAGTTTAGTCAGGCGGAATCATATCGAAAAATCAGTAGTACAAGTCACTCTATTGGCATACTTTCTAGTTTATTTTTCAGTAGTGCAAGCACTCCATTGTCTGACTTAATTGTTTTTTTTTCAATAGTACAAGTCGATCTATTGTAAGATTTTCTATTTTATTTTTCATAGTTCGTTACATTATTAGCTGCAAAATACAGTTTTATTAAAAAAAAGATGTTGCAACTTTCTGTTAATTTTGTAAAAAAAACAAAATTATTTCGCATCTAGCAGTAGTATAAGTCAACTTCCAATCATACTTTTTAAATTACTTAAATTCAAGTTAAATTTGATCCTAGTAAGACAACTTTTTTTTTGAAGCACGCATAGAATTTATCAGAAATTTTTCTTTTACATAGTTAGAAAATTTAATTTTCCTTGTTTAGAACTTTAAATTTGTAAAAAAAAAATTCTAAACACATTTTTAAACATATTTATTTAAATTACATTTTTTCTTTAAAAAAATAGTGTTTTTTCAAATATATAATGAATAGTAAATATAAATAGTAAATATAAATAGTAAATATAAATAGTAAATAAATAGTAAATGATACCTTATTATGATACTGCATGAGCTGAATGATAACACGGATGTCGTCTGAATAATTTTTTATGGAGATGACTCGCATGATGTTCGCTGCATCCTCCGCGTCCGGATCCTGGCAGTACTTGTTGGCCAAAACCAAACACGCATCAGCTTCGTGTACCTAAAAAAGTGACAATCGTTGTTTTACACTGCCCTTCAATTTTAAATTCAAATATTTTATAAAATTTTCTAATTTAATAATTTAAAAAAAATATAATTTGATAAAAATTTAAGAATAAAAAATTTTTGCATTAATAATGAAAGAATTTATTTTTTTCAAATCTGCGAAATTCAATTTTAAATTAATGCAATAAATCGCTAATTTTTACAGTGAATAATTTAATTAATAGAAATGGTGCCATTTCAAATAATTATTAATTCAATTCAATTAAATATTTATAAAAATCAATTTAAGTTAAATTTTCATCTCAATCAATTTAATATTTAATTCAATCGATTCAAATCAATATTCAATTAAATCACTTCAAAAAATATTCAATTCAATAAATTTAATTAAATATTCAATTCAATAAATTTAATTAAATGATCATGTCAATTAATTTAATTTAATATTTAATTTTTTGTATTTCAAAACGGAATTTTAAATTCTTTCACTACAAAAATATATTACAGGATAAATATCACGTGGTGGAAGTGAAATGGTAAAAGGTAAGAGTGAAACTTTCGGTAGAAAAATTTAAATTCCTAAAGAAAATTTATCAGAGAGACGATATTGTAAAAAATATCGAAAGAAACAAAAACAAACAGAAGAAAATATTTGAAGAAATTAATACATAATGGAAAATTCTCGCCTTGTTTTTCTGGGTAATTATATAATATTTATATGTACTGGAATTATATTTGTTGGTGATGTGTCATGCTTTCCGAGTGCCATAAATTTTTTTTTTTCATTTTGGAATTTGTCGAGGTATATATGTTGATATATATGGTAGATTTTCGAGCAATAATGAAAAGCTGTCAATTACTTATCAAAGCTTACAATAATATAAATTTTCTACTATAGAATAATTAAAATACAATTTTTTTCTAGGTTATAAATATAACAATACTTTCAATAGGAACATAAGGAAGACTATTTAAATAAACACTATTAAAAGTATTTTTTTAAAAATAACTAATATATATATATATGCAAATTTTTAACTTACATTCGATAGAGTAATAATTCACGGCCTAGAAAGGACTTTTGCTTCTGTTTCTAAATTATCATTACATATAGAGGGTATTTACAAAAATTTAATTCTCAATGCAGAAGATCACTGATCAATTTCTTTTATTTTTATATCTTTTCACTAAAAATTGTTTAAAAAATTCTAAATAGAACAAATTTTTAATGTTTTTTTAATTCAATTTCTTTTCTCAAGTCTATTCAATTTTTTTAATTTGAATTTTTTTTATTTAAGTCTTTTTTTTACTTTTGAATTTCCAATTTTAATTTAATTTCTATTCAATTCAATTCGATTCGCTTTAATTCGATTCAATTCAATATTTAAATAATGATATTTAAAAATATTATTAGTAATATTAATATTATGATTATTTCAATTATTAAAATTTTTATAGTAATATTTTTATTTATTTAAAATATTAATACAATAATTTTATTTAGTTCAGATATTATACAATATTTTTATTCGATTCAAATATTATTAAATTAACTTTATAAGGTAATATTGCAGTAGATTATAGTAAATAAATATTTTTTTAATACAAAAAAGCTTTTTTTTAAACAAAACATTTAATCTTCTTTCTGCTTTAAATAAAGAACAATAAATTCATAATTATAAATTTACAACCCCTGCTGAAAAAGTTCTATAGAATTTGGAAAATTTTAGAGAAATTACAATTACAAATGATTGCAAAATTTAATTATTTTCAAAAGTAATAATATTCTTAGCAGAAAATCAATTATGTTCAAAAAATCTTAAAAATTCTCGTCAAAATTTCAATTATTTTTATAAATAATAAAATTCTTCTTCAAAATTCAAAAATTTTAATAAAATTCTTGGCAAAATTTCAATTATTTTCAAAAATTTCCCTCAATTTAATGATTTTCAATATCTATTATGTTCATAAAATAATTAAAATTTCCCAGAAATTCAATTATTTATAAATTTTTTATAAATTTCTTCGCAATATAATTCAATTATATTTATAAATAATAACATTTTTACAGGAATTCAATTATTTTTCTAAATAAAAAATTCTTTTTAGCAATTTAATTATTTTCATAAATAGTAAAACTCATCGAAGAATTTCAATTATTTTTAATAAAATTTTAATCGAATTCCTCGATAAATGTAATTATTCTTAAAAATTTTATTTAAATTCGTCAAACGAATTTAATTATTTAAAAATTTGTTGATTAAATTCTTTATAAAAATTCAATTTTAAGAAATATTCAAATATTTAATAAATTATTTTTTTGTGTTTAAATAATTGATTTAAAAATGAATTTCTGTTAAAAACAAATGAATTTAAAAATTCTTAAAAAATTTTTTCAAAAATTATTAAAAACAATGGATTTATAGAAAAATTGTAGTTAACACTAAAAAAAATTAATTTTAGAGAAGTTAAAAATTATTGCAGAAATTCAATTGTTTTCAAGGGTAATAAAATCCTTCGCAGAAATTTAATTATGTTAAAAAATAGTAAAATTCTTCGTAGAAATTCAATTTTTTTCATAAATAATAAAACTCAATGCATAATTTAAATTATTTTCAATACAATTTTAATCGAATTTCTCGGAAAATGTAATTATTATTAAAAATTTTATTAAAAATTGTCGAAAGAATAATATGAAGTTGAAAAATATTATTTTACAAATTTAAATTCTTTTTTTATTAAAAATCACTAAAATTTAGTAGAATTCATGTTGAAATTCTATAGAATCATTCTAGTGAAATTCTGTAGAATATTTACTAGAATTCATATAGAATGATTTTAGTAAAATTCTAAAGAACATTTTCGCAGCTGGGACTCGAACAATTTTCCAAAACCTTATATTTCAAATGGATTTTAAGAATTGAATGGAATAAAATTCAGATTTACAATTCAAATGAATATAAAACCCGCGTTGGTTTATATTAGGTTAACATTAAAAAGGGTTTTGTAGCATATATTGCAGATATGCAAAAAAAAGTTTCTGTAAATGAACTATTTTTTAATAAAAATTGTACAGTGACCTTTCGCAGTTATGTAGAGAAACGAGAAAAAAAAAAGAATTGCAACTCGTTAATTTGAATAATTTAAAGGAACATCCATCGTGCTTTGGCAACGCTAGCATGAAAAAGCTCGCTCTAACATGCTGTTTTTCTGAAAGGTTATACCTATATATCTCTAAGGGGACGCTAATTAAAAGAGAGAAAGAGAGAAAAAACTAGATTGTCAATTATACAAAAAAGAAAAAAGAAAAATTCATCCGATTACGTTCAGACTACCTTCCTTTTTATTCCAAAAAAGGTAGTAAACACTGAATACTAAAATATATATATATATATATATATATGTATACTATGTAACTTTAACGCTAATCACTATCTCTACAATGGTCGTTAACATCAAGCTTCACAAAAACACGAGCACTTACCCTCCTGGGTCGGCAGCAGGCATGGGTCTATATCCGAGTTAGAAAATTAGCCTCAAGAGGGAATTTTTCTCAGAATACAAAATGTACATTCTATATTTTTTATATATATAAGTACTTATAGTGCTTATGCATAATTCACGTACATGATATTTAAAAATCATATTTATATATAAATATAGGTTCAATTTTCTTTAATCGAGAAGAATATTATATAAGCGAGTATTTATATATAATTGATGCACTTTTTCTTAACAAGGTTCATTTCAATAAGAGATAATAGAAAAGCGGATAATAGAGAGGTGGGGGCGGGGGTTTATTTTTTAAATTTAATATTTATAATTCGTCTATCATTATATATAGAGGGTTTTATTTATTATAAAAAAAAATACTATAAAAAAAATTCTACTATTAATTGCAATGATGATCTGTTATTAAAAATTTAATGGAACAGAGGATTAAACATACAGGCAACAATCATTTCCTGGAACAACATTTTACTTATATGTCTTGCTTTTTAAAAAAAAATGCTTGGATAACATTTTCTTGTAAAACAATCCTTATCAATTGGCAGTGAGGTCAATTTTTATTTTTTGATTATTTTGTGCAATTGTTTCTTTTAACTTTTTCATTCTTTCTTAATTTCCGAGAAAGAAGAGATATTTTAAATTTAAGTCACAATTTTTTGCTATTAGTAGAAAAAGTGATTTTTAGTCGGAGAAAATATTAAAATTTGAAATCATAAAATGTTACATTAATTAGTATTAAGTAGAACAAGGGAGTTATAGTCAGACAGTGGTATAACTTTTCTGCTGTCTGAAAGAAAATACTTTTTAATGTAATTTATGTGTAAGTAGTAAAAGTCAATTATAGTCAGATTCTTGAAATTTTATCCTGAATTGAAATCAGTAGTAAAAAATTGTCGATTAAAATACTATTCATAATTAAAACTAGTAGTAGAAGTTAGTAATAGTCAGCCGAATTAAGTATTTATGATATTTGAAATCAGTAGTATGCGTCAATATGGTCAGTCAATTAATATATTGTTATTCAAAATCAGTAGGTACAAGTCAATTTTTGGTCAGACGAAATCAATTAATTTTTTTAAATTATAAATCAATATAAAATAAAAAAAAATTATTAAAAAATATTCATTTTTCAAATCAGTAGTATAAGTCAATTATAGTCAGACAGTTAAAATATTATTTGCAATTAAAATCAGTAGGAAAAGTCAAAAATATTCAGTACATTAAAATATTGCTAATATTTAAAATCAGTAGTACAAGTCAATTATAGTTAGACAAATTAAATTAATTTTTAAAAGTTATAAATCATTATAAAATAAAACAATGATTAATAATTATTCATAGTTGAAATCAGTAGTATAAGTCAATTATAGTCAGACAGTTAAAATATTATTTACAATTAAAATCAGTAGGAAAAGTCAAAAATATTCAGTGGATTAAAATATTGCTAATATTTGAAATCAGTAGTATAAGTCAATTATAGTCAACCACTTAAAATATTATTTAAATGCAAAAGAAGTAGAACGATATGGTTTAAAAAAAATCGATTTTTTTTTTGTCATTTTTCCACTTAGGTGTCTCCTTAAGTAGTGCAAGTAAATTATAACCAGACGTTTTAAAAACTATTAAATTTTTTATAACAGTAGTGAAGTATAATTATAGTCAGACAAATCTGAAAATTTGTGTCTGATGACATTTTTAGTCAGGCAACGAAATTAAAATTCTTTAAACTACGATAACAGTAGTAAAAGTCGTCTACTGTCAGACAAACTAGTCTAAAATTTGTTTTTACTTTAGTTTCAGTAGTACAATTCAGTTATAGTCAGACAAAGTGTGTTAAGAGTAATTTTAGTCAGACATCACAGTTCGAAGAATTTCTTTAAGGAAAAACTAGTAGTAAAAGTCAGCATTAGTCAGACAAACTGAATGATTCATAGAAAAAAATAAAAATATTTTTTCAAATGATGAGAATGAAACCAGAGAAATTTATTTAGTATTAAAAAAAATTATTACTATTTCTTTACTATTAATAAAAATTGCCATTGTGCTAACTGACAAGGAAAACGAGACAAAACACAACATTGGTATTAAAAAGATCGTCAACATTAAAAAAAAAAGAAAAATACAATAATTATCGTCAAAAAAGAAAATGTTGACAAATGGTAGGTGCACATTTTTTTTCATTTATTTCTTTTCCTAATTTTTTTTTCTTTGTTGCATACGAACTTTTTTTTATTGCTTATTATATAGACTCACCTTGACCCTCTGCAGATCAATGGGGTTCATGATGGTCCCCTGAAAGAACTCGACGGTCGTGAAGTGTCGTTTGAATAGTCCTTCCAGTTCGAGGTCTGGTGGCTTCCTATTTCATCGAATCCAACAAAATGATAGAAATTTGGCTTTTTAAATAAAAAACAACATTTAATTTCTAAAAGGTTCAGCTCAGTTATTGCCATTGCGAGTGTCAAAAAATCATAAAGCAAATAGCTGTCGAACTGATAAATTTAAATCAAAAAAAAAGAAAAACAAATTTAAATATACAGCTTTTAAGAAATTTGTAAATAATTATAATATTTTGTGTTTCATGCTTTTTCGTACTATATGGAAAAATACATTAAAGAATAATTTTATTTCAATTTTTATTTAATTTTTAATTTTAATTTCATTTTTAATTTCTTTTCAATTTCCACGTAATTTCCCGTTAATTTTCCACTAATTGTCCTTGCGAAAATAATAAAAGAAAAAATTCCCATATAACAAAAAAGCATAAAACTAGATTATACATAATATTAAAATTCAATAAATATAAATTCAATCCCTTAACCTGAAGAATTTTCAAAATTAGACGTTAAAAATTGAAGAAGATAAATAACAATGAAAATTTATCAAGTATCAGGAGAGTAATAAAACAAGGAAAATTATAAAAATTTAATACTAAAAATTTAAATCTACTGCACGGTGATCCGACTCCATAGCTCAAATACAGCATACCATGCAGTCGCAGGCGTTTGCTTCTACAATAGCTGCCTCTAGTCGCCTCAATTTATATTCATGGGGTTATAGATAAATCGCAAACTAGTACTTTACGATTTTTCATTATAAAAAATCCCCAATATATATATAGATATAGTTCAAGCCTCATATGACATACTATATTGATTTTTGAAACACAACTATATATATATTTCCAATAAATGCAAATTTATGTTCTGAATAATTGAAAAGAATTTTTTTTCTTACGCAATATGGCGATAAGAGACAACTACATTTCACGTAGTGTGATGTAATAAATCTAGAGAAAATTAAATCAGCATAAACAATCCCACAAAGAGAATATTTTTTAACAGAATCGAATATGCTATTGTGTCAATGTTGTTGTTTATATATAAATGTACGATGATTAATATTATCATATATGATACTTTTTTTTTACTTTTTTATTTTTTTAGTTTTTTACTATTTTACTTTTTTACTTTTTTACTATTTTACTATTTTACTTTTTTACTTTTTTACTTTTTTACTTTTTTACTTTTTTACTTTTTTACTTTTTTACTTTTTTACTTTTTTACTTTTTTACTTTTTTACTTTTTACTTTTTTACTTTTTTGCTTTTATACTTTTATACTCTTTTTCTGTTTTTTCTCTTACACTTCTTTTACTTCTGCTTACTTTTCTGTACTTTCTTTTCACATGCTTTTACTATTTATTACTTTTTTTTTACTATTAATGTTCTTGTTTACATTTTTTTTACTTTTATACTTCTTTAATTATGAAATTTTTTTACTACAATTACTAAAAGTGTAAATAATAAATTAAACCACCTTTTGTCATTGGGAACAAAAAATGATCAATCGGTAATTGATCATTTTTATTTTTGTACAAAAATTTTTTTACAAAATAGTAAAAAAAGAATAGAAAACATAATTTTAATTAAGAAATTTATTTTTGTCATTAGCAACAAAATATGATCAATTATTTTACTTCATTTACTTTTATTATTCTATTTTTTACTTTTTTTTAATCCTTTTTCACGTTTAAAAAAAATTTTCGGTTTGTTTCTACTGCTTCTTAATTAATTTTACTTTTTTGGTTTAATTTTTTTTTTAACTAACTCTAGGAACTTTTTTTTTATTAATTTTTATTTTTTTCTTACTTATTGTAAGATTTTTTACTTATTCCTACTATTTTTTCTACTTTTTAATTTTTTAAATTTTTTCATATATTTACTAAAAGTAACACAATGTGTAATTAATAATTATTAACAATCAATTTTTGTCATTAGCAACAAAAATGACCAATTATTTTAATACATTTATGTTTATTACTTTTTTTTTTACTTTCTTTACTCTCTACCATTTTTTAAAAATTTTTTTCGATTTGTTTTTTTTTATACATTTTTTACTTATTTCTATTATATTTTCTACTTTTTACTTTTAAAATTTTTTTACATCTTTACTACAATTAATACAAGTGTAAATAATTAATTACTAATTTACTAACAACCAATTTCTGTAATTAGCAACAAAAATAATCAATTATTTTAATTCTTCTATTTTTATTCCTCTTTTTTAATTTTTTTACCCTTTTCAAGATTATAAAATTTCTCTTTTAATTCATTTTAATTTTTTTTTCTAACATTTTTTTGGAATTATTTTTATTTTCTTCTTACTTATTTTTTTTTTTTTTGACTTATTTCTACTCTTTTTTCTAGTTTTTACTTTTAAAAATTTATTACATCATTATTGCGACTAATACAAGGAATAAATAATTAAAAATTAACAATCTTGTTTCGTAATTACTATTTAAAAATGACCAATTATTTTACTTTATATAATATTTTTTCTTTTAGTTGCTTTCTTTTTATTTTTTTCTTCTAGAAAAAAAATTTTTGACTTATGTTTACCTCTTTTTACTATAAAATTTTTTTCTATTTTCAATTAACTTTTTTACTCCTTTGCACATTATTCAAAACTCTTTTAAACTTATTTTGATTTTTTTATTACTTATATTTAGCCATTTTTTTTACTTTTTTTACTCTTTTTCCTATTTTTAACATTTCTAGATTTTTTACTTCTTTACTACAATTAATACAAGTGTAAATAATTAATTTTTAACAACTGCGTTTTATAATCACCAATTATTTTACTTTTTATAATTTTTTTTTACTTTCCCTACTTCTTTTTTACTTTTTCATTCTTGTTGAAATTTAAATTTTTTACACACAGTTTTCTTACTTATTTTTACTTTATTTTTCTTTTTTATTTATCTATTATTTGACTTTTTAAATGTTTTTATTCATTTCCCGTAATTGACGAAAGAGTTAATAATTAATTATTAATAATCAATTGTTGTAATTAGTAGCAAAAAAAATTCAATTCGTTATTTTACAAAATTTTAATCATTTAAGTAATTTAGAAAAAAAAGTTGTGAAAAGAAATAGTAAAATTAATAAAATTATTAACATAATCATGTAAATTTTAATAAATTCAGGAAATAGAAAAAATTAACCAAATTGTATCATATATGATATGTGATTATGTGTATCGTACGCAATAGGTATGATTATAATGTATTATAATAATTATTGTATGTACTGTAAATTAAAGTATTGTAAATTATATGAATATACAATTTATATAATTCTGTAAACAAAGTTATATAAATTGTACATTAATATACAATTGTATATAATTTAAACTTTTTTATTCAAGTTTCCTCGATTGAAGTCGATTTTATTGTACAGGATTATATACGATTCTATAGAACTATATACGATTGTATAAAATTATATACGATTGTATACAAATATATACGATTGCATACAATTATATACGATTTTATACAATTATGTACCATTTTATACAATTATATACGATTGCATACAATTACATACGATCGTATACAATTATATACAATTGTTTCCGTTTACATACAATAATACATGATTGTTATACGATTATATAAAATTATATACAATTGTATTCGTTTCCATAATATTTTATGCAACTGTATACGATTCTATACAATAATATAGAATTGTATAAGTTTCTGTATTATTGTATGTGATTGTATATGAAAATATACAATTGTATGCGTTTCTATACGATTCTTTACAACTGGATATATCTCTACATGATTATATACAATTATATAAAATTCTATACAATTGTATTCGTTTCTATAATATTTTATGTAATTGTATACGACTCTATGCGCTTATGTACAATTGTATACATTTCTATACAATTGTACACGATTCTACACGATTCCATACGATTATATACGATTGTATAAGACTGTATACCTTTCTATACGATTCTATACGATTTTATGCAAATCTGTATGATTGTATGAAACATATTTGTATAAAATATATTTTGAATAATATTCATGTATACGCAATAAATAGAATAACAATGTTGATAATTAAAAACGAGACTCCAGAGTGGAGAAAAAAAGATGATAAATAGATATATATATATAGAGCAACTGGTCGATTCGATGATTTCAAATCCAGGCGAATATCGGTTAATAATTTCTTCCAGTAAAATCTAGAAAAATGAGATACGCGCGTTCGTGGGATTAAAAGATGGATTCTAAGGAGAGTAAAGAGAAGTCACGTGATTTTTCTTTTTTTTGGTTGGGGGGGAGGGAGGGAAGATCGGCGGGAAATCGGGATTTGAGAAATGGTTTTCTAGGGTTGCGGGTACCTTGACGCGTTCCAAGTCCACGGCATTCATCATAGTTCCCTGAAAAAACTCCACGGTCGTGTAATGCCTCTTGAGAAGACCCTCCAATTCGAGATCAGGTTCTTTCCTGTAAGCACAGGCCACTCCTTACGATAGGATGATCAATAGAAATTTTATTTTTTTTTGTGATTTTTTTTCATGAATTTTTCACCTCGATTTATTCACAATATTTGAGAGATTCAAATCCATTTTGTGTGTATACACTTTTCGACGAAGAATGCATCATCACGACGATGCAAATATTTGCTTCCCACAAACAATATAAAAGAAGGAAATAAAAAAAAATTTGCGTTTTTCCATTTGTAAATACTTTTTGTACAATTAATTAAAATCTTTTTGTTATTTAATTATTATTTATTAATAAAACTATTATTTATTAAAATATTACTCTCTAAATTTAAATTAGTAAAAATGTTTACTAATTTGAATTAGTTACTGACTTTTTGCTTTTGAATTAGTAAATTTTACTTAAAAATTAGTAGAAACCACTAGTTATTAGTAAAATTTACTAATTCAAAAGCAAAAAGTCAGTCACTAATTTAAATTAGTAAACATTTTTACTAATACTAATTCAAATTTAGAGAGCAAAATTATATTTATTAAAATCAATTCGAATTATCAGTGTTTCGAACGTCATATGGCCAAATTTTTATTTTCAAACTAAAAAATTAGAAATTATTGTTGAATAGATTTTTACAGACCGAAGAATCAATAGTTTAAAGAATTTTTATAAATGAGAATTTTTATTAAATAAAATTTTCTCTTCAAAGAATTAAGTATAAAATTATTTTTTTCTTTTGCTTTTTAATAGTTCACTATTTTTAAATTGGTTTCATATTGTATTGATAAGTAAAATTAAAATCAGTAGTATAGGTCGATAATGGTCAGGCAATGAAAATATTATTGATACTTAAAATCAGTAGTATAAATCAATTATAGTCATACAACACGAATTAAATTATATAATTTATGGTAGCAGTAACATAAAAGTTTAATTCTTTAGGAGAAAGTTTTAAAATATTTTGAAATCAGTAGTATAAGTCAATTATGGTCAGACAACACGAATTAATTTTTTTTTTATGTTTGTAGTAGTAAAAAATTTTGATTCTTCAAGCAAATAGTATTGATAATTTAATTCAGTAGTATCAGTCAATAATAGTCAATCGATTAGAATCAGCCTATTAAAGTATTCTTTAAACGCGAAATAAGTAGAACGATACCGTTTCAGTCAGACAGTAGTATAACTTTCCTTCTGTCAAAAGTTTGTAAATTTTTGTCGGAAATGTTGTAATTTCTTTAAATCTGTCATTAAGTGGTATAAGAAAGACTATTTAAATTATTAAAAAGAAAAAAACAGTAGTACTAATCAATTTTAATCGGACTATGGATTTTTTAAATTCTAAATAAATTTCAGTAGTATAAATTATTTTAGTCAGACGGTACTATCAAAAAACGGAAATTTTTGTAGTATTCGAAATTCATAGAAAAAAAATTCTCCCTACTAAAAATTCGGCTAATACAAATTCTTAAAGAAAAATCCCCTAAATAAAATTTCCTAATTAAAATTTACTAATAAGAATTCCATAACAAAAATTACATAATAAACAATCCTTAATAAAAATTTCTTTTCATAAATATTCTCTTGAATAAAAATTCTATTCAACAAAAAATTCTTTTTCATCGAAAATCGAAAAAGTGACGATTATTAATTTACTCGAATTTATATTTAAAAAATAAATATTATTAATTACGCGAAATATAAATAATGTCCATATTCTAAAATAAAAAAAAACTAATTATTTACAAATGGAACTTTAATAAATCGTAAAAAAAAATTAACATCGAAAAATTCCTTTTTTTTCTTCAGAAGACAGAGGGGGAGAATGGGGGGTATTAAAAATGACATTTTTACCAAAGACTTATATATATATATTTATGTTGTATGTGTGCTCAACCTAAAGAATTACGTGTTGTGTGTTGTAATATGTTGCATCGATCACTCGAGGCCTCGCAAAAACTTTGTACTTACCACGCTATATAACGCTAAAAATAGATATTAGAAAATGTAAAGGGAATATTTTTAAACATACGATCAATCACCGATCAAGGTTGAAAACCACTTGGATTTGAAACTGAGCACTCGAAATGTGCAAGATTATTTTCAAATCACTTTTGACTTTTAGTGGCTATTAATGCTCTTGGCAAAAGTTATAAAACCTCTCATATACATAGAACTTTATCTTTTAATATTAAAATCAAAAAAGTTTTATCATATTCACGAGAGTTATAAGGACTCATCATTGAAATTTTCTTATCTCATTGTCTCTTATCTCAATATTGTATATACATCTTCATTCTAAACTCTAAAGTCATTAAATTTTTATTTAATTTCCTTATTTTCAATTTTCTATTTCATTTCTATTTATAGAAATTTCAATTTTATTTTCTATATTTAATTTCCTTTAATTTTAATAATTATTCAACAATTTTAATTTTCATTATAAAAATTTTTTTTTCTGTTTTTGAATTTGTGAACAAATCAAATTCAAATGAAGAAACTTTAAGTTTTCGAACAAATGAAAAATTGTTTCCAAGAATGTAAAAAATTACAAATTATGATTTTTACGAGCTTATAAAAAAAAAACGGTTCTTAAGATCGTAGGATTAAAAATTGATTTCAGAATTTGATAATTTTTATACACAAAGATTAAAAAAAAAAGAGAGAAAAAAATGTGAGGAAATTTTTTTTTTAATTCGAGAAAAAAATCATACCTGTGTAAGAAGACGACTTCTACGTCGACGTCCTCGCGATCTTCGTGTAAGAAATCCTTGAGAAAGTGCGAGACAGACTCGTAGGTGATGTGGCCGCACACAACAATGTGTCTGGCAACACAAAATAAATATTAGCCAAAAAGTCTTTTAAATTTTCGCAAAGCAGTCGTGATTTTTTCGATAATATATAAAAGCAAGCGTCTACTTTTTAGGGTCATTGTGCAACATCAGGTCTGCATTGCAAAAAAAAAAAATCTTTAAAAAAAAAGTAAAGAGAAATTTTTCTTTTTATTCATTTTTTCAAATTTAGTAGAAAACATTTTCTTATCCAATTTTTCAATTTTGGAAAAAAAATTCTCTTTTCACTCAATTTCGATTTAAAAAGAATTCCAATTTTATTATTTATTAATAAAAAACAAAATTTTTTTGGTATTATTATTATTGACAAAAAAAATTAGAAAATATAAAAAAGAAAAGAATTACAGTACATTTTTTTTTTTTTTTAGTAAAATTATTATAATGTTGTCACTATAAATATTATTATTTATTAGAATATTATTAATAGAATGCATATTAATAATAATTCATAATAATTCTATATTTAGAAGAAATAAAACATCTTTTAATTAATAATAATTTAAAATTAAAAATAATTATATGCAGACCTCATGTACTGTTATTTAAATTATACAATAAAAAAAACCACATACGTGTGTACTTTTTTTGTAATCTACATATAAAGAGAGAAAAATATCAATCAACTATTTGCGATTCTATATAAAAATTTTCACCCGTTATATATATTTACATTCTTATACAAAAGGAATGTCATAAATTTTTTTCCAAATGATATTGTTAGTTGGATAGAGAAAAAAAAAATATCAGGAATATTGGTGATATCAAAAAAAAAAAAAAAATGGAGTGAGAGAGAAAGCATATGGGAAGGAGGAACATACACACATTGTCGAAAGATCGAATCGATACCAGTTTAGTCTGCTGCCTTTGGTGAAAATTCGTTATCCCGAGTTTTTCTTCGAAGATTGCGTTGTCCGAAACTTTATTTTTATTATTTCCAATTCGACAGAAAAATAAAACCAGTAAATTGCTTTTTTTTTCTCTCGCATTGGTTCTCATGGAATCGAGTCACGCAATCTTCAAATTTTTTTTTTCTTTTTAGGTATTTGGACATTTTTTTAGTCCATTGGGGCAAATTAGGAATTTTATGAGCGAAAGAAAAGAGAGAATAATTCTCGACATAAATTATTTTGCAAGTAGTTTATTTATTATATGGCTATTATTTTTTTATATTCTTGTTTACTTTTACTTGTAACCTACACTATTTTTTTTTTTTTTACTTTTTTGTTACTTTCCCTTGACTAACGAATTTTTATTTTTGTACTAATTTATTAATTTCAGTCAAGTAAAAGTTTTCCAAATTTTTATTCAGAAAATTAATTGATTTTGAAATTTTAGATTTTCAACAATTTTTAGAAATGTATAATATTTTAATATTTGTAATTTCTACTGTAAATTATATTGAAATTTATTGTCATTTTATTTATTTTATTTATTGTAAAAATTACAGTAAATTTTTTCAAAAATTGCAATTTTATTTACTGTAAAAATTATTGAAAATTTATAACAATTTTATTCGAATCTATAGTAATTTTGTTTCAATCAATTTTTATTAATAAAAAATGGCGAATATTTATTTTATTATTTTTCTATCATAATTTAAAATTTATCAAAGAAAAGAAATTCCAGATTTACCCCAAATTATATCGATCGACACGATACTTCATTAAATATATAAACATATAATTACAGTAAATGTTTAATTGGATACAATGATAGAAGGAAATAAATTATCAATGAGCCTATTTTCGAAGAATTTTTATTTATTTTTTTTTATATTTAAACAGGCTCAAAGACGTGTGAACTTACCAGGAACTTGTTATTAGGGTATGGAGTGAGTCGTTTTAACCAACTAATGTAAAATTGAACACACCTAATTATTTACAAATCAATGTGCTAGATATAGAAAGAAATGATTAATAATAATTAATTATATTAAAAGAGTTATTTAAGTGCAGGCTTGTTCCTTTTGATAGAATTCGTTGAAGAGAAATTCAAACATATACCTATATAACCAATGGGAAATTTACAAAAATTAGTTTTTAATTTTTAATATTTTAAAATTTTTAATATACATTCAAAATTTTAATTTTAATTAAAATTTTTAGTTTCTTTAATTTATTGAATTTTATTCTTTTCTTAAATCTTCTTTATTTTTTATTCTGAATTTATTTTAATTTTCTTTCAATTTACTTTAAATTTATTTTCAATTTATATTAATTTATTTTCAATTTATTAAATTTTACTTTTTTAATTTATTTTTCAAAGAATTTTTTTTTTCTGCTCTCCAAAAATGGTCTGAGAATTTAAAAATCAATATTTATTCTTACTGACAATAGTAGAAAAAAAATAATTAATTAATTACGAATTATTTGTAAACAATTTTTTCATGGAATTTTCTTTCGTTGGCACGTACAGTCAATTAAAAAATTAGTAATTAGTAAATTAGTAAACAAATTATTTTATTCTGTAATTATTTCGCAATAAAAAATACTCAAAAAAATTAATTTTATTACTCTCTGAATTTGAATTAGTAACTGACTTTTCGCTTTTGAATTAGTAAATTTTACTAATAAATCAATAGAAATTAATATTTATTAGTGAAATTTACTAATTCTGAAGCAAAAACTCAGACACTAATTCAAATTTACAGATTAATTCCTTTATTAATTATTTTTACCAACTATTTTTTAATTAATTATTTTAGTAACAATTTTTTAATAAATTATTTTTAATAATTATTTTCCACTTAATTATATTATTAATTATTCTCCAGTGGTTTATTAATTATATTTCAGCAGTTTGTTAATTATTTTCCACTGTTTTTTTTTTTCATTAATTATTTTTCTCTGATACTTTTGATTAATTATTTTCCACTTATTATAATCATTAATTATTTCCCACTGATTATATAAATATTCTGTGCCTACTCTACATCATAATTACTAATTTCTACATACGTCGTCATTTATTATATACCAATATATAATATATAATATTCTAAATTTTTATTTAAGACCAAAAACGATGAGGAGGAAGATATACATGTGTTAGTGCCGAGATTAAGAAGAAACTGTTAATCAATAATATATTTGTCTCATTCCATGCTATTTTACTATTTAAATATAGAGGCTACAAATTTTTCTGCGACTGTGTATTGAAATAATCATCTAAAATTAAACCAAAAAAAAAAAGAAGAAGAGAGAAAGTACAATTTGTGAATTTAATAGGCACGAGTGAATTGGGTGCTTCGGTCGTTCTCTGGAACAAAAAAAAAAATAGAGAAAGAGAGAGACAGAGAGAGAGAGAGAGAGAGAGAGAAAGAAAGAAAGAGAGAAATATATATAGATAGAAAAAAGAACACGCCAAAAAAGCATAATCAATCGGAAGCGCGCGCACGATTTAAAATTACGAACTAAATTCACGCCATTTAATTTCTGTAATTTACGATTAAAAAAAAAGAACCTGCAAACAACTGCTTTTCTTCGCATATTTTTTTTTCTTATGCACGAGACACGCTCGATTTTACAATTTCCATTCGCAAAAAGAAAATCAAAAAAAAAAAAAAAAAAAAATACATCTCTGAAAAAAGTATACACATAAATAACATTTTTTCGACGCTTGAGAAAATATATTTCTATATAAAAACGCTGTAATTAAGAGGAAGAAAATTTTAAGAGAATATATACAGAATGGTTAAATATATATAATATATAAAATGTAGAAAAGAGTACATCTGCTAGGAGGAAATAGAGATAAGATACAGAGTAAGAAATATTATTCACCTAATTTTTAAGTTCTTTTGGTGGAAATTTTCATTTCATTTCAATTTAATTTTTTTTTATGTACGATTTGGAAAAAATCGGTTTCGAAAAAAACGATGAATTTTTTTTTTATTTCTCAACTGTGTTGTCCAAAAGATCTGTCTATAAAGTTGTCAAGAGGAATTAACTATATTCTTCCAATTTTTTATATAGTAGAAAAATTGCAGTTTCTGCTATGAAAAGGGTGGAAGAAATTTTTTCATTCATAAATTAAATTTTTTGAAATTAATAAATAAAATTTTTTTATGATTTCTTTTAATTAATAAATAGAATTTCTTTTATAAATAAATTATATTTTTTTAATTATTAGAAATTACTTTTTTTGGGATCTAATATAATTGCTAAATTGGCTAAATATTCAATCAGAAAAATTTTCACACATATCAATTTTTATTTAAGGACATTTGAATCATTATGACGTCACAGTTTGTGCGGATGCAAAGCATGTATTTTGAAGCTGTGACGTCATAATGGTTCAAATACCCTTAACGGAATTAATAAATGAAATATTAATTCATTAAATAAATTCTCCAGTTGGTGAATTTTTAATTTTTATTGAACAAAATTTTCAACAGACAAAATTTCTTATTTGGCCTAAGTAAAATTTGACAAAATTTTTATTTAACAAGATTTTTATTTAACAAAGTTTGTATTTGGCTAAATTTTCATTTAACAAAACTTTTATTTAACAGAATTAACACAATTTTTATTTAATAGAATTATTATTTAACAACATTTTTATTTAGTTGACTTATCATTAAACAGAATTTTCATTTATCAAAATTTTCATTTGGCAGAGTTTTTATTTAACAGAATTTTAACTTACCAAACTTTCTATTTAACAAAATTTGTAATTGGATGAACTTCTAAAAGAGAATTTTGCATAAAATATAGAATTTTATTTATTAAATTAATTTCTATTTAGCTAAATAGAAATATTCTTTAATAATTTGTATTGAATATAATTCATATTTAGTTAAAATTCTATTATTAAATTTTTGTTCTTTTTAAATATAATTGTTATATTTTTATTTAATTATTATTTATTTAGCTTCATTTTCAATAAAATATTTTAGCTTTAAATCAGAACTGAACTGAATTAGAATTTTATATATAATAAAAAAATTATGTTTTTTTATTCAGCTAATAAAA